CCACCCCAATGACCAGGAACCAGAACGTTGACCTCCACCCGAGAAACTGCACAAGGACGCCCCCGAGCACCGGGCCAAGTGCCGGGCCGGCCAGAGTGCCCGTCAGGACCATGCCTACATATCGCCCTCTCTCAGACACAGTCGCAATATCGGCCATCACGCCCATCGTGATCGCGATAGTCGCGCTACTTCCTGTGCTCTGCAGACAACGTAACACCAGCAGGGCGGGATAGCTGTTCTGCAACGCCAGGCCAATGTTCGCGGCCAGGTATACTCCAAATGTGGTGATGTATGCTGGTCTTCGGCCGCTTGTGTCCGCAAAGTCCCCGAAAAATGTTGGTGAAAGGGCCTGAAAGATCATATAGGTTGTCAACGTCAGGTTGATGAGGGTGTTGGAGACACCCAAGTCGTCCGCAAGAGGAGTGAGAGCCGGTAAGTAGATGGTTGTCGACAGAGGCGAGAAGACGGACGAAAATGTTGCCATCATGAGGATAAAGACCTTGGTCCTTTTGCTGAAGGAGGAATATATAGCTCCCTCAGTGCTGTGATTCTCTACGTCTCCCGTCTTGTCTGCGTCCTGAGGGGTCGTTTTCTTGTCTGCTTGCATTTCATCCTGATGGGTAGACCGAGATGCGCAACCCTCCTCATCAGAAACAACCCTTTCTGCCTTCTCCATCGTCTAGGAGCTATATATCGTTGATTAAAGAAAAAGCTGCCAAAACGATGCTCGGCCATCGTGATATTATTTATACATTATTCTTTTCAAGGGCGTACCCGCTACAGTCGGACGCCTAATTCCGTTAAATCCGCCTTTACAGTGGGAAAAAAAGAAAGAAAGCCTAGGGCGATCCCCAGTTTATGCATGTAAAACTGGGATGGCGACCCATTCTTTCCGTGACTTTCTTCTAGTGAGAATCGTTTATCCATGATGATACACGGAGGCGAGATCGTAAAACGGAGTCCCGGCAAGTCACATGAATTCGCAGACCGTATATATCCATGGGCTATAGCTTATAGGTATCTGGTCAGTCGAGGGCCCAGTAATCGGCCTGGTAGAATAGCTGTATATCTCACAGTTGTAGTAGGTCTTCAAGGCGTCTCAGGCGTCAAAAATGAAGCTGTAGTCAGAATTTCCCGATTCGGTAATTACCTTGAGAAGTCACATGTTTTGTGCTTTTCAGCTTCCTCGGCCTAGAGGAGGAAAACATCAAGGCGTCTTTCTTGTATAAAACTGTTTAAAAGACTTCATACAGATCCATGAGAGAGAGGGAAAAAACGGACTCATCATGTCTATCAGCCTCCCTCCAAACCCTGCAGTGTACCTCCTCCTGGTATCACTGCCAGCTTTGGTCCTGTCCGAGACCAAGTCCATATATATAGGCCACTGTATCTTCAAACCAGTCTCCTCCCTGGCCTTTCTTACAGGACCGCTTCTCTTAACATTCAATGAACCCTCACCCTACCGCAAACTCATCACCTGGGGCCTCTTCTTCTCTTTCATCGGAGATATACTCCTAATACCCTCGCGAAGCGAATACACCAAACGGCCCCAGACCAAAGACAAAGACAGCACCAGCCAAGAAGTTTCAATCTCCGCATCCTTTAAAGCTGGAATAGGCGCATTTGCAGCCGCTCATATAGCTTATATCCTTGCCTTTTTGAAAGATACGCAGACGATATCATGGCCTATATTCGGAAGTGTGGTGGTAGCTTCTTTGCTGGCTGCGAAGTGGTTGGGTGTTTTATACCCAAGGAGGAACCCATCTGGGTCCCTGATGAGGCCGAACGTGCTTAGTCTCTTTGTGCCTGATGATATGCGGCATCTGGTGTTTGTGTATTCGCTGATTATCGGCTGCATGGTTGGTGCTGCGCCTTCTACCGTGCCTGTGTTGCAGCTACCTTCTACCTTGTCAATGCAAAATCAGCGAGCTCTAGGGGCTGTGATGTTCGTTATTAGTGACATCTTTGTTGCCAGGGATGCTTTCGGCAAGAAACCGGCTGATAAAGGGGGATATTTTTGGCTAAGGGCGGCTGTTGGCTGGGGGCTTTATTTTTGGGGACAGATGGTTTTGGCTGGTACTGTGGTGGGAAGATAGACTCTTATTCATATATTGATATCTATAGTTATATAACCTGAGTTAAAAAGTAGTACAAGGATTCAAGCGTTATTATCATTATAACATAAAAAGGAAACAATCTATGGGCAGGAACAAGGAATAAACAATAAAAAAGTATTCATACGAACATTCAAAACATTATTTATCCGAATATTTTATGTTCGTGCGTTTTATGTTCGTGCCTTATGATGCCCCTTATACATTTAACCCAGTGCCAATATTCATATACAACGACATATCAAGAAGTAAATGTACCAAATTAAAGACGAGTAGAAGGAAATAAGAGAGATAGGCTGGGTAAATATAATATATGTGGTGAAGCAAAGGCTAGAAGGGAAGAAAGCATAGAGTATACAGGTGGCCGCACGGGAAAATATTGGACGGGGAATGAATAGGGTAGGTAGCAGGGAGGGAAATGGGTATTATAAATTAGAGAATGGCACTGATGACGTCGACGTTGATATTTTAAATTTAGGCAATACCACTCTTCTCAGGCTTGGGAATCTACCTCTCTTCTCGCGCTGGGGAGTATCCATTCGCGCGGGTGATAGATGGACATCCGATATCGCTGATGTGACAGAAGTATCATCTGTACCACCCCTGGAAGGCAGGAATCGAGATGTCCAGGCTGGCTTTTGGCTACGAGCCGGGCTCAATGGGCTCAATGGGCTCAATGGACTCAATGGGCTACTTGGGGTGGGAGTTTCATTGGTATGCCGTGTATTATTCGGTCTTGTCACGCAATCTGATGTCCGAGGGCGAGCGTGGGCGTCTTTTCCATTGCTTATAGCTTGCATTGTTAGAAGTGCCGGTCCGGTTTTTTCAACTGCACTTGGCGAGGATGGTAGGGAGATAGCAGTGTGCCCATTCGAGCGGAGAGGCCAAGAGTCGGCAACGGGCTGAGGAACCCTTTTGCTCAATCGTTTCTGGAGCTTGGGTGATATTGAGTGCCAATCATCTCCCGAGGGCTCTAAGACACGTCCATTGACAGTGATAGTTGTTGTGGACCTCGAATAATGATGGTGCGGGGGAGAGAGCGCGTTCTTAGAGGGATCCAGTTCCAGCTTTGGTCGTCTCTGCGATGTGTCTTTTCTAAGAGCGCTTTCAGGTTCAGGACTTTTGGTCATTGAATCCCTACGTCGTGGCTTAGGCTTCGGCAGCTGAAGACGGCCGAGTAACCCGCTTTTATTCTTTCCATTAAGATCAATGGGTCGGTCATGGCTTGCTGTGACAGTGGTTGTGTTTTCGGTATCCTTTGTAGCCATTAACTTTGCTAATGCGGCAGCAACGGCAGGGTCTTTCAGACTCTTCCTATTACTTTTATTTGATTTCTTCCGCCTCAAAACGTGTCTTGTAGTCTCATATTCCGAACTATCATCAAGGTCGGTTGAGTCACCCTCCACTTCATGTCTTCCCCTTGGAATACCGCGGACAGGTCGTAGATTGATAGTCTCGATATCCTCATCACTTGAATCCTCGTATCTCGACTTGAAACCCTGCCCGGGCCGTGCCCTACGAGGCTTCCCAGAAAACCTGCTCGCCTTCGTAGATTTCCCTAGACCAGTCAATGCAGAGAATCTAGACGCGGGAGTAGGAGGAGGACGCAATGTAGTCCGCATCATAGTTGGGCGACTGTCATTTGAAGAAAATGGTCGGTGATTTAGTGAATAGTCGAATGCTCGTGAAGGCAGGCCACCATCAGATAGCACTTCCATACTATTGTTAGGGCTGGCTGCTCTCATAGTTCTTCGTAGAGTATAACGGCCGGTTGGGCGGGATCGCCTTGTCCGCTTGAAGCTACTGGACGAGTCGCTTGCGTTTGACACCGTTCGTCGGGGGCGATGGACTGGAGTCACTTTGGTGTTTGTATTAATGAGTTTCTTATCGCTGGCCTCATTGGACTCCGGGATTGGGCGTAGGGTGGGTGAGTGGCAGTCGAATTGCCCAGGGGGGCTCGCGTTTGTGCTTGCATAAGATGCTGCAGTAGTAGGTGAATTTCTCGGACACTCTTCAAACAGAGGCTTCTCAGGCGGTTGAAATGAATCAGGCGCTGGCAGCGCGTCAGAGTGTTTCTCATAATTCTCAGGAGCTTCAGGCGATGGATAGGCGGAGGGAGGCTGGTATTGGGCGGTAGATTGTGACTGCGATCCCTGAGCAGCTTCGACCACAGGGGGTAATCCCTTTGTATCCCTCAACTCCGAGACCATGTCCCTTTGTTCGCTTTCTTGAGGTAGGGAATGCACTGTACTGAAGTGCTGCGGCTCGGGAGTGAGATTCACAGATCTATCAACGATCGCATCAATCGAGCCAAAACCATTCAAATCCATATCAGTAATGTCTTCATAAGCATCACTATAAACGCTGTTTCCCGAATCGGAGTCATTATCTTTCTGTTCTTGGTCGGGCAAATTACCCTCAGGTGTTGAGAAATTTGGATTGGTTTCTTCTTGAATGGGCTGGCTTTCTACCTTGGGTATTTGAGGGGAAGACTCCTCGCAGTATGCCTTTTCCTCCATGGCTGGCGTGGCAGGCTGGATGAATATTGTAGGAGTTGGGAGTAAGCGGTTTGCTGTCTCTGTTTGGCGTGATTGCGAAGTTCCGGTCTGGGCAGTTTGGTCAGGAATGCTTCCAGTTGCAGACACATTCCTGCTATCGAGACGGGGAGGGAAATAGCGTAGATCTGCTCCTTCATCGCTAAAGCTATCCTCTGATGACGAGGTGTATCCGGTGCCCTCCAATGATGTCACGACCGGAGGCAGCGGTAAATTAGGTTCTATGTTTTTGCTGGAGGTAGAAATTATTTCTCCGATTGCATGGTCAGAAGAGGAAGAAATTATTTCCGTTGCTGGCTTCGAGTCGGTTTCTATATCACTTGTCCTGGACGGTTTGCGGCCGCGTATGCTGCCAAACGACGGAAGGGCTGGGCGGGGTGTGAAGAATTGATCGAATTCATTTGAATCGTCGCCTCTGGTGTTTGGCCGAACAAGGCCGCCGTTTAACGATCTAGATAGCACATGTGCCCGAGGGCCTGAAGATATTAGTGATTCTGGGGAAGGGGGAGAGCTGTTTCCATGACCGATGACTTCTGTTTCGTCTTCAAAACTAACTTTGGCCTGTTTCTTTCTCGATTCTGCCCTCGAGCCATCGTCCGAGACTAATGAGGTCCCTTCAGATGTCTCGCTGCTGGCATTCCCGGGCTGATAAGAGAGTCTCTCGGGAGGGCTTCTGAGCATTGATTTCAATGCAGGTTTAGCTGGAGATAGAGATCTCGGCGGAGGATTGTGCAGATGTTCCTCAGATTCCGGGACCTCCAGCTGTGCGGAGAAGCGTGTGAGCCGGCTTGGGCTTGGCGAATGAGGTCTTAAGTGCGGTATGATCTGAGGGGGTAACGCAGCAGGGCCTTGGGAATGCGGTTGAGGTGCATCGTGGCGGTTGTTGCTTCGCTGCTGAGAAGGCGGTGATGGTTCAGGCTTCGAAGTAGGGAGTTTTTCACTGGCAACAAGACTTGGACTGGCTGGCCGAGGCTGTTTGTCGGTGGTATCTAGTGCTGTGTGATGTACCGGCCGTTCGTAGGGATGGTCATCCTCGCCTTCCTCCTGAAGCTCTATCACTATAGAAGGCCTCCTGGTAAGGGTAGGAGAGGGTAGTGGGCGGTGTATATCACCATGACCATCCGTCATAATTTCGCCAACAAGGGCGGAGGGGGAAGATTTGGTCGCCGTCTGTCCGGCTATCTTGTCCGTCTGCGGCTTGAGTGTAATAATATCTGACTCTATGGCAGAAAGAGGAGGCGTAGTTGATGTTTTGCCAAAGGAGCCCTCTGCAACCTGGGTGCCCTGGTCCACCTGGGGTGGTCGAAATTCCGATAGGGGCCGCCGTGTACTCCCTGGCGCCTGTTCGGAAAAGAGCTGCTGTATTCTAGGAGATGACGGGCGCCTCCTCCTGGGCGAGTCTGCCGACGCTATCGATAGCCGGGGCGAGTTTGGTCGATGCATCGGATAGGAAAAGTTAACCGAGTTTCTGCTTCCACGTCTTTCGAGATCGGATAGCCCTAAAGACGAATTCGACACGGAGCGTGGCCTACGTCCTCCGGGCGCCGCTGCTCCCTGGTAGCTTAGTAGTTCTGTGCTCCCGGCCATCGTCTGGGGAGTGGGAGAGGCTGTATAGCCACGCGGGACAGGAGGGACCGGTGTTACCTCTATTGGATTTGAAGCCGCACTCCCTGCTCGCGGGGGCAGCTGGTCTCTGAACGTCCTGTTGGTCATGGAGCAAGAGCTGCGGGTCCTTCGAAGGCCTTCATTCTTGCCGTCCGCATGAGCACTCGCCTTCGAGCTACCGACAGACGAGGTGGACTGCTTTCTCTGCAGCATACGCTTCGTCTGGACATCCTTAACGGCCGTTGGTGGGGGGGTATGGCTTCGAAGGGCGGCGGCCGCGGCGGAGGAAGATAGGCTGGGAGTCGGATTCTGGGATGCCCGAAAGGCCTGGGCGGCCGCTGTCTGAGCAGAAGGGGAGGGATTGGTATTAAGGGGCTAGAATTGACTGTTAGCCCGTCTCATGCTTGTTTTTTCCTTCCATTTATGCCGGGTTTGGCGGTAGATGGTGATACCATGGGGGGACGAATGTTGGATACTGACAGCATGGCGGACGCTCTTCTTGCGTCGAAACATTGCTGGGCTCTATGAATATGAACTCATCAAGAGAGAAACAAACACCCAGATCCGGCTTTGTCTTCCTCCTCTTATACTCTCGAATATGCAGGCTTCGTTGCTCCTGGGTGGCCTAACCTGGATGTTCCTCTCGGTCAACTGGAAGTCTGGAAGTTACAGTAGCAATGCCAGGCCTGGTAGCTATCGATAGCTCCGGCTAGCTTCGACTCAACGATATTAAAAGGACGTCTTAGCGTGCTCGAGGGAGTAATAATTGATGTATATTAAATAGATACCAAGAGCTGCGAAGGGCGAAAAAGAAGTGGCAGGCCAGTCTGTTGTACGGAGCATGATGAATGCAAGTGGAAAGTTGGATGTTCCTTTTTTTTTCTTTTTTTTTTTTTATCAAGGAAGAGAAAAAAAAACCACCAACGGCCCATCGACTTCTACCAACATTTACTTCAACGGCAAAAGGGAAGAATAGAAAAAAAAAAGGGGAAGACGGAAGAAGATAGACGGAGAGAGCGGGTAACTTGGGTTGGTAGCCTTTCTTCTACGTCTCTTCCATGGTCCATCTCAGAAGAAGCCAGGCTTTTTGCTATCTGAGCGTTGATGGAAGGCCTTGAACATGCTGCTTTTCTACCGGAACTTCGCCGATAAAGAGAATGACATATATAAACAAGTTGAATACCGGGGGTAGAGCTTCGATTTTGAAGACATAAAGATCAACACGAAAAAAAACGGCTTCGATGGCGGCGCTTCCACCTCTTCCTCTGCCCGATGGCGTCTCGTCCAGACAGCTCGATACGGCGCCTCGAGGGATATCATTCCATGTGCTCGAAGCAGGATACTCGCCCGGCCATGACAGGCCGCTTATCCTGCTGCTACACGGCTTCCCGGAGCTGGCGTTCTCGTGGCGGAAAATGATGCCTCTGCTGGCGGCTGCTGGATACTATGTCGTTGCCCCGGATCAGCGTGGCTTTGGACGCACGACCGGCTGGGATACGCGAGACTTTGACAATGTCGATCTACGTGATTTCGAAGTGACGAATCTTGTCCGGGACATGGTGGTGCTGGTGCATGCGCTCGGATACAAGAGCGTAGAGTGTGTCGTGGGACATGACTTTGGTGCCGTCGTTGCTGGCTACTGTGCGCTTGCAAGACCGGATTTCTTCAAGCGGGCAGCCTTCATGAACCATCCGTTTGTCGGGGCGCCGGATCTCTCGAGCTCTCGCGGAGGTGGGGAGGAAGATACGATACACCGGGACCTGGCGGCGTTGAATCGAAAACACTACAAGTGGTACTACTCTACACGGCAGGCGAGCTCGGACATGAACAGACCGGCCCAGGGCCTGCATGCCTTTCTACGAGGGTACTTTTACCTCAAAAGTGCTACATGGCTGCTCAACAAGCCTGTCGAGCTCCAGGCATGGACGGCCTCCGAGCTAGCAAAGATGCCGGACTACTACGTCATGCCGCTCTATGCGTCCATGCCGGAAGCCGTTGCGTTCAATGTGGCTCTGGAGACTCCTCTGCCCGTACAGGAATCGTGTGCCTGGCTGTCAGACGCGGAGCTGTCTGTTTACGTGGACGAATTCTCACGTACGGGTTTTCAGGGCGGCTTGAACTGGTACCGTGTGGCCACCTCGTCGGCTCCAGACTTCAAGCGAGATCTAGACCTGTTTGCTGGGAGAAAGATTGACTGCCCGTGTCTGTATATCGGAGGAGCAAAGGACTGGGGAACGTACCAGGTTCCCGGAGCCATAGAGAAGCTGGCCAACAGCGTCTGTGATGACTTTTGCGAGGTAATAGTCGACGATGCAGGGCATTGGCTGGCGCAGGAGAAACCTCAGGAGGTCGTCGATGCTCTCGCGGCTTTTATACATTGGCAATAGAGTTATTTATTTTTTTTAACTTGTTTGGATATCCAGGTACGGTACACAGCTACTTGTGTGGAAGTAATAATTGAAAATTAATGAAGCTCATATTATAGGATACGTTTTGTTAGGCCTAGAACTAGCATATATCAATCAATTTAATCGCATATACCACTCTTTCCCCCTCGCTAGTAAGAAAGAGATACATGGCCCATCATAACTAATGCGTTAGCTTCATGAATAGAGAGAAAAAGACTGATATGATAAAAGGAAGAACCGGCATTAATTCGACCCGGGAAACAATATGTCCAAATGCGCCCAAATACGGGCGGTTCAAACTATGCCAAACCGCAAAGGAAAGATGGGAAACTGGAAATGAAGATGACATGGGGTATAAAATACAAACAACAGCAAAAGCGAATAATAACTCCGTCGCATAAAAAGTATATCTTTTTTTTTTCATGGTTTGCTTTCGAGTTGCCTCCGAAATTACTCGGTGCATTAGAACATGATGCTAAAGTAGTATCCGGCGAGGATAAGTGGCATCACACCGAGAGCGGTGAAAATTGCCGTGGTATGAGCAGCGTTGGTTGGCTTATCTGGGATGGCATAGATGGTGCTGGCAGTGATGTTGGTCGAGTTGAAGCAGTTATCTCTTGTGACTGGCTCGACGTCTTCAGGTTCAGCAAAGGTGATGTCGACACACTGGTTGAACAACCGAGTTAGCATAAAGGTACCCATGGACAAAAGAGGGGGACGATCAAAGCATACATTGTAGAGCACGGCACCGTGGCGAGCTGCTTCAACAACCTGGATAGTAGCATTATCGCCTACTTTGACGCTGATGTTGGCAGGTAGTGGAACCTGGGGTAGACAGAACGTTCCTGGATACGGCGCAACGGTAGGACCGGTGATCTGGAACGGAGGAACCATAGGAAGACTCATGTTCAATGGTGTTGTCCCCATTCCAAGGTTTACGTAAATGAGGGCGGTTTTGTGGCCGGGGAACCATCCAGGCTGGAACGAGAGGGCACCACCGTTGACTGGCCATTTGGTCCGGTTTGTACTGGTGACCGTTCCGCCGCCTATTTGAGGGCTGGCCGTTAGCCAGTGAACCAGAGATGACGAGTGAGGAAGAAAATGGTACTAACATGGATAGATCCATTGCATTCCGTAAGGATATAGAAGCTCTGAACTGTTCGCTCTGATCGCAACACCGGCACCATTAGTCTCATCGACCGTTCCATTGCTATGCAAGTTGTTTTCTCTCCATCCGGGGTAAACGATGACGGTGTGGCCTTTGGCAGCGATGGTGGCAAAGACGAGGGTCAGGAACACCCCGAGGAAGGGTCCTAACGAGAAATGCGGCCGCATGATGTGTATAGATGTGTTCTTATCCGACTAGAAATGAAGAATCGAGGCCCCTCTTGCGAACGAGCGTCAGGCTCCCAGCGTTGGAGAATGGTAGGTTCGAGGAGGAATAGTCAATATGTCTCCAGAAGCGTTCAAAATGAGGAGAAAGAGAGGCTGTATAGGCGCCGGCTCAAGTCAAGATAGTTATATCGACTTTTGGATGAAGGCTTTTTGAGGGAAGGGCTGCGGAAGCGGTCGCAGCGGCACCGTATGGGGGCGGGCAGGGTGACTTGCGACAGGGATATACATAGAAAGTACCAGCATCAAGGGGAACACATCTATATTTCTTCCCAAGGGTTCAGCCAATAGAACAGACCTATCCAGCTTGGTGGAAATGTTGGGCGGTTAAAAGATGTGAAGACATTGGCATAAGAGCTGTGATCACAGCTCGAGCCCAGGGTCTGCAGTCGGCCCCTTTGTCTCGTCAAGCCGAATCCCTCTCCCTCTCTTCTTTCTCTGCAGCCTCAATGATGATGGGCCAGCAGCGAGAGGGTCGAACCGCCCGGGTTAAGCTCACGAATTGGAGGCAGCCCTTGCAAGCCATCGACGGCTTCTGATTCGTTTGCAGCATGGATGCGATGTGATTGCAAAGGCGAAGCTGCAGCAACTAATCACGGCCGTGCAGCGTAAACTCCCTGCTGGCTCTTCCTATTCGCCAGAACCGATCATCGCCGAAGCGCCCCCATAATACTAACATGCAAGAGGTTTCTTTTCTTCTTCCGGCTGCTTCGCCTTGTCTGGTCATTTTCGTTCTTTTTCGCCATCAAGAGCAGTTGTCTTAGTCGTGGGAAGAAGTATATAATATGGCACCGTCTGAGCCGAGTGATCATACATACGAGACTTCTCACCCACAGTTCGTTATGAATAAAAATGTGCTCCTCCGTATTTGTCGATCGTGTTGAAGTGCCTGCTTGAGTTAGCGCCTGGGTGGGTCTCAGTAATAATAGAAACTGCCACATACATACTATAATATGCCACAAGCCTCTGACAAGGACTAGGGAGTCTCCTGCAGGGACCTTTCGGGGCTTCTCACATAATCAGAGCTTACTATTCATTGCCCCTTTGAAGCCGGATTCATGGGTTGATGGACCTCCCTCCGTAGCTGGTGAACTGCCCATCATATTTGTGTTCATGCCAGAGAACTCCGTACAGACTATCTTCATGAAAATGTTGTGTTGTACCGTTGAGCATAAAACCTAGTCTCTCTCCATCTTCAGCCCATCTAAAGATGCGGGCTTGTAATTGCAACCTGGCTGACAAGTCTTGCATTTGTTAATGTATGGATAGTCTGAACTCCCTCACGACTGATATTTCTGGGCCGTACTCGAGGATGTAGAACGTAGATTATATTTTGCCAAATAGTCAGAGGCCAAAAAAGAAAACTAACACAGCATTGATAGTAGTTATAGGAGTAAGGGGCAGTTGGGTGAAATAGTCCCGCATGCCTTTTCTTCATGCCGTCGACATTGTATCCTCCATACTATGAAGTATTTCTGTCGCATTCGGAGTCGAGGAAAGGTTGATTCCTGTACTTATGGTCCGCACCACTGATTTCCTAGTCTTCTAGACCAGTATCTGAAGTTCTGAACGCTGCCACCATCCTTGGCAGGTATTTAATTTCGATGATTCGGGTGACTGCTGTGTTGGAGGTGGTAGGATGATTTCCCTGGAGTATAGAGGTCCTGAAAACTTGATCCGAGGCTTTGCCTATCATCATGGGGATGGAATTCAGTGGAGAGGCCCCGGATCTCTTCCACATTCCGCCAGTACGCCAGGAACAGAGACCACAATAGCAACTATCAGAGTTTTCCAGTGTTTCATCTGCTGCTCCATGCTAGATAGAAGATCGTTTCTAGACTCTGCCCAAGGTAGGCTATCAAACGAAGAAAACTCAGCAGAACAGATGTGCGGATCCAGCCTCGACAAATATTCCAGCCGTTCATGTGAACGCCAATCGTCCATGTGAAGGAGGTAAGATATTGCTTATCATCTAAGCGATCTTTAGCGTCAGCTTGCTTTTGCCCATTGTTTTTTTTTATAGATGGGTGTTTCGGGTATTTCCGTCCTGTAGTTGTGTTCTTGACTGAAGCCACGCTTCTGCAGCTTGTCCATCTAGTGCCTGGTTAGAAGAGCTAGCGGCCCGTCTGACGGGGGGACCATCCATGAAGGGAGAAAAAAAAAAGGTTTCCCTTCTCTTCATATCTGCATGGAATGTTCGTGGGCGTCTAGCGTGGGCTTGGTGCTGGATTTTGGGTTGACCTTGGCGGGTTCGCGGCTCAGGATGGGAAGTCTGACGGGCCATGGGGCCTCCTGTCTGTGCATGTGCGAGCCATGCTTCGAGGCTATCCAGGTTAAAGGATTATACATAGTACATTACATGGCTTATCCGTTCATCCAAGGATGCTTGTTCGTGATAGCGAAACTAGTGAACTGCTTAAAAGTGTTTACATGGGATGGGGTGGTTGTTCAAGCGCACTAGGCCGGATGCGGAACTCTACAGTAGTTAAATAGTTTAACATGTCGAAAAAAAAGAGAGCAAAACGAACATCGTCGTCTTTACGAGATAGATATCCCATCATGCCTCGTCGAAGGCCAAGAAGAGAAGGCCAGCTACCCCGTAGGCGCATGAATATCCAAGATGACGACGGCTGGACTCATGTGACTAGCGGGAGGGGGAAAATCAATGATATCAGACGAGACCAAGCCACCGCTCACTCGCTGCGAGACGAGTTGGTGCCCGCAGAGATACCAGAAGGCCTGACGCTGAAGAAGCTACTCGAGCAATACGAATCCCACAGGCAAAAGTGGCTAGAATCCCACACCTGGAAGACCCTGAGAAGCTCCATCGAGAAGAACGAGAAATCCTTTGAGGCAACAGAGATTGCGAACAGCGTGTGTATCGCACTAGGAAGCCCCAGTGGATTTCTACGTGGCGGCCTCGTTGACCGAAGGAGCGTCTCTCTATTCCAGTTGGCTGCCTTCAAGTCCATGGTTGATGTGCTCTGTACGTTTGCAGTCTTTCCTGTACGTTGTGTGAGCGCGCGTTGTTGGTGTGTGGCGCAAAAGAAAACATGGTCTGACGTTAAAGGATTACTTATCCCACCACAGCTGGACCTGATTCATCAGCGAAAGTTGGAAGATGCTATGCCCAAGATCCGGTTTTTAATACCCTTGACACCGAGCTGCTGGAATCATTGGATATCGAGGTGGTGAGAGATTCAAGTGCGTTTGGGATGGTGAATGAGAAGACCTTTCTATTCGCTCCGGGGACAGAGAGGATGCATCTTCTCGAGCTCCTCCCACTTAATCCCGTCGTGTTTTTCGGCGGCCCACTCGAGAGCAGTCACTCGTGCGTTTACCTTTTTCTGTTTTCATGTTTCTTTTGCTTATGCACGCTGCATCAAACATACTAATACTTTTTCGTTTTCAACAGACCAGAGGAGGAGAGCACCGTTCTCACGAGCTTTACGCAGAGGATGCAGTCAGTGCGTCTCCCGGAGTTCGAACCGAATACGGCACCGTTCTGGGGAACGAGTCTGTTCTGGCGAGCAGGCTGACTCGTCAACAAATGGGCCTTCAGCTAGCCTCTGCCCATACAGCCCCTCTACCAATACCGAGACACGCATAATAACAGATGATACTTTTGCATATTAATATCGCCTCTATTATAACGGAGCTAACGGGATTTGACGGGAATCGTGACTTTATGCCTGGGCCGCAGCAAGGAAAGGAAAAAAAAAAAAACAAAGGGATCTACCAAGAACTGCCATCATTGTTCGCCACGTTTAGGATTTTTCTTTCGCACAGCAGATATACATGCAACTCCCGCCGGGCGTGTGTCTCTGGAGCATGGGCATGAGAGGGTCTTCTTTGAGCTTCGACGAAGGCAAAAAAAAAAGGAGAGTGGCATCCAACTCTCTGTCCATGTCTTCCAACAAGATAGATCCCAAGGCACACTCATCAACCTACCGTTAACTCGATCAGTCTCATGCCGCCGCCGGGTCTCTTTTAAATATAAACCAACATCCTAAAAAGGGGACGACGCCATCTCGCACAGATTGCGCGAACGACCGTCCATTCGCTCCCGCGCCCCCGGAACCATCCAGGCCAGGATCGAAGGGGACTGGCATTTCATGAACAAGCTGCTGTGAGCTCCAAAACACTCTTCTTCCTTGCCACTTCTTAACTACTCTATACTTGTGTATTCACACTTCTTGAGGCTCAGGGCCTTGGCGCAAGTGGATACGGCGAAGAACCATGGCCTTTTCTTGCACGCAGTTGGACCATACACACGCCTTGAACAAACCATGTCGAAGCAAAAGAAAACGGCCCCCCCCCCCTACAAGGGGAAAAAGAAGAAAAAAGACTAACAGGTTCCATTTTTCTTCCTTTTCCCACACACACGCACACACCCATCCCCATGCACGGCCATGGAAGAGAATGTCAGGTTCTCCCCCGCGTGCTGCCCGGCCTCTTGATCCAGGACAACCACATTGTTCAGGGAAGCACGAACGAAATAAGGGGCTGGTCGATTCCTTGTCCTTTGTTGGATGTTTAGTTTGGATCCAAGCAAGGATAACTATACAATGTAGGTACGAAGTATATATGCTGCGGCGTTGGAGCTGCCAACAGCCTGAACTGGCCTCTGGAGCTACCCATGCGCCCCCTGCCGCCGTTTTCGTGCTACTATAATAGTATGTACTTCTGGGAGAAAAGTGAGAAAGGTGTAGCGAGAAGAGGGTGTGGGCGAGCTAAAGTGAGTAGTCAGGCTAAAGGAGCTAGAACTAAGCTTCCGGAGGTATTTTTTTTAAGATCTGACGGGGGATTTCTCCCTTGTACAAGTAACCAGAGTCGAACAGGTCCGAGGAGTCGAGGAGTCGAGTCGAGGGGCGAGAGGGAGGGCGAGAAGAGGATCCAGGGTTTAAAAGCATATCTCTTATCTTCCTTGCTGCGGTTGTACGATGTCGACTGCTGTTAATACGAAGGGGTCTCATCGACATCTGCGCAGATCAACATTACTTAATTACACCTTACATAGTACATCTTATTACATACCTTAGCTAAAGGGAAAAAAGAAGGAAGATGCAGAGATTTACTAACCGCAGCTGCATTCCCGAAAGCGGAACATCGCTTATGGCACTGCATGCGAGTACGTAAGTAATTAAAAAAAAGGGGGTTCAGAATTTTTTTTTTATTCTTTTTCTAGTCGAATGAGATGTTTAAAGGGCGAAGTTGTACTGTGTATGTAATATCCAACTGGATCACCTCGTACAGCACATGCGGTACGACCTCTGGGATGAATACGAGGACAGCGAGACGGTACATACTTACGTACTATATGTAGGTTGAAGGTAATACAGCATGGGCATCGCATAGCATAAACACGCACACTCCAGATGGAGAGAGGCAGGACACGCATAGCATAAAATAGAGTAGGGTGCCTACTCTTGCGGATGGACGGGTGGCAGGCGGATGGCTGGGAGGAAGAAGAAATGAAGGGTGAAGATGCAGGATATTAACTCCATCGGGCGATTCGAGGCGAAGCAAGTTGAAGAGAGAGAAGGGAAAAAAAGCAAGTTACGGAAAAAGGAAAAGCAGGAGAGAGGAAGAAGAAGTGGAAGAGATGAATGAGAGAGAAGAGAGCGGGATATTACATATGTATTACATTATTATTATTACATGATATGGTGTATAGCCGATGGAGATGCAGTGGCACCCGACGCGAGGTGACTGATATTTGTCTCTGCGAGTTACACTGAGGCTGAGTCGGAGTCGGAGTCGTCGTGCCAGTCGTCGTCGTCGTGCCAGCGTGAGTGGTGGTGTGTCTGGTCCGGCTCATGTGAGTGACGCGCGAAGAGGGCGAAGGGTGACGGTGATGTTGGTTGGTCACACAGCTGTCTCGGCTAGTTGGGTGGAAGTAGGTAGTCATGGTAAAAGCGTACGGTGGTAAGACGGCTACGGTGGTGAGCTCGCGTTGCCGAAGAAATGACGGTGAACGGAAGAAGGAGGCGTTGAATCCGGTTTGATCTCTCGCGCGCTCGTCTGACTTGCCCATCATCTTGTAACGAGCGTGTCATGTCATGTTTGGTTTTAGTCAGCGGCAAAACAAGGAGCTTCTCTGCTTCATTAAAAAAAAAACACAGGCAAACTCCTAATTAATAATAGAGGTGCAGAAAAAAGAAACGACGGGAGAAGAAGCAAATCTAACCGACGAAAGAAATTACCCTGATCCTGATCCTGATCCTCCACCATCTTGCTGCTCCACCGACCGGATATTTAAGAGTGCGGGGACAACTCGCCCGATATCCTCTCTACATACACGGTATGGTACACATTTATGGGTGGTGATGGGAAGATGCATATGCAGGTGAAACATCCTTCATCCATGGCCGGTAAGCGCTTATCTGGCGTGTTATACATGATACGGTCCAACAGAGTACAGACAGCATATATATATAATATGCAGTTCGAGTATGATATAAGTACAGAGAAGCCTAGCAGGGATGGAGCGGGAAGACAAGGACCTGAGCGGGTTCAAGAGGGTGATGTTCGACGCTAGCCGCTTTTCCTCTTTTCTTTTTTTCTGCCTGGTCAAACTTCCTCAATACGAGCGCATGAGGGTTTGATGGATACGAAACAAGCATCGTGCCTGTCTGGAGCTCGGGCAGGGGGAAAGGGGAGAAGGGAAGAAGATAGCAGGAGGCAGAGAGGGAATAAAAAGGGGAAAAAGAAAAGAAGAGGGTGGAAAAAGAAAGGAAGGGGGAGAGAAAAAAAGAAAAGAGAAAAAGAAAGCTCGCTTAGGGGTGGACGGGCGGATGGAGATGGAGTTCTCTTCTTACTGGGTTGGCATTAAGTAATGTCTGCATGATCGGCGCTGGGTTGTGAAGGCTTCAGATGTTGACGAACGAGAAGCAGGATACCGTGAACATACATGGACGTAGAAGATATAACATAACGTAGGAGGTAGAAGAGGAAGAGGTAGAGGAAGAGGGAGAAGAGGCAGAAGAGGAGGTAGAAGAGGTAGAAGAGGAGAGTCTTCCCTCTGCTCTTCTTTATGCTGTTTCTTCATGCTGCTCGCTCTTCTTTCGACTTCCAACTTCTGATGCTCCCTTCTGGAAGTGTGGGCCTCGGGAGCTCTAACCCGAAGAGGAAGCATCTCCTTGTGCCAAGACATGTCGTGCCAAGAGCCAAGCGTGGGGGAAGTCGGATTAGGAAGGAGGTAGTTGAGGAGCGTAGAAGTGGCAGTAGCAGAGTAGAAGTGGAAGGAGGGAAGTGGAAGAGAAGAAGTCGTAGACATTACACTTATACATAGAGTAGAGGAAGATAGATAGATAGGTAGAGTAGAGGTAGGAGGTAGGAGAGGTAGGAGGTAGGAGGTAGAAGGTAGAAGGTAGGAGGTAGGAGTAGGAGAGTAGAGTATAGATAGAGATGAGAGTTAGTCGTTTTCGTATGGCTGTCTCACCCTGTCGACAACGCCTTTCTTCTAGATCTTCGGGGCGCGCGTTGATCCCCTTTTGACTTCCGAACCTTCTTCCACGCTCTCCCTTCCTTGCTTTTTCCTGTCCTTATAAGCAGCCAGCCAGACGTAGATAGATAGACGTAGATATCTTCTATACCATCTTTCACCCTCCATCCACCATCCACACACCCCCAACAGCCTCAGAGAAGGGATCGAAGATGGCGACGGCGCACATGCAGCGGCCCTACCCGCCCATCTACCACCCGCAGTCGTCGGTCGGCCAGCAGGACCAGCATGGGCGCTCCCTCTACGCCCAACCACCCCTGGGCATGTACGCTGCCTACCCGCAGTACTCGCCCATCAGCTCCCTGCCCCCGTACCAGCAGCAGCAGCAGCCTCAGCACCAGCAGCACCAGCAGCACCAGCAACATCCTCAGCACCAGCACCCCCAGACCCAGGGGCTGATGATGTCCCCCGTCTCAGCTCCCATGCCGCAGATGCCCCATCCGCAGCACCACCAGCAGCAGCACCCCCAGCAGCAGCAGCACCAGCACCAGCAGCAGCAGGTCAGCCCGCGCATGAAGCTCGAGTCGCGCCCGCAGACCTCCTCCTCGCCCGCGACAAACTCCGGCGCAGCGCCAGGGCCCATACCCGCGACCACGCCCCTCGTCGTCCGGCAGGACACCAACGGCGTGCAGTGGATAGCCTTCGAGTACTCGCGCGACCGCGTCAAGATGGAGTACACCATCCGCTGCGACGTCGAGAACATCAACATCGAGACCCTGTCGCAGGACTTCAAGACGGAGAACTGCGTCTACCCTCGCGCCTGCTGCACCAAGGACCAGTACCGCGGCAACAGGCTCGTGTACGAGACCGAGTGCAACGCCGTCGGATGGGCGCTCGCGGAGCTCAACCCGTGTCTGCGCGGCAAGCGTGGCCTCATACAGCGCGCCGTCGACAGCTGGCGGAACTCGCACCAGGACCCCCGCCTCCGCAGCAGACGCGTCAAGCGCATGGCGAAGGCCAACAACCGCAAGGCCGTCGCCCAGCACACCTCGCACCTCGCCTCGCCGCCGCAGCCGCAGCCGCAGCAGACGCCGCAGGCTCCCTTGCCCGGCCTGCCTCCTCACCACCAGCCGCCGCCGCCGCCGCAACAGCAGCAGCAACACCATCAGCCGCAGCATCAGGACGGCCATGCGCACGAGGACGTTAGCGGTATGTTTCAGCAGATGTAACCTTCATCTCTTTCTCTTCTTTTTCTATCTTTTTTTATATCTTCTTGTTTACTATTTTACACCGCAGTGCGGTATGTGTCATGTATGCTTGGAGCGGGCCGGACTAAGGAGTGCTGGGAACGGGAGCTGGCATTTTCAAGGGATCAAAAAAAAGGGATCTTGGTCGTGTACTCTTGAGCTGTGTATCTATCAGCCAAATTCCCATTCATCTATATACCCATACAACCATTATCCTCTATATCCTCGACTACAACATTTATATCCTTGTTCCTAATCCTTGTCCATGTCCTGTCTGTCTGTCTGTCTGTCTGTCTGTCCGCCATTCCCTGTCCGTCATCCTGGTCCCTGTCCCTGTCTGCGTATGCTCAGTAGGCTAATTCTCTCCAGCCCAGTACCGCCAGCCAACAACATCCTACGACAGACCAGCCCATGTCTTCCAGGGTGCTTACCCGCCATACCCTGCAGCATCGACAGCAACCGCTGCCGAAGCGTCCAAGCGGCAGCCAGATGAGGACGACCCGAGCCAGAGCCAGACCCAGTCTCAGTTCAGAGACCTGCCCGAGGGCAAGAGACGCAAGTTCATACTGGTCGAAGACCCGCAGCGCTCGTGCAGGGTGCGCGTCAAGGTCATGCTCGACCAGGTCGACATGAAGGAGATACCAGACTCGTACCGCAAGGCCAACTCCGTCTTCCCGCGCACCTACTTCCCCGTCCACTCTCCCTTTGGCTTGCAGAGGCGGCGCGGCGACCGCTTCCTGGACGAGGACGACGAGGCGGCGCCCGCGGGGACCGTGGTGGCGGGCGAGGACTGCTCCTCCGAGGACGTCACCGTCGGCCGGACGATGGTGCCTGTGCCCATGCTCGACGGCGAGGCGAGCGTCGCCGTGCCTCGACTCGCCAGGAAGAAGAGGGACAGGGAGATGCTCCTGAACGACATGGGCTATCGCATGAGTTGGGGACAGAGCCGGGTCTTTGCTGGCCGGACCCTCTTCCTCCAGCGCTCCAGTACGTCTCCTTCTACTCCTATCTCTACTTCTACTCCTACTTCTACTCCTACTCCTACTTCTACCCCTACTTCTCCTTCTATGTACATGCTAACGAGTGTAGTGGACGCGTACCGCAACAAGATGCGCAACAGCATGCTGACGGCCGGCCATGAGACGAGCGAGATAGCGCCCTACTTTGAGACGAGAGTAGGCAAGCGACGATGGCTGGAGAGAGGGAAGAAGTCTTCGTCTGCCGCCGCTGCTGGTGAAGCCACCACTGAAGCTGCTTCTCCTGCTGCGGTCCTCACGACGGCTTCATCCAGAAGCGCGGAAGAGGTCGAGTGATCTTGTCTCTCCTTCTTCTCTTCTTGTACTTATTTCATTTGTCTACTTCTGTAAAAGCTGGCGGTTTTTGGGCGGTTCGTCTTCCTTTTCTTACCATGATATGAAATGATGGCTTAATGACTTCTCTTCTTCTCTTCTCCGTCTCTTCCTCTCATCTATAATAAAGTAGACTAATGACTCCATATCGTGTTTCATCTCGAACTTCCCCGGCTTGTCTCATCTGATGATCGTGATCGCCTTGTTTTACCTCTTCTACCGTCTATCTCATGTATATTAACACATATAACATCGAACGTCATGGTCTGTTCTACAACGTCCAACCGACTAACTGCTGGTTGTCAGGCCGACTGCTGTTTATCCTTAACTTCCTCCAACTCCTACTGGGGGCTTTTTGCGCTAGCCGAGACATTCTCGCTTCTCAGCCTCCTTTTACATCGTATTCATGGACTTCTTCTCATGGACTTCTTCTTCTCATGAACTTCCTCCTCTGATGAAGATATCCATCAAACCCATCTCATCTACATGGGAGATCGCCGTGTTTCATCTCTCTGCTAGCGTTCCTGGCACAAAACGCCCAATTTCCCCTTGATTCCCTTAGTAAGAGAACGTCGTGCGCATGCGAGCGACTCCAGACTGCAGACAGCAACAGATAGACGGTCAAGACGGTCAAGACGGTCAAGACGGTCAACAGACGTCAGTGATAGACAAACAACGTCGGCTCGGTCCGCCTCAACCTTGGTTCCTTGATATGTGAAGACTTGGATCAGGAACTGGACCGCAGGACCTCAGGAACAGAACAGGAACAGAACAGGAACAGGAACACAACAGGAGGAACAGGAGATGTCGCAGTACCATCGCCAGGCTTATAGAAATCCTTCTCCTGAGCAGGACCTCGCCATGATGCCGCCCCAGAGCAACTACTATTCTCCCGTTAACCCGTCCCACCACCAGGATATCCAATACGACCAGCCGCAACGTTACCAACACCCGCAGCAACACCCACCGCAACACCAACAGTTCCAACAGCACTACGCTGACCCCAATTACATGCCACATCACCCGGCGCAGTCGGACGTCACGGCGGGAGCAGACAACTACGGCCACGCCGCCGCCGGTGGCGGCATGACGGGCCTGGCCTCGGGTGTCGCATACTCTGGTCCTTCTCGTCGACACCTACACGACTCGCGTGCATACGAGGAGATGGGATACCAGGAGACCATGGGTGGCGCCTACGATCCATCCTATGACCGCGCATACAGCTCTGAACAGTATAGTGGCAACAACAACGTCAACTACAGCAATACGGGTGGTAACAGCTATGACAATGCAGGATACAGTGCGCATCATCAGCCCGGCGCGTTGACACCGGGACACTCGAGCCCGCATTACTCTGGCTCGGAGAGGAGTATGCCGGGCAACGGAGGAGCGACCAGGTACCACTATGAAGACCCTTACAGGCGAGACGAGTCCGGCCTGGGAGCAGTCCATCCAGAGTCCATCAACCCGCACGATATCATCGACGACGGCGACGACGGCTTCATCGCCGAGCCCAAGAGGCGGTCGGTGCTCAGCATCGGGAAGAACTCGAGCCACAACAACCTCTTTGCCGGTGCCGTGCCCCTAGCTGGCACGGCAGGGTCGCGCAGTCCGGCCGGCGGGAGTGGCGGTGGTGGCAGCGGGAGGGGAGCGGACGAACCGATATACAACCTCGCGACGGGCGAGAAGAAGGTGTTTGCGGACGAAGAGCGCGCGAGGAAGAAGAGGCTCTGGATCATCGGCGTCATCGTCGCCCTCGTCCTCGCCGCCGCCATCGCGGGTGGTGTCACTGCCGGCGTGCTGGCAAGCAAGCCTGCAGCGCCCAACAAGTCCGGCAGCGGCTCGGGCGCAGACGACGACAGCAACGGTGACCTCGGCAAGAACTCGCCGGAGATCAAGAAGCTGCAGAACGCCAACCTGCACAAGGTCTTCCCGGGCATGGACTACACTCCCTGGGGCACGCAGTACCCTCTCTGCCTCAAGTACCCGCCCAGCCAGAACAACGTCACCCGCGACGTCGCCGTGCTCTCCCAGCTCACCAACACCCTCCGTCTGTACGGCACAGACTGCAACCAGACGGAGATGGTCCTGCACGCCTTCGAGCGCCTCGAGCTCAAGCAGATGAAACTCTGGCTCGGCGTCTGGATCGACACCAACACCACCACCAACGACCGCCAGATCAAACAGCTCTACAATATCCTCGAAAACACCCCGGACAAGTCCGTCTTCAAGGGCGTCATCGTAGGCAACGAGGTGCTGTACCGCGGCAAAAACGACCCCTCGACCCTCACCCAGCTAATGAAATACATCACCGGCGTCAAAAATGAGCTCACTTCACTCAACCTCAACCTCCCCATCGCCACCTCAGATCTGGGCGACTCCTGGACAAAGCCGCTAACCAACATCGTGGATATAGTCATGTCCAACATCCATCCCTTTTTCGCCGGCGTGCCCTCCAGCGAAGGCAAGGGCTGGGCATGGTCCTTTTGGACAGACCATGACGTCGTGCTCACACAGGGCACGAACAAGAAGCAGATCATCTCAGAGATCGGTTGGCCCAGTGGTGGCGGCAACAATTGCGGTCCATCCGTCTGTGCCGATTCCACCTCTGGCTCCGTCGCCAGCGTCAAGGACTTGAACATCTTTATGGATACCTGGGTTTGCGAGGCCATGTCCAATGGCACAGATTACTTCTGGTACGATCTTCTCTTTTCTCTTCTTCGTCTTCTTCGCGTTTGTGTGCTAACGTCCGCAGGTTCGAGGCCTTTGATGAGCCGTGGAAAGTCTCCTTCAACGAACCAGGTAAGGAATGGGAGGATAAATGGGGTCTCATGGATCCTGGCCGGAATCTGAAGCCTGGCCTCAAGATTCCTGACTGTGGAGGGAAGACCGTTGATTAACCTAACACTGACTGCCATGCTATGCCATGGCACATATATATATTCCTACTACCTGTCCCTTTTCTCCTTGGATATATCCAAGCAGCAGCAACTTACCCCTTCTTTACTTACCTACCACTCCCCCTTTATATACCTTCTTCCTCTTCCTTATATACGTCCATTCACCGTATACCGCCGTGTATATATACCATTCTTCACCTGACCCCAGCGCATGTTAATTTTGTTCGAGCATTGGAGCGTCTCGTTTCCTTTCTTTCCTTCTCACTGATTGATTGATGTCGAGACCATGCATTCATTTATGTAAATAGTTTTCTCCGCTACAGCCCGGAGTTCCGATCTGGTCTGCTTTTGATTCACAGATGAACGGACTTTTGACTCATGACATAGACAAGAGTTACAGCCTGCTTATCTTGCCTTTTGTCTTTCTTTTCTTCCTTTTTCTTCTTTTGTTGTTATTTGCTGCTCTTTGTACTCCTTTTAGCTTTTATATGTGTGGCTTTCTGTTCCATAGCGTTCTTTTGTATATAGGTTTCGGAGGACAATATAACCCGCCTATGTTGGATATTATATATGGATGTATATATAGTTCATTTGTGCCAGACGGTACTCGCTCAGGTCCCTAATCGACATTCCTCCTAGAACTTGCATCACAGGGACATCAACCGAGAGCTCCTTTGAAAACCATGCTCAAATCTCCACGGCAATAAGCGAACCAACATCGCCGTCAAGCAGAGGTATGCTTGCTAATGTATCGGAAACGGGCATGAAGAGGATAAAACAAAACAGGTCGAGCTAGGTTGTCAACCCAATATTGGTCACTGAGTCCATCCAAGTCTTGCATAGATTTGCCTTTTGCCTTCACACAGACGCTAGAAAACCATACAGGGGCCTTTTTTTTTTTTAGGGTGAGTGTTCCTCAGGAAGAGTTGAGAGAGATCTGTCAAGATATTCCAAGGTATATCCTAGTATGTTTGTGTGGTAATTTCTAACTAGTAGTTACTTTAGCCAACTATGTATAAGACAGGTTGACCCGTTAATTAGTTAGGCGGTCTCGTTCAATTTCACAAACACCTTATCATAATCAAACTCTGTCCAATTAATCTTCGGACACACTCCCGCAAACTTCCACTCCCCCTCGGCTCTTGTATACCATATCGTAGCCGTCCCGTGCGCATGGCCCTTGACCGCTACCTCCTTGAACCCATCATCGGTGTACCGCTGGTGTGCCACGCGCAGCTGGTGGCTCCCCACGATCATGTCCTCGCCCACTTTCTCCCACGTACCTAGCCCAACAAAGTGCTGCGTTTTTAGTAGCGGGTTGCCCAGGAAGTGTGGATCTGAAGCCATAAGGATGAATTCGTCTCGTGGCATATTTTCCCAGATTTTATCAAGGAACGAGCGGTAGTCAATCTGTTCCATAGGTTCAGAATCAAAGAGCTTAGATGATTACGGGTAAGGGACCTTACTCTCAGAGTTGGGGCGGCGACTTTCTTCAGACGCTCCCAATCTTTTGTGTCATAGCTGTCGGCCCATTCGAACAGGGCTCTTTGGCACCCAGTGACTTCTGTGGATTGTCAATATTACTACTATACTTGACGTGAATTGGGGGCACACCTTCGAAAGAGAGATTGTTTGTCATATCTGTGATAATCGTGAAGGTTGAGATGTGAAACAAGTTGCTTTGAGGTTCGTACAATTGCTAGCATGGCACTTAGCTATATCGACTACAAATGCCGGGACCCAGGAAGAAGCTATGTCGGGTTATTCGGGTTTCGGGACATTAAAAACCGCATAATTGCTGAAATGCCACCCCTTACATTTTTGGAAATACACTCTGTTCTGTACCGTAAATCTAAGGCCAATAGCAAGTTACTCTATACATATTTATATCCTATTAGCTCTCTCTCTCTCTATCTGTCTCTCTTGCTAACTATACCTTAGGGGATTAGGGTTAGGGGTATTCCTTAGAGGGTAAGATAGATATGTTCTTATATGGCGGTGGTGGTAAGTGCTCTGTGGTAGCCAATAAGATATATTGTGCCTCTAGGTTTACGGTATAGAACAGAGTGTAATTCCCGAATATAAGGGCTTTACTCTGCTGGGTTAGGCTAGTAAAAAGGTGGCATTTCAGCAATTAAAAACATTTGGGTGTGATGGTTGTTGACACAACTCCCCGACCTCGCACAATTCCATTTGCTGTCATCCTCCGGCTAAGATAGAACATATCCAATATGGGAAGAATACGAGTTAATTTTCTCCTTTATTTTATATTAATCATCCGGATACGCCGATATCAGACTTGTATATTGCATGTTCCATGGCCTCGGATGATAACGTGCCTGGTAGATGAATTCCCAAGACAGTCAACTTTCGGTTTGTTATACTTTGAAACTCTGCATGGTGGAAGCTGACTAACCCGTACATCAGACGCTAATTTATAGTTATGTGGATCACAGAAACCCGCCGCGGCCATTGCAACTACAACAAGTGTATATACGAGGATTTTCCCCCATCAAGGATGTGCGTGCTAACTAGCTACAAGACAGAAGAGTTAGACAAGCTAGGGCTCTGACACCCGGTTCCTTGTCCTCGCGGCTTGCTATGTCTAGACTATCCTATTTAGCATCTATATACCCGAAACCCCGGGCACACTACTCCGTAGCCGGGGGAATACAATTTTAAAGTATAAAATTATGGGCTGCGTGAAGATATACAAAGAAAAATTGCGGATGAATCGATATCAGTTCTCTCCACCATGTCTGTCTATGCTATCCTCGGCGCCACAGGGAACTGCGGTACTGCTCTCATCGATAACCTTCTCCGCACTGAAGGTGCAAAGATCAACGCCTACTGCCGCAACAAAGCCAAGCTGATCCAAAAAGTCCCCGAGGTTGCCAATAATAAGCGCATACAGGTCTACGAAGGGAGCATCTACGACATTGATCTTCTGGCTGAATGTATTCGCGGCACTCGTGCCATCTTCCACGTTGTGACCACAAATGATAACGTACCAGGTTGCTGTGTCGGTGTTGACACGGCAAAGACCATCGTTGCCGCGCTGCAAAAATTGAAAATGCATGGGCAGCTCAGTGTAGCCCCCAAAATTCTCCTGCTCTCCTCGGGGACAATCGATGACAATCTGAGTCGGCATATGCCGTGGTGGTTTAGATCCATCCTCCGTACTTCTGCCTCGCATGTATATGAGGACCTACGCCGGGCGGAAGGTTATCTCCGAGCAAAGGAGGATCTGGTGTCGACAATTTTCATTAAGCCGGGTGGGTTGGCTGTTGATGCACAACGGGGCCATGAGTTGAATCTGGACCATGACGAGTCGTTTGTCTCGTATCTAGATTTAGCATCAGGGATGGTTGAGGCGGCTAATGATGATACGGGCCAATTTGATATGAAGAATGTGAGCGTGGTGAATAGAAATGGGTCGGCCAAGTTTCCTTCAGGTACACCAATCTGTATCGCGGCTGGCCTGGTGAGGCACTTCTTCCCCTTTCTACATGCGTATTTGCCCTCAACTGGGCCTTGCTAGGTTCTCTCTATCTTTCACTGCTTATTTCCAGTGTGTTTGGTAAAAATGGCCAGTACGATATTGATCTTTATATAATTATTCCTACCTACTTATTCACTCAAAATAGCAATATTAAAATCAACAGCATTTAGTAACTAGTTGACGGGTTAAACTTAACTAAGCGAGATCAGGCCGAATCTTCCACCCCATATCAAAACCCGTAAAGTTAACAAATTTCTGATCTGTCGGCCAGTCCTTAGTAGTATCCAACGCCATCCGCGCAATCTTCAACCACATATCGCCTTTAACGGGGAACGAATCCGCAAACCCTTCCTCAAATGGCCGTGATGCCTCCTGCCCGTTCTTCAAAGCTCGGATCGTCTTCGCGACGTGGCCATCGTCATGTTCCTTATTCACTGCTGCATATAGCTCCTTCCACCCCATCCCGGCACTAAAATCGTCATGGTACTTGGTGACGGCGTCCTCATACAGCTGCGCCGATCCGCTGACAACATACCACGCCAGATCTAGCCGGCCCTTCCACTCGACTAACCGCACTTTGTCCTCAAGCTTGATCCAATCCTGCTTGATAAGCACGCTAAAGAAGATCGAGCTGGTGAGCGTGTGCATGTAAAAGAAGTCAATCTTCGTCTTCCGACCCGGCCGTTGGCTCGCACCAGCCATGTACGCACAGGTACTGATCATCTCGGCGGTGCGACGCTCCAGCTCTTCGGGTTTAATAGTAAATTGAGATGCGATGAAAGCCATTTCCATATTTGCACGACCTACAACGCCATCCCGCATCTTGTTGCCAAAGTCCTCCCAGCGAGGGGCGGTGCGGATGATGTCGTTTGCTTGGGTCTCCTGGAGGAGCTGGATGAGTGACTTTGGATTCTTGGGCGGGTAAGAAATGGCTGCTTGGGCCTCACAGGCCTCAAAGAGTTTGCTGATGTGGCTGTCATCATGAGCAGCGGCTTGTGCAAGTGCTTCTGCAATGATAACAGGTTGTTGGAATTCAATACCCAGCCCCAAGTGGATGATGGGGTGATAGGCGCCTTCATAGAGCCGAGCAAGCATTTTCTCAGCCACTCTGGTACGTGAGAAAATATATTTGTTCACGGTTACTTTCCAACCGTGCTCATCTATCTGGTGTTGAAAGAAGTCAAGGAAGGAAGTGTATTGTGCAATTTCTCCCAGAGTCTCATAGAAGAATTCCTCGTTGGAGAGTCGCTCGACTGTCGTGGGGTCGACTTCGGGAATCGGGCGCTGGATGCCCACGCCGTCGTCGTAGGCGCGGTGGATATCCTCTGGTGCAGCGCCCAGAGCCAAGCAGGTCAGGATGGAGTGCGCGATGTGGTTGTGTCCTGCTCGGTCGCGGAAGAACATATGCCATTCTTCATGGTTCTTTTGTAAGAGACGGTTGGCTTCTATGATGGAGCCGCTGTGGACGGTCGTATCGCCCAGTATGCCGGCATGATCGTTGGACAAGCCAATCCGCGAGCCCCTCGAGGTTGTAGTTCCCGTATGGCCCATGTTAACAAGTTCTACTGGAATGTTTTATCGATGATAATTTCTACCTTTGAAGATGTAGATGGATAGGATTTACCTAGACCTATAACCAGTAAATAGTACTCATTAAGTAATGGCGAGATAATAGATGATACGGCGTTGCATATCGGGAGATCAGACGCACGCAATCAATACCCCGGAGCCCGAAGAATATGCCGATATATCAGCCCATATATTCCGGGTTATTTGATATGTTTCCTTGCATTTCTTTTTCCTTTCTCTTCTTTAAACATTAGCACAAATAGGAATCACGGCATCAAAAATGACGACCACAGCCATAACAATGACCGAACCTGTGGGCCTCCCGCCCAGCAGGTATCTCTGCCTAACGATTCTAGGCTTTCGAAAGCCCGGGATCAGTGAAGAAGCGTATCGCCAGCATATGATTAAAGTATCGGCGCCATTGACAAAGGATCTCATGGTCAAGTATGGAGTGAAACGATGGACGGTTGTATGTTGTTATCCTCACCTTGTTCGAGGATCTATTAAAACTAAGTTGTAGATACACAACCCCACGAAAACTCGCCTCCTGATGAATCGAATCCTCGATCCCCAGATGTCAAATATCGCGGATTATGATAGTTTCAGCCAGGTAGTGTTTGAGAGCATCGATTACTATAAGAAAATGAAAGAGGACCCCTACTACAAGGAGCATTTGTTTGGCGACCATGAGAAGTTTGCCGATACAAAACGGAGCCAGTATGTTTGTGTACCCAAATAGTAAGAAGTGCCATCGCTAACAACACAGGATGACAATTGGATGGATTGAAGAGTGGATCAATGATGGCACTACGCGCAATGGCTTGGAGTTTCCCAGTGATGCCCAACAGAGAATATCTGAGATGACTGCTTTGAATTCTGGCCTGCTGATTATGACTGTTTTCCTTGGGGCTTATGTATTCTTCTCGCGGTCGCTTAACTCATCTTAGTATTAAGAGTAACCTTTACCAGTAAACCGTTAACTGATAAAAAAATTGTGCTCGGTTAAAGTGCTTGCTAAAATCGCAGATAGTTAGCTGTCGCCCTGTTATCAGCCAAGCCGACCTTAACTCGTTTAACGTTCACGGACAAAACAAGCTTTGTCGGGCCGAAACCCAGATCCACAGAAAAGATCGACGGATGTCCCACAGCTCCGACTCTCCGAGATTACATCGATTATGTTATCGAGTGACGGCGACTGTCTTTACAACACCTACGATGAGACGCGAACCACAGAGGCGGCACGGAGTTAAGTTTATGGGCGTCCTCCGTTTTACCTGAAAGCTAAGCCCCGGAACGCCGACCTGCCCCTGAACTTAGTTGGGACTATGCCAGAAATCGGGATGAAGGTTGTTGACATGCACTTTGAAGCCCATGGCTTCATACCCTCTGTGAGCCAAGATTTAAGTAATACCCACCCCCAACGTTCGTCTCCTTGGCTGGTTCATCAAAGTTATAGATCGACTGGCACGACTAGACCTCAACCTTAAGCCTGAATCTTTCTCTTTTTCTTCTGGCTAGCATAGAGTGCTCAAGTCCCGCAATCACCATGCCTCGTGACAGCCCCCCTAGTGCCCAAACGGCAGTGACTAATTCCATAGATGTGGAAAAGTTGGCAGCTGATGTACCTGCTCCAAATGAGGCGAAGATGGAGATGAAGACAGAGGGCCCCAAGCCAGCTTCTACCGAGAAGACCTTTACTCTAAAGGTCATACTTCTTTTGATTTCGGTTTTCCTGAGCATGTTTCTCGTTGCCATTGACAGAACTATTGTTTCCACGGTATGTGATTTTCGGGCAAGCTAGGCAATACATCTACTAATACCATTCGAACAGGCAGTACCTACAATATCTAATGAATTCAACGCTTTCGCTGATATTGGCTGGTATGGCAGCGTGTATTCATTAACCTGCTGCGCATTCCAGCTCGTGTTTGGCAAGATCTACGCCTATTTTTCAGTGAGAGTTAATTTTGTCGTGAGCATGATCCTTTTTGAAGCCGGCTCCGCTCTCTCCGGGGCCGCTCCCTCTTCGGCAGCTTTTATTCTTGGCCGAGCGATTGCTGGTGTTGGTGCGGCAGGTATCTTTGCAGGAACCGTGAGTTTTATCCCCTTCTATTGCTATGCTGTTAACTGGCCCACAGCTAATCAACACCCCTTAGATCATGGCTGTTGTTTTCGCAGTTCCTCTTGCTAAACGACCCCAAGTGCAGGGTTTCATGGGAGCCGTCATGGGTATTGCCACTATAGTGGGACCTCTTATTGGTGGTGCATTTACTAGCAATGTGACTTGGCGATGGTGTTTTTATATTAATCTGCCCTTCGGTGCTGTCGCTATGGTTGTTACCTTCTTCCTCTTCGACGTCCCTGATCGTGATTCAGCCAAGCAACCCCTTATAAAGAAGCTGGCTCAGCTTGATCTCCCTGGTTCCGCTGTCCTTATCCCTGGTGTGACCTGTCTTCTTCTGGCTCTTCAGTGGGGTGGGCAAACGTACGAGGTGAGTAACCACAGCGATAATAAAAAAAAACCATGGAAATCATACTAACATCTATTAGTGGAGTAATGGCCGCATTATTGCGCTGCTAGTCCTCGCAGGCATACTGCTTATCGCATTTGTTGCTACCCAGTTTTTGCTCCCTAAGACGGCCACTATTCCCCCCACTATTCTTAAATTTCGGAGTGTCGCTGCAGCCGCTTGGTCTACCATCTGCATTGGCTCCTCACAATATATCTTTGGTATACTCATTCCCCTTTCCAAGGTTTACCATCGAATGCTAACGACATTAACAGTATACTATCTACCTATCTGGTTCCAGGCTATCAAGAATGTATCCCCTGTGGATTCTGGCATCCACCTCTTGCCTATGATGGTCTCATTTATCGTTACGCAACTTGCTGGTGGCTTCATCAATCAAAAAATCGGATACTATACGCCTCTAGGTATATTCGGAATTTCCGCCATGACTATTGGCGCTGGTCTCCTTACAACTCTACAGACGCATTCGAGCAGCGGCACCTGGATTGGATATCAGATCCTTTATGGTTTTGGAATCGGATTTTGTTTTCAGACACCAATCCTTGCAACGCAAACCGTTCTTCCTAAACAACAAGTGCCAATTGGTATGGCTCTAATGTTCTTTGGCCAGCTTCTTGGTGCAAGTATATTTGTCTCTGTTGGAGAAAATATACTAAACAATCAACTTCAAAAGCGCCTTTCCGGTATCTCTGAACTTCCTCCAGGCTTTATCGGCTCTTCTGGCGCTACCACTTTCCTTAATTCAGTACGACCAGATCAACGTGAAACTGCCCTTATTGCTTATAATGAGGCACTCCGAAAGGTCTTCCAGGTTGGCTTAATTCTGAGTTGCCTTGGTGTTCTTGGTATCTACTCACTGGAGTGGAAGAGCGTCAAGAAGCCTGGTAACCCTGGCTCTGGCAAACCGGGGGAACAAGCCGTCATGCCGAAGGTGGATAAAAGTATTTCAGGGCCAGGAAAATAGCCCAGTCAGCTCACAGTGATGGAGATATAGACATATAAGAGGCGCACATGTTTAAGTACAACCTGTGCTAAAACATAGACAAAAACAGGGACATATACATGTGATTCAAAGGATGTTGAGTATATTATACCTTGAACTTTGAATATATACACTTTATAAGAACTATCTAGTTATTTTCCTTTCTTATTAATTTCTTGAAATTGCTATTTTGGTGTTTTCAATTTTGCCATGTTTAATTAGTTAGGCTTCAATATATATATCTTTATTCATCTACTCAAACATTGTTGAAAGACCTAAAAAAAATGTTGCTATAATTCCGTCAAACAGCCTGAACCACTTCTTTACTCTCTCGTCTGCTTTACTTGCGAGCAGAAAAGGCAACGTATATGTCCTTAGGCAAGCTAGTTCCATGCGTTTCTAGGTCAATTTCCCGGTCAACAGGCGGAATAGGTGCACCATCAACATCGCAACCAACCCATTCATTAGTGGCCAAGGCATAGGCGATGATAATGTTCTGCTGAATCCTGGCCCAGCGTTGGCCCACGTAGCGATGGCGGCCATTGCCCCAGCCGAGAACTTTTTTTTTAAAGTTAGTTGACTCGTGTCGTAAATAATGTGTGCATAATAGTGCTATGTTGTCACTTACAGCTATAGCTCTGCGTTTTGTGCTGGCCTTTGCCACTCTCTGCCCACCGATAAGGATCAATCTTCCAAGGGTTTGGGTACAAGTTCTTGTTGTAGTGCGCATCTCCGGTATTGTAAACGGCATAGCTGCCAGCTGGGTATACCTCTTTACTGCCGGGGATGGGAAGAGAGTGGCCAGACATGTTTCGGCGAATGATAGGAAACGACACGTGGAAGCGGATCAGCTCTCGGAAACAGAGGTCTAGAAATGGAAATTCTTGCTCCCAGGCCTCGACTGGAATTTCTCCCAGCTGCTCAGCAAGAGTGGCATTTTTTCTGGAGGAATATTTTCCAGCGGCCGCCTTAACCTCGTTATAGACAACGTCCTGCCAGTCAGGATGATTAGCAAGCAAGTTTAGCAAGCCGCTGACCAGTTTGCCAGAGTTTGCAACAGCAATGAACAATATACTATAGAAAAAAGTAACAATGTAATCTTCGGGGTCTCCATTATCAATGAGGAGTTGCAGGGCATCATCGTGACGCGGCGAACCCGGCTGCTTACGGCGGTGGACAATCGGCCTGACAATCCGGGTCAAGCCCCAGCGGCCGTAGAGTCTCTTCATATGCGAGATGGACGGTAGCCAAGGTCGACATACAGTGTGGCCGCTTGCGCAGTGCATGAGCATGAGTGTCCAGGACAAGTATTGGCTCATAAGGGCAGGACAGTCTGATATCTCGTCGGTGCAAACCACGCGACAAGTTTGCTGCAGGACCAGGCGAAACAGAGGTGCCACTGGGTTGATGACCCCCGAAGGATGTTGGGTAATCATTCCTTGGAAGGCAGCTTGAGTGTCGGCATATACCCGAGGGAGCATTTTCTCTAGATGGTCCGTCTTCATAAAGTCAAGCACGCGTCGTTGGAAGTAGCTGTGGTCCTTAGAGAATCCCGGGACAAAAATAGGGTGAATTGGAGGGACAAAAGCTGGCCCGACGCCGTGGAGGACGCCTCATTTAATGCAGGCAAGCAATTGAGTCTATTTCTTAGCTAGTCAGTCCTTGGCTGGAAGGAAGCAAAAAAAAAAGGGGGGGAGGGCGCAGAGATACATGGTACACCAAATTCCGCAGCAAGTCTTTCGGTTCAGCCAGCATCCATTGTAACTTTGCCAGGTTCGCCAACGCCGACTCTCTTGCACGGCGAGCCTCTGCTGACTCTTCTACTGGTGCCAGCCGGTCACCTAGTCCGTCTACCATCTCATTCCCATAATAAGCAGTGAGGCTCTCGATTGCAGCCAAGAGATCCCTTGAAGCCGCCTCGCACTGGACTAAGTGTGCCATTTTCGTGAACAGTGTAGATGCGAATGCTAGCAAAGACAGAGTTTTAGAGATATTTAAGCCGGCAGCTTTATTACTGAGGCAGTAGGGGCTAGCACGTCCTCTTAGCGGGCGGGGGTATTTTATGGCTATCTGGAGTATATACAAGGAAGCAAGCAAGGGCTGGAGGGCGAAGCTTTTAGCTATGTGGGTACGGCGCATGCTTAGCAGCAACGACAGTTGACACGGTGCGACGTGGAGTTATTAACATGCACTGGATACACAGACATACACATGGAGATGCGTACGGAGATCCCCGTCTTGTACTCCTAGATAGCAAGTCCGTCGATGTCGACCCCGTACCTAGCTAGGAGGTTTTCCACTTCCAGGGACACTAACGATTTTATGGGGACAGGGGTTTCGAAAAGGATTGGTTGAATATAGCACTCTTAGCTATCCGTCCAACGCCGGCGGTCCCTGTCGTTTATACAACGCATGCAGTAACCCGGGTTATATAACAGGGGCAGGGGGCCCCCATATAACCGTTAGTGTCAGAAGCTGACCATGCACCATTTGGCGGCGGAGAGCCTGGTTATATTTGGCAGTTAATTACGTCAAATACCCTGTAAAAGGGCAGCCCCACGCCGTTACGAGGCAAAAAGACAGGGTATCTATCCATCCTATTGCCAGCCTATTAAACCGCAATGACCCATCATTGCGGACACTAACAACATGACAAACTTGTTAATTACCTGCATCTTTTACTCAACATGTTCCGTTACGAAGGGGTTCGGCCCCCTCCTTTGCATTTTGTATACAATATGCTATATTTGTGCATGTATTAACTAATTGGCTACTTTGGTCGGAGACAACAATATCAGGGATGGCTTGTTGGATAATAAGTCTCCCCCTCCTCCTCCCCAGCTTTCGCTAACTTGTGCACCCAGACAGATCCTTGTCCAACAGGATGAATATTATATTTCGTGTCTGCCTAGATGTACTATCTAGCGCCAGTGTAGATATGTAGAGCAGAATCCTCCCGCTCTCCTCTACATTTATATTGTTACTTGTTAAACATGGCTTCACCACAGGCCTCAGCCAAGCTGCGGAAGTCCTGTGATTTATGCGCAGCTACAAAGGTTGGATGCACCAAGGAGAAGCCAAGATGCGCTCGCTGTGCCAAACGAGACCAGCCCTGTGTATACGGCACGGCTAAGCGCGCAGGTCGTACGTCTGGCAAGACCCAGACCAGTGCACAACGAGACTCAGTCTTGACAATGACGACTACGGTATCCCCAAGCCCTACGTTCACCTCTCCCCGGACGGCCGATGCCACTGATCCGTCGACGTCCGGAAGTGCTGCATTATCCCCACAGCTAGGTAGCCAGATACAATGCTTGCAGTATCCTGATAATATCTGCAGACCGTCCCAGCCGGCACTAGATGAAAACTGTCCATCACTGGCCCCGGTGACTCCTCCCCCAGAACTAGACGAGCTGTTGGCATCAACCACAGCCTTTCCTCCAGACCACCACCAAGGCGATGGGGCCGCCCCCTTCGACTTCAGCTTCGAGGACGTTACGTTGCCGGCATCTCCCACATTTGCGGGTCTTCCCCATCTCAGCACATCGCCTCTATCAATCGGCGTCCCAACCCCAGGGTCCTGCAAATGCTTATCTCACGCTCTATGCCTGCTAGGTGGCCTGACCCCAGGCAAACCAGGATCGTCAGTCTCTCAACTGCCAGATTTTGAGCAAGTTCTCGCCCAAAACGAGCAAGCAAGTGAAACAGTTCGCGCAATTCTACAATGCAGCTGCTCTAGCGACGGCTACCTTCTCACCACCCTGTCACTTGTAGTTTTTCGAATAATTGCCTGGTACACTGCGGCTACGGGAGCTGCCACAGGCGAAGACCCACCAGAACCAGTCCTCCAGGGTCCGCCCTTGACAGACGGCGAGTGCGAAGGTGAGCAGCGCATTGCAGTGCAGCGCATCCTCTCTAAACTTTCAGGCGTTCAGGCGTCTATCAACCTTCTCTCGCAGCGTCTACACAGGATATCTGAGACTGCCGAGGAGAAAAGTTGTCCAGGCTTGTCATGGTTGGACAAGAATGCCTCCCCCGGGGGAGGTATGCATGCCTTCTTAAAACCGTTCTCATCTGGACTGGCGAACATTCTAGAGACAGATCTCCGGAGGCGTCTTTGCGAACTGTCAAAAGCTATCTTAGAAAGATTACGAAAGCGATGACTGTGTTATATAGTTACTCCTGCTAGGTTGGGATAGCAGGACTCCAATACCTAGTTTACTACATTAATTGATACTCTCGTTAGACCATCACTAGTAGTTACTGCTATTCCGCTTTATCTTATAAGGAGCTCCTAACGCTACTTGTTCTAAACACAGCCTCTAAGAGAAGTTAACTCATCAGTAGAGGCACAAGCAGATGCAGTACGCATAGTGACCAAATAACCATATCCACCGAGCTTCTACCCCGAATCCCGATTCCCGGAAAGGGTTCATTCTCGGCGTCCTGGGGTTGCTGATTTGGCATATAGTTATATCTCAAAAGCCAATCAATACACTGTACCACACCACCAATTGCTGCTACTCAGCTAGTCCAAGTACCATGGAAACAGTTTCTATCCCCTCTTTTGACTCCAACGATAGGCTCTTCGAAAATGGCAAAGCCTTCTGGAACAACTACCTCATAGGCCGCCCCTCAGTCCCTGACTCCTTCTTCCAGCGCCTCTTCAACTATCACCAATCCCACGGCGGCCAATTCGGCACCGCCCATGATGTAGGAGCAGGGAATGGGCCCTACGCGCACATCCTCCGCTCCAAGTTCCAGCACGTCATCATCTCGGATGTCGCAAAGGAAAATGTTATTCTCGCCCAGGAGAGACTCGGGAATAACGGATTCAGCTACCGCGTTGCTAGAATCGAAGAGGGTGATGATATTTCGCTCGGCAGCGTCGACATGGTCTTCGCTACGAACGTGATGCATTTTTGCAATCAGTCTCTCGCGATGAGCATGATTGCCAATCAGCTACGCTCTGGCGGCACATTCGCCTGTGCTGCCTTTGGGACGGCGCAGTTCGAGGACGAAAGAATCCACGATATCTACATTCGGATTAACCATTCAGGGGGTCGAGTTTTACTGAACAAGGCGGATGATCCAGGGAAGCTGGCGAGCGTCATGGCTCGAACAAAGAATAACTACAATGTTGCCCCGTTGGATAAGGATTCCTTTCTTCCCGGGGCGCGGCGGATTCATCTTAATATGGAAAAAGGGGGCATCACGGCTCCTTTGCCGCCTGAAGTGAAAGTCGACGAGCTCGTCTATACTGGGGTTGACGATGTTGAAGTGTTTGCTCAGGAAGACGGATGGGACTTTGTGACTGACCTGGAGGGTATGAGAGAGCATCTTCTTTCGTTTCCGTTTGTTAAAGAGGATCCGGGTTTCGGGAAGTTGTGGCAGGAGATGGAAGGGGTTATTGGGGATGGTCGGGTGAAGGGCACTTGGCCTGCGAAGATTATTCTTGCTACAAGGCAATAGACAGTTAAGTACCGAAGCTTCAACTTGTTTCTCCGAATGGAATCATAGTGGCTAGCGGTAAGTAACTGGATGGTATATCTATTTTCAGCGTAGACAGGTTCCCTCTCAAGGGGCTACCTCATAACAACGCCAGCGAATATGTTAAGCAAGAATTGATAGTTAACCTTAACACGATATCTCATGGACCACCTTTGGGCAGTTTTGGATATTTTTTTCCCGTTGAGTATGTTATTACCCCCTTTCAACCCGACCCCCGCAACTATAGATTGAATATCCCGATAGCGCTAGTTTGTAGCGCATTGGGCTAACTATATATTCCCACGACGCCGATGAGTTCCTGGCATGTATCATCTAGTTAAGCAGTCATTAGCCATCATGCCTGCCTCTGCCGAAATCCAAACAGCAACGCTTAACAGGTTCATTGAAGGCTGGAAAGGCTGGACCCCAGATGGCTTCCTCGCCAGTTGGTCCCATGATTGCACCCAAGTGACGCTCCCTTTCAGCTCTGGAGTACCGCCACATACCCGTGCCAGCGTTACGAAGCTATTCCCGCAGCTCATGTCGATTTTAACCAACTTCCAGGTAACCGCTTAAATACTTTCTCAACAATGTATAAGGCATTCCAAATTGGAAAGCAGATGGCTGATCTAGTTAGCTCATCGTACATAATGTGATTCACGACCCGGCACAAAGCAAAGCAGTAATCTACGCAATTACAACAGCGGACTCCCCATTTGGGCCATACAAGAACGAACAAGCATGCTTTGTGTGGTTTGATGAGAGTGGCGAGTACGTGACTCGGATTGAGGAGATGTTCGATGGTGTGTTTATGCAGAATTTTCTTCCTAAATTAGAAGCGTATATCAAGGGGCAGGGGGGATCTTGACTAGGGCATCTAGTATAAGCCAGGTTAATGTTTTGAAAATAATTGTTGTAGTTATAAAACTTCAGTTCATTCTCAAAATCAACTGAATAGCCCGGCTTCAACTATTTCATGAACCCTAACATGGATAATGCTCAAGAATACCGTATCATTATGGGGTAAGAGAATGATGTGCTATTGTTTATAGATAGAACAAGCAGCTATAAGTCTCAATCTCCTCTAGCAGAAACAGCAATCGGGCCCCCATTATCCTGCAAGTGCTTTTGGAATTTCGGTCCAAAATCCCGTAGAAATGCAGTATCAAGCATTTCTTCCAGCTTAGCCACCTTCTCCCCGTCTTCTGAAAACGTCAAAAATGCTGAGTACTCCAGATCCCAGTTACCCCACGGAAGATCTCCCTTGGATGCAGCATATATAGCAGCCTTGTTTTTTCCGGCGTCATGAACAACATGGTGGATTGTAAGCTGGTTATTCAGTCAGCGTGCTCTAAGTCGCGGCTCTTAGAGACCTACTTTATATGACTTCACTGTTGCAACAAGGGCAGGCAAAACGACTTCAACCTCTGCGCGTGACCGAGACGGGATGCCCTGACTTAGAGGAAGGGTGACTTGTTCGAAGTCGTTAGAGAACGTGGAGATCCATTCTTGGGCGTCCCACTTCTTCCAGGCGGAAATGAAACGCTGTAGTGTTGCTGCTTGAATGGAAGAAGAGGCAGGCATTGTACTCCAATGTGTGTATTTAGTCAAAATATGGTTTGATTAGGTCGGAATATAAATTTATGTCGATATAGATGAAGAAATATTAATGATGAGCCTCGGTCACCACGATAAGCTTGAAATCGGGAAATAATAATACACACAAGCTTTTTGTTGACATTCACTGGGAACAATCGGAAAAAGCGCCTAGGCTTGCAGCCCTTATTTTCACTTAGTGTATTCCGTAGCCTGTAAATGGACATCGGACAATAACGGGGATTTAATACCCCGATACTTTGGCAGCACTTAGGGAAAAAGGAAGAACATATCAATAGCTGGATATAAAAACCATTGTAGACCTAGGCAGTTGAATTTCCATCATCAACAATCATATTAGCTCGATTCAATTTCTTTTTTCCTCTACCACGCCTAATCCTCCGACAATGGGCTCCGTTTCTTACATTCCCTATCGCCTCGATGGCAAGGTCGCTCTGGTGACCGGATCTGGTCGGGGTATTGGGGCCGCCATGGCCGTTGAACTGGGCCGATGCGGCGCAAAAGTCATCGCCAACTATAACAAGTCTGTCAGTTCTGCAAACCAGGTTGTTGAGGAAATCAAGGCGCTCGGCTCAGACGCGGTCGCTATTCAAGCAGATATCAGCCAAGTGTCCCAGACCGTGAAACTCTTCGAGGAAGCCGTCAAAGCCTTTGGTGGAATTGACATTGTGTGTTCCAACGCTGGGGTCATTTCTTTTGGTCATCTGAGCGAGGTCACCGAGGAAGAGTTCGATAGGGTCTTCAGTGTAAACACACGAGGACAGTTCTTTGTCGCACGCGAAGCATATAAGCATTTAAACCAGAACGGGCGAATTATCCTGATGAGCTCTAACACGGCCGATTCATTTACCGTTCCCAAGCACTCGCTTTACTCTGCTTCTAAGGCTGCTATCAACGCGTTTGTTCGTTGTCTAGCGAAGGATTGTGGTGACAAGAAAATCACCGTCAATGCGGTTGCCCCCGGTGGAACTGTCACTGACATGTTCCACGAAACAGCAAAGGACTATCTGCCTAACGCGGACAAGCTGTCTAAGCAACAAATTCTCGATGTAAGTGCCTCCGGTCCGATGTAAGTAATAATCCTTAGGCCAACTAGTTAACGATTTTAGATTGTGGCGAATATCTCCCCGTTGACTCGGTGCGGTTACCCAGCTGATGTTGCTAGGGTGGTGTGCTTTTTGGCTTCTAAAGAGAGTGAATGGGTTAATGGAAAGGTTATAGGAGTGGATGGTGGTGCTGCCTAGATATTTCAGCCTTTAATTGTCAGGGGAAGCGAATACTAGCTGGTTCTCGTGTCATAGAGAGAATAATATAGTGTAACTATTAGTCATGGCCAACACGACAGATGGCTTCAATATCATCGACCTTCATTCTGACATAGAGTTACAAAAATAGACTTCAAGCCTAGCGGGAAGTGGGTCTACTTTTGTGTATCGTGGAATATGCACGTACCAGCCCCAGAACAAGCGCCTTATTCCTCGGATGCCCAATTCCGAGCTGACCAAAAGTACCACCTTGGCGCCACCTGACGGTCCTACACAGCGGTTTTTGTACTGTCAACCCCAAGCTAATGATGAATATTCAATCAGGTATATAACTATCTTACTAGGCAAGTCAAAAGCTTAAGCTTTCTCCTATAGCTAGCAGAGCTATCTGTTAAGTATTGGAGCGAAGAAATATAAAATTTTTGATATAGTAAGATGATTAAGCTGCCAAGGCACTACTTATGCAAGACTACAAGTATCCAATCATGTAATTTTATAGTAGATCCACAAATGCATACATTTGATTTGACCCTTCTTTATATCTCCTTTTTGGAATACAATGGAGCTTCGCTCCGTTAATTAGGGGACCGAATTTACAGCCAAATATAAAATATACAACAGGTTATTACTAATACCTGATGAGGATATATATTTTGATTAGTATCTAGGTGACTCTATTTATAGATAGGGCTACTCTTTACGCCTATTCAACTACCAATTCAATTCTCTGTTAATCGAATTAATTCTTTGGTGGTGGTGGGTATCCCAGTCTGGATAGTATGTAGTATGCTCACTCTACGCCAGCTACCTAATGAGATATATGCCTGATTGAATATTCATCATTAGCTTAGGGTTGACAGTACAAAAACCGCTGTGTAGCTCAAAAGAGGAACCGTCAGGTAGCGCCAAGGTGGTACTGTTGATCAGTTCGAAATGGGCATCCGAGGAATAAGGCGAATATTGATCTATATAGGTGTAGATTGATCACGACGTTCTCCCTTTATCGGAACCAGGCTCTCCTGGAGTGGCCCACTGAGAGCACCTTGACCGGTGAAATTACCGACTATGGATGGCGTACCCAAAACTTTTGCAGAAATGGAATTTGCTTCCACCTGGCCAGTCTCTGCTTTGTCCTTGATCCTTGATATATAAGCCGTTCTGTGGAGCTTGCGGGGAATGCTGCACGGTAATAAAGTGCTGCCTTTTTGGAGCTGGTGATATGGGCAAGGCTGACATAGTCAATGACTCCGCGGTGCTCCGTACTGCATTTTAGGCCATGGTTGGAGAGTTATTGGAATCCTAAGGTGGGAAACGAATGGTGCTACGTTTAGATTTAAGCAATTAAAATGCAATTTCGGAATAATTTAAGGCCATGCAAGCTTTGAGCAAACCGGCGAAACCAGCTACACTTTCAATATGCCCAATAACCGTTTTAACAGAGCCCACATACAAGATATCGTCTTCTATATTATTACTATCCCCCGAAAAAAAAAGGCTAGATTGAGCGCCTCTGCCTCTTATGGATCTCCGGCAGGAGTTCCTATTCCATAAGCTCCAAAAATCCCGAAAACGGTCGTTAGGATCAGTTAGATCTAGCCCCGCTACTTGGCGAATAAGGCTGGCTTGAACAGTTGCGTTTGGTATAGTGAGGCCCATAGTTTCCCGTCAAGATTGACCCCTTTATCCCGAATTACACACTCAACATGGTCACCGTCCTGGATAACAGCACCGAGTGTTTTAAGTACAATGGCGGCAACGTCATCATCCCGGGCATATCCGCCTGCAGCTTTGTCCCACATACCGCATCTTTCTTCAGGGGAACGCACACTAAGGTTGTTTTCTGTCAAGTAAGTAAGCGAAGAGAGGCAGCGAAAGATTGGTCCCAGCAGCAACTGCAACTCTTGATTTTCCGCTCCGCAAAGTCGGTGGTGTAGCTTCATGAAGGCAACCAAGCTGGAAGAGCATGCGGTATCGATAGCCATAGATAGACCATTCCAGTTGAAGAAATAAGATGCACGGCTAGATGCGTTGGAGCTCGCCGTTCCTATAGCATTGTAGATAGGGGGTTAGTCAATATCCTGGCTGTTCTGAAGTTGATCATCATCACACATTATCCCCACATAAATGACAGTATCTGAGCGATCTAGGGCCTCCAAGGTAAGTCCTGCGGAGCTGACAGCCACGTATATCACCTTAAGGAGCATTTGCTGTTGGGGGTCTGTTTGCCTCTGCTTCACCTGGAGGGATCGCAAAGAACCGGTTGTCAAAATGGTTAACATCTTCCGTAAGAGATTAAAACCATCGAATATTGGTGGTGCCATGATAGCTGGCTATAGGATGACGGTCGATATCAAATCTGTCAGAGGGAATCTCGCGAGAAATGCTATAGGGCTCTTTCAAAAGAGCCCAGAGCTTTGACACCGTGTTTATTCCACCCACAAAGCGACAGCCTGTCCCAACAACGGCAATAGGTTCTCTAGGCCTGGATAACATCGTCACACTTCAATAATTATCTGGGTAACGTAGGTCAGAACGGTGTCACTGGCCGGCCAACCAGGCTGAAATATTGAGACCTATGGTGTGCGATATTTATTCTAAGTAGCTCCATCCTTCATTCGCTAAGGTACGGCCGTCAGCCTAGACGGGTGGCTGTTCTAGGCCCAGGGTTCCGCCATGGACGTCTCCTGTGGAGGGTAACATCGTGGCTGGCAGACACGAAGTAGTTCTGCTAGGATGCAGCTGTTATATGGCCAGCATGAATATAAACCAAGCAGCCTCATAATTATGCAAAGCCAACGGCGATGGGTTGTTACCTATAGTAAATAAACGTATCGATAACATCGAGTACAGCGTACTATTATACCCAAAAGTCCATTACTATAGTATTTAGGAGAGCTCCTAAACTGAATAGGCTATATTTAGATAAAAGAGCTGGCTCATTATACCAAGAGATGCAGTTTCGTTGAATTCAACAATGTACGGCCTTGAATAAGAAGAATAGTAAGTAACATCATCAGTTTTTTTAGGAGGATATCTGCGACACCATAGAGAGTAGACACTAGCCCATGTATTAGTACTCTGTCGCAGCAGGGAGCCATGGCAAAGTTCTCATCATCCGACAAGTTGTTGGTAGTTTGTCGCAAGAAACCAGAAACTATTTTTTTGTCCTTTTCATTTAGTAGAGTCGTAAGTGAATAAAGAAATCATTAACCTTGAATATAAATCAAGAAAATATTATGGTTCTTCTCGGCGCAGAAGAGTAGATATTAGGCAAAAGAGAAAAATGACGGACATGTGGAGCAAACGTTCAATCTCATCATCGTCTGGGTGGCTCAATCCTTAGCTGGGATGGCCTCTCTTCATCGCCGTCGCTGTCGAAGCCACGTCCTCGGCTTCGGCTCTCATCTTCGTCTCTGGATCTCCGATCAGAATTTCGTCGGTTTCGTGCTGCGGCTAAATGGGTTCACAATTAGTTTCTAGCACCGCTAAACTTTAGTAAGATATTTTTCTTCTCCTGCCCTACCTCGTATCTTAGCAGATGCAACTGCGTATTGCTCTATTTCTTCCCTAGATAGCACACGCAACACAATAACGTAGTCCGGACGCTCCTCAAATCGTTCACGCCCTTCAAGAGCTGACGGACTGACCAGTCTTCTATCAATCTTAGTCCAGCGGGCGCCGGCTGGTACTCCTTTCTTTTGTGCGTCCTTCAAAGGCGCAACACCCTCTCTGACAGCATGGGGCTCCTCAGGGAATTTCTCCGTGGGTTGTTTGAGGATTCCCTTGGGCGCTTGTGCCTCCGGACTCGTCTTAGCAGGCGGAGGAGAAGGTTTTTTTGCAGAAGAAGGGTTGGGTTCCCTTGGGGCTACTTCTACGAAGTCGTCGTGGCGTGGAGAGTTGATTGGCCGTCTGGTATCTGATTCAGCGGGCGATGGGTCCCTGGGGCGCCGTTCTGGCTCTCGAGGAGGTGATGACTTGTATCTATATTTTTCTCTGGCTCCATCCGAGTGATAGCCATCATCAACTTGATGTGACCAGTTTTTTGATGATGGCTTATACCTATCCTCGACACGACTGGGATAGTCGGTGTGGTCCCGTCCATTCCGTGCGTCCGGCCGTGGGGAAATCTCCACGGGTTCTTTGGAATAGCCACTCGCAAGACCGGCCGTTGCAAGGCCGCCACTCATCATTCCATCCGGAGTTTGAGTGTTGGAGTACCCACGCTCACGGCCTGGGACTTGACCGGAAACGCTCCGACGAGGGTCCCGACGAGGAGGTTCAGGTTTATCATCAACGACAACGATGTTATTCGCATCTCGCCGTATCTGATATCCCTTTTCTCTGGTATCATCGTATCCAGACCGACGGGGAGCAGGAGATGGCGTCCTGTCTTGGTGCAGTGACACAGGGGTGCGATGGGTGCTGCTCCGCCTAGGGCTATCAGAAGTTCGCGGCTTGGAGGTATTCTTATTGATATTGCTAGTATCCACGTCTCGTGGCTTTATCTCCTTATAGGTGCGAGGAGCGTCTTCCTTCTTGGTGCCAGGGAATCCCTGGGATGACGGTGGAGGGCCACTAGCTTTGGGGTCACGCGTGATCTGTGGCAGGTATGCTTCCAAGCCAGTCAAGCTCAGCGGCCTCGATTTTCTGGTGGGTGGAGCCTGCCTACGAGATTCTCGAATGGCGTCCGAGTCCCTGTAAAATTGCTCCCGGGCATTGGTATAGCTGAATGAGTCACGAACATCGATGTCTTTATAGTTGGAATCCCGGCTGGGGCTCGGATATCCAGAATTATTAGCAGGAGCAAGATATCCATTCCTATACTTGATTTCACGGTCTCCAGGTAATAGTAACGTATCACTGTCTCCCCCTGCTGCCCCTGATGACTGCCTATGCCGAGAATGAGACGAGGAAGGGAATATATACCGCTCTCCGCTATCTCGAGTCGGGGAAGGATAGCGAGTCTGAGTTCGCGGTTTGATAGTTGTCACGACGGGTCGCCGGCCCGGGGAGCTAGGTAGGTTCAGCGGACGTCTGTTCGCCTCCACTGATACTGTATGGCTGCGAGGACGCATCTCGGGGCCCGCTGTATATGTCCTCCCGTCAACGGTGTAGGTGGGAGGCATCTTGAGTTCGCGCCCACCAGACACCCGCGAACCTCTCCTGGCCCTGCTCTGGATATCCTGGCTGGCCATATCTCCCGCTTGAGAGGCCCGCAAGAGGCCCTTTTAACGCTGTCTGCCGAGTCGAACGGGTACGCGATGTTGACTCGGTTGTGCGTAGCTTTGCGAATTGAGAGGGGGGTTGTAGGGTACTCCCTCGGTGCCCAAGGGAAGAGCCAATCCTCGTATAGAGCGAGTCTAACGAATTATATATAGGCGGAAAGACTTCTCTTTTGCTCGAGGCGGTCGAGGACTATGCTACTCGATTGTCTGCTGTCTGAGCACACACTGTATGAAGGCAGAACCGCTGTATAGCAAAGATGAAAGCAGACGATAAGTGGCTGATCGCAAGACGCTGATTCGTATTCTTCTCTATAGAACAAGCGAATCATTAGCCAAATGTCCTCTGGCGGTATAAACTTGCAGCAACTTGCAGCATGGCAGGCTGGGGTTGGTCCAGGTATGTCAACGTCACCGATGCAGTGCAAGGTGCGGTGCAGGCATTGGGGCGTAACATTTTCACTCGCATATTCAAGAGGGGCAGATCAACTTACCTTAGACGCACTGGTTGTTTTCGTCTTATGCGACCCTCTTCCAGACAAATTAACAGCTGGCTGCAGAGTGGAATAAATAAAGACTGGGATATTGAGATGGGAAATGTTGGTGGTGGTGGTGGTGGTGGGCGTGGGTGGCGCGGGAAGTTGACAAGAGTCAGACTTGGTAGAATCTTCTTCTTCCTACCATAAAAATTTGTTATTGTTATTATTACTAACAACTAGGCAGCAGAGCTCACTGTCAGGTTTGGTTGATGATAGTCTCTGAGAAGGACAAGTCGCTGTTGTTCATTCGGCTGTGCTTTGGGATCAAGGTCGAGCTCTCAAGCTGAGTACCTACGCTGTGCCTCTCAGTATTGCCTCTCTCTTTCTCTGGTTTGCTACTCAGAAGAGATGAAATGACATGCTATCATCATCCCAAGGCATATTACCACTGGTTCTCAGGCTGAGGGAAGCATCAACAGCAGAGCCAACAAGGCACCGAACGGTGGCTCAGGCTCTCATCCACCATCATCCACTCATCCACTGGTTCCCTTGCTCAGCCAGCAATCTTTCTATCCGAAGACGGACGGGCTAAGCCTTAACGTCAACCATGGTTAGTCAAACCAAGGCACTTTTGTTCTCCATTTGCCCTCCGACATTGATCCATCAATCAATCAACTATCCGGATACTATCCCCGCTTCCGATACAATATTATAGTGCGGATTTAGGACTCAGTCCATCTGGGAGAACAGCACCAGCCACTTTCAATCTATTATTGTATGTTAACTAATATTCCAGCCTTGTCTGCTTTGAAAGTCCGAGCGAGTGGACGGGAGCTGTGGCGTTGCAGGTTTCAAGTAAAACAGGCCATGAGAACACGCCCTGCTTCAAGGCCACCGTCGAGATATCTCTCTTCTCGCAACAGGCTCTTTTCTCCAGGCTCTTTAACAGCAAAAATATGTCAGACTGAATAATTTTGACAGTCGAAATGTAGCCAGGTCACGTGTTCAACATCGGGCGAGCAAGAAGTTCGATATCTCATTCTTGATGAAGAGACGAGGGTAAAAGCGACTAGTATGGGGCTTTTATTCAGCATCTCCATGTTAAACAACTATGTCGGTGTGACGACAGTCAACCCGTTGCCCGAGTATATGCGGGCGCCGCCTTGAAGAGGAGCTCAGTGTTGACTTGTTGATATTTCTGGTCCATGCAGAGCTAATATCAGGAAACAAGCATCGAAAGCTTTGCGGAAGCCCAGGCCATTGGTAGCAACGATCGGTGCGCCTGAAGTACTGGTACCCGAAGCTATAGCCTTGGATATCCATCGGTCAGGTCCATCATTTTTGAGAATTTTTTCGTTGTGAGAGATACCCAGTATTGCCCATACATGGCCCGGCATTCCTAGGAATACTTTGATAGACAAAGCAAACATCCAATAAAATGGAAGCTGAGAAAGAGGTTCAAGGCAATAGTGCAAGCTGGCGGTAAATCAATGCAGCAAGCCTTGTCTAGTTAAGGCTTCCATGCACATCATATGCACGTTCATGCAGCAGGAGGCCCATGCCATCTGCCTACGAACCAGAAACGTCTAGCCATTTCCTTGGGTGGTTGAAGATTTTTATTGGCCTCTTTTTTGGCTATCTTTCTGGGATTTGGATAGGTCGGCAAGTCGGTACATGGCCAATTGTTTTATATTCTTCCCCTGACCGACTTTTCAGACTTTCTTCCTCAGCTATGCAGGTCAGATACATTACTTACTAGCATAGCTAGGGAGGTTCTTCCACACAATGACCATTGTACACACCCTCCCCTGCCCTTTTTCTGTTGCTGGGGTTATTTGTATCCCTTTGCCGTCTCCTCCTGCTCCGACAGGACGTTTGCTATTGTGAGGGCGGTGCATTCTGCAGCATGACTTGTGATGGCAATTATTTCATGCGCTGGGAAGGTAGCAGCACTTCTGCCTCCTAGTCTGTTGATTTCTGCTTTCCTGCTGCTTCTTCTTCTGATTTCTTGTTTAAGAGGGCAAGTTAGTGAAGACGACGGTGGTTGTTATGGCTATTTAAACTGCCCTCTTCCCCCTCTTCGTTGACCTCTTCGCACAACAACCTACTCCTCACACTCTACAGACACCATCTACAAGACCACTCTGTCCTGAAACCCCTTCTAAGTACATTAAGAATAACAGTCTACTCTCCTCAACCAAGCCAACGTCTTTTCAGGATGTGCTTTTCCAACCCAACTCAGTTCTACGGAGCCTTTGAGAGGACTTCCACGTCAGTCAAGGCTGTGGCCAAGTCGCTCGATCTCAAGAACTACATGTTTGGCTCTGACCGCTGGAACTGCTGCGAGTGCTCCGAGAGCAACGACTACGACACTAGCCCTTCCAGCTGCCCGAGCTGTGGACATCTTCGATGTGATACCTGCCGAGACTCCATCCACATCGTGGTCTAGAACACGGGATACTGCACCTATCTACCAACCTGTCCGATGCCGTACAAATCTTGCCCTTGTCACCCTAGATACTCGCGAACTTACGATTCAACACCGCAGAAAGTTCCCCAAGTGGTGGCCACTTTCACCTACCTGTTCCATATCCCTCTTTTCTCTTCAGGGTGCAATGACAATATATACCAAACAACCGGCCGACTGCCTGTCGATCCACATCACCTTATCAAATGGCCCTATGAAACGTCACAATGACCCAGGCACATTAACCGTTGTCGAGATTACACCCTGTACATTTAAGCCTAACCCTTTTTCCTCTTTGTTATTCTGATATTCCCGTCTATGCTTTTAGTCTATGCCCGATACCCTTCAAGTATTTCTTACCCTATAGATCTTACTTCTCTTCTGCCTTTCATGATCTTTGTGCTGTGTTTCCCTGTTTGACTGGATTCCCTCTATGGACCTGTCTGTTACGGTCTCTACCGATCACATATTCTGTCTTGACAATATGACATAGAACTAATGACAAATGACAATCTTAGTTCAATATCTCTGTTTTCTGGTAAATGGCTACACTATATGTATATTAACCAGCGTACTACTGTCTCCTTGGCATTATATTGTATAAGAAAAGCTAGTATTAGCCAATAGGGCGGTATTGCAAGATCTATGGGAACTTTCAGCAGCAAACGAGTCATCCAAGGACGCATAACTCCATATAAAAATAAGAGAGAGAATGATATATAAAGTAACAACGAAATATGGGGTATCCAAACGGGGTATCGATATAAAAAAAAACTGGTCTACAAGGTGAGTGTCGTCTGCCAAATACACAGCATCCAAGTCGTTCTTATATATAGTTCAAGCATCATCGGCAGACAACCTATTATTCTGAATTGATGTGTCTCCATCGTGAGTATGACGATGAGGATTATGTCCCTTTGTTTGTCTTCGGTTAGTTTTGTTTCTATGGCCTTGTGACCTACTATGCGTAGAGCGAGAGGATGGGACGGAGCCGCTGGATCTTCCATCCTTACGCCTCCTCTTAGTCCCATAAGATTGATGGCTGGACTTACGAGCGGAGGTTTCCAATAAGCCTGCTTCTCTCTTCATCCTTTGAACAACCGGGCCAAGAGGGTACATGCTGTCCTGACGGTCGTGGGAAGCACATGGGCTGTGTTTAATGGGTAAAATCCAGTCAAGCATATTATGGCCCATGACTTCCTTTAGATTAACGAACGGGTCTCCAAGGTCAAATGGGTTTTCGCCAGGCCGTGTATGTAAGACGGCGAATTGACGACGAGGCAAGCTATTTTCGTCCGAAGGTTGAGAGGTTGATGCAGGGTAAGAGACGATAGGAAATGAAGGACGACTGCCTTCAGGAAGGTTGTCAAGGTCAAGTGGTCTAGGAATTAAAATTGCCAGTGTCCAAACTTTCGTATTCCAATCAAGGCTTTCAATCGTGGATGAATTGCATAGGGCTATCTGGAGGGAGCTAATAAGCATTCCTGCCAGGAAGAGCCCAAAGAAACCAGATCTATTCGTGTGTTAACTTGTTGCTGGTCATGAGAATTTCAGAATAAGGTCGCTTACGATGCCAGAACAACAATCCAGTGGATATTTAACGTGCCAAACTGTAGTAAGAAGTGATCCATGTTAGTTCTAGCTGTGAATCGGTCAATGTAAGGTTAAGGGAGCACGGTTACCTTTTTTCGAAGTTCAGCAACAAAAATTGCCATTACAACCCCATTAAAAATGGCGAATAGCATGGCATAAAATAAAAATTGAATAAAAAATTTGAATGAAGTCTCACTGACAACACCGCCCACCCTGGAGGGAGAAGTCAGCCATTTCTTCCAGATGGATTTCGGATTCCATTTGACCCTAGATAACTTACCAGGGGCAGAAATGGTCCATCTTTCTCACACATCGATTAACTTCACTGCAATGATGTGAGCGGTCGGTCTTGAATTGACAACAAGTAGAGCACCACGGCGGCTTGCCATCTTGCTGGCAGACAAACACGTCCTTCATGTAGAATGCTTCCAAGCCAGCAACATCGAAGGGATGGGCATTCTTTTCCCCATTTGTATTAGGCTCGCTCAAGGTAGCATAGGATATGTCTCCTGTCTTTTCCTGACGACTACCAGAACATTTATGTCTCTTCTGGCCTCTGCGTTTTTTGTTCTTGCTTGAGCTCGACCATTGGGGTCCTCTCGGGAGGTAGCCGGGGGAAAAGAGGACCGTGATAAGCAGCCGAAGATATGTAACAACCAGGAAGAAGAGTAAGACGTAGAAGGTAACTAATAATCCGATAGCAATGCTGACACGGGGGCGTAACCCGGTCACGGTAGCTGGGTTAATCAAGTAATCAACTTGGAAGACGTTAGTAAGGCCGGTGTAGCCGGTGATGATGATGAGTCCAGCGGATTATGTCAACTCACTACATAGCGTCTTTGTAATAGAATAACAGCTGTAGACAATAAGCCCGCCTAGAAATGCTGGAATGATCCTCGCGACAGCTCGACTGGCAGCTTTCTGATCGCATGCCATCAGCCCGGACTGCTACCTTGTCGAGCCGCTAACATCAGGCTGGTAGATATGCGAGGAGCTCTGAACACAGAGCGAAGGTATTATATTCCGGCTAGAGGCTATCTATGCACATAATAGTTGATACGGTCCTTTTGGGCCAACAGCTTTCGCTTTCATGAGCTTCAACAAGATGCCCAAAACGATCTCTGACGAGGAAAGCTTCAAGGAGCTTCTCATATTAGTCATCATATACCACGTGATACCCCGCGCCAAAACAACAAGAAAAAGATTCTCGTCTTGAACCAGATCAACATCAAGCTCCATCTGCAATACGAGTCCGCGATGCAGGGTTATCGATGGCTAAGAGGCAGATCATGCTTAGATTCAAGAGGGTGAGCTAGGGTTTGGCCGATACAGAAGAGTGCAATAAGGCTGACAAGGCACCGGAAGGTAAGGTGAAGAATAAGCCCCTACTCTTCCAACTCGGCTTGGATATCAGTTCGAAATGAAAGACAACTACATACTGCGACGTGTCTTCATTAGAAGAGGTTGTACGTACATTCCTTGCTGAGAGGGCCATGCTACGTAACTAAGCCAGCTGATATTCGTTGCAGCTCCTAGTGATGTGCTTTTGAAGGCACTATATCCAGCCTTATGAAAAGGCTGGTTCAACATCTCAAGACTTGCACCGTTGCTGCTGACGATTTGGCATGTCGCGATGCAGCTGAAACCAAACAAGCTTACCCGTTGGCTTTGTCAGGTTTCATCGTGAAGGAGGGGCGGAGCTAGCGCCGAGGAGCCTTGATTTTCTCGTGCGAGCAGCTCATCTATTAACACTCTAGACACCAGTTTTTCTCACAAAGATAACTCCTGGATTATCATAGCTCATACCTGAAGATCCTATCGTTGCGCACCAAAAAAAAAATCTAAGTCAGTGTTCAATTTTTGTGACATGCAGAATTCTATCTATTTACAAGGGTCAACTGGCTTCGGTCGGCCCAACTGGAAGGGTACAGGTTTCAAATCCTAGGTCCCGGGATACATGTATGGCCTTTGAGGCTGATGAAAAATGAAAAAGAATCCTCCCGAGCATTCCCCTCGCAGTCGTTCTGCGTGCATTCGGACTGATCAATCTTGCTTCCCACGTTTTTTCCCCATCCCACGACTGAACCTGCATGAGTGATTAGTCGGGCCCGCTGAAACATGACTGCCTTGCATCCAGGCTACAGGGAATTAATTCTTAAGGATCTCAGGCTGTTACCTTCATCTTTTACTAAGGACAGATTTCTCATAGGCTCCTAGGGTTCTTCAGGATTCGATGCTGGATTGATTATTCAACAGCCGCTATTTCCATCTTAACACATGGTTTTCTAATTTGCAGTTCACTATACAATAACTGCAAGCTAGTTCAACGTGTCGTTAAACCAGAATGTGGCACGGAGTGTAGTGTTTTTTTTCTCTCCTGATATCATCATCATCACTATAATTATCCACTACTTATTGCTGTCTTTTGTTATAACGTTGTATCATGTTGTGTTTGTTCTTCCGCTATTGACGAAACTATTTCTCTCTCCAGGCAACCAGGCCAAGAACTCCAGGCCAAGGCCTCGCTCCATTGGACAGCCGCAGAGTGCCGTTGGAGCCTTGGGCTTAGCGTGGTGGGCAGGGAAACCGACCCACCAAGTGCACCGAAGGCTCCAAGCAACTTTATCGCAGATTTCTCAAGAGGGCAGCTGAATGGTCACAGCAACCAAAGTGACCTCTGAGTCAACATGCAAGCCTGACATCAAACTAACCCCCGAGAGAGTGCGGTTGCAGGTCAGAGTCATCCTTAGCGTCCTCACGGGATCTACACAGGCACCGTTGGTGCCTATTTTCTGCTCACCCCACTAATCGCTAATTTGAGGCGGAGCTGCTACCGGGCAACCACAGCTATGTCCAGGCCTCCCCCTTTGCGATTCCGCCTGGGATTATGTTTGGTGCCTATCTTGTGATTTATCGGCCTGGAGGCCGGAAGATACCTCTTCGATGGAAGCAAAATACACCTGACCGAAGTTATATGCACTGCCAGGAACCTTACTGCGTTGCGGTTCTGCTCTCAAGGGCACAGATAGACCCGCAAATCCAGGCATTCATGATGCCCCATTATACACTCCTCCTCCTTTCCTTCAACGTCTCACCCATATATAAATGAATTATTATATATATCACCAACACTCCCAGTCTTCCCTCTTGGCTTCTAACCATAGAACATACCTCATACAACCTACAAGAAACAAGAACCAAACCTCATTGCATTCATAAATTCCACTTTATACATCTACGTATACATATAGGAAGCACACTATCCTTTCTATATCGCGCTAGATTACCAGGCAACCAACTCCTTACTGTTTGTGGCACAAATCAACTGTTTGTCCTCATCTCTTCACAGGGCCATGCCGCACGCTACTCACTGGGTCTGTTGCCGGTGTGGTTTTGGCCCAATGATTATTGACAGCTGTTCTTCCTGTCTAAATTGTCAACACCCTGGCGCAAAGTTGCCTTGCTGCGTCCAAACTGCTCTTTCTCTCCACAAGACCGCCGCAATACCGACACCAGCAGACTCATACGATAGACAATCAATAAACAACCCTATGGAGCAACACGTATTACCATCAGACGCCATGTCCACCTATAGCGTTCCAATACGACAGCGAGGGACGTCGCTATACCTTTGCTGCGTTTGTGGTGACGGCCCAAAGGTTTACGAGCACCACTGCCGATGCATAATTTGCCAACATGACGCCTGCGACTCCTGCACTTATGTCAAATAATTCTGCTCCATGATGAGATATGAGACGAAACTTGGTATGTATGATATCCTTCTATAAGTTGCGAGGCAGATTACTAATATGAGATTAGATGTACTTTTTTTATAGACGCATACTTATGCTGGATGACTCCATGATACATTTATTACTCAATTATTCCCAGCCTTTCCTTTCAAAATATATCATCAGCACTCGAGCGACTATTCCGGAAATGGTCCCATATACTTCTGTTCATTATTTTGTTGCTAACCCCCTTTTTCGGTGTTACGATTAGACGGATTGTTACGGACGGAGGGCAATCGCTTGCCTGTACCGATTACTTTTTATTTCTATCTATTTTCAGTTTATAACTATGTACCATAGCGACGGGATTGTTGGGTCATTTACATGCTCTTTTCCATTTACATGCTGTTTTCATTTAGGTCTTACGCTTATAATCATTTAGACAGATATACAAATAACTACATATTATTGAGCCACTTCTCGCCTCACTTTGATCGTTTCGAACCTCGTATAAAAATGACTTCACGCTGTGGAACTGGCATGGCTTAGTTCTTTAGTGCTCCCGCAGCGTGAGAAGGGTAAAAAATGCTCCTCAAGGCTATTTTCAGCCTCGCGGTTGCCTTGGGGCAGAAAAAATACTAGGCAAAGTTCAAGTGGACCCTGACTGTTTATCCAACCCCACGCCAAAGAAAATAGTTGACTCAAACATGTCATCAGCCGGGGATGCAGCACCAGACGCCAAACAGGCAGCAAGGGACGAGAAAATAAATGCCAAATATTATTGGCTTGAGCAAATGCCTAATTATGCTGGTGGAAATACGCTGCCCTGGAGGATCAGGATGTGCAGGATCTTTCGGGCTCTACTTTTATTAACTGTGGTTGATAAGAGCCAGCCAACCTTCTTCATGAAACTATGTCGTCTGGGGCTTGTAACTCTGGGGTTTATGGGCGCTAAGAGAGGGAGATAAGCAGAGCACAAGATATATATAACACGGTGTTCTTTGCACAGACAATCGATCAAGCGAATAACCCCATACGATCGGCCGTGCGACCAGATGCGGGAGAATTGAGTTCATTTGGACTGACTCTAGCTGTCGCCTATCCAAGGCCTTCTCTCAGCCTCCATGGAGCCCACTAATGTTGACCCTGCAGACGGAGTCATAACGACGGGTTTACGATCTAGGAGTATCTTCTCATAGCATCTCGCCGGGAGACTCCGCTCCGCGCCTCGCCAATACCTGGTTCTGACGATTCTATTATGTTATGGGAAGCCCATTTCATCCTGTCACGTCCATGCATCCATACGGAGAACGAGTTCAGTTGCCCTGTAGACTTCGGATGGTTTCCACCACAATGTTACTCCGCATATCCATGTCCCCTGTCAGGAGTTGTTGACGGATTACTCCGTCCTTTTCAAGAATAGATATACAATGTAGAACTCAGTCATGTCCCCTGTTTTCTCTGTTTTCTCGCTGCAGGAGAGGGCACAGGTCCACCAACGCCTGTGATGCAGGATTTCACTAGATCGCTGCAAGAATTAACAGTTTGCCAAGCAGCGGCATGCCAACCAGCCACGGTGAATGAGTAACAAACTGGCTTTGCTCCCACGTAGTTTCATGCTCTGCAGAGAGAGAGAGATAGCACCCCTTCTCTGGCCTTTCTGGAAGCTTTGTTCTTATGGGAGCCGCCATCTGAGTCAACTTCGGCTGCAGTAGGCTGAACATGAAGCAACGCTTCTTCGCATCAGCTAGAGTCAGTCATCGCGGATAGTCCGTGCTGTTGCATACAGTAATAACTGTTCTTCCATCTTCAAGTCTTTTCAATATAGAGCCATGCTCCTCTATTTCTCCGTCTTGCTCCGCCGTCGTTGGATGCCGCAAAGTCGCGAAGTTTGTTTTACCTAATCTTCATGAGATTAATAAGCATCTTCGGTCCGTTATAAATCCGTGAATTGATATGCTGACTAATCAACGTCTCTATCTCAACTCTATCACAAATTACAACCAGCTCCATCTCGCCCACCGGCAGCGACAGTGGTTGGAGACGAGTACCATCCCTAGCCACCACCAGTCGCCATGCTGTTTAAGCCCAATCGGTAGCACTAGTGGCTCTAGTCTTTGAACTCCCAAGCCTCATGCTGGGAATACTACTCCGTTGAACCTGCCTCTCACCTACCGCGCCCGAAAGACACTGCGATGGCTTCAACAACGCCCATCTCCAACCTCCCCCAGTCAGAAATTGACGCTATAATTCGTACTAAACGAAAAGTACGTGAGCCGAAAGCGTGCTACCCGTGCCACACCCGAAAGGTCAAATGTGATCGCAATCTACCTTGCGACGGCTGCGTGAAACGAGACCATGCGGATTTATGCTCTTATGAACGCCCGTCCAAAAAGCGCCATGTGAATACCCCACCTCCCCTTGAATCTGAAGAAATGTCAAGAAATTTTGGGGGTTCTGGAAATGTCTCAGTTGGAGATGTTGAAGTGCAGGGAATTAGCGTTGAGCCCGGTAGAGTGTTGATATCAAGGGTGGAATGGGAGAGTGTTTGCTCGAAGCTAAAAGATATGGAACGTGCCATGTCTTCGTTACGGACGGAACTGGAGAAAGTAGACACGTCCGCACTGATGTCTCCGGATCCTTTAGTCGAGCAGACCCGAGTCTCTCGCGAAGAACCACTATCTGACCGCGAAGGAATTCATGCAAAAAATGTATATGGAAGCGGGACCGTACACCTAGGATCTAGATCCGTTCTTGCGTATCTTCTCGGAGGATCTCCCAAGGAAGCTACTCAAGCATTGCTTGAGGGAGGACTGCTTCCAAAGCTAGGCCTCGATAACGAGACCGCCACATATCCGTTTATCGATCTTTGGTCCTCCGACTCCACCACGTACGACATTAGATCCGTCTGTGCTGCACTTCCAGATGACAACCAATGCCGCAGGTGAGCAAACTTCGTCGTTTTTCTATGGAAGTTTCTTTCCTTCCTTTTTTTAACAGGAGTAACTAGACTATTTAAGTATTACCGTAATATTGCAGCAATAATCTACCCTGTACTTTCGGATCTTGAGAGATTTGAGGAGAGCTTAGACCTGGCTCTTCGGAACAGGGCTGCGTTTGGAATCAGCGAGAATGATGATGATGAACTCAGTAAGCCATTTGGTATGCCTACAGCCTTTGTGGGATTACTATTTGCTGTGCTTGCAGCTGGTTGCCAGTCGTCTGATATGAGCGGAAAGGAACGTGAATTGACTTCTCAGGTGTATGGTAAGTGCGGCATTTTGGCAGCTGATGGATTTACCGAGTTGCTAATATTCAATTTTCCCATAGTCTGTTGTGCTTATCAATTTTTACGAGCGACAAATTTTGTATCCCGTCCAACGCTGGAAGCAATACAGACTCTTCTTATCATTGGTAATGTATTATCATATAACATGAACCCAGGGGTGTCATATATTCTATTAGGTATGTATCCTTGATGTCCTTTCCCGAAAAGGCTGGCTAACCTTTATCAAGGAATGAGCCACAGGATGGGTATGGTTCTTGGCCTTCAAGTTGAGTCGCATAAGTTCTCACCTGCTCAGCAATATGCCCGTCGAGTTGTATGGTAAGATTATTAAATAGTAGTTAGCTACTGGATCTAGCGCCAAGGACGTTTATCGTATACTTTGCTAACTTGATCTGCATAGGTGGGCAACCGCATGGCAAGATAGTCATTTTTCGCTATCATATGACAGGCCATCGGCGATGGCATTTAGCCACCCAGATATTCCGTACCATCCAGATTCGCAGCCTGGACGAAGATCTTTTTTTGAAACCATCTGCCAAATTATAGCCTTAACCTTAAATATAGTTAAAAGTCGCATGCTCTCAACTGGCTCTCAGGTTCCATTTTCCACCATCCAGACATATAGGGCAGAGCTGAAACGAATATTGGCTGATACAGCACCTTACCTTCGTGATCCTCTATGCTGTGTATCACCGAACCAGAACGTCGAGAGACTCGGTTTAAAACTACATTCCTCATACCTTACATCGGAGATTTGCCGCCCTTCATTAAGACAGAATGCTGATCTCAATGATGCAACCACCATTGCCCTACGAAAAGATTGCATTGCTGGTCTTTCAAGAACGGTAGAAGCGTATGTGGAGATGTACTCGGTGAACCGCCAAGCAGCTCGATCATGGATCGGTCTTCAGCGAGCCATTAGTAGCGCTTTTTTACTCGCCGTCGTTGGTGAATCTAAGACTGACCCGAATATCTGGACCCTTCTCCGGCGATTAGAGGGCGTTCTCACAGAACGTGCAACAGAAGACGAAATCCCAACAAAAGGCCCGCAATCTGGCCCGCAATCTGGTGTTGATAGCTCGCCTACCTTTGCTGCAAGTTCGTCAAATATCGCCAGTGCCAAGTTGGAAAGCAATTACGATTCCGCCACTGCTGCAGCTTCAGTAAACATTCCCACCGATACAGAGACCCAGTGGGCGAAGCCGCTAATAAAATCCCTTCGCGCGCTTCAAAAGTTAAATGCGGCATTATTAGTACATCTCAGGCAACACGGAGTTGTAACTAGTGCCAGCGGCAGTTACAATCCTGCGCCAGTCTACACTCAGCCTGCTTCGGGAACCATAGCTACCTCGGTTGCCTCTACGAGAGCTGGATCGATTCCACCTCCGACCCCGGAGAGCTCTACCAGCGGGGAATGGAGTTTCCCTACGCTGCTGGATCGTGCAGCTGAGTATATAGACCCTCCCCTATGGTCGTGAGATTTCCGTCCGTTTGACCTCTCCCCCGTAATATCCAGCCTGCAATGTACTACGTTGAGTCTAACGTTTTTATCTCCATGGGCTGTGGATATATATTTCCTATCCTTTTTTTTCGGCGACCGAACCTGGAGTTCTTCGGCGTTCAATTTCTCCTTTGCTAGGCAATGAAATGGCAGCCGTAGTTTTAACGTGTTTATCTAACGATTTTCTATATTGGTGGGATCTGGAGCCTGGAGACGGTAGGCAGATTAATATATTATATTCTCTATCTATAAACTTGAAGAATAACAACTTGTGGTGGTTAGAGAATGTAGACGTTATTTGAGCTGGTAGGCCGGAAAATACCTACCGACAGTAGTAAATTTTCTGGAAGGTCAAGTTGGTAGCTTGTCCAGGAAAATATCATAAAGGAATCGGATAGGATATGTTATGCATCATACATGATTTCATGTTCATAGCATAGCTCGCTCCTGTTCGTAGGAAATAGTCCTCGGTTCATTTCTGGCCTCATATATTGGCCTGCCACTACAGTGATCCACGCTGAGAAATCATCGTACTTCAGCCATGGAATGAGCTATGTATCATCCACCAGGGCTTCGCCGTCGGGTCGTCCGTGTCGGTCGGGAGCGGCTAGGTTCTGGTATATCAGAACGAGACCGCACTTCATGAACAGTCCCAGACTGGAGCTCGTTGGCTGCAGCACGCCGATGAGGTCTCACCTTGGCAAGGGCGTGTTGGAGCAAGTTATCGGCCTCTCCATCAAGCTCTATGCCTATGTTTTGGCCATCCATCCCGCTAGATGACGGGCGATCTGGAACATCATCTGTCCATTCTTCTACAGGAGCTGATTTCTTTGCCCCTTTTGGCCTAGGCATTTGTTCCGAAGATTTATGCCTCGATCTTTCATTACTTGTGTTGGTAGCGGGATATTTCACTTTCCGCGACCTGCTTGTATCCTGGAATGGTTCTCCTCCGTTTTCTTCCTCAACAGCCCAAAGCTCGAGAGCCTTTGAAAGTAGTGTGCCTGCAACCCCAGCACCAGCTGCTGCGTCGCCTCCGGTGGTTCCTAGCACTCGTACAGCTTCGTGCAGTGCTGTAATAGCCTCCGTAGTTCGATTCAGCTCGAGTAATATTATGCCACGGGCTGTGTGGAAGGACCCAACTAGACCCCTATCTTCGTAGCCTCCTACAGCAGATGCACCAGCGGATCTCACTGCACCGGCTCCAGCCCTACCAGTGTACCCTGTGTAGATTGTTGTTGACCCACCAGCACCAATACGAAGGCATTCATCGAACTCAAACAAAGCCTCTTCCAATTTTCCTAGTCGACGAAGTGCATGGCCCAAATTTGCGCGCGTGGCCAGCCATGCACTGGGGTCACACTCTAAGGAAATAGCCAGCGCCAACGCCTGGCGGAATAAATGAACCGCATCTTCTAAGTTAGCTTCGTGGTATAAGACTACTCCAAGTTCGTTAAGGACTAATGGGTCTCCGCCTACGGGAGTAGGAGTCTGTGCCCCCGTAGAATTAACACTTGTGGAGAGCGCGTTATCAATGGAAAGAGAACCTGAGGACATAGAGTACGCAGCAGAGAGATACTCATGTGCTAGGGCCATGTTGTTCAGTGCAAGGTGTTGCATTCCCAAGAATAGTTGTGGTAAATGACTTCCTTGAAATAGTCTGGCAGCCGTACTATAGGCTGCGATAGCTTGATCATGTTCGCCCTCTGCAGCAAATGTATGAGCAAACCCAATCCAAGCTGGTGCTGAGTGGGGATCCAGGAGAGAGGACTTTGAGAAGAATCGTCTCGCTTCTGCAATCTTCGAAACTGAGAGATAGTAGACACCAATGGCAAGGTAGGTATACGACTCCTCGGGAACATTATCTGAGAGGGTATGGGCAAGGAGAAAAAGTGCATTTGTAGCACCAGTTTCATAAAGACAGGCAAGATGAAGAGGGTAGACGGATGGTGAGTGTCCGAGGTTTTGACTTTGGCTCCCCTGGGAAACCAAAGCTGACATCGAATCTGAGGCGGAGAGGATGGACGAAGTCAATGACAGCGCTTCCGGAAACCGACATTGCGTATATAGTGTTTCTGCGCGGGAGAGGAGAAGGTCAGAGTTATCTGCAAGGTTATAGTGGGTGGAGAGAGTCTCTATGGCATGAGACAATGCGGAACAGGACGAATATTTAGACAGCCGAGTCGTATATAGAAGCTTGGTAAATTCCGATGCTTCTTGAGATACTGAAACATCAACAGATGGGTTTATTGAATCAAAGTCCAATGATTCAAGAAACTCGAGTTCTTCGGCGGGGGACATCAGTGAATTTTTCATAAGCCGGTCAAACGCCTCAAAACACTGTACATCAATCCGGACAGCATCCTTGTAACAGTCTCTTGCGCGATCAAATGCATTTTGATTTGCATAGCAGCAACCTCGTAGATAGCACATTGCGGCTTCATATTTTATATGGTTTGCATCCTGATATGAATCTGTGTCGCCTCGATCCCCTTTATCTGTGCGGGATGGGATGGAACGTCCATTTCTAAGGGTAACATGGGAGCCTCCGTTCAAGTGAGGCTTTTTACGGCGGCTGTTGCTGGTACTATGAATCAGATGGGTCGGGTTGTGTTCCCCAAGTATAGAAAGCGCAAGGTCGAATTTGTTTTGTTTAATATAGCAATGAGCGGCGAGGTACCGACAGGATGAATTCCGAGTAATGAGATCCTTCGTAGATAGTAACGCCAGCGCTCGGGTGTAGTTGTTGTTCGAAAAGTGCACTTGAGCGAGCCAATATGCATCATTATCGCTATCTATCGTTGTTCCGAGCTTTCAGATTAGCTGGGCTGGCCATAAACCATTCTGGAAACAACGCACGCACTTGTTAGAGCGAGTACTTTATCGCCAATATATACCGCCGAGTCGTACTGCCCTTTGTTCAAGGCATCTTGTCTCCAGTTACGAAGAAACTCCTCCATGGTCGACTGTGGCTCACAGGTGGGTGCTTCCCATAGCATCAAACCTGGAAGATTCCTGGCGGGAGAGGGTATCTAAAATGCAGTTCATTAGCGAGAAAAAGAAGAGAATCCTTCAGTTAATCGCACATATTGGCTTATAACGGTATAAGAAACACTTCAACCTCGTCGTTCAATCGATGAACTTCAGCTTCTTGTTGACAATTCGCGACTGACCAAAATAGTCCCTTGCTTACGTAATATTATGTGTATGTCCAAGCTATACAAGGCCATAATAAAACGAAAATCATATCCAATTTAAATATTTGAAGCAATACTTATGATACTATGCTTCAGAATAATTTTTCCATTCCTCCCTTCAGTACGACGGACGGCGCAGTGTTTTTATTGAATATCCTCATATCTAAATGTGTTGACCAATCAGAAGCTTAGATATAAGAAAGTAACGTGACTTTGCTTATATAATCTAGCGTTTTCGATTTTTCGATTTTTGATACCGAAATGAAATAATTAAAGCCGTCAGAATATCGCAGACGCAGACGCAGACGCAGACACTTAAAGAAAAAGAGGCATCAAATAGCGATTGATAAAACACATCTACCTTCGCCAATATGTCTGAACGAAAGGTCCTTACCAAATATTACCCCCCCGACTTTGATCCGTCGCTCATCACGCGAACTCCTAAACATCTCCGCGCAACAGGATCTAAGCTCCTAACCGTCCGCCTAATGGCGCCGTTCAGTCTGAAGTGCACTAATTGTGGTGAATACATATACAAGGGTCGCAAATTTAATGCTCGGAAAGAAACCACTGACGAAAAGTACCTCAACATCACAATATATCGCTTTTATATCAGATGCACTCGATGCTCGAGTGAAATCACCTTTAAGACCGATCCAAAGAATATGGACTATGTCTGCGAACGGGGAGCCAAGAGGAATTTTGAGCCGTGGCGCCAGGCGAAGAATGAGGAAGGGAGTGAGACACATGATGAAACCCTAGATCGCCTTGAGCGCGAAGAAAACGAGGAAGTAGAACGAGTGGAGAGGGATAAGATGCTGGAGCTAGAGGAGAAAATGCAAGATTCCAAGCGTGAGATGGCAGTAGCTGATGCTCTGGATGAAATCCGGTCGAGGAACGCGAGAATCGAGAGGGGAGAACGCGGAGGTGGGGAGGAACTGGCCTTGCAGAGGGCAAAAGCTGAGGCCGAAGAAGCTAAAGCTAGGGAAGATAAAGATATCGAAGAGGCGGCTAGAAGGGCATTTATGACTGATGATGGTGATCGAGTCAAACGGCTTGTTGATGATGTTGACCAAGACTCCACCACAACCCCAAGTGAAATGCCACCTCCCTCGTTCCATCGAGTGAAAAAGGCCAAAAAACCATTCTCTGCGGGGTTAGGTATTAAAAAGAAAGCCCCTCTTGTTTAATCCTTTGCATAGATCATCTCCGGCGTAATGAGGGCACCTTGGCGGTAGCGTGGGTTTAACTATATTGCAAAGCAAGGCGTATTGGCATATAAACTGATTAATTCAATTAACTTGATTAACTACGTTATTTTTTGGGAATCTACCTAAGGCCACTTGCAAATCAATCGTACAGGAAAAAGAAGAAAGAAACAAGCAAAAAACATAAAAACATAGACAGCCTCCTTTTCCTCCAAAGAACGCCATGCTGAACTGTGCTTTCTTTGCAGCGTCGATGGATATGAACTTATATGCAAGAAATTTAGAAATATAAGAAAATAACCATAGAAACCTTGCACCAGCAGTAATACAGAAGAAGAGAAATATTCAAAGACGCCAGGAAGCCGTGAGAAGGTCAATCACATGTATGGCATCCATAAAGCATCGCATTGCGCAAGGTTATGAGGGTTAACAGAGCGAGAAATCAGGTCAATAACCGATTGATTCGCAGGGAGATTGCCATCTGGAGAACTTGTCAAGCTGGCTGCCCGGTTGACAATATAGTCGATGTTGCTTTGCACCATATCCTTAAGCTGTTGCAGAACACGCTGCTGCGCACTGGCCCACATTACAAGCTCATCCCGTACGAATATGCTAAGCTGCTGTTCCAGTTCAAGCCTTGGCTCGGTGAGACAGCGAGCAATAGCCATGATGGCACACGCGAAGATACCCTCCGTTGTCAAGGGGCCCATCAAAGTTTGGATGTTCGGAGTCAACCTGAATGGTACTTGTTCAGGGTTGTAGAATATAGCTCTTGCAGAGTTCATTGCAGGAATTAACTCAGAGCTCCAAATATCGCCCGTCCGTCGAGAGATGTGTATCTTGCTAGGGTATCGGTTGCTCATATGCATCACATAGGTCATAAATGCTATTGCAGCATATTGATACGAGAATTGCCGCCGGAAGAGCCAGAAATCTGCGAAATTTGGATATGTTTGCTGGACATATTGCAGGAGAATTGTGTTGGGTACCCATTTCTTCTGAATGGCATCAAATATCTCCGTGCGAAGGACCGCTGCCTGCTCAGGAACGCGCTGGGGGGGGTCAGTCAAAGTTATAGTCCAATTTTGGTTGTTGCCTAAGATACTTACATTCGCTTTTGCTTCCGCCAATGCTCGCATTTTCTCCATTGTAAAGAGGACTGGCTCGTCTTTGGTCATACCGGTCTGGCGACAGTGATCTTCATATATTCCCTGCAAAGAAATATAGGACGGGTCATCTTTCACCAGGCGGATATGGGGTGCGAAGGGAACCATGAGCGGAAGGTGGAAGTAAATGTTACGTCGACGACTTTCCTTGCGTTTCCTCAAAACACAATTGAAAATTCGGAAAAGCTGAAGCATTCGCTCCTCACGTCGGCAATGGCGGGCTGCAGGATGTTGAACAGCAAACGTGTGAAGGCTACCGTCATGGCCACGAATTCTCAAACGACGGTGACATACACCAATTCCACGTACAAGGTCAACGTGAGGTAGGAATCGGTCAATGCGGACAAAATTTTGGTTCTTGTCGTTGTGCTCGAGGTATTGCCCAGGAACTTCAACCTCGTCAAATTTCATGAACTTGAATTCACTAAGATGGGAAGAGAAGGATTCCAAGTGAGCGAACTGTGGTCGACGATCCAATTTTTCTTCAAATTTATCCCTCCATCGCCGAAGCTTATGAATATACTCATACATCGTTGGCTTTTTGATAACGAAATCAGCTTCAAATGATTTTCGTATGTGCGCAGGAAGGATAGTCTCGGCAAAACGTGTGATATTTGCTTCAGTAGAATGGGGAAGTTTGCAATCCTGAGCATAGGATGTGGGCATACGGCCGACGTATGCAAGACCATCGTTGAGCAATGCAACAATAAGTCGATAAGCATCTTCGTCTGGTGGGCATTTGAAGTTTTTGTGAATCTGGTCCACCATAGTTTCCATGGTCAAGGCAAGTAGGGGGAAAGCTGTTTTCAGTCCCGCCATTGTCTCATCAGCGTACTCCCATGGCTGCTTATCCTTTTGAGCTGCATCGCCGTCGTTTAGAGGCAGTGCACCTGTTGCCACTGGGGGTGCGGGTTTGGGGGAGGATATGGTTCTCGGGGAGCTTGATGTTGCGGTACCGTCTGGGAGTAGAGAAGGTTTGGTTTCTGGAGAGCCACTCTTTACCGATGGAGAACCTGATGCTTTTGCCCGATTGAGCTTTTCTTGTTTTTGCTCCTGCGACTTCTTGAGGCCCAGATAGTCCTCCCGGCTAGTTCTGAGCAAAAAGAACAGTGATTGAGGATAGAGCTTTGCAATCTTCCCAAGCACAGCTTTGCATAGCTTGGCTTCCCGATGCGCAAGACTCGTAAGAAGCTGAGGTATGAAGGTAATCCAATACCATACGGGGGTATCTCCCTTGTAGCTCTCAAAAGCGCTTGCAATCTTCCCTTCGTCATTGTCTTGGCTTAATAGCCAGAGAATACGGCTAAGAAGTTTTCTTGACTTGTGGTTCTTGTATAAGCCCGCCGCTTCCAAGTAGCAGCTAATTGCATTGCATGCCTGATCTATATCTAAGTGATCAGCTTTGAACCGTTGGTCACTGTATTGGCCCCATTCAGCCCATGCCTTAGCTAGTCGTAAGTCATAGAATAAGGCAACACCAAATGCTTCATTCGCTTCGTTTGTATGGTCCAGCTTCGCCAAAAACATACCCTTCAACGTGTAAAACTCTGCCTTTTGCTGCGCGTTGAAGTAGTTGAGATTGGTGTTATTGATGACTTCCAGCCCGCTATTGAGCTCTTTCGGGTTCTGGTAATGGCACTTTGCTTGTTCTCTCAACTTCAAAAAGGCTTCTTGAATTTCAATATTGGGTAGGGTGTAGATTCGGCTAAGTTGGTTAATGCAAACCTCCGGCATTTGGTGTTTCCGTGCGACATGAGCAAATCTATTGATAATCCATGCCGTTTCATGGTATCCCCGGAAGGCGTATGAGTTGCTTGCAACATTGTTGGTTTGCGGAGGGAGGAGGTTGAGATAAGTGGAGTTGATTAACTGGAAAATATGCTGTCGCCACGTAACAAGGTCCTGCCAGGCATTGATGTCGTCCCAGACGTTAGGTAACCTATCTCGCCAGGTGGTGAGGAGGAGTTTCAATTCGGCTGATTTAGTGTCCATGTTGCGCTCATTCGTTTGCGAAAGGCTCGTACAAATGACACTGGCATCGTGAAGCTCAACAAGTTGCTGGAAGTTTTGTAAGATGGGAATGTGGGCGTTAGTGATTCGCTTCGGAAGCTGGTGCCATTTTCGAATGGAGAGTTGGACAGATTCATCACAAACGTTGTTAAAATCCTGCAACGATTCCTGCTTAGTGTGAAATTTTAATAATGACATAAATGCCTGGAAAAATGTTCGGCGCGGTGTTGGTGCATCCGAAACTGACTTCAAAAGGGAGTCAATTTGTTCTCGATTAGTATCGCCCTGCCAATTCTCCAGGTTTCTCCAAGTAGCCTCCAAAAGAAGGTCATTGAAATTCTCGTGCTTCGCAAAATCAGTCAATATCTCCCATTGCTGGAGCTTTTGAGCACATATCATCCAGTGATCCTCCCAGAGGAAGTACTCAGCTTGGGCGAATGGGATAGCACCAGTGCGTGCCTTGATCTGAGCCGATTCGTAGAGCTGCTGGGATTTATCCCACATTCCTTGTTGTTCGTATGACAGTGCAGCATTTGTTTCTACGAATTTGCAGCGTCGTCGCCAAGTACCATAGAACATATCATCTTCCTGCAGCCCAGCATATATCTCAACAAGAGCATCCAAATTACTTTCTCGAACTACCGGTGTATCAATGACCGGGTCAATCGCATACCGTTCAAGTGCAATAGCAGCCATATACCAGGCATCAAATGTGCGGCTGAGGAACTTCATAACGTGGGGAGGGATCTTGAAACGGGGACTAGCCCTAATTACTCCCTCGAGAAGCGCCTGGACAACATTGGGGCGCTCATCGATCTGTCTATGATGATACTCGCGTGTGAGGAGCGATACCATGCCCTTTTCCAAATCGATTCTCTCATCTCGAGTCAAAGAGGCCCAGCAAATCGTAAACAAGCTCACCCATACCTTGTATGCAACTTCAGGGTCTGCATGCTGGAGCTCAGTGAGTGGTTCAAGGATATCCCGGGCTTTAACGTCGCCTAGCTCCGCTGAAAACTTCTTCTGTTCTGCCACCAGAGTCTCAAGGTGGTTATCAACAACAACACTGTCTTTACTTGGATCTTTCTCAGAGTGTCCAAATAAGAATGATGCAGGAGGAACCGTAAAGTCGTCTGGATGTAACTTGACTGCCGCCGACATGTCAATGGATCCCATTACCAGTTGTGAAGCTTGCGTGAGCCAGAACGAATCCGCAAGCGTGTCCCAGTTTTGTGAGGTTAGAACATAACTAAGACGAGTATTGGCGGAGCGCGTTAAACTTTTATCAAATATTGACATGAAACGTGTTCGCATATCAACATCTTGAGCTCTGGTACCAATAAGGAAAGCATGCTCCAGTCGAACGGTGAGCTCGGTTCGTGTAATCTTGGGGTCTTCGTAGACCCGAATGACAAGCTCCAAGAATTTTCCAAGCATTGTTGAATCAGCTCTAGATTCGAACAGTAGCATCTTGTGCAGGACAGCTGTCTTCTCCTTAAGGGTTGGCCAGGATTCGGTGGGTTGGAAGATCCAATTCTCTACCATTCCGAGAATTTTGGTACAGAGGGGAATATTCTGTGACCTCTCAACTAATTGCGCCAATACACTTAGGAAAGGCCGTCTCTGATCCCCTAGATTTGACATTCGAACAGCGATCAGGTCAATAGTTTTTGAGATTAGATCAATTCCAACCTCCAGATCATGAGGATCAGGCACTTGTATTTGTTGCTCCATGGCCCGACTTGCAGCAGATTGCGTATTGATGTAAGCAGCAACGTGATCCTTCGCAAGTTTTTGTGAGAATATCTTCATAACGTGGGGAATGTGCTGGTCCATCTCCGCAGGCTGACACTTTGATAGAGTCCAAAGAATATTGATTCCTGCCATATAATTGCCGCTCGAGATCGACTCAGTTGCTACAGTCGAAAGGAAAGTCACAAATTCAGAAGATGGCTTATCAACATCCATGCCCCCTTCTTCTTCTGACGGTTCTTCCTGTGGCAAGGCATCCAAAACTCTTTTAATCGGAGGTGGCAGCTTTGGAGAAATGTCCATGTTTTCTTCCCCTCCATGTAAACAGTCTTGGATTTCAGGGTTGTCGGATCGCAATGCTTTTTCAACAAGATGCTGAATAGTGGACATGCGGTCAAGAATCCAGCTATTTGGTTTGGTGGCTAAGAGAAGTCGTAGAACTTGTAACGTATTTATCATGGCAGTGATGTGTTTTTCATCAGGCTTATCGGCCTTTTCACCGCATAAAATAGGTTCTAAGACCTTCTGGTAAAGGTCAATGTCCACATCAGGCCAATACTCCGGAGAAAGGAAACGACGGAGCAGAACCACTGATTTCTTGCAAATCTCACCATAATTACCTAAAGCCGCATGATGAGGTTTAGGTGGCAAAAGTTCTCTGAATCGAGCTGCAGGGACAGAGAAGCGATCAACAAGACTACACACAAATGTAACAAGGTATTTCACGAGAGGCGTCCTCAGGTCCAGTGGGATGGTATATTCCGGACGCTCTTTTGGTGGGAGTGGTGTTGTACTCATTGATGGTGATGCTTGCATCTCCATATCAGCCAATTTTCGTTTCATAGAATTTGGTGACGCCGGGTCTCGCCGCCCAGTAACCCTTTTTTCTTCCCATGTCCAAATAAGAGTGACTAGGTGTAAAACTAGCTTTCTGCTATCAAATGACAAATTATTGGGGCCTGCAATCTTGACGAGGGAAGGTATTATCAGAGGAATGAAATTTTCACGAGCCTCATAAAATAGGTCAGGTTGTCGAACAAGAAATTGCAATATACTCATGACCTGTTGTAGATTCGCCGTTTCTTCCGTTAGAATGCGCCGTGGCCATCTCGCCCATACCGGGAAACGAGGGTCTGGTCCAGAGAGAATCCTCTTCGGAAGCGAAGGCGCCAGAATCTCCAACGCTTGAGTGACGAGGGACTTCCCCTCATTCTGGTGAGCTCTCAGCAAAGCAACATAAATTTGCACAACAATCTTTGAGGGTGTCTCATAGTGAGCAATGAAGTAACTGATCAACACATATGCTCCATATTTGTTAACTGTGTCCTCCAAGCGAATGTAACTCCACGCAAACTTGATAATATCCTTCCTAGTTTCTTGAACAATGCCATGGTGATATTTAATAAGTAGGGCTGAGAGCTGAAGAAGTTCCATACGGGAGTGATCCACGCCCGGTTGACTAGATTCTTCACTGAGATCGCCTAACTGTGGTTTCCATAGCCGGTTGTGGATAAGATCAGTCAGACTCCTATCAAGAACCCCCGTACCTGGAGTAGGACTATCCCATGTGTTTTTCACATCCATAGCGAGGATAGGATTAACCAGATAATGGAATGCATAGGTCTTCAACTTCTGAGCTGAATTACGCTGGTTGTAAAGATCCAAACAGCGGGAAATGACAGATTTCCGGTACGCAATGGATGGGTTTGTGATAATAAATTCATAGAAAAATTTAGGTAACGTAAGGGTTGTTTTCAAGTCGCCGGCCGAGATCTTATCAATAACATCAAAGAGGAAGTCCAGATCATCAAGGGACTGGGAAAGATGGATTGTGAAAATTTCCAGTAGCTGGTCCTGAGCCTGTTCCACTCTAAGCCGCTCATCGGGGGGCAGTTTGTCACCCCGAAGCTTAGAATTCAAATCCCGGCCACTGTTTAAAAGGTGTCGTTTGAGTTCTGGCTGCGCGGTCAAAAATCCTTCCGTAGAATCATGAGAGCAAATTGAGTGAATGAAGTAAATCCCGTTAATGGCTGCTGTATTTTTCCTAGGAGATTCTTCCTGCAAGAAGGCGAGTTTTATTAACGTTTCCGAGTCAGCAAAAATAGCAGAGCGCAGGGAAAAACTCTCAGGATCTGCTAAAAGTTGGCCAAAAAACCTCCCATATTTTTCTTCGTGGAATTTAGCCTGCATGAAAACCCAGCTCTCCCTAGGGTATCGGTTAAGATATTTAAGCAGCGGCTTCCGAAAGGGGCTGCTGGACGTCCGTCTCAACCGGTCTTCTAAGTACAAGACTTTATTGACAAGGTTTTCCATAAACGAAGTTGCTGCCGCTGGGAGAAGGTGAAAAATATTAAAGATGGCAGCAACAATTTTCATAGGAGGGTTCTGCTCCACAAGCCCAAAAGACGCTTTCTGCAATATGTTCTCATCCGCAATGACTCTCATGTGGTCCAAGAGCCGTGAGCCTATTTCAACTTTGAAATAATTCGTCAACAGGGTGAGAAGTCGAGCCAGTCCATCCAAACCAGCCACACTCAGGCGTTTTGGGTCCTGAAGGTTCATCAAAATGGGCCGCAGCCCGTTCTGAAGTAGCTCCTTAGGTAACTTATTGGTCTGTGTGAGGACGTCACGTAGACCGGAGTTCGCTGCGTCGATGATCTCTGGCGATTTCGAATACAAAGATTTAAAGAAACAAGCGATTATTCGAGCGCGGCTATGGCTCTGTGGGCCACTTGCAAAATCAGGGAAGCCCATGGCCATTGAAAGGAGGCGGAGACAGGAAACGCGAAGGTTGACAATCTGCTCAGCAGTTTTGAACTCATTTGGTTTGGCAGCTAAAGCGTCATCGTCCACATCAGCAAGCGCCAATGATTCCATCAAAAGGCGATTAAGCTGGTCGTTGAAAGTGACGATGTTCTGTCGAAGGCCTAAACAGTACGCTATTGCTTCAATGCAACCTATCTGAGTAGGGAAAGGTAAAGCACGCAGTGGCTTATTGAAGATTGGCATCAAGAGCCGGTCTTTGACGGGGGTAATCAACTCATGAACTTCCGCATTTAAAGTCGTTGCAAGAGTTGATATTCCGCTCTGGGCAGCCTGGCGGACGTGCTTGTTCATATGAGATAATTCGTAGCTCAGGATGCCACACAAACCTAAGACCCTGCTTTTTTCATTTTTCAGCTCATCTTTAGAAATCCCTTCGTTGCACTTTTGAAGAATCAAGTCCATTGTCTTCTGAGCTTGGATTCGAGTTGCTCCCGGGAAATCCGATGATGTGTCCTTAATCACGTACATGAGAGCACGAATGAATTCAATCTGGCGGTCGACCAACCAAGCGCTTCCCAAGTCCAGCTCAGTCACAAAGAGATGAATACCCAGGCTTCCAGCAGCCTTCGTGAACCACTCCTCATCATGGCAGGCATGACAAAGCGTTCTACCAAGATGAGAGAAGAACGGAAGTTTCCCTGCCTTTTCAGCTGAGCCAAATATAACAAGCGCGGCACTGCGGACATTGAAGATGACCTCCTTAGCAGCGTCGCGCACTGCCGGATCTTCAGAGGCTAGGCATTCGACAACAGCATCGGCAAGAGTTCTTGTATCCAGATACAAGGGGCCTTCTCCGAGTGACACGTTAAAGGGCCGTCGTATATGCCGGGACTGTGCGAGGGATCGACCAGTCTCAATGATGGTGAAATGACGGCAAACGTCAGTTAAGAACGTTGTCGCAGTTTGTTTGAGATGTGGAATTGTAGTCGCGACTATGCAGGCTTTCAATAACTTCTTCAGGGTAGTCTCCTGTGCAAGTTTCTTCGAGGAAGAGCATTGACGATCAGATTTTTCCAGGATGTCTACTGTCCCCGAGAACTTTCCATCAGCAAGATCATTGGCTTGAAGGCGCAAAATTGTCGCGAGGTCATCAGGTGGATGTTCAAAGCCAATGTAAAGCTTGAGTTGAGAGCTCAGCATACGATAGGCTTGTTTCTTGTAGAAAACATCGGATTTTTTAACGGTTGCAGATGCATTTACTGGGATCGTTTCTAGCAATTTGCCTAATGCCAAGTCGATTCCGATATCGAGGGGGAAGGCTCTATCCTTGCTAGATCCAATGAGTTTCACATCCATACTCGGAGTATCATCAGAGTATTGTTGGAATGAGAGCTCAGGGGGGTGGTTAAGGAATTTCCGATTTCGTCCACCAAGTTTCCCAAGAATCCTCATTGTTGTGTGGGCATGAAAGTGGCTGTAAGGGTTGGGTCGGAGATGGTCCCAAAGTGCGGTCATAAGTTCGTCCATTATCGGAGCCATAATAGGGTCCAAGTAGTCTGCGGTAAGATTGTCGACACAGAGTTCAAGAGTCCTAAGCCCCTGGCTGACGAGATCTGACCCTGCGCGAAGAGCAACGACTAACGGCCTCATAAGATGGCTCAGATGCGGAAGCAAGTGACTCAGGCGTGCGGGCACAGTCAGCGTCAGTTCAACGTATAGATCCCGTTCCTGTGTCTTTCTAGCACCGAGTAGGAGATTGTTGAACGTTTCCAGTAACATTTCAAGCAATGGAAGAAGCTCTTTGTAAAGCAACTCAAAACGCCCTCCGCCAATACTTCTGAATAACGACCTAAGGAGTAGGAAATAGTTCATCGGTTCTTCTGCGGTTACAGAATATTCAATACATTTAGCCACGATCTTTGTGACATGCGGATGCAGCACCTGCTCGTTCTGTGCTGAGAAAAGCGTGACAGCCATGAAGGAAAGCTTGAACATCCTTAGGAGAATTCGAGAATTGCCCGCATCCGAAGAGCCGACTTCATGAATATGTTCCATGAGGTATTGTAGAGTCATTCCAGCAACAGCCGGAGAAGTAGCCTCACTTGCTAAGAAGAATTGCGGTAGGTGAAGTAAGGCACTATGTTCCAACATGAGGTTATGTAGATATGGAATCTCACTCTTGAAGACTTCATGGAACGCGGCCGTATCAACACAATGGAAAATGGTCCCAAAACTTTCAAGGAGTTCTTTTTCCTCACTACTCATGTGTCGCATATACTGACTAGAGAGGAATTCAAGGGGAGTCGCATATTGTGTCTCAGGCTCCTTGTTCTCAGCGCCATAATATCTGAAGAGACCGGCGCCCTCGTGGAAGAGTTTCTTGATGATGCGGACTTCTTCAGCGTTATAACCGAACGACACTTCAGCCCAGTTAACCGGTGTGTATGACGGGTCCAGTTTGAGATCCTCAGGGTTGCAGCTTTTAAGCTGATAGAACAGGCCTTTCAGCCCTGTGATAAGTGTCTTGAATAAGAACTTATTATCGTTAACAGGGTCAGCATTTCTATCTCTGGGGTTAGTAGCTTTGATCGGTGCTGCGGTGAATATATCAATTTCATCCCAATCAGGAGGATTGTTCTTGTCGGCAAGGTATCCTTCTGCCAAAGTATCGGCGTTTTGCTTGACTAGTTTGGATGCTTTAACCGCGTTTTTGAACTGGTAGTTCATGGACGCAAATTTATCCCCAATAGCATCAAGAATCATGATCAAGAAGTACCGTGCTTCTTTTTTATTCTCCATGCTTGCTATCTTCTCAGCCATGTTCAGCAGAAGCTTGGCGCTCATTGCTTGGAAACTTGTTCCTGGGAGGTCATCATGGAGATTTTTGGTGTAAACTTCGAGAGTGCGGCGAATTTGGTCTCGAGTGAGCGATTCTCGCACATGGTGTATCAGGTCGGCTAGCATGCTATACGCCAGCGGCCGGAGAGCTTCATAGACAGTGAGGCCATCTCCTATCAGGGTCCGCTCGTCTAAAAGGTCATCCAATTTTTCGAGGAAGATCTTGCGATAATTGAAATTTATTATGTGGCGAATGGCGACTAGAAGTTCCTTCCTCGCACTCGATTTCTCTCTGGGGCAATCTTGCAACAGACGAATCACAACTCCAGGTAGGGAAGGAAGGAAGTCCTGGAGGTGATTTGCATACACTCTAAGCAGATATGCAAGGAAGCTCATGGTTTTAACTTGGAGGGTGATGAATTCTCCAAAAGCAGCCCTATTTTTGATATCCTTGCTAACTCCAGTGAAAATTTTCCCCTGAGCTTTTGCATCACTATGAGCTTTCTCTTGTGGTTTTGCCTGAAGCAGTAATATTCCTTTAATCAGAGGACCAAACACCTTCACATTGGTGGTTACAGAGCTGCGATGTATCTGAAAGATTGAGACGACAATGATGGGACACTCCGCAAGGACCTTGAACGAGTGCATACCCTTCGCTAGCAGCTGGTTTGGTTGCTGCTGTTCGGGCCCAAGATCAGATACCGAAGTCGCCGGAGAACTGGGCCGTGGAGACTGGAAATTCTGGGATGCTGTGTTGGGTGTTGAAGGCATTCCAGGAGTGGACGTCTGAGCCTGCGGCGTCTCGAACGTATCTTTTACGACCTGGGGCATTCCCTCAAACATGTTCTGGATGAGCTCCAAAAATGATTGAACTCTCGATTGTGTTGCCCTGACTTGGCGCCGCTGTAGGTCCATGATTGTCTTCATACAGATAACAGCATTTTCTTCGTTCTCATTTCGGACAAGCTCTATAAGCAGGTCAACCATGTCACCAGCATATGGTTCGACTTCCGGAAGCTCTAGAGGCAGACGATGGAGGATCTCCAGGATACAATTCCGCAGTTTCTAGTACCATGGTCAAGCTCGTTAGCCAGAATGAAACTGATTATCTTTCCCCTGCAACAATCTGTCTTCTCTCACCTGCTCAAACGATAAACTGATAAACACTGGCTCTCCCTTCAGCACCTTCTTGAACGCCGGCCATAGCTTCGCCAGGAAAATGGAGTATGTAGCGCCCGAGCATAAGTGCTCCAAGGTGTCGCGGATCTCAACCGCAGCAGCGCATTTTACTTTGGTTTCTATAATATTTTTAACGCGTATATTCAGTCAGCACCAGGCAGCCACTGGATAAAGAAGACTATCCCCAGATATAATGGTCACTGACCGACATTAGGATCACCCAATTTCGTCACATAGGCGTCGAAATTTCGCTCAATCGATTCGCGTTCCATGATTGCGCGCAGCCAAAATTGGCATTCCCACAGCAATCAACCTTGAAATCAACCTAATGCCAGGCCCTCAGGCCGGCTTAAAACCGTTCAACGCCAACAAGACGGCAGCTCCTTGACCCTCCTGGCCGGTAAGCTTGAGGGGGGTCTATTAAGCAATTCCGAAGCCTATCGAGACAGCTAAAAGGAGGTTTGGCGGCCGTAGAGAAAGAGTGAGAGAGAAATTAGACGGAGTTAGAGATTGACAGGTTGAATTATCGCGGTAAGAGGTGGTAGGGGAGGTGTGGTGGTTGGTAGAGCGAAGGACAAGGGCCTGAATACTGTGATTGAAGAAGTGTTGATAAGTGAATTTCTCTGGAGCGCATCTGGACCTGGGGCATCGCGCCCGCAACTTCTCATTCGCGCTAGGGTCCAAACAGGACTAGTGTATTGTGTGTTCTAGCCCAATATAGTTTAGCGTTGGTGACATAATAATACTGTAAGCAATTTGCTTAAGATGCAAACATGCTGTTTATGATAATTTAGTCGGTGACATGCATCTATCAAATTTCAATCTAGAGACAGAAATATGATAACAAAGCAGATGCAAGACAGGCTGAGATTTCATTTCAGGCTAATCATAAAGACAAGATGTCCACTGGACCATAAGCACGCAAAGAACGCCTCCCACACCTGTTTTTTTCCTTACCCCAGGCGTTATCTCTAGAATGGCCCAAGCAAATTTTGGCGTCCAACAACAATCTCCAAAAGTAAACAAGTAGGAAAAATGGGAACAATGAGTAAGAAAGTAAACATAGACTGAAAAAGTGAGCCACGAATAAATCCATATTCACGTGGAAATCAAATACGGATAATCAAGTAGAACATCACTCAGCTTGAGGAACCACATGAAGAAGAAGAAAAGGGGGCATCATCATTAGTCTAAACTCGCTGGATAACTTAGTACCGAACCTGTGTAGAAGGGCTTTCGTAATTGCCATCGTTGGGTGGCGAGAAGGGAAAAGAAGTAAAACCCCTTGCTTCAGACAGACCGCATACTCTTGCTGGTTGAGTTGCTACGAGTAACAGAGGGGTGTGAGGGCCCAGTACTGCTGTTGCCGAGTGAGCTTCGCCGTTCTCCTCGCCTTCGTGCCTCTCCCACCACAATCCGCCAGCCTGCCCCAGCTGCTCCACTACCACCACCACTACCACGAGAATCATCGATAGATCCACGGCGACGCCTCTGAATTCAAAACGTATGTCTAACGTTAGGATCACGCCGGCTCAGAAATGAAAATAATATCTCTAAAAGAAGAAGGATAAAACGAAAGGACAACAGGGTCATTTTTACAATACAGCCAGTGCATAGAGAAAGAAGCAGAAGAAAACAATGCGGGAGCGCGAAACATGGTACGTAGTTTCTGTTCCATGCTTAATCAACGCGAGAGGCACTAACCGAGTTTTGACCCTCTCTAAGCCGCCGTTCCTTGCTGGCTGGGGTATCGTCTTGCAGTTTGAGCGCGTTTAGGCGCTGCTGGCTGTCTTGGGTTATTGGATCCAGACCATCGTTGGAGCCAGCTGCGTCAGAGGACTTGGAACCTTCAGCTGCTGACAGTTGAGCCTTCTCTCGCCTGGCTTTGGCCATTTCAGCAAGTCGATCCCATTTCTCCTGACGGCTCTTTTCTCGTGCCTCAGCGGAGTTTTGGTACTCCCGATAATCATGAGAGCAGTCGTCAAACAGTTGTGGGTTGATTTCCATGAACATCTTCATTGCAGTATACACCATGCTATGAATGGTCCTGCGGCAGTTATGTCAGTATACATATAGCAACATGATGAGACAGTACGCGAATTGAAGCATACCTGTTCCAATGGCCTTGGGAATTTTCGTAAAGCGGCGCAAACATGATTGGGAGAATAGACTCCACATTGTCACCAACCAAGTTACAAAAGTACTCGTTGTTCCAAAAGTATAGGGCTCGCTCCGCGACCTAAATCCCGTTAGTATGAACCAAGGCTTGAATCGCGTTTTGTAGGCAACAGTTACGTACTTGGAAATGAGGGCTAGCAACTGATTTCGCAAGCTGGTGGAACAGAGGTTCTTGCACCTTCACGAACTCAGCGGGTTCCATAACCTCAAAGATGTCTTCAACTTCATTTAGATACATGACCTCTTTTGTGCTATTCACTTTGGGCCAGTAGCGAAGTAGTCCAAGGACAACCTAAGCACAAAGTCATCAGTATTTAATCCACAATACGTACCAAATGCAAAACGTACCTCTTCTGTTAAGGCAGCATCCTTCTCTAGGAACTGCACAATACAGTACGCCAGCTGCGGGTGATACATGCTTAGACTCTTAACTTTATGCATCGGTAACAAAACCCGTGTCAAGAATAGTTTGTGCTCCTCTTTCAGTGGCAAGGCGAAACCGTTGATGATCGAGCCAAGAATCTCCAGAAGCTCAGCAATACCGTTGAATCGTTCAGTTTCATAGATGAATTGGAAGAAGACGTTATTGATCGAACGTCTAATGTATGAACGTAGATTTAAGAATTTTCCGTATATACGATGCAACGTCGTTTTCAAAAAGTCACGTTCTCGAGGGTCTTCGGAGTCAAATAGTTCAAGTAACTGGACCAATAGTTAGTGTTAGGGTGATGACAAGTCTGAGAGCAGTTGGAATCTAACCTGAAGGACAAATTGATGGTCAATGTAGGCTTTTGCGATGTTGGTGCTGAAATCTTGACTCTCAATGAACCTAAGGAAGAATTCGTAAACAACTTGAATATGAGGCCATGCTACTTCCAGCACGGGCTCATCTTCCTCCGGGTCGAATGCATCACCTTGCGGGTTAACGGGAGGAGGAATAGGCCGAAATAGATTTTTGCTGAACATGTCCACCACTTTGGGATACATAGGTTCTGTGATGACAGAGCGATTATTGGCGACATAATCAAGTAGTTCATGGAGGGCCAGTCGCTTGATTTCTTTGGATTTCATATCTCCTGCTGCGTCGTTGAAGTCAAATATGATGTTGCATTGGTCGATTTTCTGCATGAAAAGATCTTGTCTTCGGTTAGGAGGCACTTCATGAAATCCAGGGAGTTTCTCTAGCTCCCTCTGACGTTGGTCTGAGATATCAAAGCGTGACGAGTGCTGCCGTCGTGGGGGTTTGAATCCAAGAGGAATGTCCTTGGGAGTCTGTAGTCTGTCAATAAGATGTGGTTTCTGTCCGGTTTTTGGAGGTTGCAGGTCACCAGGCATTGTCTCTGCAGCTCCAGGAGGGGGTATATGCTATACAAAATCAGATGTTAGCCATATGAACAAGTCGACAAGGCAAGTCAGCCCTGATAGTAAATAAACCGTGGTAATGAATCTGGAAAGGTCAACTATCTGGGCACAAACGTCAACATACCGGTGCACTGGGGCTGATGACCACACTTGGGGCCATGGGAAGCCCCTGTCGAGTTGGTGTACCCGGCCCATTGCCCGGCATCTGCCCTCCTAAGTGCTGTTGCTGTGGAAGATAATGTTGCTGATTGGGTACGCCACTGGGCAAAACGGGAGCGTTGTGATGCAAGGTGAGACCGGCGGTCGCTCCATTGTCAGGAGAGCTGGTAGGCTTCGACTTTGTCTCATTGACAGCGGTTGTGGACGAAGTAGGTGTACCATGGTTCGAGCCTGCTGGTGATAACGTTTGCCCTGGTGGACCAAGATTCGCGGAGGCCCCAGGGGACGACGTACCAGAAGAAGAGGAGTCTTTCTTTTTAGACGATTTGTTCGAGTCCTTTGCGCGGGATAGCTGCTCATGCTAACTCTATCAGTTTACATCCCTTGAATTGCATATAAAATTCGCAAGTCACCCCCGAGACGATGTACGTGTTATAGAGGATCAAAAATACGCCATTGACGTGCCAACTTACAACTCTCTGTCTGAAGCCCTTCATTGTTGCTCGCGAGTTGTCTTCCGCCGCATCAATAGAGATGGGTATCAGCTTGCCCCGTGCCCGACCACCACGACCTTACCCCTGTTTAGGAAAGGTATGGGGGGAATTGATGGTTAGCCGAGGACGGTAGAAGAACGGCGGCGGTGATTAAACTATTGTTTTTCTGGGGATAACTGATTAGTGAACTGTCTGGCTTCATAAAATTAAGTCTAGTAAAGAGATCGTGCGGAGTAGAAAGCATTCGGAACCTGGTATTAAAGCTAGAGCGCAGTTGCTAGACATAGCCAAAAATAACAGTCCACCCCAAGGGGGAGAGGCAGAGAAGGATAGATGCAAAGGATAGCAGGAAGAAGGACAATGTTGCACGACCTACCTTGAGCTTTTCAGGGCCAACAGTAACCGTATCAAATAGTCTTATCTACACGCTTCTATCGTGTCCCTTTCACCTTCTTTTTCTTTTCCCCTTTCCCTCAGGTGCGGTTTTGGCAGCGTGAGCGTCCGATAGAACTACCAAAAGGGCGGGGGGGCGTTTTGTTCGGGGGGAGCCAACCAAGTTGGTGATTGGGCAAGGAAGGAGTCGAAAAGGGTCAGTCGTTGTAGAAGCAAAAGATGGACTAAGCAACGGGCAACAGAAGCACAATAAGGCGCGAGTTCAGCGTAGTTTGAGTCTTGAAGCAGCCATCAGTCGTTTTCTCTTTGGCAAAGCAGAAAGTCGACACTCTTTTTCGCATCTCGAAACGGCGCTGGGAGGTTTGGTGATGTCACGTGAGAGTTGAAGGGCAAAGCAAAGGGAGAAGAAAAAGACGGACGGATGGAAGGAGGAAAACGAACGAGCATATATATTAGAGAGAGATGTAGAGGTAATAGCGATGTATGTATACAAGGACAGGTTTTTTTAAACTGTGAATAGCAGCTGCTGAGACATAGAGACAAACTGTGTCAAAGCAAGGACAATAGTTAACAAGTAAACAGGAGCAATAAATATATAACGAAAAATCTATACCCAAATATACTGAGCTCTCTGTAGCGCCATAACAATCTACAAGGAGCCAGCATCAAACCAGAGAAAAGCTTACAGCTCCTTTAATACAGCTGAAACGGTTGAAAACATAGATTGAACCTGGATTCGGACTCCGCTTTGGCTCTAGATGTCTCAAAATCCAGGCGAACGTACTGCACCATGGTATCCAGTTCCATCTCAGGACATCGTCTGTGTAGAGCACCCATGTATCGTCAAAAATGTTGACAAGGCTATTGATACCCTTCAGGGCTATGCAGGAATATCAGAGGTCAGTCAAGCATGTCTCACTTCATTATTTTACACTCGCTAACCAGATGCTAAGATGCTAAATGCTTCCTGTCGGGACTCACCATTGACTCTCATGTTGAACCCGGAAGATGTCATGAGCAGACCAATAAGGTCAACAAGCAAGCAGACCAACAATGTTCTTCTCAAGGTTACTGTACCCAGGAGAACAGGCCGGAGGCGGAAACGGGGCTCTCAGGGCCCGTTTGTCCACAGCCATCGAGATGATGTGGCTACCCCTACTGACCAGCTGGACGCTCGAGAGCTTCTCCAGCGCCTAAAGGAGAATGTTGGACGTTATCAAGTAGACGTCGTAGGTCAAGTTAATCGAACACATGTTTTTAGAGGTAAGTCATCTCTATGACCTTGGGTGCTTGTGTTTGGAACTGACAGGAAGAGTTGTGGGCGTAGGGTTACCAGACTTTGCATACTCTACTACGGGAAGCCCGTTTGTGCAAAAATTCAGGGAAACCATATTACCATTTGAATGTAAGTTATATAGACTTGTTCAAGCCAACAGGTTTAACACTGCTAACTGTATATTATAGATGACAAGTTGAAGAAATTTGAACTTGATCTCTCAAAGGGGGCTATCTCCAATGTTGATATCATTCCACCCCCATCCCTAAGCAACAATGAAGTCGCCTTCCAGTACCTGTACGGCTTTGACAATAACCCAATAACTAGGATACAGATGTATGCTAACCAGCTATAGATATCGTCAAAACCCAATGGTGAAGCGTTCAATTGATCCATCTGGTCAAGTAACAACTACCAACACCCAGCGGGCATTGAAGGTGGTTACCCACCTTGTATCCTACGACATACCCTCGGTGCCGACGCAGCCACGGGACAACTGTCCACCATTATCAGGCCAGGACCAAACCGTCCACGACACTGTGGCCGCTCTCCGAGCCCTATTCGACGAAAGGCCAGCCTGGACACGACGTGGTCTTCGTAACCAGCTACCCACATCCGAGAAAAAATACGCCCTTCGTCTTGCCATTCCATACGTCGGCTACCTCTTCCGCTCTGGCCCATGGAGAGATGCCATTTTCAAATTCGGATTTGATCCAAGATCGTCTCCTGATTTCCGTATATACCAAACGCTCATGTTCCGCTTATTCCCTGTCTCTGCGGAAAAAGAAGGACAAGACCAAGAAACTGCCCCGAACGCACCATTCACAACCACCACCACTCCCCTCTCAGGAAGACGACTCACCCTTCCGCGCCTATCGTATGAGAACAACAGCGACCCAGCCCTCGCCAGGTCTCATGTATGGACTGGCCACCCGCCTCTTTCTCAAGACGGTAAAACATGGATGATAATAGATATTGAGGATCCTATAATTGCACGGTTGCTTGATCCCTCGTCTCCAGATGCTCATCCTCCGCGCGCTACGTGTGACATATATTCGTGTGGCTGGTACGGTAATGTCACGCTCTCGATTGTCCGCGCTATAATGCGGATGAAGATGACTTCTATGATGGAGAACCGCACGGACTGGCCCTCCGAACAAGAGCTGCTTCCTTTACTTAGTCTACCGAGCCATGTGGAGGGAGATGAGGAGTTAGACAAGATATCCCTAGCCAAGGAAGGACTAGGACCAGTGCCTACGCATTTACTCTCGGAGATTCGTGCTGTTGTCCGGAATGTGCCGTGGAAGGTGGATAAGCAGAGAGACAGATTCAGGGGAGCTGCTGGAACATTAGAAAAGGGTGATCGGAAAAGAGTCAGGTGGGAGGATCAGCAGGAAGAGGATGATGAGGGCGAGGTGGGCGAACAAGAGCAGGACGATGAAGGGGATGAAGATGAAGAGATGGAAGACTCCGACGAGCAGGAGATCGAGACCCAGGGATATGAGTAGTTATGCCCGATATGCACTTTTTTTCTTGATAAGAGTAACAACTCCTTGAATTCAACCATGTAAACACGAACAAATAACTAACACACAGAAGCTCTGACATTACGCTGTGGCAACAAACGTTGCTATCAGAAATAAGAATAAACTCAGCAAACCTTTTTGAAAAGCAACCTTCATCAACGGCGTTTCACACAAATCTTCACATATCCTTTCCTCGTTAATCATGACCATCGCGTTGCTACAGGGGCTTCACTCAAAACGCTGCGAAACAAACATGGACGTTCAACATCACGGTTATTGCGGCAGCAAAACTAAAAGAGTCAACAACAGACAAACAAGCGCAGAACTGAGGTGAGCAAGGGAGATGTATATACATCTTGTTTAATATTAGAGAGTAGGTTAGCAGGAGCTGAGCTCGGGATGGGGCCACGATAATAAGATCAACATGATTCGAGTTCAGAGTGATGGAGGAGGAATGAGGGAAGAAAAGAGCCATATACTCCGTGCATAGAATACAGACAACGCCGAAGGGAAAGAATACCCATTCCGTTAAAAATAAGAACAAACTCCAGGCCATAACTCCGGTACAAACTGGCAAATTACCTAAAGGGAAAAAGAGGAGAAACAAGTCGTCATGGGTCAATCATTTTGAAAGTGCTGGGACAGGTCCTAATTTAGGAAGACAAGGGAGTAACAGGCTCGGTGGGCTTGTCGGCTTCTGCGGTGGCAGTCAAAGCCTCTTCAGCCGCACTGGCGCTCTCCCAGATTTCTATCTCTGCAGCAGAAGGGGCTAACTCGTCAGTTACGTCTTTCTTGGTTGGTTCTTCAACCTGAACTTTTGGAGCGGTACGTTCAATTAGAGCGGAGATTGCGGATTGAGAGAGGGTATCTGGCTGAGCGGATGACTTGGGCTGTTTCTTGGGAGTGGTATCCGAGCACTGCTCGAGAGGAGCTGGAACTTGTTCAGCAGCAGCTTCCTCTTCCTCTTCGGGAACCTCGATCACGCTGTCGATACTTTCTCCTTCGGGGACAAATGACTTTACGTCGAGCTCCCCCAGGGGCGAACGAGGTTCGTCTCCCATGTCGACATTTCTGGTAGTGGTGGATGTTTGTTGGGCAGCTGCAGATTGAGTGCTGTCGGCTAGAGACTGTGGGGGTGGGATATTCTCTTTGCCTCTGGTATCCCGTGCCTGTTTCTCTTCGTCGTCACTAATGTCGAGAACACAAGTTGAATGCTCCATCAGGTTTGCCATCTCATCCTGCTCGGTGTCGGCGTGGATTTCAAAATCCCATGCCTTTGGACGTCTCATCTTCAGCGTGGCTGATGGAATCGGCCCGACAACAGGACTAGAAACAGTGAAGGTGCCATTGAGAGCATCTGCAATAGAGAAAGGAGCTCGGGACATGCTACGCTTGGAGATGGCGGGAGGGTCAATGCGGCAGTAACCAAGGCTTCGACGACCAAAAGCCTTTACACTCTTTGTCTTTGCCTTTGGCGAACGGCCAGCCGGGGCCCTGAGAGGAGCAGAAAGGGAAGTCTGGCCTCGAATGGGACGTGCTGGAGTGACGAACTCTGAGTTGCTGCTTCGCGGCTTTGCCGGAGTCTTCACCGTCAAGACAGGCTTGATGAAGGTGTGGAGGCTGCTAGTGGTATCTTGATGCAGTTGGATGCTGCCCTTGTTGCGTTTAGAAGGAGAGCCCATGAGAAGAGGGTCAATATTCTCGGAGTCAGAGTTGTCTGACACGTCAAGCCGACGTTTCAACGGACTTGTAGTCGCGCCTGTTAAAAGGGAATGTCCCCCATAATGTTAAGTCCCGTCTGCTTTACTGACTAGGTATTAGGGAAGTCTTCTTACCGTTCTGTTTGTTTTTGATGCTGTTGGCTGTTCGCAGTCTGGCATCACCCAGAACTGCAAAGGGCTGCCTCACAGGAGACATTGGGTAGGAAACTGCCGCCATATCTGTTGTATCTGCTGAGATATCCTTCACGCTCGCGTATATATACGTATGTATAGAGAGAGCGGTGTATGTATATAACTACAGAGGGGTCAACGATCTCTGAATATAACGCGAGTATGGTGAGTTCTCAGGGACGTCGAGAGTACTTGGGAAGATGTCTGACGAGAGGATGCCGCAAGCAATATAGATAGGCGCTTCGCCCAGCAGGCAGACGACCTACCGCGACCGCCTTAGCTTCCTGGACGCGGGACCCTGGGCGATGTGGGCGTTGCAAGCGGGTTAAAGGAAAGGGAGAGACAAGGCACCCCTCTCGCGACTTGGGACGCACAGGAGTAAGACGAGGGCGCAGTAAAAGGGGGGAAATCGATGCAAGTGCCTTGCTATCGTTATACAGGAGAGTCCGGATCACTCTCAGCCAGTCGATGCGTGTCTCTCTGTGAATTTCGTGACGATAAACCTGGACGGGCGGCAAAGCAGGTTGAAGTGATCGTGATACGAGATGGAAGCTACCCGTGACCGCACCAAGGCTTCACACCCTGGTGGAGTCCACTTGTTTCGCAATTTGATAGCATTAAATATCTTTAAATAATACCTTATAAAAATACATTAACTACTAATAATTTATTTAAATACAGCTACTTAAGCTATGATATAGAGAGAATAGATACCTGGTAGTTTAAATTTTCCATTATATGTATTATGAGCTTTACAATTAACTTCAGTAGAAGCTTTAGTTATTACTAAGTAAGTCTGTTAAATAGAGAGATTTATTCTTCTTCTGTACTACTGCTTAAGGTTACTCTTTATTAATATTTTCTCTTTATAAAGTAGATTAAATAAATATAATTTAAATAGTGACTAGAATTAAGGGGGCTTTTTTTATTACTCTTATTCTTTATCCTTAAAATCAAGGGGGTGGAGAGACACAGTAGTAAGTAAAGAGAAGGGTGCTAGCTCTCCCCTTAGGTAAGCCGAAGCACCGCGTCGTGTTTCGTGCCCTGGTCGTGCCGTGTTCGTGTTCTCATATATGGTTACGTGACTGACGGTCTTAGAGTGAATCAAACCACTATCAAATACTGCTCAATTAGGCTTACTAGCGCGGCCTATATAATCAGGGGGAATGTCAAATATCCAGGCCGATTAAAAACCCTCTGTTTGCTCTCTAACTCTACACTCAATCTCACGCCCAACTTGCATTGCTTCCTTTCGGCTCGCCCGCGAAATCACCAGGAAGAAGGCAATAAAATTGCCATACACTTGCCCTGTACTGGGGTCAAGAACCTCTTGGCCATCCTCTATAAGATTGGCACACTTAACGACGTGAGCACCAAGTTGTCGTCTAGAGGTTAATACAGTGGTGCAGATGTCACCAAAATTATAGATACCCCCTCTCTGAGCGGAGACGAACAGCAGCTGCATATGGTACTGCGCCCCGCCAACAAAAGGTTGGGACAAGGACCGGATCCGGTTTTTATCAGCCAACGCATTTAGGAGAGAGATGCTGTAGTATGAAACCCCATATGCGCGCGCGGTGGCTTCGACCTCTTGCCAACCTGGTGCGCGGGGGTTGATCTCAAGGAGGAAGACATCCTTGGCCTGGGTACTTGTCGTTGCTGGTAATTTGGCCTTCAGGTCGACGAGGCCGTCTCCGCCAGCGTTTTTGACATAGGAGTGGCTTGAGTTGCGCAACTTGGCCTCCATATGTAATACGGCATCTCGGAAGCCGGCGGCAAGGGCGAGCTCATGCAGTCTCTGCTGTAGCGCCTCAAGTTCAGACGGAGGGAGAGCCGATGGTAACATGTTTGATGTCTCGACAAAGTTGGCCACACGGGCATCGGTTTCGCCTGTCGCGTAATCTCCTGCGCTGGGAAAGTCATCGTTGACCTCAAAGTAGACAATCTCACCATCTACCAGAACCATATTCGCGTCGACTTCGGGACCATCGATATATGTTTCGATAACGACGTCGTGGCCGTGCCACGCAGTGAAGGACTCACGCCATAGCAGAGGCACTTTTTCACGTAACTCTTGCTCATTTTCTACTTTCCAGACGCCCTCAGACGACCAGCCCTTGGAAGGCTTCACGATTAGAGGATAAGTAAGCTGTGGCCCCTCCTGGGAGAGCATCTGTTCCAGATCTGCTGGAGAGCAGACGAGCCTGCAGAATATGTTTTTATCGAGCTGGCGTGTTGCGAATTTGTTCTGTGCTAAGCCTACAGCTTCAGGCGGCGAGGTATTGAAATCCAAGAGTGTGGCTACGTAGGCTATAGTAGTATGAAGATGTTCATCGATACTTATAATACCATCTAGACGTTTGTTGTCCGGAGCGCTATTTTGGTATTTTGTTATAACCGTTACAATACGTTGGGCCAAGTTAACATCCGCAGTCATGTCTATCTGGACGAATTCTTCGCGAAAATGGCAATACATATTGCTGGAAATCCAGTGATTGGCCTCATCAAACACGACAAGTCCTATATTCAACGAGACAGCCGCTGTAAGGTAGCCTTGTACCTTTGGTAAGGAGCCAGCACCCACGAGTGCTAGTCGTTTTCGAGGTATTGGATTTGATGAAATCCAGGGGAAGGAAAGGCGTTTGACCAACTCATTGTTGATAACTGAAGATGAGCCACTGTTTTGGACAACTACTGCTCCGTAGCTGTACGACAGCAAGCTTGAAAAGTCCATCGACTGGTACTCTGTGGCAGCACAGCCTTGAATATGTTCGGCTGGCGATAAAAAGCCCTGTACTTTAGTTATATCCAGGCAGTCTACCATCCGTCGCTCAAGAAAGTCAGACTGGATTGTATATCCCGACTGAATCGGCAGCAGTAGCTTAACTAGGCTGTCATTTTCTGGGGCATTTTCTGCTAGGAACAACAAGGCTGTACATGGAGCAGATCTTCCAATTGAGACCTTGGTGGAGTCCTCGGGCGTTTTCTTAGAGTATATATTGAGAACTGCGGTACTGGTATCCTGTGGTAATATGTCGAGGTTCCACGCCCATGATATATCCAGATGTGTACTATGAGAGTCTGTTGAACTCTTAGATCAGTAAACGTTCTTATAGCGTTTAGGTATGGCTTGAACCCTTACCCATCTTTTTTTTTTAGTTCTCTTTGCCCTGCTCTTCCTCTGTGGAAAAATGGTTCCTCGTCCCTTTTGCTGGCACACTACACAGATTCAAGAGTCATTAGTTATCTGTAGATATACTGAGCCCATGAACAGAGCGCAAGGCTACAAACGGGCCAAGGGAATTTGAACACATTTACCCCGCTCCTCAGCTTCCTACAGCGCTAATGCAGTCACCATGGGATGCTCGAGGTGTTGGTTCTGACCTACCTCTATCCTGGTGTTAATATTTTGATGATGGCTGCGTGAACGTGCAGGCCCTCCTGCAACGCAGAAAATGGCCTAGCTGAGCGCCAGTTGCATGAGTCCATCATTTGTTAAGTTATAACAAGCCATTCCCCAGTGAAATGGCTTCGTCCCCAAACCCCAAATAATCCTGAGAACTTAGAGAACGGGGTACTGAGAGCACCGTAACCAGCTCGAGCCTCCAGTTCTAACCAGGACATTTAAAAATGACAACGAAAAACGAAACCTACGAAAAGCAGACTTGGATTAAGCCTTACGAATTGCGGCTGTAAACTTTGAGGATAAAGAGTATTATATAGACTTGGCGAGGTCATGTGACTAGGATATAAATGGCTGCTGCTAACAGTAACTAGCAATAATTAGTTAGTAAAACTAAGTAGGAAGGTCTATAAAATATAAGTTATTATCTTGATAGGCCATAATTTTTAAGAAATTAAAGTAAAGATATTTCTTAAGAGTAAGTATTCAGCTCATTAAGTTTTTGTGGCGTTGCTAGAAGCGCGAAGGCCGGTTTGGGTTAAAGTGGTTTTACTGCGCGACGCGTTTGACGCGAGGATAAGGATAAAGATGAGAAGAGTAAGGTGATGGAGGTGGAGATGAAGATGGAGATATTTCCTTGTTGTCTCTGGTTTATCTCCTGACCGTATATTGCTTCTTCCAGTTGACTTCAAGACGATGCTACGCGTAGGAAGAGAACTTGATCCTGTTGTATAGCTAAGGTTTGATTCTACTATAGATCCTCCATATGGGACGAGAGCGGCACATCGAGTATGGCATGCTTGTATGCTGCCAGATACGATGGTCTATGCATCCTTAGTCCAATGTATATATTCTAACATTCTAAATCTCGTCTCTGAAAGGGATGCTGTCCATCGCCCCTGACCTCTGGACACACTGAGCCGACGCCCTCGTCCCCCATCTGACAGCTTCCTCCGTAATCCGTCCGTATCTATCTTTCCATTCATCCGTCGTGAGGTCCGAACATGTCTTTCCCGAAGCCCGTCTTTGCTCTCTCCACTGCGCAATCTGAACAGAGTATCCGCCAACAAAGGTATCACCCGCTGCGGTAGTATCAACGACCTTATCTACCTTTGAGGCCGGAACCTCGCTGACGTATCTCACCCACTTGCTTGTATCTTGCTGAGCTACCTTGCCAGGCTCAGCTGCGCTGTACCATACCCCTTTCGCTCCCAGAGTGACGATCACATACCTCACGCCCAGTGAATGGAAGTGAGTGGCAATTCTATCCCTCCGTTCTTCCTGGGAGAGGGCCCCCTCTTGTAGCTTTTTGGGCACCATCAACTCACATTCCGTCTCGTTCATGATTAAGTGGTCGACAGAAGCGTATACGTCATCAGGTAGCCCGCCTTCCGGTGCTGGTGCTGGGTTGAAAACCACTTCAACGTCTCCTCCATGGAGCTTTTTCTTATCCGCCACCCCTCTCAGAATACCGGTAACCGTATCAATCGGGATTTCTGCTTGTAGAACAATAATATCCGGTAGGGGATCGGAGAGTGACAGTCCGATGGTTTCATCTGTAGCTTTCATGCCGGTGTAGTTTGCATTCGGCGAGAACAATATCCTATTCTCCCCAGCCGCAGAGGTATCGACAATTATCACGGCTACGCCCGTATGCTCCCCCTCTATAGTCCGTACTCGCTCCGTGCTTACGCCGGAGCTGGAGAGTGTAGGCTGTAGCAATGTGCCGAAGTGTGCGTCCAGCCGGCCGACGGCACCGACCATTTCGACGTTTGCCAGCACAGCCGTCGGCGAAGACGATGAGGATGAAGGCCGGGATCGAGAAAGACGACCACAGGCAACGGCTTGGTTGGCTCCTTTGCCTCCTGGGCTGGTCGTGAAGGATGTTGCCGTCAGTGTCTCTCCAGGGCCGGGGAACCGGGGGGTCACCGAGACCATGTCCACGTTCAGCGAACCGATAACACGAATTGACGGAGCCATGTGTATCTATTTTATGACAGACTTGCTCTCGACTGATCGGTTGTACTGTCTGTCTGTCAAGTAAAATATCTTCAACCTTCGGCGTAACGAGGTGGGGTTTTATACAATATATAAAAATCCGTCGTCAGTATCAAAATTGCCCCGAATGGTGATAAAAGGCTGGTGATACAACGATATAACACACACGTACGGGTGAAAGTCGCCTCTCCGGTGATACGTACTATGTACATACACTGCTTCATCAGCCTTTGGATCATCGTGAGTTCTGCTTGGCCTGACGTCAAGGCTTATCCGAGAGCCTCACCATAACACCTAGATCCATGTCCTATAGTTACGAAGCGCTGGGGAAAAGTTAGAGATGTTTAACTTGACCTGAGATGTATTCGGCCTGAGATATCTTTTTTTCTTAAGAGGGAAAAGGGGAGAACCTGTTCGATTAAAAAGCTGTCAAAGAACAACACCGACTAGAAGCTGATGTATGAACGAATGAAAGTCATTGTACAGTGAACCGTCCACCAGGTCATAACCGTTATTAAACGTCTAAAAAGAAAACTCCATAGGAAGCCCGGTCATCAATCATCAATCAGCTATCACATCACAGCCTTGCCTTCTCCCGTTTATTAAAATTGATTGCCTTGTTGATAGCCAGGTCGCTGACTTTGACGGCTTCCTCAAACTCATACGATAACGCATCCTCAAAGGAAGGAGAGTTGTAAGCAGCATTATAACATGCCTTTCGGTCCGCATTCAGACACTCCTGGGGCACGGCGGCCAAAGACCGCGCCAGCTTCATGGCTTCCTTGAAGGCCTCCCCCTTCGGCACCACCTTGGCGGCCAGCCCTATGTGCAAGGCCTCAGTCGCTCCCACCGGCCGGCCGGTGAGCAGGATATCCAACGCTCTCCCCAGGCCAATGATCTCCTGAAGCCGGACCGTCCCGCCATCCAGCAACGGCACTCCAAACCGTCGACTGAATATCCCGAAGATGGCGTCCTCTTCAACCACTCGAATGTCGGCTAGCAAACTTAGTTCCATGCCTCCCGCAACAGCATGGCCTGATATAGCGCAAATGACGGGCTTCTCGATCTGCATCCGTCCCGGCCCTAGCGGTGCTTCGTTTCTTCCCTGCACGGGCTTGAAGTGCGAGCGGGTGATGCTCTCTGCCTTGGATCTGTCGGTGCACTCGTCTGGTTTATCCCACTTCCTGAGCTCGCTGAGGTCGAAGCCAGAGCAGAACGTGCCCCCGGTACCATGGAACACACATATCTTCTGGCTGGAGTCCCGTTCAAAGTCAAGAAAGGCTGCTCGTAATTTCGTGGCGGTTGGCGGATTTATGGCGTTTTTTCTCTCTGGTCTATTGATCCCGATCGTGGTGACGCCATCTGCTGTCTTCTCGACCACTATCGAGTCAGGCTCAGGATCTGGAAGAGGCATCGTCTGAGGCATATATTATTATTATATATTATAATTATTATATGTCACCCTTTTTTTTTATCTTGGGTTTTATGAGAGAGGAGTTACTCGGAGAAAGATCTGCCCTGGGAAAAAAAAAGGGAACGCCCGCATCTCTTTTAAACCAAACAGGCTCCCTATAAAAGCCGGAATGTGCCACCCTTCAAGGCCACACACCCTTCTACCATGGACCTGGAGATGCGCCAACCGAGTGAATTATCAATAAGCAATGGGGACTTTTACGACGCCGGTCTCAACACTTGCATGGCCTGACCCGGTTAAACCCCCAAACCTAAGCATATTTTATTTTTCCTCCATCGAGACCGAGCTTGGGCTTGCTGGGCTACATCCTAAATCCTTCCAACCTTTTCGGTCATAAGAACAAAAACACTCCTCGTCTTGCTCTCCTCGTTCATTCGGCGTACCCCAATTTTTAGGTGCATATCACTACTCCTTGGACGGGTCGAGCCAGTTTTGTTGCACACCTCCCGGAGATGGACATCACGGTTGCGATGGTTCTTCGTCAACGACGAACGGATGTTTAGTTAAACACGACCAGTTAACTGTTCATATCCGGTTTTTCTTAAACAAAGGAATCCTTGTTCCACCGCGCTTTGGAAAGCGAATCGTTTGCTATTTCCATGGGTGCTATTAACGGGGATAATATAGGCGTTTGTACCATGTAGGTCCCACCGGCATTTCTTCAGCTGATTTGATATGCTTCGATTGCTGCCACATGCAGGCTCCCCAAGGTATCCCGGTCATTCGCCCTCTCAAGATATGTAAGTACATATACACAGTCTTACGTGCAGCGAGTTGTCGGGTTCGGATCGTCCCGCTAAATAGCATGTCACCAGGGATACTTATTCATGCAAAGCGAACCACGTAGCTGCGAAATACATGATCAGAAGATGTCGACCAAGCCAGCGATGCAGCATCAGTGAGGGGGGAAACCCCGGTCTATGCAGCCTCAACATTGGTTCTTTTTTTCCTTCTCTCACACAGCGGCCTTTTGCTCTTCGAGCCCATTGGTTCATTTGGAGATCCTAACACTAGCTTGTTCTCTCTCTCCTCTCTTTTTACTTCTTAACGATTAACGACTTTGGTCGTTCCACGGTTTAGGCAATCAAATCAAGTCTGCTCCCGGTTTGTGTCTTGGGTAAAGATGACGCACTCAAAACCTGAGCAGAACAGAGTAACAAGGCTAAGTAAATATAAGACTACGCCCGTTATCGATGTGCTGTTGTCTTGGAAGGTCAAGTGTTTACTATGTAGGGTGCTGGGGTTGCTGGAATTTTACTCTGTAGCCAATAGTAGAAATACAATATGATAGAATCGACGCCATCTTGTCCACAATCCAATTACCTGAACGCCTATCATGAGCCGTAAAATTAGAAAAAGTTTTTACATATAGTCTATCGAAGCGGCGTCATGGTACCCTGCATGTGTTAAAACCAAGGCGGTGCTGTCGCTTTCCGAGAGGCAAACAAGCCAACTCCGAAAACCTGTGGCAAAGGCAACTCCGTACGACGTATATTGCACATTTACATTTAACGCACTAAGTATAGCGGCAGCAGGGAGGGGGTGTTTAATATATATTAAACTGGGGGGTTTGTGGAAAAGGCGTTAAAAAAGGAAGGTGATCGGAGTTGCTTTCAAGGCCCGCTCCTATAGATCTGACCACCCCCAGCTCTGAACTGGATGCTTTCTCTCCGCTGCAGGACCAATAGCGCACGGTTTAATGCTTGCTCATTATAGTTGCGACCATCCACAAATTCGCGCCGTAGTGTGGCCAGACTTGTAGTCCACCCAATAGGTAGTCGTCGCTTAAGTTCGTCTTCGATCTTACTCACCTCTGTTGACAGTTCCTTACTCGCCTGGCCATCTCCATGTACAGCGGCGTCCATGGTCGAGGCCAGGAACAGTCTCACTGCCTCGTCAACGTGCTCTTCCGTTGCAACGGGAGAGAGTGACAACTTTGCCAGGGATTCGGTGATACGTATTACAGCCTCGAGCTGTCGTACCGTGATTGGTATAGAAGACCTTGCATTAGCGTCGAGCTCAGCTTGATGCACCCTCTTGCGGATAGAGACAAAGTGGGATGAGAGTTTCTCTGAGGCTTCTGGAGAGAGCCTCGGAGCACAACGGCTGTCGTTATGCTTGATTAGCTGGGTTGATCCCATGGTCGTAAAACCCCGCATATTAGACGAGGTGAGATGACATATACTTACGATTTACAGTAACTGATATACCTCTTCATCTTCTCGAGGGGTATTTCTGCCTCGGTCTGCTCCTCGATGCCTCGTCCGCCTTGGTGGAGGCTTATGATGTGTTTGGCCATATTCTGGTCTCGCCCTCTCTCGTGAGCATCACGCACGATGAAAATCATGTCAAATCGAGAGAGGATTGTTGTCTGGAAGTCAATGTTCTCCCCAGCCGTTTTCATGTCGTCATATCGCCCAAACACGGGGTTAGCTGCAGCAAGGACGGATGTCCTAGCATTCAATATGGTGGTGATTCCTGCCTTGGCAATGGATATCGTTTGCTGTTCCATCGCTTCGTGGATCGCAACTCGATCCTCGTCCCTCATTTTGTCGAATTCATCAATGCAGACAACGCCGCCATCTGCGAGAACCATTGCGCCCCCTTCTAGGTAGAACTCGCGAGTGGTTGCGTCACGCTGTACCGAGGCAGTAAGACCGGCTGCAGAGGATCCTTTGCCGGACGTGTAGATGGCAATTGGCGATACTCTCTCGACGAACTTTAGGAGTTGTGATTTCGCAGTACCTGGGTCACCGAGAAGGAGAACATTTATATCACCACGTAGCTTCATGCCGTCAGGCAGTATCTTTTTCGAACCACCCATAAGTAGGCATGCAATAGCCTTCTTTATGTCACGGTTACCGTAAATCGACGGCGCGATGCAATCAGTAAACACTTCGTATAGGTCAGGCCGCCTACTCATCTCAAGAAATTCTTGCTCCTCCTCTTCAGTAAATACACCGGTTCCCTTGGCCGTCTGATCAACGTCACTCATGATCCCGACTGCTCGGAGATATGGATTTCGTATAGCTGGCGCCGAGTTGTTGGATCTTTTGCCTCCCTTGGCCTGGTAAATGGAGAAAACTCCCATAACCGTACATCGCGTACCTGGAACGACCCGATTGGCAAGGTATCTATCAGCGGAAATTAAGATATGTCGTGGTAGCTCTCCCACCGGGACCTGGTCAGGGGCTTCTTGGAGCTTAATGATCTGTTGGTCGACAAACTGACACTTTTCGTGTACAATAAAGTAAGGGTCTATAGGACACATGTCTTCGTTCGGCTGCCTCACTCGTTTACATGTTCGTGGCAAAGTAAGGCCTGAGAATCCTCCTTCTACGACGATGTTATCTGGCTCCTGGCAGTGCCGGCATTGGATATGGACCACGGTAGCTTTGGATGAAATAGTGGATGCTCCAATAACGATGCCCGGTATGCGAACCAGGCTTGATACGTTTGAAGCATTGAGGTCTCGTATGGAAATTAGAGATACGCTTGAGTGAAGGAGGAGCTGATGCTCTGGTAGTTCGATATCTCTTTGAGATGGATAAACGATTTTCTGTGTACATTGTTTTAGGGCGGCTTCGAACTATGGAAACAACCCTTGTAAGCATGCTGTATAGTAGTAATGGTGCAATATACATTACGCACTAGAGGAATTGTATCTTGTGGGTTAGTTGTGAGTCTATGGGCAAGCTCTTCGTTATACGCGATTAAATGTGCGACGTCGACATCACATAAATATCTGTTGACAAGGACATTTTGTCGGATTTGATCTCTATTGCCAAGGCAGAAATATTAGCGCAAACAGTTCACCCGCTACTATATTAGTATAATTGTGAATCTCACCGGTAGACAAAAGTATTATCGATCTGGAAAGCAAGGATAAATTCTCGCAGCTGCGCTTGAATGTTGCTTCTGGCTTCGTCTGGCCCATCTGCTTGTGGCTGCAGCACGCTCAGAGAGTAAGGCGTCCTTCGATCCATTATCACTGCGCACCGTGTATAATGTATGATATATGAATTGTTAAGCTGTGCTGAGTTTAAGAGGCGTGACGGTATGAAATTATCTCTTGAAGCTGGTGAATTTGCTCTCAAGCGGGATGTTTGAAGATCGCAGAAAAAAATAACTTATGGACGCGTCGCGCGCTTCTTCAACCGCGTAAAGTGGTTTTTCCACATTCTTGGCGGCGGCTAATATTTCTAAAGAAAGCTACATGTAAAAGAGATGGAGATGCTCATGGATGAAACATTGTTAAATATGACCTGCAAATGTATGTTCATGATAAGCATGTAGTAAAAAGAAAGAAAAAGGGGTATATTTAATTATAAAACTTTATACAATCGAAATCAGCAAGAAGAACGCCTGGCTTCTCAGAAAAGCATTCATTTTCCACCTGTCCTCAACTCGGATTGCGACGTTGCGTCCATCGAGTGTAAACTTATCCTCGAACTGCTGTATCTGGAAACGTTGGCGGATAACACCCCCATTTTGCCTTTGCTCAAGTTGCTGAACTCCAGGTCGCCATTAACCACTGTTGTGGCCTGGCTGCTATCCATCATTCTGGCCTTACTATTACCCGCACGGCGGTTTCTCTTCAATTGTGAGAATAGTGAGGAGGCCGCATCTCGCTGAGACAGAATGCTGCCGAAGATAGGGGTGAGGAAGCGCGAAAAGAACGGCTTGAGGGTTGGCATTGATGCAGCAATCTAGACAAATATTAGATTCGTGTTTGCCTGCAAGTCGGTCAGTTGGTACTTACAATGCCGAGGTACATCTCGACTGTTGCAGCAACCCAGAGCGGATAAGCGTCCCATGTCTTATCATAGGATCTGCTCAGACGGTAGGTAAAGAAGGCCCGAATGGAGCCCGATATGACGATTATAAAGCCAGTTCCGAAAAGAAGAGCAAGGATAAACCGTTGTCGGGCATATAGCTTGAGGGACATGACAGTTGGAATTGGCAGGAGAACAACGAGTAAATCAGTCAACGTGTTGATGACACCGCTGGCACGAAGATGAGCACCTTCGTCAATGCAATTTTGAGGTTTAGTTGATAAGGTCCAGTAGAGGTGTATGGGGCTGGAGTACTTATAGATTAGCAGGCGAAATAGAGGAGAGGCAAGAGCAGGAAAGGACTTGAATGTAGCAACGTACTTGCAGGTGAAAATGACAAAAAAGACAAAGATAATGGTATAAACTCCAATAACCGCCATAGTGATAATGACAATATTTTCCAGCATTTTGTTCGCGCTGCCCTTCATGATTCTCAAGGTAAAGGCTAGGAGCGACAGTTTCGTGAACCCAACACCGATACTGAAGAAGACCTCCACGACAATGACCAACTTCAATCCAAGCTGGAGCTGATTAAATGGCACGTCGTAAACGTGTCGATTCCAGCCGAGTTTGAGGGCTGCCCAAGCCGTAATAAGACCACAGACAATGGCGGGAACTGTAGCGATGATGATAAGTATGTCGTCCGCGCCAAAGCTTCTCGAGATCCGGAGACGTGTGTATATGCGAGCAAAAAGGAGAAATAGCGTCAAAGGCACAAATATCATAGTCAATATGAGAATGGCCGGACCGTGAACTTCTGATGGATTCTCATAGTTTGGCTTCGGCCATGCGAGAATGACAGAGGCCGGAGGAAGCTGCATCGTGTGTTGGACTTTGATAAAACTGTTTATGATAAAACAGTGAATCGGAGTCAGGAAACAGAAGAACAGGACGTCTGTGCCATGACATATATAACATATATATACTTTCTTCATAAATATAAACGAGTCAAGGGGCCACCTTGAACTTCAACAACGTTGGCGACTTGATCAGCAACAACAATAAACAGGTCGTAACGAGCTAACTAGTCATCGTCTAGGCCTTTTGATCTCGGTTACGAGAACTGCTCACTGATGGTTTATTATGTACCTGGTTTGATATCGATAGAACGACCTTAGCCCCATCGACGATGCTTCTAAATGATGTAAAGAGGCGCTAGGCAGAGATATCTCGATCACAGCTGTGGTCTGGGGTAATAATACATGCCCGTGGATTGGCTGCTTGCAACTGATCTGACATGGCGATCCTCAATAGAAGGGATGGAACTTTCGGCCCTGGTAGTGTTTTGCAGGGATGACCCTTGAGGCGGAATTATAGAGGGTGATGAGAGTCGTTTATCGATAGAAAAAATGGAGCAAATACGAGAAATCGGCAAAAATGGAGAACTTGACGTTTCGCCTCCTGACTGCGAGTCAGGTTTCCACGTTCTCCTGGGCGTAGTCGTGTCTTTTTAAAAACCAAATAGTGTGTACTCCGTACTTGGCTCTGGAAGAGCGGCGTGGGTACCCGTCTGTTGGCCGCACTCTGTTCAAGAAGGACGTTTTATTCCGCGTTATCGGCCTGCAAGCCGACTTGGCCAGATGTTATAGAGTATGAGCATCTATGGTAGTTAATATACCTGTCTTCCCAAGGTCGTGGATCTGTTTTCTTTGTCATAGCGCCCAAAGACGAGGAGCTCCAATAGTAGGCGAGCCCTGCTGTTTTACCAATAAGGACGAAGCTCATTCACACTGCCACCACCCTTCTGTCAGGGCTCCCTCCCTCCTCACTGGCTAAAGACTCCGGAAAAGTCGAGGATACCCTCTCAGTTGTAACGGAGCCTGGTAGGGTGAAACGAAGTCGGTTATTTGAATCCCATATTTCGAGTACATAATCGTTTTTCAAGAAGGTTCGCCGCCCCCTTAAGTAGCGCCTGGGCGTTGCATAACCATATGGAGTACTCCACGAAGTACTCCATACGGAATATATAGCTAACTTATGGAAGATTGGTTAGTTATTTCGCCTCTTGTCTCTGCATCTTTTTCCGCGGTATGCACAGTGATCCTGAAGGGGGTAGCCTGACCATCACCAGTTCGGACTTTGATGTACTCCGTCCGAGATCGAACCATCACAGCCTCTCGGTGGAGGACATCCAGCGACCCCTCGGACGTAACTATGGCCTTGGCCCTGCTTGGAGTATGCTGCTCTCTAGGGGTCGCTGTTATTTCCTCCAAATATTACTCAGGCAGATGTCAAGTGATCAATCGGCAAAACCTACTTTACTCCGTAGTTATAGAGCGAACAGTGGTTCTCTAGGGGATGGGGGTGGAGGGGGAGATCGATATTTGATGTGCATCAGTGAGCAACTGATATCCGTATTTGATGCCCATTTGTTATGCTTCTTTGGCTAACTTGTAGTAGGTCGATTAGCGGCCTTCGTCTTTGCCGATGCTCGTCAACTGACTTACTAGCGTCTTCATTTTGTGATTCAGGCTAGGCGTTTGGGTGCACTATCCTTCCTGCTCAGTTCAAATGCGTGCGGAGTCGATATATACTGTTACTCAAAGCAGTCATATGTAGAGCTAAGCAAGTTTCTAAAGAAAAAAGGGGTGTAACAGGTGGACATCAAATTTCCATATAACAGTCTTCATTATCCACCCCGGCCAAGAAGGTATACCCCTAGGCGCGCGGTAGTGGTCAGACTGGATTAAACGCCTGAGTAGTCCTCCTCGCGATCGAGCCTTGTAGACCGCGCAAAGTTGACAATCTTAGGCATATTCCTCAGCATTCAAAGAGAACCAAAGTTAGTGTGGAAGCGATTTACTGATCGGCCTGTTGGGTCAATTTATTTTGACTCATTGGCATGTCAAAGAAGAAGCCTATGAAATCACTAAACACAACTGGATCGTCAAGCAAGATCAGAATGGTCTCGAGCTCCAGTCCCATAAGATTATAACTGTAGGGTGGATATTATCTGTGCAGGAAATCCAGCCTACAAGGGTCAGCTTTACAGCCTGTGCGAAGGTAGCCTGATCCACTTGGAGAAACCGGCTTTATATCTTGACTGGAGAAAGGGGATTAATTCCGTCTTTGAATTGTACCCGGTTTGATAGCATTATCACGCACTATCCAATCAGGTCTTTCACACCTTCCTTGGATCCTGCTGCGGACTTCTAGTTCGAAGTTCGGACCACTGGAGACATACTCCTTACTCCATTGGCCGGTCTGTCGTCCTGAGCAGAGCTCCTCTTAACCACGGTTGTGTTTGTCGCTGGGCTGTAGACTGCCTCATCGGATTGGTTGAATTGGTTCAATTTTGACGTTGAAGAGTTCCGGTTTATTCTGACTATAATTCAGGTAAATGTATCTTCCTTGTCTGATACCTTGATCCTTCCGTCCACTATGCCTGACTTTTTAATGGTTAACATGTAAAAGTCTCTCATCCGTGGCATGTTCACGCCCCTCCGTATTTTCCGTGATAACTCCGTGAAGCTTATCTGTTGACTCTTCACCTTTCCCACCATATCCCTCAGGATCCAAGAGCTATCGTTTGAGGATGTTCTCTGGTTTTTATAATTGCCACCCTTGCTTCGATGGAGGTCGTGGTCGCGGTTACCGGGGTGGAGGCCATGTAGGAAGGTGGTTTTCCATGGCGTATTGCTACCTGGTTTTCCCGGAGAGTGAGAATCCCGCCCTCCTTGTTTAGGGACGATAGGCATAACCAACATGTTCTTATGTTTATCGTTTTGTATCAAAAAAAAAGTTAGATAAAAAAAATATTAATAATAAGCTTCATATCACGGTACTCCGGATAAATATATTTCATAAGCCGTGAGATAACCGAAAAGGGGTTAGATGCCAAGGCCAAGAGTTCCCCAGACCGAAAGCGGGTTGGTCCAAGCTCAAGAAAACGCCCAGTCGTTGATAATTATAACATTGCAATCAATCCTTCATACTTCCAACCACCTAACCACTCCTTCTGACATCTGCATTCTACGTTGTGCTATGAACTGAGAACCGAGAATCGAGCGTCCAAACTTGTGCCCCCTGGATGCTAGGCAACCCCGTTCATCGGCCCCTAACCTGCCGTCATGACAACAAGGCCCTAATTGCTGCCACATGATCTCCGGGTCCGACATGACCTCGCCAGACTCTAGAAGATCGGTGGATAGCTTACCATTATCGTCTCCAAAGTCCTCCGTGTCACACCAGGCCCCCTTTCCACAACCAGAGAACGGTAACAAACCTGTACCACGGCCCCGATATGGGTCTCGCAGGAGCTCCAATGCAAGCTCGATTACAAGCTTGGGATCATCCTTCCATCCGCCATTACTACAGCAGCGGCAACAGCACGGATCGATAGCGGAAGCCGGGCAAAATGGTACGTGTTTGGCTTCTGAAGTATTGCTAAGCGGGGTCCTAGCTAACAGTTATCTTTACCGGTAGCAATCTCTACCCTTCTTCAACCTCCAATTGTCCGGACTGGACTGCTTCCCCATACTTCTGCACCCCCTAGTGGCTATAAACCACCTTCGGCTCGCGATATACCTCCGGTTACCCTGACGAATATTCCACATGTCGATTCTGCGTCCTTTCAGCCATATCTATTGCAAGTTGGGTCGTTATACGATGCGTTATACCACGCAAAGGAAAATGGAGACCATGACCCGAGTATAATAAGAAGAAATACACCATCTTTGGCATCGCCGGAACTTGACCAGATACTCAGTAAGGCGCTCGATGGGCGTCAGTCAGGGTCTTTTTCATCCACGCCTCTTGACTCCTCTGCGCAGCGATCTCGGCCTTCATCCAGCCATAGGTCGGCACTCTGTCCCACACCGCTATCTACAATACCAAACATTTATTTTGATGAAAATTTTCAGCTTGAAAACCCCAGGACATTCGACATAGTATCAGAGCGATCTGAGGTTATCAGCTCTCCAAAAGGTCCCGAGCGGCCTGGTTCAGTGGATGACTCAACTTCAGATCGACGGCCTAGCAGAAAAGCCCTCGCCACAAACGCAATATTACAGGAGAAGCTCTCATGGTATCTAGACACAGTGGAAATACACCTCCTTTCGTCGATATCGACAGCCTCGAAGTCTTTTTTCTCAGCACTAGGGTCCCTGCGGGATCTCCATACCGAAGCAGCAACATCTGTGAATAATATTAAAGTCCTACGCGAAGACTTGGCAAAATTGGACGCTGATATGGCCCAAGGAGGATTGAAGGTAGTCAAACTCCAACGTCGACGTGAAAACGTGAGAAAACTAGCGGACGCGGTTTGTCAACTACAAGAAGTCATTTCTTCCGTATCGAAATGCGAGAAACTTATAGATAGCGGTGACCTTGAAGACGCCATTGACGAACTTGATGATGTCGAGCGGCTCTTGGTTGGTGAAAGGCCGATCAAATCACGTCAATACCTTACGGACACAGATAGAATTATAGACTTACGTGGAGTTGATGCACTTGATCGTGCATCGGATGATTTTGCTCAGCTCCGATCTTACATAGGTGCTGGGTATGAAGGCAGATTCTTAAACATCCTTTTAGAAGACCTTCGCCGGCATGTCGAAAGCTCCTCTCCAGAAGTGACATTACTTCGACTTGGCGTAGCTTTCCAAAGGACTCGTCGTGGCCAACGGAATACTCTGCCCAGTGCACCAGCCTACATGACTGTGGATAACGACATGCGGTCGTGTCTACAGAAGGAGCTCTCAGGACTTGGTCGAGCTCGCTATACAATGACAGGCGCTACATCCTTCAAAAATGCGGTTCTCCGGGAAATGAAGAATATAATTCGTCGTCATCTTCCTAGCTCGACCGATGAGGATAATGAATCAATCATGTCTGCTTCAACACATGGCGGTAGACAGCTGAGCCAACAAGAAAAATCGTCTATCTTGGCTCGTAACTTACGCTCTTTGGACCCGGATGACGCTTTCTCGATGCTCACTACTATATATACTGGCATTAGTGAGGCGTTGCGTAGACTCAGTGTCCAAGTCAAGGTCTTGCTTGATATCACCAGCAATTTGGGGAGCTCACCAAACTTAGTGAAATCTCCGACTAGGAGTCAAAGCTCGCAAAGCTTAGATACAATGGCCAATGTTCCGTCACCAAATACCCTAGCAAGAGATGAGATCCTCCAAGTACTGGATATGTCAAGCTTGCTTGGCCAGGCTGTTGATATCGTTCAATCACAAATTGTAAAGGTGTTAAAGGTTCGAGGTGGACAGATCGAGTTTTTCACCCTTGAGCAATTTCTTCAATATTTCACGTTGAACAGGCTTTTCGCAGAAGAATGTGAGGCAATCTCGGGAAGGAGCGGCACGGCTCTAAAAACGGTTGTTGATACTCATATCAAGAATTATATGTCCAGTTTTGGAGATGCCTGGAAACATCGCATTGTCCAGGTTATGGATTTAGATAAATGGGATGCAAAAGATTTTGGTGATCGCGAAAATACCTTCCTATCCCGTGTTTTGGGGGCTAGCACACACGATGCAGATGTGTGGAATGCAACCTCTAGGATCTGGGGAACTGGCGAAAATGACTCAGAGCAACCTCAAGACTCCAAAGAGGCGGCTGTAAACGGCTCAGGGACTAGCAAAGAACGAGTTCGAAGTGCAACTATCGACGAACAGAAATTTATTCTTCCAGAGTCCGCATTTTTAATACTGCAAGCCATCGAAGAGTTTCAACATTTCATGGCGGGAATACCGAACGTGGTCCCGGACATCGCTCCTATTTTACTCGACTGCCTTAAATTGTTCAATTCAAGGACCTCGCAATTAATTCTTGGTGCTGGAGCAACAAAAAGTGCTGGGTTGAAAAATATCACCACCAAGCATCTTGCTCTTGCATCACAATCCTTGAGCTTTATAATTGCAATTATTCCCTATGTTCGGGAGTTTATTCGCCGACATTGCCCGTCAACTCCTGTGATGGGTGAGTTCGATAAGGTAAAGCGGCTTTACCAAGAACATCAATCTGGCATCCATGAGAAGCTTGTTGATATCATGAGTTCTCGTGCCTCTGTTCATGTTACCTCTATGAAGAAGATGGACTGGGATGCGGAGTCGAATACCAATGCTGTCAGCCCTTACATGGAGGTTTTGGCCAAGGAGACTGGAACTTTGCATAGGGTCCTGTCGAAGCATTTGCCAGAATCACTTGTTGCAATGATCATGGGCCCTGTTTTTGCAAGTTACAAGGATCAATGGACTGATGCATTCCAACAGGCACCACTAAAAACTGAGAAAGCTAGACAAAGGTAAGTGGATGTTTAACACTACTATAATACGCATCGGCTAACATATCAATCAGGATGTTGTCCGACGTCCAATTCCTTCGGTTAAAGTTGGAAAAACTCGATGGTGGAAGTGAACTTGCAGGCCATCTTACTTCAATAATTGAAGCAAAACATATTGCGGCTAGTACATCCTCTCCTTCCTCTAATTCTGGATCACCGGCTGTCCCTAGCCGCGACGCCTCAACCTTACCAAGTACCGGCGAGGGAAACGACTCTCACGACTCTTAAAAACGCCATGTTACTATTATTACTATATTTTATTTTACTGTTTTGCTAGCTCGCTTGCCCCAATTAAGCGATGGATTTAGATGGCATATATTATACCTTGAGGAGTTGAATGCTTATACACTTACCCAAAACTTCTTCGTTATCAGCGTCAACTGATATATTTCAGTGACTACACTTATATTTCTTCACCTTACTCCCTTTCCCTTTTCCATTTCTTAGTTAGCATTGTTAGCACCGTTGTCATGTATATTATTGAATGCTCAATGTTTTTTCCCCTTCTGGGGGATATTTTGCCACTGTTTATTCTGCAGCTCTGCCTTCCTTACTGACACCTGAGTTGCTAGTAAGCAGGAGCCTTATGGGGAGAATTCGGTACGATTTAAATACCCTTCATTGTTAGTACGTGAAGGGATGGGCTCCTACGCGACCAGAATCGATCTTTAAACACACTCGTTACATCTGCTTATGCGTTACCACTATCATTAACTTGGTTCTAGGTCTGCTTGCCGTTCGCTACTTTTGCCCTTTCCTTCCCCTAGCTCTAAAGACTAGAGCTTCTTCGGGTGTGGAAACAGAATATATCCTTATGGCGGCGGCTTTAGATCCAGTTTCCATGGTGGCAGATCTCGGGTTTCGTAGTGGCATGCCAAAGCGACCTGTCAACGAGCAGACTGTTCGCTGGGCTATTCACGCTGCAGAAGTTATCCTCCAGCATGAAGTTAGCCCTCCCACAAAGCAGAAAATAAAGGATTACACCGCTCATGGCCACCGGTGGATGAGCAGCGTCGACAGAGATACCTCACCAGCAGTACATATGCTCTTGTCCGACTTTATTAAGCAGACAGTGGATACCTATTTTACTACATGCCATCCAGAAATTCATATGATTGAAAAGGTCTCGAGCATCGCGTTGAAGGCAGCGAAACTTGTGGACCTGGAACCTGGCACCAGATCTGGCGTTTATTCCATGTTATTTGAATACGTGGATGTTATGGAGCCTATACACAAGATACTCAACTGCAGGAAATGTTTTGCACCAGACGCCTATAATATCGGCCGACCAGTGAAGGATGACGGAAAAGTGTTCTGGCCGAAGGTTACACAAGCAATCCTATCCGATAAAAACACTCGGGAAAGCCTTCCTTTAAACTACGTTCCTCCGGGCAATCACCATGGATGGGATGAGACATGTACTCCAAGCTTCGAAGAAGCTCGTCGGATTAGAGCTTGGCTACGCCGAACATGCGATATCGTGGGTTGGAAAGTTGATGATATAGAATGGCAGATTATCAACTATGCTAGCTTCTACGAAACTCCCTGTGGCCCCAGGATGTCTATTCGTACCGGGCAATGGCGCCAGCTTGGAATGCATACTGTCACTACACGCGAGTGCATGTCTAAGATGATAAGTAACTGCAGCAGCCCGGCTCAAGGCTCCAAGGTTATGGCGGTTTGTCCCTACGCAAATCGAGTCCTTGACTTGGTGGAGAAGAAGTGGTTTACTTCCCTAAAATCTCCGATAGGAGACGCGCTTAGTGACGCCGCGGTGTCTCTACATGCAGCCGTGGATGTAAAGGACAGTTATACCAAGGGTTACTGTAACAAATTCCGACAAGTGTCGTTGTTTGATCATTCCCAACTCATCATCACTGAGCCACTCATGCCCTCCCGGCCCTTTGGGTATGGCACCAAGAACAAGTCTCTAAAACAATTGATGGGAGACGAAAAATATTCTAGTGGAGCCTCAGGTCGCCCCAATTAGGCATCATGAAAGCTTTAATATGGAATTTGACGGTTATTCTGAAGGCGAAAGCCAGCTAATAAGGATTCTGACTTCTCAATGGAATGAGCATTGTTTGGTTATCGTTTTTGCTCTTTTCTTTTTATACTGCACCTCTCTTTTGGTTAATTGATATGCAATAGGAAGTTATTACTAGAAGAAATAGACATGGAACCCACTTCAATCCTACTATGTATGCAAAGTCACCACAAAGTGCCAGTTGCGGGCGTATATTCCCCGAACGGCATTAAGGGAAAATCCACGCCCCCATAGACTTTGGGGGTACTGTGATATAAAATAATCTAATGGCTGCAAAGATTAAGTTTAGTATTCAATATTCCAAAGGTAAATAGTAACCAAGAAGAATGGACATCCATCCATCAAAGCATCTATACACTTGGCCCTTCAGAAGTCTCATAAGCAAGATGTAAATCGCTATTCCCAGATTTTCTTCTCAAATCACAGCTAGACTCCTTTTCCGAGGGATCCTCTGACGGGGAAACTGCCAGCTCACTCTCATCGGTGCCTGGAACCCGCTTCATCCAGGTAAATATACCATCGATGAAGCGCTTCCCCTCATGCACTCCAGGTCTATCATTTTCTGCCATTACCTTCTCTTCGAGCTCTTCTTCGGTATCGTAGCTAGCTTCTTCATCACACTCGCAATCATCCTCAAGTGATAAGTCCAAGCTAATTGTTCCATCTTCAATTCCTGTCCGGAGTTCGTTTGGGCAAATCAGGTCATATGCCTCGATTAGCAGAGATAATAGTCTCCCTTCGTCAAGGTCGTCGACTAGCTCAGTGCTGGCCACTGATATGAAAGACATGTTGAACGGTTTGGAGAAAATATCTCCTTCATCGATGAGGATCTCTATAGAGTCTGAGTCTGTTTCTGATATGTCTTCACTGTCATAGCTGGCTGTCGTTTCGGTTATAGGTGGGGAGTGCTCCAGCAAACTTGCGGGTGGGTCATTTGTAGAGATGTCGCTTGGATCTGAGTATTTTGATGCAGGAGATGATACTGCTTCTGCTTCCATATCCTCAGAAGATTGGGACGTGTTATGTGAAGGATGAGGGCAGTTCTTAGTAAGAGTGACTTCTAGGGTTTGCGCTTCGAGGTGCGGTGGTAAAGGAGGAAAGGTGGACTCCATCGCAGAACAAGGCTGGGGCTGTGGTATGTCTTTAGTTGTAGTATTTCTCTTTCGAAATAGACAAGTAAAAATGTTGAATATCTGGGATATGTAGAGTAAACCACGGCCGCTATGTTGATACTGAGGGCAGCCGGATCAGCTCTATGCTCTTCACTTGCGATGCTCAGGCTTGTAGGGTGGTGGAGTGACTCCTGACCAGAGCAAGGCCAGATAGATATAGGCTAGATATAAGGCAAGGGGAATGAACAGGGACACAACAATATCTAGATTATCACATAGAAGGGTTGTAATGTTCCATATGCTAGTAAAGAAATGGAGCGAGCCTTACCTTTGTCCATGAATGGCACAGTGAACAATATCTTTTATCAACCCCCATTGTTTTGATCTCCTTGTTTAAACACACATCTCTGAGCAGGGTCTGGCAAGCAAAGTATGAGGGTCTCTCCGGTGTTGAACATAGGTTGTGGGATGTAACTTGTCGCCAGTTGCTAGCAGGGGACGCCAAAGGTGATATTTCGAAATAACAGACCCCAGCCTACCGACGCACGACCATAAAAGAGAAGAGATGACCTCGATATTCATTCAGCCTCTTCGTGAGCTATATTACAGTCAGCGGAGGCTAGTGAAAAGTGTTAAAGTGGTAAGTGGGCTTCTTCACAGCCCCCCCAGCACTTACTGGACTTTAAATAGTTACGTACACAGTAACTGACTGCATCCTGGGCATATAAAGTTCTCTGGGAGTGGAATCCAATGTCGGGAGAAGGGAATATACGACGTGGTGTGTAGATATCCGAGATAATAGGGTGGTGAGTGCACACGGTCGCTGTTGTTGATAGCGAGAGAAAAGGCAGCTCCTAGAGAGGAAATGCAGGAGCAAAATAGCAAACAAATATAGCAAACTTCACTCCTACTATTATTATCAGTGCCTTTTCGCTTTTCAATCTCTTAGAGTATAAGAATTGCTGTTTCTTTGCAGAGAATAGACATCAGATTATTTGTATGGAAGGGGAAAACCTTGGTGATATGCATGGTGCAGTGAATATAAAAACATAGTGGAAAACGCCCCTTTTCTAATAACTCGGCATCCAGAGGTGATATTGGAATGCTGAAAAGGGTGTATTTATCCTTGAAATCTATACATTTCATATCCAGCAAAAAAGAGACTGATCGGGGGGGAGGTTGAATTTACAAAAATGGGGGTGGCTCGGCGAGTGCCGGGACTCGAACCCACGGTGTCCAGGTGCCTTCAGACGGTACTTGGGCAGCCATGCAGACGGACAAATGTGCAAAAGGAGCATCGCATAACGCGGCGGCTCGACGGCATCTCGAAGACACTTTAAGAAAGCCAGGTTAGGGGCCAAAAAAAGGTGATATCGGGGAGAAGATGTAAAAAGTAGTCAAAAAAGCTCAGGATTCTGCAGTAATCCCTACGAAAACTCGGTCGCGATGACTTGGTTGTTCTCCTACGCCCGCATTTCTCAGACATCTAGTGGGCAGCCACTGTGGGATACTACCAGGATCGGTTTGCTAGCACACATCTCTCGACAAGTACCTCCAATCTGGAATTACGCCATAACCACAGCGCTTACCAACTAGACCAGGCCAGCGGGTTTCGGTGCAAGACACAAACCTAAGGGACCTTATAAGGGATCTCCTGGAAAGTTGTATCCCCCATTCTACCACACAGTATAGAGGAAGATAGGGCAAGGCAAGGAACCAGTTTGATGTTCATGGCCTACCTCTATATGTGTATTTTTTTTCATCTTCCAGACTCTGTTAGTTGTCTGTGGTATAATACAGCATCCTGAGAGCCTTCAGAAGGGGCTGTAAGAGTCCATTTATCCAGAGGCAGTTAATGACCAGTACCACACATTACTCTCTGGGGTAGTCTAGTGGTATATATGTTCTCCTATATGGCTTTCCTACGGATGTGGGTTCGACTTCGGCCAGGGAGCCAAGAAGATGAGGATTTACTCCCATACATGAAGCTCCTACCAGCTTGAAAGAGTTCATGTCTGCACTTGCCGTGGATATGGGAGACAAAACCTGGATCTTAGATCACATAATATGTTTAGGGCCAGGAGGTAAAGTACAGAGGGATATCAAGTTCGGGGTCCTCGATAAGGTATAACACTTGGAGAGTTTAACAGACAACAAAAATATACTGTGATATCCAGATATCACAGTGTTTTATGTATGAAATACGAAAAATATGGTATAGCAAAAATACAAAGCCAGAAATAACCGCGCGAGACGGCTCATGGAGTACACCTGACATCCCATATATCGTCCACCAAGCCCGGCCCAGTCTGATATCCAAGGCCAAAATAAACCGAATAGCGGTGGACGCATAAATTCTTCCACGGTCTTCTTATGGACACCAGGCTTCACAAACAAGGTAGACATCCGCAAAAGCAGATGGTATTGTCTCGACTAGGTCGATATCTTTGGTTTTGAGAGGTGTCGCAGGTCGTGGATTGAGGGAGTCGAGGGAAGTTCGAGCAAAGAAGAGGTTGTCGTCTGTGACTTTGCTCTCGGCGGGTATGTCTGAGTCTAACCGTCACCAGCGGAATATCCATCCAGCAGCAAGAACTTATGTCCTTACGTCGAGATGACGTTCGGTGAGAGGGATGAAGAGATGAGAAGGTGAAAAATGGCGAGAGGAAGAGGTGAGGTTAAAAAAAGGCCTTAGAGTTGCAGGGATCATGCGTCATCCGCGGTTCCACCTGAAGGAGCAGGAAAAAAAAAAGGCACATACTAGTTATGTATACAGCCAACCCTATGTGGTACGGAGGATAACAAGTTTGTACCGGATCTTCAGGTCGCACGGCTTCCAACGCCTCTTACATGTACCACAGTGGCAGGTTTATATGCACGCATCAAACAGACGGGTTGTTGCATGGCTTGTACTTGATCTAGAGCGGGTAAAAAGGAGAGAAGAAGAAAAAAAAAGAAATACTCGAGTTGACATTGACAGATGTTAATAATATTCCTGTGCTATTACTGGTTCTTTAGCTACCGAAGTTTTAAGACTGATATATTTATCGGCATGCTCCGTCTTCTGTAACTATATAATGGGTTCAGCGAGGAGAAGGCCTGCCTGGTTCTATAGCATAGGAGCCTCTCAACTACTGTCAACACACTTGAACTGAATCAAAACAACTAAACCAGGGAGAACGAGATCTCATAGGAGATATCAAATATGTCTAAGGGTTATGGCCAAGGCAGCGCAGTATCAGATATTTACATAAAACACATCCTTGTTTCACCTGTTAATGACATAAATGACAGTGACATAAAAAATAACTGTCTAGTATCTACCACAGAAAGGATACCTCGAATGTCCTCTGGAGGTGGGATGTCCAAACTTCGCTGCCCATGGATATGTATGTCTATGGTATCTAACAAGTAACACCGTGGCATCTTCGAAATATTAACCAACTAACAGACAAGAAAACCTACTCTTTGAATAAAACGTTTGTTAGCTAGATGAACAAGTGAACAAATGAATATCTGGCCTTGTTGCTGGCTGTTTCAACTTGGCGCAGTTTTTGTCTCTCTAGCCTCAAACAAGACGCCACAACTCCCAGTTTTGTACTCACGAAGCTGCCCATCAACTATCTCAACCTCGTCAACACTCTCTTGCGTTGCCCGGCCATGGGTGCCTCGGAGTCCAAGTTGGTCTTTAAACAAGGCATTTTCCGACTCTCTGAGCAGGCCAACATCCCTCCAGACGATCAGTATTGGACTGGGGTACGTATCCTAAACTTCCCCAGAGCTTACGGAGCGGGCGTTGTTGACCTGGTGTACCAACTCATTTAGTTCTGGGAATTGCCAGAGTCGGTCGAAGATGTCTTCAGTCTGTTCTCGCCCGTAGACATACGGCGAACCCGCGATACGTCGTTATCCAATCTAGAGACTCTATTACTTGCAATATGCTCCCGTCTGGTTGCGCTACGTCACCACCCATCGTTCCCCGACCCTGAGATTGCACCTGCAAAGGACGCGCTGAACTGTATCCGTATCCTGACACGTTTGCTGCCGTATATCTACGAGACTGATAACTTGGAGGAGTGGGAAGATGAGTTCTTCTGGAGGAGGAGACGGAAATTGTCTCGCAAGGCGCAGTTGTCGTCCCGAGTGCTTTTTGATGAATCCCGCCATGAAGATGACGAGGAGGAAGGAAATGGACAGACTGGCAGGAGAGGGGTAGCAAGGGAGGATTACGAAGATGTCAAACCGCTTGCTGAGGAACTGCTGGATACGCTTTTAGACTTGCTATTCTTCAGCGGGTTTACAATACCACAGGTGCCGGCGTCAAAGGGAAAAGTGGTGTATTCTATATGGCAGAGTGGTGTAGGGTGCAATACTGCAATGGGCTCGAATAAGGAGCTGGAAAGCAATCGGACTGAGGTGCTGAGGCTGCTGCTCACCATTACCGGCCAGTCTATGTACATGCAACCAAGTATGTGTGGTTTATTGCCCCAAAAAAACAACTGTTCCATCCCAGCTAACACTCTAGTCAAGACCTTTTACCCGTGAAGGGAGTGAAGTCTCTCACTTACCTCGTTACATGTGGTGAGAAGAAGCTGGTCATGTCTCTACTCTGCTCTCTGCTGAATACGGTATGGTGCTCCCACATTTGCACTTCAGGAATAATATCATAGCTGACGTGGTTCCCAGACAATTAAATATAACCCTACACCATGGCGGTTACCATACGATCATGTTGTTTGGAAAGATCCCAAGCAGATACTCGTCATTTACTGTCTACAATTCTTACTCGCCCTCCTTCTTTACCCTATCCCAGAAGACGGCCGTGGTGCTCTGCCTAAGAACTACTATCGCCATTTTCTCGGAAGGCTGCATCAGCCTCAAGATTTCCAGTTCCTAGTCGAAGGCATGACTAGAATACTGAATCAGCCGGTACGCTGGGCACTCTTTAAGCCTTCCTACTACTATATTTGTTTCGTCTAACAATATTCCTAGATGCAAGCAACCTCCTCATATCTGCCAGGAAGCCAGAAATCAATAAAATGGGCACCAGAGATGCTCATGCTATTCTGGGAAATGGTCCAGTGCAACAAACGGTTCAGATCGTTCATTGTAGACTCTAATCGCGCCCATGATTTTATCGTCATTTGCACTTTCTACGCAATCGAGTATAAGACGGACCCGTCCAAAAATGGCTTGGTCAAGATGTGCGTCTTTTTGCTTCAAACATTGAGCGTTGAACCGAACTTTGGGAAAAATCTTTTTAGGAAATTCGAGGCTCAGGATACTCTGCCACCTAGCATACGGCTGGAGAATTTCGGTGGCACTTACGGTGACTTTTTGATCATTGTGAGTTTACTTTTTGATGATTTCGGTAGTGATTCCTTCGATCTAACAGCGGATAGTCCATCCATACCCTCATGACCACCAGTAAAGGCAAACTAGATGCCGTATACCCAGCTCTCCTCGCCATCATCAACAATGTAGCAGCTTACGCCCAACGGCTCTCCCCAGCCTGTGCCTTCAAGATTCTTCAACTGTTCGTTTCAATGTCTTCCCCGAGTTTCCTTTTGGCCAATGAGACCAACCATCTCCTTCTATCCTCCCTCCTTGAATTCATAAATACCGTCCTGGAGCATCAGTTTAGTAGTAAGTGCAGTCACCATTCCAATCTCCATCCTACCTTTTTTACTGCTAACAACGAATAGAAAACGCATATATGGTCTATGTTGTGCTCAAATCCAGGCACCGGTTCGAATCTCTACGTGCGTTCACTCTAGAGAGTGGCCAGCAGGAAATAGAGCAACAGAATCAACTGCGGAAAGCTACTTCTAGTTCTAGTGGTGATTTCTCAACTAACTCTCGCACCCATGCAAGAGACTCCTATGAGGCAGGAAACGGGAGGCGGCCTTTAAGTCATGTCCCGGAAGAGGAAGATGGGACATTTGCCATTGGAGACGATGATTCAGACGAAGAGGGAGATGGTGGCCAACCTGCTTCTCAAGTAACTTCTCCGACTGCTGAAAGTTTCTGCTCAGCACCTGTATCACCACTGGATGAGTCTGTCCCTCTCCAGCTTCGAGGTTTGTCTGAAAAAGCACGAGGCAAGATGCCAGCAGGCCAGCCGACATTTTCCCGCCAAAACAGCATGACGAGTCTAAACAGCTATGCCCCCACCGTCACCACGAATGCTCGTGGCTTTGTGCCTACGTCAGCATGGGTAAGTGTTCTCCCCAGCTCTGATATGATGTTACATATACTGATGAAAGACAAAAAACAGATTGAAACCTGGGTACCCGAACTCCCCCTTCACACTATTCTGACCGTGATATCAGCGATATCACATCGCATCCCCGCGGTCGCCCTTGAGTCCTCACTAAACCCAGAAGCTCGGACTCTGATATCAGAGCTCCCATCCTTCGCCGCAGCTCCGCAGATTAGATCGATACTAGCTGAGCCATCACCCATCCGCGTGCACATGTTCGAATGGTCGCCTCTCTCTCTCGGCTGGTACGAGTCGCTTCTCTGGGGGTTTATCTTTGCTAGCGAAATGGTCGTGGGATCGGCTGCCAACTCGACTCCGGGAACCGTGGGTGTCTGGAACGGGACATCCATCAAGCTATTCAGAGTACAAGAGACGGCAGCACAGGGGCCGACGCTACTTGCTCCCAAGGGCGCGGTTGATGCCGTGGGGAGCAGCCTGGTGCAGCGAATTGGGAGTCTGAACATCACAGGCCGAAGTAATAGTAACAGCCAGGAAGGACGAGAAGAGCCAGGAGGCACCGTCCGGGTGAGAGAGGTTTAGCATATCTTTGATAGTCTCTCTTTATTCCATCCACCGTCTTGCTCTTTTATATTCGAGTTGCCTTGCTTTTACGACTGTCGTTTTCTCTGCTGTATCATGTCACTCGCTCGGCCCATCTTGCTTTGCTACCATCTTCTACTTTTCTTCGTATACCAGTTAAGATATTCTAATACCCCCGTCGGCCTTCTTCGTATTTTGCCTCCCTGTAACTAAATAACAATTTAGCGGCCCATAGCCAGCCTCACACGTGGAAAGCCGCGATAAACCAATTGGCAAGCAAACATCCATGTTCGTCTAGTTATTACATCCATGGATACGTTAAATCTAGGGTTATATATTTTTCGCTGCTCTGTTTATATAAAGGCCGCCCGCTCCGGATATCGAACTGCGAGCCCAAGTCGTTCTTTTCTTTGCGATACAGAGTCGGCTTATAGTGAAGATGAAGTCATCCTTTCTTACCTCTGCCGCACTGCTCGCGGTCTTCCTTGAGCCTGCCAGTGCTATATCTGAACCACTACAAAACATCCTGATAAACACAGACCGAAGTCCCATCTACAGATATCCAACGGACGTGACTCGCGGTATCATTCCTATCCCGGTGCATTCTCACAAGTAAGTGGTGTGTCTTCATGGCGGTAGAATGACGGCAGCTAACTAGCTCTTTAATAGCGATTACTGGAGAGATGTCCCTTTCTATACCGGTACGATACAGCTAATATCTATTTCTGCTATTATTACGGATGATTCAGACAGTACTGACCTTCAATTAGCGTTGTCTGTCGGCTGTATCTCCATTGAAGCCGATGTCTTCCTGTTCAACGACACTCTTTATGTACGTGAAGTCATGTTAACTTGGCATGAATACCCTCTGACGATGTAACGAACCAGGTTGGGCATGAGGAATCAGCCTTGTCCAAGGAACGTACCCTCCAGTCCCTCTACATCGACCCTCTCATGGGCGTCCTCAAGAAGACCAACCCCAAGAGCCCATTTGTAAATGGCCCTACCAGACAGTAAGTCGGGGCTCTCCCATCTTCACCAACTATTGCATCAACTAAAATAATAAACAGCGGTGTATTCGACGCTTCTGCAGGTCAAACCCTCTATCTCTGGATCGATGTCAAGAACTCTGGTGAGAAGGCCTGGCCTCATATCGTCAAGGCTCTACAGCCACTCCGTGACGCCAACTACCTGACTAAAATCCAAAACAATGAGACCATGGTCCCGGGCGCAGTCACCGTCATTGGAACTGGCGGTACGCCACTCAACCAGGTTGTTTCGGTTGCAGACCGAGACTACTTCTATGATGGGCCGCTCAAGGACTTGACTGGCTTCACTTCCCTCATCTCACCAATTGCTTCCACCAGTCTCATGGAGGTTGTTGGGGAAATTACTAGTGATGGCGAGAACCCGCTTAACAGCACTCAGCTTGAAGCTATTCGTGACCAGATCAAAAAGGCAAAAACTAAGGGTATTGGTGTCAGGTACTGGGAGACTCCCGGTTGGCCAATTCGTGTGAGAAATGAGCTGTGGAGGACCCTCTGGAAAGAAGGTGTGGCCTTGTTGAACGCAGATGATGTCCATGCTGCCAAGGAGTTCTTCTAGAAGAGACTCTGCTATGTCAATGTTTCATGTTTACTATGCCTTATAACATCTCAATATAATATTATATAATTTTCGAATAGAGATCTAGGTTATCATTATCATAAATGGTATTTAAGATAACCTTAAGCATCCCACGGCATGAATGAGCCTAATCTCAGTCGAGAAGAGATCACTCAGGAGTCTGCACCTCCGCCAAGTAAGAATTTAGGTAAAGGAGTACTCTCCAGCTCCTTGTCGCCCACCTTAACCGGCTCTGATGGGAGGAGAGCAAACAGGACCCGCACATTTTCATTGGACTTGTTGTTCCACGAATGGATAGTACCTCTCTGCACCACAATATCATGCTGCTTCACCATCTTGGTAACGCCATTATCAAGTTCCAGTTCAATCTCGCCGTTTAAAATGATAGCAAAGTCCAAACTAACAGTTCGATGCATCAGGCCAGGAACTCCGGGCGCGAAGTCGACAACTCGCAACGTTGTACCGGTCTTATCCGCCAAGTCGACAGTTTTGTTATGAATATCAACCCATGGATTCGTGCAGTCGGCAGGAGCACTGGTTGTGCGATACACGGTGGTGAAACCCATATCTCCCTCTTTGGCGGGGTCGGGACCAGGAGTAGCGGGGTTGTAGGGAGCGAGTTGGGCATCGGAATCGAAGATAGCTTCTCCCTGGGCATTGTGGCCCGTCACAATGCGACGAACGGTAGGTAGGAGGGACATTTTTTCGGTGTCTTATGGCTCGCTTGAACGGTGGTTGCTTGGTATGTTGCTGGTGGTGTGAATCGCTTTGAAGGATCAGATCGAGGGGATGGGATGCGGGGAGAACTGCTTTAAATATTTAGTGGTGCGAGCCGATAGACCCTAACCTGCTCATGCATATACGCCCAGACTTCCCTGTGAGTAACCACCTGGCTCCAATTAGATGAAAGGCCGTATGCAGGAGCCGTGGTGGTTGGTATCCGCAGAACATGGCTCACGCGCATACATAGTAAGGGGTATCCCAAGGTTGGACCCATCATAGGAGGCATTCAGAGGACTTGCCCGGCTAGGATTACCTATAGCAATTCGCGGGTGTAAGGAAGAAGTATAAGTATCCTGATGGTATGTAGCCGTCAAGACTTGACAAGCCCCAGATTAAGCCCTTGCTCCAGTCATCTCAGATCCTGGCGTTAGTTACTCTGTCTCTCACCTTATGTGTTGTGTCATGGTTCAGAACTCAGTGTCATCACAACATAAAATCTATATTAGTCTTTATAAAGGAGTCTAGTAGAATAATGTCCAGTAACATGTCAAGTCCTTTCAGGTTGGTTGCTTGGTTTGTCGTGTCTTAACTTCGATTTGGCGTTGATGTTTCTGTACCTTGCTGACTAACATATCTGCTTAATAAGCTTCTTTTTTACTAAGAGCTTACTAATATCGATCGGATCGATCGCGGCTTTTGAACCAACCAAGTTTCTCTGTTCATTATATCAGAGCAGTTCTATACATCATCTGTGGATAACTCTATGTGCCTTTTCTGCATCCTATTTCCATGAGTCCTTTGACACTAGAGGAAGCACTTAGCCAGGCCATCCGTAAGGGTGTAAATCTGGTGGTCAGGCATGTTGTTGATGCTTCGACTCCATGTCCACCGATTTTCTCACCTCCGCTAGGTGAACCTGATGAGCCAACTATATGCAAACGGCATTTCCTAGCTGTCTCAATCAATCCAGACTATGAGAAAGGAACAGGCCAACAGACGGAGAGTGGAAATGCCTTAGATGACAATGAGCTGCTTGTCTTTGCAATTGAGGTGCTGGTATACACAACAGACAAGTTATCAACTCTCTTTGTGTCTAAAGCTGATTCTACCGGCTATCTCTCTCTCTTAAACCATGATCCAAACTCACCAGCAGCATACTCATTGACTAGGAATGTCTTAAGCACATTTTTATACCATCTTGTTCGCATTTACCAGAAGCCTGACATAACCCTTGTTCTCTCCCTATTCGCACGAGCTCAGGATCAATACCTCTTCCCAGGAAGCTCAGAGAACAAGGGGAAACATATTCTGGATGATCGGGGGCTGATAAAATGGTGGTGCCGTGTGATTGACCCTATTATGCAATCCATAGAGCGAGAAAGTGATCACAGTCAATCCAGGCCTCCTACCCCTACCTCCCCCGCACAACATGTTACGGCACATCTTATCGTCCCCGGCTGTGATACATTTGAGACAAGAAATTTTCTCCCAGAAAGAGAAAGGGCCATTAATAATCCTGGCAGCCACTGGAGACTTAATTATCCTCTCCACCAAATTTGTTCCTATCCCGATGCGCCTCCACGGTGTCTAGTTCCTCGGTTCCCTGATGACCCCAAAGCGCGGTTTCTAATTGACCTCGATGACGAAATAACTGATGAAAACCCCCCTCATAACTTGAAAAACTCTGGGCGATGGCATAGCGTGAAAACTCTCGACCAATTCTGGGAAATGATGTCGTATCGTCAGGAGTGCTCAGCTGGGAGGCTAGTTGGATTCCTTTGGATGGTTGTCAAACCTTCACCTGTCACCATCAACGCGAGCTCGGGACAAGCATCTACCGAAGCCAATTTAGCAACCCAGAGTCAAACCACCAATATCGACCAAGAGACAGAGGAAAAAGATGTTAACAAAAATTCGCTGAAGACCACTACAAATGTTGATGACTCAATAATTCAGATCAGCAACAGTGATTATAAAGCTCTCGCAGACTATCTTCTAGATTTCGATTTTTCCAACCAAGAGGACTCCACCGTGAACACAAAGCTATGGATTGAAAAGCTTTCTTCTTTGAGTGGGTGCGGCAACAGAGGCTTGAGAATCGTTGGGAAAGCACCCATACCCGGATCACAACCACCAGCTTCCACTGCGGGACCCAGAGTGGCCACAAATGTACTCAGGGATGGGCTGGTTCGGAAAAGAAAAAGACAACCTAGCACAAACTCCATAGTCTTGGGTGAAAGTACAAACGCGCCTCCTCATGCAGCGTCCACCCAAGTAGTATCAGAAGGCTCGAAACCAACTGAGCAGGATACGAATACCGGAACCCAAGGACAGCCGGCGCCCAGCGCACCTTCTGTGAATGTTCTAGCTGGTAATCTAATACGAAAAAAGAAGAAATGAGGAAGTGGCTGTGCTCACGACCACAAACAACCATACCTTTTCATCTCGGTACATATATTTTTTGGTCATTTTGCGAAATCCTTGGAGTACCAGGCGAAGTATAGGTGGCCGGTCACAGTGAAAGACGGCTGATACCCGGAGCTATTTTGATTTTGATGTTTTTTTTATGAAGGGGTTTATACCACACGAGGAGAGAATAATATATATTGATAATAGAAAAAAAATTTAACTATATTCGTTTAAGATATTCATAACAAGGAAGTATGTCAAGCTAACCGCCAAAATCCTATCAATGCTCTCTAACATAAATCGGCTCGTTTCATTGTACTTTCATTCATTCTCAAAATCACCGCCCCGGAAACCAATATTTTTGATCTCTCATTAATGCCCATATCGCCTACCAAGCAAGTCTTGCCAATAAGCCCTTCGGGTATTTGCGAACAAAATACTTTCTTGTCTCATCTAGCAGGAGGAGACCTAACCCAAAAGCTATAGGAAGAAAGAAATGCTCCACTGGAACCGTTGCCGTAGCCACAGTGTTCTGAACTCCAGGGATATAGCAGACTTTCAGGCCAATGTCAGTTATACGAGGGCAAGAAAATTATTGTTAGTGATGGGCTTGACTCACAGATGAAAATGATCATAAGTGAAAATAGCATAGCCACAAAGAGGAGAGGGTTCTGTGTTTGTTTATTGAATATCGGTGGCTGTTGGAATATACTCAGTCTCCGAGTTCGGGTAGCTAGCAAATTGAAGAATTGTAGAATAACAAGGTTAACAAAATAGATGGAAGATGCCTTGTTGGATATTTCAGTGACATATGAAGGGTCATATTGAGGGTCCATTTTGCCGAACTTGAGAAGCATGGCACTAAATGGAATCCCACGTCTCTATTTAAGCAAATTAATGTATAAGTCATAGACTATTTCCCTTCTATCACAGATACCGAGATGACTTACAGACATATACCAGAAAGCCATGATAAATGAGAGCAGGCACTCATACACGCCAATGAAACCGTAAGCATGGAGAATAAAGCGGCTATTAACAAGTCGGTCTGTTTTCTGATTGCGCGGGGGGCGAAGGAGAACATCCATCTCTGGTTGTTCATAAGATAGCGTAATAGAGCCAGCAGCATCAGTGAATAAACTACAAAGAAAATTAGTCAATTGGCATTGCAAACACGCAGCTTCGGATGGTATTTACCAAATAATGACCTATTTACCAGTTAGTGTCCGCTATTTACTTCAGAGCAAGTATAAAACCGGAGAAAATACCATAAGAAATGACGATAAAGCCTGGGGAATTCCGAGGAAGGTACTTGCCAGGACAGGCCCTTCGTACGAGAGTTAGAATTTGCCGACAGACAGCCCTCACTCCTTATCTGACCAATAATGTTAGGGTGTACACAAACTTACAAAGCTCGCTAAAGCTCCCGGCTGGTAGAAGGTAGCAGATAGTTTTCTTCAAGTTGTCTATTGGGAGATTAGCAAAGGCAATAAATTCTCCAAAGAGACTTGGAATAAAAGCTCACCAAAGGTGACACGGCCATATTTAACAGCCTCAACGATAGCGGCGAATGAGTCCAATAGGACCATATCTGCAGCCTCGATAGCTATGTCGGACCCACTACCCAGTGCTACCCCAACATCTGCAGCCTTCAAGGCTGGTGCATCATTTACACCATCGCCTGTCATAGCCACTATATTACCTCGAGACTGGAATTCTTTTACAATTCGCAGTTTCTGATCAGGCGTTGTTCTGGCAAAGACGATCTCCTGGTAAGTACAGAGCTGGTGCCACTGATTATCGTTGAGGGTAATCAACTCCGGTCCACTGATGACGAGTGGACGTTCTTGCTCTTCCTCTTTGCCATGTAGCTCTATTGCAAAGTCACGGCGTAAATTGTCAATGGAATGAACCAAGGCACCCTGAGATTTGATTATCCCACAGTTCACCGCAATGGCTTGAGCTGTAAGTTTAAAATCCCCCGTCACCTGTAGGATACAGTTAGAAAAGTAATAGCCATGCAAAACGAGCAGCAATCTCACCATCAGTATTCTTATGCCAGCCCCACGTAGAGTTTTGATCACATCTGGGATTTCATCCCTCTATATCGCTCGTTAGAAGCTAGATTTCCTTAAAGAGCCTTCGTTATGTGACGAACCAGTGGATCAATCAACGCCCACATTCCAACGAAAGTCAAACCAGACATTGCGAAATCTGTGACAGATTTCTCTGCCTGGGCCGTTTTCAGAGAGTTTCTAATAGCCTGAGTGACACCTTTTCTGGCGACTAGTACCACTCTCTTTCCTTCAGTAGACCACTCATCCTTTGCTCTTTCAATAGTTTCTCTATCCGTATCAGATAACGGAGCAATCGAGCCATCGCTTTGAAGAGCCGTATGGCAGCGTGATAACAAGATATCTGGCGCCCCTTTTATAGATAGTTCCCTAGAAATCATAAGTAATAAGTATGAGGTAGTGAGATCAAAATAAATAAAAGACTTACATCTCTGAGCTTGGTTCAGCATTATCTGAGTCCCCCAGCGCTATGGGGGACATAACTCGGATCATAAACTTATTCTTGCTACTGAAAGCAATCTCAAAGACCTTTTTCCACTTCATCTTGTGTTGCTGGGTAGGCTCCATGGATTCGGAGAATCGTAGTATAGCTTGATCCGTGGGATCTCCGTGAATTTTCATTGACTGCGCCGGAAGCTTGAGAGTTGACGCATCTATCTCAGCAGCATTGCAGAGAGCACCGAGAATGTGAGTGCGCTCGAGAGCAGTATTATTATATTGAGATTTGCATCTGCTTCCAAAGAACTTCTTGGCATCATCTGCTCCGTATTCATGCCCGCCCGCAAAGCAGTTGGTCACGAACATTTCATTCTGTAGAGACGTAAATTAATAACTTCCCATAAGGTCAGGGGTATTCATTATATTATTTACCTTCGTCAGAGTTCCTGTCTTATCGGAGCAAATAACAGACACGGATCCTAGAGTTTCTACCGTTGAAAGGGACTTGCAAAGAATATTATTCTTTCTCATGATTTTGGCCCCGATAGTTAGACTCAACGCGACGGCGACGGGAAGACCCTCCGGAACGAAAGCTATGCCGATACTCACGCAGTTGACTATGAGTAGTGGCACGTTGATCCAGTCGGGGTGTGCTTTTCTTAGCCATGCAGCCCTAGACTACATTAATAAGATGAAGCGGTAATGTGAGAGAATAATAAACTATACCAGACAACAACGACAAGTATCACGACAGAGGCAATGAAGCTAACTATTATCAAGACGAAGCGTAATATTTCCTTTTGGATTGGTGTAAGTCCACGATTCGGCTTGTTTGTTAGGTTGGCTATGCGGCCAAAAACAGTTTTGTCTCCTGTTGCAATGCAGATGCCAGTAGCGGTACCAGAAACGCAATGTGTTCCCTGAAGGCCGATGCAGCGAGTTTCTAAAAAGTTCTTATCAGTAGATTCAACCGTCCCATCCACAGGTTCCGATTCACCTAAAGGAGTTAGTAAATATCGTAATCGGGATGGTATATGGGAGCGTACCAGTTAGGATGGACCTATCAAACTTAGCATCGGATGACACCTCCACAAATCGGATATCAGAAGGTAACTTGTTTCCCTGTTTAATTGTAATCACATCTCCAGGTACAAGGTCAATAGCCGATACTACAACGGTAGCAGAGTCCCGAATAGCAGTGCAGTCATCAGGAAGCATAGTGGTAATAGAAGCCATGACCCTCGAGGATGACCAGTCCTGCCAGGCATTGAAACTGGCTTGGATGAAGAAGACCGCTAGGAGAACAATAGCCAATGCTAGGTTTGCGAGGGCTGGGGGGTCTCCTAAGGGTTTCCAGGCGATAAAGACAAGAATACATCCAGTCAAAAGCAAGATTCCAAACCCGCCAAAGAAGTATCCCATGATCTTGCGAAACCATTCGGTACGAGGCCGGGTGGGTGCATTCTTGCCATATTCGACGATACGTTTCTGAGCTTCATCTGTAGATAGACCTTGGGAAATCGAGGTATTCAGTCGTGATACTAAGTTGCCAACCGTAGCAGAATGCCAGTCCAACCCTGATATACCTAGAATATCAATATGAGGTCAGCAAAACTGTACCTTCAATCAGCTGAGAGGGTAAGAGACGGATAGGCCACACCATCAACAATCTGCGCAGCTCCTTTAACAGGTGGCTCATTCGCTCTTTGGATTGACTCTTCGACGTTATAAGAACTATTAATTAAAGTAAGTAAGCGGTAAAGAGACAACCAAGGCATGGATTACGTACAGGGTACGATATGCAATCGGAAGGACAATTTCTGGCGAAACAACCCTACGTGCACTTCGAATAGACATGGAGCCAACCGATGTCTTTCTATGCAAGGGAATACGTCCGGTTTCCTGAGGTTGTTCCTCATCTGCGTAACGAATACGCATGCCGGAATCCACATGAGCCTTTTCGGCCTCACCCTCAGCCGTCATTTTGGACTAGAGAAAACCACAAAATGCGAGAGATACAAGGTAAGCAAGTGAAATAGAGTGATGAGATGGTATTCCCAGCAGTGCCTTTATATAGTGTATTTCAATGCAACATCGGCTACAGCCGTACATATCACTAGCACAATCATCATATAGAACAGAAGAAGCATAGCGAAAGTCGGCCTTTCAGCTTACAATTGCCTCCAGCAGTTAATAGCTACTTACTTCACCATAAACCTCCGTGTCACTCACGTTATGGCCAAATTAACGTGGGAACCAGGGCTGCCACAGCTGAGCCTCTCCTTGGGGATGCCGGGACATTATTCCGGGATACTACTATGTATGTAGCTCTGAGTAAAATCCCTCATAGTAATTTGACTTTCTCTCAGGCTATCTAGCTTATAGCTAGATCTAGACGTGGCGCAGCAAGGGGAATCAGTGGGTTCGAGGGATATCAAAAAGGGCGTTGAAACGCATATGTCCATACGCGAACACCATAGGAAACTAAATGAAAGGTTAGCTAGGATGACGTAGACGAAAAGTACTGCAAAGAATGTAGGCCGACTGTCGGAATGTTTATTCCGTGTTCCGTAAAGAGGATAAATTGGTTAAGCGGAACCAAAGGTTCGACAGCCAGAGTATCTAATAGCACGCGACTGCAATGCAAGTTGTCGCGTCAGCCATCCAGCCGTCTGACCAAATATTCCTATAGGCCAGTCAGCCCCAACATAAGCTTGATAACATAGTTACTTTTGAAGCACAAAATAACGACAACTTACTGCTACTACGCTGCCATCCCGCATCCTCCGTGAATGACGTCTAGCTGAGTCAACTTGCATAAGGCGTGGTCGCACAGTTGTCGTCAACACCTCACTCGGCCTATCTGAGTCTTTGTCTTTTTTTAAGCACTAGAAACGCAGACGCGTACACACGATGAAAGAGCAAGCCGTTGAGCAAAGTCGTTGAAGGTTGAAGTTGGGTTTCCAAGAAGAAAAATAAGCTTCTGGAGGCCGAGACGCTCGTGCCACAACATGATATGTTCACCTTTTTTGGACTTCGACCTTGTTCATTTCTTCCCAACGTTTTGCTCTCTCCAGCGGCTTTACGAACTGAAGCCATCTTGGTCTCCATTGACTTCTCTGTCCTCATAACTAAACACCAGCATGACCCAGGATATAGAGACTCGGCCTGGACCTTTCGCGAAGAGAGCTAGTAAGCACAGCCACATCAACATCCATGAAGAATTAATAATTTAACTAACAGTGAGCTGTGAAAGACGTACGCTTGATTGGCCAATTACAACGATTATTGTACCCCTCAGCGAGGTTTTCGTGCATATCCTGGTTTTCTTATCTTTAACAGCACTTCTTCTCAGTTTATCCACCTGGAGTTTCAACTTGTGAAAGTGCCACAGGCTGGAATTTTTTTCCGGGATGGATCACTAAAACGGAAACAGCCGTTCAGGCACAAATAAAGCAACCCTTGTTACCACCCTACGCCTACTTATTTCCCGCAAGTGGCAAAAGCATCACACCAATAGGCCCAGATAGTCGAAGATGGTCATGAAAAGAAGCTGCCATGTGGATGGAATGAGCTAAGAGTTAAATAGTCGAACTATCATGGAAAAGGGGAGAAAAAGGAGAAAAGGGAGGGGAAAAAGCAACTACATTCACGCCATCCATTCACAATCGTAGAGAATATGACCAACCACAAGGAGCCTGAGGCTGATATGAAAGGGGTATTTGGTAATGAAAGATGAAGCTGATGCTGCATCAGCAAGCCGAGAGCATCAAAGGCGTTGAAAGGTTTCTACTGAAGAGATATGTACATATATGTCGTATTATATCTCTACTGCTGGCAACCTCCTTGTCCTTATCATCTTCACCTGACCCCTTGATCCCCTTGCCTCTCCGTATTTGTATACATACAGGGGGGGGATTGGATTCATCCCATTCTCAAGCTTCGCATGCGGGCATCGTTTCCAACTAATTGGTGTGCTCCAGGCGGGGATCCACGACTTTAAAATTAATTACTACAAATGTAAGATGGTGGACCGCCTTTTCCTTCCTTGACCTTTTTTTCCAGGCCGTTTACATATTTTAGTTGACTCCATCGAAGTAGCACATTTCTATCGCAGCCACCACACGCGTCGAGCCCTTTCTTTCCTCCTGCTTTCCCGTTCTCTCTCGACGCTACCATTTTTCTTCCTTCTCTCACTTCAAGTCTGTTAGAAGAGTTACACTCCCTTCATAAATAGGTTCTATTATTACTATCTTTCTCCCTTATTAGACGGGTCATCTGGTGCTCTCTCGCTCTTTTTTATACTTGGCCCCCTAAAAAGGTATGAGCTTGACTTGAAGCTGGTCAAATTCGCCTCAAAAAGAATTTCTCCAGGGAGCTTTTCGTCTCTCCTACCTAGAGAAAAGAAATACAACAGCCTAATTCAGGCTGTGTTATTGTTCTTGCGATCCATGGTGGCCGAAAGTGCGCTAGTTAACTCGGTCACCACCTGCAGCCAACATGGTCAGGGTCTCTGGCTGGTTGCTGCTGGCTGGTTGTCCATCGGCTGGTATGTCTTTGTCGTTACTGTTAGCACGATAGGGACCATACAAGTGTGAGTTCTTGTTCTTTTTATCGTTCTATTGATGCCCTTCGACTGTTTGGCCCTGGGACCATAACTCTATAACTATTAAACAACAAAAGAATAACTAACTTGTCCATATACAGATTCAGAAGATACTCCAAACCTCTTCCGAAAGCCACCAGGGCTCCCACAGACCCTAATCTTCCTCATGTCACCATTATCCGACCCATCAAGGGCCTCGAGCCGTACCTCTACGAGAACCTCTCATCCAGCTTTCAGCAGGACTACCCGAAGGACAAGCTCAGCATCTCCCTCTGCGTCTCGTCAAAGGACGATCCCGCCTACCCAGTGATAGAAAAGGTCCTTGCGCGTTTCCCAGACGTGGATGCGCGTCTATATCTCGAGCCAAAGTATGAAGACTACGAGCTGGGGCCCAACCCGAAGATTCGTAACATGAGCCAAGCATACCGTGAATTGAAGGGTGATGTCGTCTGGGTTGTGGATTGCAACGTCTGGCTAGGGAGAGGGGTCTGCGGGAGGATGGCAGAACGCTTATGTGGACTGGACTCCAAGGGCCAAAAGTACAAGTTCGTGCATCACCTACCAATTGTTGTTGACGTCGACAGCGAGGTAGCTGCAAGGGATTTCGAGAATAACGCCATATTACCTCCCAACCAAGCTATAAACGGCAAGGGTGTGTCGAAATCTGCTCCGAATGGCATCATTGCTACAAATCCTGCTCCAACGTCGCCCATCGAGTCCATTCTTTCGATTGGTGGTGGGCGGCTAGAAGAATTATTTCTCTCCTCCTCGCATGCAAAGATGTACTGCGCCATCAACACCATTCTTGTTGCTCCTTGCGTTGTTGGAAAGTCGACCATGTTCAGACGCTCACACCTTGACCAAGTTACCTTGAATCACGTCATACCTTCTCGACCATATCCCCGAAAACCAGGCTTAGACTCCTTATCTGATAACATCTGCGAGGACCATCTTCTCGGAGAACGCATGTGGAACGGCAAACTCGCAGAAGAGACAGACGACGGACCATCAGAATGGGGCAAACATGACCTTGTTTTTGGTGACCTCGCTATTCAGCCAGTAACCAAGATGCCTATCTCATCATACATCGACCGTCGTGTCCGCTGGATCCGTGTTCGGAAATTCATCGTTATTTTGGCAACGATTGTAGAGCCAGGCATCGAATGCTTCGTCTGCTCTGCTTACCTCGCATTTGGTATCACTACAGGCATCCCTCCTCTCTTATTTGGAAGCCAATACTGCTCTAACTACCTGTCAACATGGTCTGCCTTTGGATTAGTCTGGGGACTCAGCGTCTTCGTCTGGATGCTGATTGACTTTTTCTTATACCGAACTCTTCTATCCTCCGTCACCATCGAAGTAGATGAAAACACACCACAGTTCGCCCGTCCTCCAGCCCCAGGCTCAATTGCGAGACGGTCATTCCTAGAATGGTTCCTAGCATGGCTCGGTCGAGAAACCCTAGCCTTACCCATATGGGTATGGAGCGTGTTTGGCGGTGCAACCATCATCTGGAGAGATCGTGAATTCAGAGTTGGCATAGACAATGTAGCTCACGCTGTTGGTCCAGTCTCCAAGCAATTGTCGTATAATGGCTCGCTTAACAGTGACCCAAACGGCCAATCTCAACGCTCTTACGGATCAGATGACAGCTGCGAAGTTCGACGGAGGACTCCAATAGAGAACCTCACCAAAATGGGTATGAAAACTACCGCTGCTGCCATGGACCTTGATGAAACAACTCGCTTAATTTAATTTAACGCCATCACTCTTCTCATTTACGCTTCTTTTCCTTCTCCTGTTTTTTTTTTTTTTTTTTTTTTTTTTTTGCAACGGGCCGATACTCCTTTTTCACTTCCTTCTAGCATCGACCTTTTTAAGATTTCACCTTTCATGCATACTCATACGAAAACCCATTCTGCATTCCTTATTGTTACAATTATATTAATTATTCCCTACCTAATAATTTCCCTTCCTTACCGGTTTGGTGTGTTTTTCAATGCTGCTGGTTATACATCTGTCCTGTTTCTGGAGATGGTTATAACTTTGCCAATGATTTGTAAATATAGAACGTTTTGTTTTGAGTGTTAGGCCTAGTTGATGCCCATATCAAAAGAACATGGCAATTAATGTGGCGGTTGTTATGGCTTCTTGCTACCCTTAGCTAGCTAGTGAAGATAATGGAATGGAATTCTGCTAAGATAAATCTGTCGAGAATTTCATGTCATCTCAGGGGGGCTAGCTACAGTCTAATATTTGGCAAACAAAACACTTCTTTTAGGAATAATCGAGGGCATGGACCAGGAGAAGTTAATGCCTACTTGCTTGAGCCAGCACCATCTTCCTCCATTGGCACGTCGGTATCATCCACAGCGCTCTTCTCCATATCTGCGCCTTTTTCACAGGACAGCAACCATTCTACCACCTGCTGCCCTTTTGTGGCCTCTCGAGGCGTGGAGACTTCGGCTTCCTCCACATTTCCTTCCATCTCTGCAGCATCCTCTCCCTCTCCCCTATCCTCGTCCTCCGTTGTTGCAGTTGCATTCCAGTCGGACTGCTCAGCAACAAATACAGCGTCATGGCCCGCGTTATTCTTCAAAATTATATCCGCCCCAGCTTTGACAAGGGCCTTGACACACTCGAGGTGGGTATTGAGAGCGGCCCAATGTAAGGGGGTATTGCCAGAGTGGTTCTTATGATTTATGATTTGAATATTTGAAGAGTCCCGTTCCTCATTTTCAGATTTGAGCAAGCTAAGTAGATAATTTAATATTTCTAGATGGCAGGAAGTCAGTAATTTATTCGACGTGCGTCAAGACGGATGAATCTGTTATCACGAACCGGTGTTTCCATTGGCTGCCGGCCAGTGTAGGAGGCAAGATCCAGTGCCTCCTTCACTCTCATCTTCTGTATCAATGGCTGCTTTGATTATATCGGCCGGTGAACAGTTATATTCTTGACTAAATTTCGTGATATCCGCTTGCAATGATTCTAGGTCGCCTGCACGGGCATCGTAGATGAGATCGTCCACTGCCTCGAAGGGCAGAGAAACTGTACGCGTGGTAGTCATCACTTTTAGGAAGTTTGATGTAATCTTGGACTTTTTGGTTTTGGTATTCGTCCAACCTGGAGAGGTTCTTTGCAGGCTGTCAAACTGGTTCTCTTAAGCCCTGTTAATCGAAATTCTTTTGCTGTGACTTATTTCCTAGGAAAGCAGTTAATATTTAGGTGTGTTTAATGAAAAAAAAAAAAAATCTAATAATTATTTGAAAAAGGGTCACGATGAAGAACTATTCTTTTTTCATCTACCAGTTGATGTAAAGATGTTCGAGAGTTTTTCGGAGGGGTACAAAGTATTTCGTTCAAGTGGAAAACTCCAACCCAGTCAAATACTGGCGAATATAATTATGGTATAGGGATATAACAGTACTTACAGCAATTGTTCTGGGATATTTGTAACTACGATTGGAATATTTTGCGTCTCTGCCTCAAATTTATCAAACATCTTCACATCCGACCTACTGCAAAGCCAGGTCACGTGTAACCTAGCTAGTGTAAATGGTAAAATTTTTAACGGTATAATCGGAATATAGAGCAAAATGTATACACAATATAAGCCCAATTCTAAACTTATCAAAGCTAGTAAATAGAATTATGAGATGTACAAACGTGCCGAAGTGCCCAACGCCAGATATGTATCCCAAGATGCTGGCCCAAAACCACAGCCATCTCTCCCACCCCATCGATGCAAAAGACGTGCAAATCTAAACGACTGGAGGTTATCGGGTATTATTAGAAAAAGAGAGAAATCCAGAATCCGGCAGTATACAAAAAGTGTGATCCAAACCAGCCGAAAGGGAAGAGTTTAATCTCGCAGCCAGGCTCTGCGTTTTTCCTCCTTTCTTTCTCGTCTCTTTTCCCTAAATGCTTTCAGCTCCTTCTTAGTTAACTTCTTCCCACTCCGCTCAGCTTTGAGGCTCTTTCCTTCATGGCTGTTGGCTGCGGCATCCACGTCAAAGAAGGCGTTCAGCTGTCGATAACTTTTGTTCTCGTCATTGAATTTCTCTGGCCCCAAGCCAGTAGACTGCCATTGGCCCGTGAACCGATTAAAAGTGCCTGTCGCGGTATACAGGATATTAGGGTCTTGAGAGCCAGCTGCAGCTGATGCAGAGGGGTCCTCTTCGGTTTGTTGAGCGTACCAAGCTGTCGGGTCATAGTCACCGTGTATAGACGGGTCATAACCACCGGCAGCTCGTGGCTGTCGAGGAGCCTGTTGCTTGTTCCCCCCTGTTTTATCCGTACCCTCGCTCGCTCCCGAAAGCCTTGGCTGTGTTGCGTCTGGTACTCGAGGGTTCTCCCACTGAGAGAGCCCAGTGACACGGTTATAGAAGTAGTAAGCCTGTGAATTGTCATCCCACATTGCATCCCAACCATCATCTTCCACACCCTCTGGCACCGGCTCATCAGGAAGGGGAGGGACTTCTTCATCAGGAAGCGGAGGTTGCGAGCCATCTTTGCCACCTCCTGTATTCACCTCACCCTCATCTTTTCCGCCATCTTCCTCATTATCTCCCTTCTTGTCTTCCGGCACTTCGTCCTTCTTGAGCTTCTTCGGCATAGGCTCCGTGTCAGGAGATGTAGGCGGCCCACTCGGTAGTGTCTGTTCATCAGCAGGACGGGAAGATTCTGCAGGCGAATCAGCAGCCATTATTGAATATAAATGAAGCTATGATATATGAACATAGGAAACCATCTGTACACTTCCTGTACTTGTGTCATCGCAAAACTGCGCAGTTGAACAAGAGGAGGATTCTGGTCACCAAGGCCGAGTTCGACTTGAAAATGGAATGGAAGAAGTGCCTTAAGACGCTAACTTTTTATAGACTAGTTACTGCTGACTCCACATATCAATTATTATGTAACCATTAATCACGTGATGGAGCGTCGGGTGTCGCTTTTTCCTGAATATAGCAATATATGGGTTTTTTTTTGATGAACGAAGGTATTGCTGGGATATATATAGTTAGTTGTATCTTTTAAAGGCGTAGTCTATGACGATGAGGTATTTGGCAACGAATCAGATGTGGGGAACTTGTGATCATTGTGTGGTGCATTTTCGACAACATTTTTATTTACAAATTGTAAAATAGATATGATCTAAATATCTATAACCAAACAACATGCTACCAAAAAAACCCAAGAAATACGGCCAAACCTGCCAACTATTACCTCCAAATACCCCGGACTCTACCCCCCTTAAGCTTCTATATCATATATGAAGTTGAATAACTCAAAGACTTCCCGTAGAAGCCGCATCTAAAATAAATACCCCTCACTCTACCTCCACGTCAATACCAAAACACCCACTTTCTACGGTTACAATAAGCTCTCACTTATGTATCGGGACGAGAGATAGTTGTACGTTATAGTATTATTTTTAGTTTATTAATGGAATATGGCCCTGGTTTTTTCAATTGCTGGAATACCCTGCCACAACCCCCCCCCCCCCCCTCAATGGCACATCACACCACCATACTTGGAATAAATTCTCCAGGTTCATCAAGAATCATGTACGGATTCATTATCTGCCTCGAACTAGAGCCAAGCCAGCATCTCCTCTCATCAATATCTAGCGTCTCTTTATATGAGAATACCTAATGTTGATACTTCTACAAAGGTGGATGTTTGTGCCGAGCATGGCAATGGCTGCCGACTTCTAAAACAGGGAAAGCGTCACGACAGCATACTATGTATACCACAGAAAAAAAAGCAGTCTAGAACCTACAAGAGTACAAGGAAAATAAACATACAGTCAGACGGGCTCTTTTATTATCTACGCAAGCAACACAGATTGCGGGGTTGGGACATATGGGATGCAGTGGAGGATTTATCCGAAGCGTCTAAGCCTTTGTATTGGTTAAAAGCCCAATGCAAAATTCCTTGCCTCAGGCCATGGTACATGCTGTTATTATGGCGCACGTCTGATATAGGAGCCTTAATTTTTTAGGTTGCTGACAAGCAGTTCGGTTAAGATACCGATATAACGGGTGACAAGGTCGCCCTGTGTGAGGGTAGAAAGATCGAGGCCATGCAAAGCATGAGTTCGTAAGTTTCCTTTTTTTGGTCGACAACCAGACTACCGCGTGTCAAAGTAGGTAGACATCACTCTTATACGGCCTTCTAATGGCTCAGTTTACCCCGCGTTATGTCTGAGTCGTACATGGAACAAGTCGAAATCGAAAGGACTGGGTGCAAGGAGTTGGAGAGGGCCAAAAGGAGGAAACAGGCTGAATCGAGGGGTAGATACATATCTGTCCATGCTGCAATGGAAGAGTATCTTCGACTTGAGGAGTATTAAGGGGAGCCGATATCGTGATCCTTTTGCCAAAAGGGTGTTTGGATTAAAAGCAGTGAAGCTGATGCAGTATATTGAAAGGCACTTGGGATGAATTGGTCAACCAAACCTCTGGACGTGAAGGTAGCAGAAGATGAAAGATATGACAACCTGGGATCGAGCGTTCAGAGCTGAGGAGCCTGTAAAAGTTCATGCAGTCAGGGCCAACCCCCTCGGGTATCCGCCGAATTCTCAGCATCCAGCCTGGCCAGGAGTAAGTGAACGAATTGTGTGTGTACAGCGCAGTCCACGTCGCAGTGCCAGCGAGTCCTGCTGGCGGGGAATGCTGTTCTCTCTGATTGTGGCAGGGCAACTGGACTGAGTCCGCGCTGGGGATAGCCGTCAATGAATGGAATAATTGAGAAGCGGCCTGTCCTCTGTACAACAACAAGGAAGTACTACGTACGCTGGCACATTGCATGTCACCTCGCCCGCAAAACACGCAACCCTCATGACAGTCAAGAGTTGATCTCGACTGCATGTCACTCGATCTTCGATCTTCTGCCATCAAGACGACCAAATCAAGGAAATGCATCTCATACTGATAGGCAGAGGTGGCTGATCCCAATAATATTGGCGGCCCGAGGAGTGGAGAATCTCGAAGCTTTCAGGCCATTAGTAATTTATAGATATTTTGGCTTCCAGGAACCAAGTTTTACTTCTCACAACACTCGAGCCTTCTCTTGACCGCTTAAAGCCATAATGCTTGGTTAAAAAGTCTGGCGGGAGTATCGAGCACCGACACCCAGTTGCCTGCCTGCGACTCACGAACTTTGAATTGGCTGTGGATCGAAAAAAGAATAATTTTTTTGTCTTTCGCATTGACAGTGGACTACATACTTAGTCAGTTTGAGCGGGAATTGATGGCGTTGGCTGGGGCCTCGGACCGTCCAGAGATGGAACGGGGTCTTGCAGCAGAGGACTGTAAGCGGAGAATGGCAGTAGCCACTTAACGTGATCCGGAATCCAGGCCTCATCAGTCGTACAAACAAATAGAAAAGTTATGGGGTTTGATATCGAATTGGACGACAGAGGCTTAAAGGGCTCTGGCATGAAAAGCCACACCAACGTCACCATGGTTCTCGATGAAAGTAACAACCGATCATCCATGTGCACGAATTGACAGCCAGAAGGAAAGGAGCAATAATTCCTTTGCTGGTGTGCTCTAGCCTGTCATGTATGTACTATGTAGGTACTATTTTTCATGTTAAGGGATCGATAATCGGGGTTTGAAGATCAGATACATCAAGTGACAACCGAGAGAGCAGTGACCATTGCTCAGGCGCATCATGCATACTATTTGCCTTCTGCATGAGAAAGATTTTTTTTTCACACTTCATTTAATTTCCAACTCGAGTGATTGCAGCTTCGGCGACCCACAATATGAATCTGGGCTGTCAAATGCTTCCCCCCCCTAACACCCGAACATAAAATAGTCGACGATAGGATTGAGATGTGTAGCGAAACAAAAGCGCGAAAAAAAGGGGTAAAAAAATATGCAGATCTTATGCGCTTTCGGAACGGGGACGCTAGACTAATACGGGTAGCTGATCTACAGGGCGGTGTGCTTATGTCATCTTGACTGCATAGCTCTTTTTGGAGGCAAAGAAATCGAACATCCAGAAAAGAACTTCGTAGACAAGAAGCTTTTTTGAAGGGATGCTTTGATGTCCAGATCGCCTCCTTTTGCTCGGGGATTATCCAGCACAGGTACATAAAATTGAGCAGCAGATGGAGTACGCCGTATCTTTCCCTGATTTCTCCCCATATCACTGCAGGTCTAATAATAATTACGGGAAGCGACCCCAGTGATAGTCGTTCAGAATCTGGGGTAGAACGCCGCTAAACAGCCATAACATCAGAGGAGCCCGAAGATTCCTGAAACCTCAATACGCGGCCAGTGTGCTCAAAACCTCAAGCTAAACAGGAGGCGGCGAAAAGCAAAAGCAATGGGGGAGATTGATGAGTAAAAGCTGGCGATGCATGATAGCTTGGGAGTTACACCTGTACAACGATCCAGGATACGTACGGTGTGCTCTACGGATGCTCCGTACCTTGACCTTGAGCTTGCCGCTCTCCAATGCAGGAACTGCGATCATGGATTGAACGATAGGCAAACGCTTCACTGGAGTGGCCAGTAAGGCGAATATGCGTGTTAGGGCGAGGGACTATTTGATTTTCGGTCAAGCGACCTAACCAAGCGAGTGGGAAGGGACCATTTTTTTTCCTTTGTTGAGCTGAAGGAAAAGCTCGCGCCTAGATCTCTATTCCTGTCCGCCTTTGCACGCTATTGATTCGACTCAAAAAAAAAAGCTTGCTAGGACTGCCCTGACAAATTTCCCTTGCCTGCTTAACTGCGTGATGCTTTGTTGGTCCCGTCCGATATAGCAATCTCCCATTATTATTATTTTATACCGGAGGTATATGGGAGTGAACCGCAAACATCATCAGAACTGGGGTCCACAGATATTCAGCAGGGCAGTTGGGTTGCAGATTGTAACCCCCATGCAGTCACAGCTTCCCGCTCCAATAGAGAGCTTCCCTTCTGTGGAAAAAGCAATTATCCAATATTGTGGCTTTCCAGCATTGTAGGAAGCACCTTGGAATTAATACAGGATGCAGATAGGTCTCACAGCTATTCTGTATACGCTGTGCAACGTCCTTGCAAGCTACATGAATGGACCTCAAAGTTGGATGCCTTGCTTGACTAATATGATCTGTCCTATCGGGAGCCATGGCTTCGCTTGCGACGTACATAGTATGTACAGCGGAGGGGCTATTACATTTTTTCTATGGAAAGCTAGATGCGGGCTTCCTTGGGTCCAGGTGTAATGTCCATCGCGAACTGAAGCCGTGCATGTACAGCTTAGACCCGCCGATCCTGATACAGCCATACCACATTTTGTGCAAACGAGCAAGCAGCGGGATTTGCAACCCAACCTCAATGTGGCAAAGACGATATCTCCCTTGCGTTTGAGTTCAATTGTCGCACAGTATTGTCTGCCAGTTACCCCTTTTCAGTCCGAAAGAGGGCTGTCAAATCTCCTCAGAAGGTCTATATAAGGACGTCCAAGTCTGCCCATCAGTCGACTTTTTTTTTCTCATCAGCATCACTCTCAAGCATCCCACAGCAACTCCAAAACAGTCTCAATCTCCAACAATCGACTTCTTTTTCAAGAAATCTTCTTCAAACCCCAATCAATCAAAATGAAGTTCTCCATTGCCGCCGCTGTTTTGGCCCTTGCCACCGCTGTTGTTGCCCACCCCGGCACCGGCTACTCCCCAGAGCAGGAGAGGAACTTCCGTGCCAACTTCCAGAAGTTCGTCACTGCCTGCGGTAACAACAACCAGGTCTCCTGCTGCAACGAGGACATCAAGAAGGTCGGCTCTCAGAGCTCCGGTGGTCTCCTCGGAGTCCTCGACAACCTCGACCTCAGCGACTTCTCCCTCCTCAAGGGATGCTCCAAGCTTGACGTTGCCGGTAAGTTATCAGCCGAAAACACCCTGGATATCAAAACCCCGGATACTAACACACCTTTACAGCAGTCATCGGAGTCCAGGACCTCCTCAACTCCAACTGCAAGACCCAGGTCTCTTGCTGCAAGTCCGGTGACACCAACCAGGTAAGCTAAATTCAGCAATGATCATCAATTCATCAAGCTAACGATATATCCAGGCTGGTCTCATCAACGCCAACGTTGGCCTCGAATGTGCTGTCCAGAACGTCCTCTAAATGCTTTTCCTTCGGAGAGCTATTGGGCATTGGAAAATGCCCTCTCGGCATCGATGGTCTTGAATCTGAACATGGTTCAGCCTACATCGACCGGCATTCATCTTGGTGGTTTCTTTTACAGGCCAATGCTGCCGCATCTCTTCTTACTGTTCCTTTTGTCCTGGAAGGGTTGAGATCCGGGATAGAACTTCCACCTTCACTGTCTGTTGGTTTTTCTGTTATTAGATAATAATACTCTTAGTACTTAATATATTCTTTTGCGTCAGCAAATAATCATCTCTAGCATCAGTCCATTGTACAGCTGTTCCTTGCATTTTTTTTTAAAAATTATTATTTGTTCTTTCATAGTTTGCAGATCGCTACGCTTAGATTGTTGTTTGAACCAAGTAATGTATCTCCATATCTTTGTCTGTAGTGAATCTAAGGGGTACAGTAGTTGATGTTGTCCATGTACGAGCTGGAAGCCGTGTTTCATCGGAATAACTCATCTTCGTCCATCCAATCGTAGGCCCGGGCGGCTGATCCCTGCAGGTCCCTCTACCCCTGTCACTTTTGAACTTGGCTTCGATCCTGCTTTTCTGCACTACTCATGTACCTGGCTAATATTTCCTCATAGTCTCTTTGTCGAGTCGCTGCCACATGCTGTCCTATCTAGTAAGTTTCCAGTCGATTACATAGTACGGTTTGGTAGACGGGGTAGACCATATTCTAGGCTAAATATCAAGGCGTGACTATGTAGGAAGCTACTTCGAATTACTGAGTACTAGATACATTGTGGTACCACAAGAAAAGATATGTACCCCTTTCTAATCAAGAGCATGACCGTCCAATCAGGGCCTGAGAGTGGAGATGTACGGGGTACATCACATACTCACATTCTCACATACGGCCTGCGGCAGAAATGAAAGCAATTATAGATGCACTGCACATTGCCATAAAACATGAAAGAGGGTAATATCTGCATGCCTTTCAGTGCATTTCCCCTGCATTGCCTGAGTTTCTTTTGCATATAATACTGGTCCATTAATAATTTACTTCTTTGTAAAAAGAACAGTGTATCAATTTATTGTACTTTGAATCCTGCTAACACCTAGGACGCCTAAAACCAAATTACCATTTCCTGATGCTATCTCTTTCTTATCCAATGCCACTACACAGTCACACCATTGGGTGTAGTGGTGGTGGTGATGGCGGTTGGTGAGGATGGGACACTACCCTGGGGTGTGTTTGGAGATAGACTCTTGCTAAGTGACTTCTCCAGCGGGGTACGACTAGATGATTTGGATGATTCTGGTGAAGCAGATAGTGGTGGTAACGAAGTGGGTGATGGGAGACTCTTCGGGGAATTAGAGGTTCCATTGACTGGGGAACTGGGCTGGGTTAATGTAGCATTTGTATTTGTGTTCAGGGTATCTCCATCCATAACTGATTCTAAACCTGGTAATAACCACCCTCGTGAAACATTATTTCCTGAATCTGACGCAGTGGCGGCGGTGGTGGTGTTACTGTTCTGTTGACCCAGCCAGCCAGATGTTTTTGACGATGATTCAGGCTTATCTTTATCTCCAAACATCTCATCAACAAAAGGTAGGCTTGATCCGTTGAAAGCCTTACTAAAGGTGTCTGGCTTCAAGTCAAGTTGAAATTTTGGGTCTGGAGGGAAGTAAGTTCGGCTGACGTTTGAGGTGACAGGCGACATCTGAAGCTCTGGGGCCGGCTCTGTTGCGGTCGACATTGCTGTTGAAGGCCTGGATCTGAGAGACGAGAAGACAGACATTCGACGGTTCCGCCTCTTGCCTTCCTTGAAGAACTGTGGTGGTTGCTGTTGTCCATCACTCCTTACCGACATCAACGACTGTTTCTTGGACACCGTTCCAGGAGACATTGCCTGGCCATTCTGTGGCGACGAGGGAAGCTCTATCGACGCTGGGTTCACAACTTTGTCATCAGCGTTTTCCGCTGGCGTACGGGGCTCGGTATCGGCTTCGAGCTGCGTCTGTTCAGAGGGTTTGATGTGCGGAAGGTCGAGCTCGACCCGAGGAGCTTTATGGTTGGTCCCATTCTTCTGCACTGCAGACGCCCCAGCAGCATTACTAGCAGATGCTTTCTCCTCTCGAGCCTGGCGAGAACGTCGACGAGAAAACAGGGAGGCAAACAGAGGCATGGTTCTGGCGGTGAGAGAGAGGACGGCGGAAGAGGGAAAAGAAGGTTGGATAAGCTGCCGCAGCAGAAGGGATGGCAAACGGGGCCCTGCTGGACTGGGGAGGTGTAAAAATATATATATATATCAATGAATCCAGCTGATGCAAGTTGATGCAAGCTGATGAAAGGGGAAGAGTTGGCAAAGGTCGAACAGTAGCCAAACGCAAATGAAATCTCCTCCGTCTGGAGAGGGAGAGAGAGAGGGAGGAGGCGAAGATCTTCAGTTCGTGGCGTGAAAGGGGGTAAAATAAACACTACCAGCGCTTACTTCTGCGCACAGCACTCAGATGAGCAGCGTCCTTCACTGTTCGAGGTGCATGCAGTTTTTTCGTAGCCTGTCGAGGAGCCGATTTGAGAACTTGTGAATCGAGTTGAAGCAGCATTCAGCATCAGCATCAACTGGCTGAAGAAAACCCTGGAGTTCAGATATCTGTGGGGACCGGCTGAAAGAACCAGTCGTTTTCGTCATGGCAACTTGCATCTTTCATTCGATAGGGCCTCAAGAGAGAGAGAGTAAAAAAAAAAAAAAGAATCTAGGGTTAAAAAGGGGGCAAGTTGCAGCTGTTTCCTGCATGTCTCTTGTGCCCAAAATGTTTTATATTTTATTTTCTTGGCCCTGGAAGACGGTTTATTTCGTTGCCCGTTGGCGCACTGAGATTGCGATGTCCGCTACATCGCCGTTGAGATCTAAATAACTACTATGTAGGTGTGACGGGCGCCCAGCAAAGAAGATAACTTCCACCTCCCGAGCGTGTCAGCCTGGGAGTCGTGGTACTCCAGAATTCCCGCCATCCTCCATCAGTTACTTGCAGGGCCCCTGTGAGCCGAGACTTGTTTACATTTTTCTCTGCAGGGAGAGACACAAGAGATGCAAATCGTTGATGCTGTGAGAGCTTCCGTTGTTTTCTTCCTTTTGTTTTGGGTCCCGCAAGGTTCCACCTCGGTTCAGGGGGAAGCGGCGGAAGGGAAGCTAGCTTATTCCTACCCTTGCGGCCGGAGAATTTATACCGGAAACTACATCAAATTGGTAATAGATATATATATATTCCGATGCACGAAGATACAAGGCCGATACTATATACTCCGTTGACCACGGAATATTCCGTATAACATGTGTGATATGATCCCCACGCTGGAAACGGTACTTTGACCCAGGCGTTATCGTGTAGGATGGCCACAAACAAATACTGTCAAAAAGGAAGCATGGCAGGCTTAATATAGGTTGGTCTTATATCTGAAACATCTCTAAATCACATCTATGGCGTTCTGCTCTCCAATCATCTATAGCTTGCTCTGAGGGGCTGGCGTATATAGCTTGTGGGTGGAGGCCATGACTTCGACTGCCTCCTTCTCGATACGAGTGAGGAGTTCGGCACAGGTTGGGATGTCGTGGATAAGGCCGATGACTTGTCCCGCGGTCCAGACCTAAAGAGAAACGGTACGGGTCAGTGCAACTGCAGCTTGAGAAAAAATGTGGCAGGGGAGAAAGGGAGGCCATGTAAGAGAAGAGGTTTGGGAAAGGCACTTACTCCGTGATCAACGTCACCATCTATAAAAACTTGACGCCCACGTTTTCCACTCACGAGGTGCGCAAGCTCGGAGAATTCACCCGTTTGGCTCTCCTTCTCAATCTTGTATGCCTCCGCCGCAACCTTGTTGTTGAAGAGGCGGGATGTATTTCTCCACCGGCGAAGGAGCAGCTGGGTATCTGACTCGTCTGCCTTCACAATGGCTTCCTTAACGTTGATATGGATAGGTGCCTCAACAGTGCACATGAATCGCGTGCCCATGTTGATTCCACAGGCTCCTAGGGCCAGAGCAGCGGCTAAGCCATTGCCGTCAGCGAAGCCGCCGGATGCAATGAACGGGACGCCCAGGTCCTGTCTGGCGCGGCTCAAGAGAATAAAGTTTGTAATATCGGTCTCTCCAACGTGTCCGGCACATTCAAAGCCGTCGATGGACAAGAAATCCACGCCTAACTTGACGGCGGACTTGGCATGTCGGATGGTTGTACATTTATGAAGCACAATGCAGCCGGCCTTCTTTAGCTGTGTGATGATAGGGCCAGGGTTGTTTCCTGCCGTCTCGGCGATACGTACGCCTTCTTCAATGATGACTTTGGCGTAACTGGGGTAGTCTGGCGGCGTAAGAGCGGGCAAGAAAGTGAGGTTTACGCCGAACGGGTTCTTGGTCATGGTCCTCGTCTTTCGGATTTCCTTCCGGAGGTCTTCAGGTGTAGGTTGTGTCAAGGCGGTAAGCTGTTGAATTTACTACTATTAGCCACAGCTTAATAGCGTTAAGAGTACTCTCGCAAGGGATGATAGACATACTATTCCAAGTCCGCCGGCGTTACTGACAGCTGATGCTAGTTCTGCATATCCAACCCATTGCATGCCACCTTGAACAACAGGGACTAGATACCTGTCAGTACACTTGCTGAAGAGTTTTTCGTGATATTAAAGGATAAACCGACTTCTGATCCCCAGTTTCTGGGTGAGTTGGGTGTTGAACGGCATCGTCGACGTGTTGGAATCAAGGGTATCTATCGGTGGTCTATACAGAGTACTCTATGCTTCTGGTCTAGAGAGCGAGCGTGGACTTGTTAAAGATAGGCGAGGATACTGAAAGACAAAGAATATTATATCGAGGGGAGTTTTTCCCCCGAATGGGACGCCATGAAGTCCGCTCTGGCTTTCGCGGCTCTCTGAGATAGGAATCACACGCCGAGGACCGAGGCACCATCACCTACCTGACGCGTGACATGTCATGTGACCCCTTGGATATTCGCTTTGTAATATAACCATGAGCCCTCTGATACACGTTGATATCTAAGATATATCATTTATTCAGAAACCCGGACAGTAAATTCATGATATTGGTAATATCTAACTTTTAATAACATTACAATAACAATGATAGCAATTTGTGACCCTGATATGAAACCCAGCTCGCTCATTGAGAGAGGGGGCTGGGCGATTAACGACGGGTTGAAATACGCTTTTCTCGCTCTCAAAACCTCATGACCATCTCGAAAAGCCACGACAGAATGCCGCAGCAAAGAGTGAGATGTTGCTAGAAAGCATCTACTTCATTCCGAGTTCATCATCCACAGAAACTGTGGAGATAAGTCGGTCTAAGATGAAAGCTGAGGCCTTTGGTGTAAAATAGAAGAGAGAGAGAAAAGAACATTTTGTGCTGTTGAAGATTTCCAAAGGGGGAACGGAACGGAGAATCATTATTCCAGTCATGTGCTTGTAATTGCCGTGACTCTGATTGGTTCCGATATCTGCCGATTTGTATTACATAAGCCATGGCAACTTCATCATGGACGTTTTGGTTTGGGCTTCTTACCATGGTGTGTGTTTTGAGAGTAGAGAGACAACTGGGTAATTCACTCTGATACGAAGATGTTTTCTAACAGACTAGCACAGCAGTCGCTGAGACGACGTAAGTTTTTACAATATACCAATTGACGGGTGGTTTGGCACTGATGATTGTACCAGTTGCGACACAACATCCATCTGCGTTCAGAAACTCGGTATCCAAGTTCGCGAGACCGGCTGCCATTGCTACTGGAAACTATGCTCAATTCAGGTCAGTATTTGCATTATCATATTGATGCCCTTTTTGCCAGGAACCTAGGCGCCTAGACCTGCTGTGTTTGCCGAAACCAACACACTGCCATCGCGGTCATTCAGCCGGTATGGGTGGCTAGGGAATAATTGAATATCATGCTAAATCGTAACAGACCAGCAACATCCGCTTCTGCACCAGCACCAGATACCACTGATCCAACCAGCATCCTCGCAAAACAGCGTCTTAACCGCCCTGTCTCTCCACATCTTAGCATCTACCGACCCCAGATAACCTGGTACCTGTCCAGTCTTAACCGTATCACTGGTGCAATCCTCTCCGGCAGCCTCTACATCTTCGCCAGCGCTTATCTCGTCTCCCCACTGCTCGGATGGCACCTCGAATCTGCGTCGTTGGCTGCTGCTTTCGCCGCTCTCCCAATTGCTGCCAAGGTTGCGATGAAATTCACCATGGCCCTTCCTTTCACTTTCCATTGCTACAACGGTGTGAGGCATCTTGTGTGGGATATGGGAAAGCAGTTGACCAACCAGCAGGTTATTACAACTGGATGGACCGTTGTTGGGTTGACCCTGACCAGCGCTCTTGCATTGGCTCTTATCTGATTTCCACTTGAAGTATCTGGGGCCACTGGGCTTCTTATGGCTGGTTGCGCTTTGTACTATTGTCTGCTGTTAAATGTATATTTTTTTGAAGCCCATTATCTATTCCTAGTTACTTTACTCAACTAAGTTGACCTACAAATTATTTACCGTGGGTTATTTGTAGAATGCTGTTCTCACTATTACCACATGGTTGCAACAGTATTTACTCTCTCTTTTAGTTGGGGTATTAAACATTATATTATGGACAGCATGGTATGTCTTAAGGGCTTATCGGAGTACCCTACAAACAAACTAGACACAGAATGCTTAGCCTCATGAATCCATATCTGCTCTTCCCCCCCTTTTCTGCATAACTCTTTCTCTTTTCTGTTATCAAAAATTGAACTCAGATAAATGCCGGACGTTAATGGTTGATGGTTTGGCGTTCATTAATGTTCTCGTTTTATCCGAATTGTTGAAGCTAATTGAAGTTGTAATAAAATATGCATCCAGGTTAAAAAATTTTTTGGTTGGTTTTCGTAGATATTTTATGCTGCTTGTTGATGGAAATGTGTAATGTATAATGGTCAAGGCAACAAGTCGTGGACAGTATTTGGTGCATTTCACAGGTATTTCTTTTGGTGGGTTCTATTTTTATCAACCTGAGCAACCATGAGGGCCTAGACCTTCATACCACAACGAGGGGCACTCTTAATCCGAAGATGCCAATTTTGTGGTAGCGTGGTATTCAAGCTGGGCTAGGTGGTGGGTTTGGAGGAGTTGGACGAGGAGGCAAGGGGCCTGTGACTGAGAAGTTGTAACGATTGAAGGAGTAAGGCTCAATCAAGAGGTTTTTGGCGATGACTGGCTTGCCCTGGATGCATGGATTGCCCGGAGACTGGTGCTTGATGCCATGGCGGCCAGCAGATGGGTTCATAGTAGAAGGCATTGCGTCAATGGTTGCAATTCGCAGGCAACAAGATAGAGAAGGCTTCTAATGCAGTATTTAGAAGTTGTTTGAAACTGTGAAAGCGTGCAAGTATGAGATGATGGAAGGTTTTATAAGAGAGAAAAAAGAGGGAGAGAGAGAGAAGTGAGGTTGTGTGTGAATTTAAACGAGAAAAATTTCAAATCAGGCACACTGAGAGCAGGACATTTTATATAGATGCAATCGAAAGTTCTAGCCATGCTAGCCTAGATGCAAGAAGATCTAGCCCAAGCACGTGGAGGGCAAGAAGGGCAAAGGATGAGTCTTTGTCTGTCCTGAGTTGATGTTGACCCTTTAGGTGCAACATGCAAGCTGCCGTTGCGTCCTCGTGGTTGCCGGCCTCTCCGTTTGACTGGTTGCCCTATATTTCCTTCCCGTAGGGATGTTACGGCAGTTATAGCTTTTGCTCCAATAATATTGGGGGGAATAACACGGGAGTACCCGTGCAGGTCCCGTCCACCGCATTAAACGATGCAAGGCCGAATAAATAAGCCAAACGGCAGAGATACAACAAACACAATATAGATTCTGTTTTGGTATCTATGCCATATGTCAAATGGAGAGTCGAGGTCAGCTCCACAACGGGGGGAGGGAGGGAGACGGCTCGGGCGGTGTCTGTGAATATACGAAACAGTATATATAAGTCCATATATACTTAAGCTCTGGAGCTGCAAAGGAAAATGGGAGATGTGAGAAGGCGTATTTCTAGTTGTGATGGAAAGAATAGCAAACATGAGAGATGAATCCTTCCCTGAGAATACGAGACACTGCGTTATCTGTATAGGAATTCTCGCAGTCCAAGAAATGTTTCAAGGGGCATGGCAGTGTACCTTCACGGGAGTTTCGCCATGGGCTTGACAACTGGCCTCTTGATATGAACTGTTTATACGTATACCGAATTAACAACCGATATACCTACAGAAGTAGAGGGGGTTCTGTTTCTTCCCGTGGGTATAATATGGATTAAGGCTCTTTGTTCATTATTATCTCATGGAGAGAAGCCAGGCAAAGGCAACAGGTTCTAATCGCATCCCATACTCATTATCCAGAGACATCTTTATTTGTAAGTTCGTATGCCAAAGCCATACATGAGTTGCTCGTAATATAAATGAACGTTCTTCTAAAATGGTAGAGGAGTTCAACACTTGTCCTATTCGGGACTAGCGTGATCGTGTGAGAAATCTCGTAGCTTTTTGAGTATCTTCGACTTAATGAGCCACAACGACATTTCGACGGCAGCTTGATACCTCCAAATGAATAGCTGATAGGCCCCAATATCTATCAATGGCTTCAAAAATATCTCCTTTCCGAATAGTCGCTGCTGGGCTTACCCAGCCTGCGTGTAGGCGCGCCCCACGCTGCATTCTACCTTTCTGTTCACAATCTCAACCGAGCTCTCGACGAAGAATATCATCTACCCACGCTTCTCGAGAACAGCAGGCTGTGTCAGCTGCAATTCCACGATGGCAGCAAACCCCACCTGCTATGAAAGCTCCAGTCAGGTTGCGTGAATCTCCGAATAGTACCGAATTCAAGGTCAATTCCGACCCTGCGGTACTGGACAACTTCTATTTGCGAATGCTAGGGAAAGACGGAGACAAATTACTGTCTGAAGAAGTTAAATGGCAAGCAGTCACGCATAAAAGTTTTGATCAGGGGAGGAGAGGGTTTAATGACCGACTGGCCTATTTTGGTACGTTCTTTTTTGTCAACCATTTGAGTTGCCTCGTTGAATAAAAAACCTCGTTGCTGATAGTGCTTCCGAGCCAGGTAAGCAAATAATTCTGCTTCAAGCATCCCTCGCCCTCGTCCAGAATCCCGCAGCCTACGCCCCATCAGCAAAGGCGGATCCGTTTGGAAGACAGCCGTACGAGTCTCCTGCCCTTAAGGGACTTGAAGTTTTATCTCAGGACACGAGGTCCCGATTGACAGGGAGGAGGGAAATGGCAGCACTAGCCAGACATTATGGCATTAATGATGTTATGAGATGGGTACCGAGAAAGGTATGTGCCTAGCTAGATTCCCATCATCTCTCAATCTGACAACCAACTTATACTAACCCGAAATTTTTTGTAGCAACACAATCTGACTGAATCTGGGGTTGACACGATATACACCCATGCTATGTATGCGATCGTCGGAGCCATTGCACTTGAAAACGGAAGCAAGGTCGCAAACGAGATAGTCCGGGATAGAATCCTGAAACCCCTGGGCTTCCAACTCGGAAGCGCCTAACCGGCGGTGCGGTAAAATAGATATACACTTGGCTTATGGCATTGGTATGGCGTTGAAGATATTCTGTTTGAGACCCTTTGAGCCTAAAGTTTGCTCTTAATCGTTTGTATTTTTTATATTTTCTTCTTTTTGTTTGAATAGGCTTGTATTATATTAACAGACGGATGAATGTAAACCTGGCTCCCTCAGCTCTTCTTGTTTTCAACCCCTGATGTATATATATACACACCTCTGTGTGATTAGTTAAGAGACTGTCTGACCTCTCTGACACCGCCCGCGCAACATGAAAATGCCCGGCCAGTTCTTATGAGGTCCCATGAAAATTTGGTCTACGCATCACAATATCGCTAAGCGCAGCAATTGAATACCCTGATATGGCCTGACAGAATGCCAGGAGCCAAGATGAGAGACCAGCCTTGAAAAACAAGACTGAATATGTTGGTTAGCACTGTCTGAAGGATGCGCGTTTGTGAAGAGAGAGAAAAAAAAGAAAAGGAAGAAGGAAATTTTTATGTAGATATAGTTAGAGTGGCGCTAGTCCGGATGTGGACACGCTGCGGGTTGTTTAGAGATAGCGAAGCCAAAAAACTGCCAGCGGATAACAAAAGGAACGACGAAGACCGGAAGTTGGTATCCTTGATGCAACCCAGGTCCTGACCACTAACGACGATAGCAAATAGCGGAATGAATTGACGGTCTCATTATCAAAACCTGGTCTCTTTTTTCCCTTACTCTTTTTTGCCTTTTGAACAAAGCTATGACGAGTTAGATATGAGCCGTTGTTGCCTCCATCTTTAACGAAGAAGCTATCTGAAGAGGGTTCCCTGTTTATATCTCGCTCAACAATGGCTTCGGCAATCTTCTTCTTGGACTTGAAGGGCAAGGTAAGCATCTCCTAGCGCTGTTCTGACACTGTCATTCCTACTAACAAATACAACCTCCCACAGACCCTCCTTGCCCGCAACTATCGAGGGGACATCCCCATGTCTGCTGTCGAAAAGTTCCCTATCCTCCTCAGTGAAGCCGAAGAAGAGAGCTCCGCGGTTCCTCCCTGCTTTTCCTCCGAGGGAGTTAATGTAGGCTTGTTCTTATTTGCTTGCGCAATGTATGACACAGCTCTAACAGCCACGTCGATAGTACCTTTATATCCGACATAGTAATCTATACGTCCTTGCGCTTACGAAACGAAACACAAATGCTGCCGAGATACTTCTCTTCCTACACAAGATTGTGGAGGTCTTTACGGAATACTTTAAGGAATTGGAAGAGGAGAGTATTCGGGACAATTTTGTCATTATATACGAATTGCTGGATGAAATGATGGATTTTGGCCATCCACAAACTACAGAAAGCAAAATATTACAAGAGTATGGCTGTCCATTCATCTTTTTCTGGGAGTATGATAGGATGTGTGGGATGTTAGGAGGGGTATGGCTAACTTCTTATTCCACCGTCTAGGTATATCACCCAAGAATCGCATAAACTGGAAGTGCAAGCACGACCACCTATAGCTGTTACAAACGCAGTCTCGTGGAGAAGTGAAGGCATTCGATATCGCAAGAACGAGGTATTCCTCGACGTCGTCGAATCGCTAAATCTCCTTGTCTCTGCTACTGGAAATGTGCTTAGATCCGAAATATTGGGGGCTGTGAAGATGAAATGCTATCTCAGTGGCATGCCAGAACTTCGCTTGGGTTTAAATGACAAAGTTATGTTCGAAACGACAGGCCGAGCAACCAGGGGTAAGGCAGTCGAAATGGAGGATGTCAAGTTCCACCAGTGCGTACGGCTGTCTAGATTCGAAAACGATCGAACCATTAGCTTTATTCCGCCAGACGGCGAATTTGAGCTAATGAGCTACCGGCTCAATACTCAAGTGAAGCCGTTGATATGGGTAGAGTGTCTCGTGGAATCACACTCTGGCTCAAGAATCGAATACATGCTCAAAGTAGGTTTTTTCCTCCAAATTCCTCTCATATCATATGTAAGAGGAATAGGGTCAAGAATGAATGATATGCTGACTCGTCCACTTTCGTTCAACTAGGCAAAAGCACAGTTCAAGCGGCGTAGCACAGCAAACAACGTGGAAATTCTTGTTCCGGTACCCGAAGATGCAGACTCACCGAGATTTCGAACAAACGTGGGTACCGTCCACTATGCGCCAGAGAAATCCGCGATTATATGGAAAATCAAACAGTTTGGCGGAGGGAAAGAATTCCTCATGCGCGCAGAACTAGGTTTACCGTCCGTCAAGGGTGATGACGAACATGGCGGTGGAATGACGGGCGGCTTTGGTGGGAGCATGGGTGGTGCAGGACAAGGTGGAAAAGGGAAGCGGCCTATCAATGTCAAGTTCGAGATTCCGTACTTTACAACAAGCGGCATCCAGGTCCGGTACTTGAAGATCACAGAGCCAAAGGTATGCTACTGTCTCTTTTCCATATCCCCCTTTCGCCTGCCTCTGTCCGCCTTTCCTACCACGTCACTCTCCCACAAAGCGTATATGCTTCCAGCTCTATTTCTCTGCTTGCTTGCTTGATTCAACATTCCGTGCCAAGCTTCTAGCTCCCTTGCCACGTTTGATATGTTGTACATTTCCTCGCTCCCCGCGTTCCGTGTGTTCCATCCTCTTATATAAACCGAGCCATGGAATTGTGGCTTCCGTACTAAGCCTTGTTTCTTTTTCTTTTCTGGCCAATGCTGACCCGATACTGCCTTTAGCTTCAATATCCTTCGCTTCCATGGGTTCGCTACATCACTCAATCTGGGGACATTGCGGTTCGCTTGCCTGAGGCCCAGTAGGTTGGCTTATTCTTTCGATTTCATTACTCTGAACAAAAGAAAAAGAGGTCTTCTGGATGGTTAGAACTGCATGTCCATAACATAAGCAGCGCATTTATAATAGTTTCTAAAAGGAAATAAAGCAGATCCATGTTCCATGGATACATCTATTATTCCACTATACCGCAGGAATAAAATTGACTGGGCCATAGAGGAGCCGCGCAAGCAGCGGTGAACGTGAACGGGGGAAGCGAGAGAGCAGGAGAGCAACGTCACTTTACGAACTGTGTGTAACCGAAAAATCCTACAAACGAGATTATGTGTGCTTGTTGCTGTTGCCAAGATATGCAAAGACGCAGATACAAAGCAGGATCAGAAAAAACGTGTTTTCGGAACGGAAGGGAGAAAAGAGAAAAGAGAAAAGAGGAAACATGAGGCTCGCAAAAAGGTCTGTCACCTGACGGTATCAAATCCATGGGTGGTGGTAAGTCATAGCTGGGAAACGGACAGGAGTTTGGACAGAACGAGTCTGGGGTATGTATGGATGCATATAAAGATGGATTTGGGCCACAACCTGGAAACCTCATGCAACGGAGTTCATCCGTATCACCTCCGTCCCCCCTTTCAGAATCTATGGCCGTCAGGGGATTTAAATAGAGCACCATAGCTGCCGTCTTGGAATCTCTGGAGTTCTCTATTTGATTCATGCATGTCCCCAGCTTCCGGATCAGCTCTTATCGTAACAACCACTCCGTGACGGTCGATCCCTGCTCAGAGTATCGTCAGAAAGATCAGTGGAAAACATTAGGATTCCGATAAGACGACTTACTCTCAGGAACTGATCGGTGAGGTACCCAGCGAGGTGGTCTAAAGCAGCGTTGCATCATATCAATAAGGCATGAACCATCTCTTTCCCTAGGGCAGGAGAAAGCAACGAGGCCTACGATCAAGGCAAGGTCGCCCGTTAGATGCGTAAAGGGAATCTGGCTGCAGTAACTGTCGTTGTAGGTGTCCGGTAGAATTTCTGGAACCCAGTCGCGGGATCCTCGTCCTGCAAGCGTGTAGCCAGACGCCGCAAAGGTAGCAATTGACAGGTTCTGCCTCTCATCCGTTTTGAAACGTAACCTCCTCCAGGAATGATGTGTTCGTTGAATATGGTTTTGCATGCTGATTTTGTCGCGGCAGTCCACTGGAACTGTAAAGAAGTATGATGTTGATGATCTATAGAGAAGGCTACAGACGGCAAAATCGCCTTCTCCATGATCCACTGCAGGAGCTACCCGCTCTGGAGTTCGTTGTAGCCATCCGGTGGAATAAAGTGTTTCGAAAGCCCCTCTGTCCTTGGGAAACCAAAGCCCGTCACCATCAAATTTTAGACTCCCGTAGTCTGGCTCTATGTAATCAACCTTGAAGAGGAACCTCAGTGCCCTGTATCTGTCGTCACTCATCGTTCGGAAAAAATATGTACGAAGTAGTTTCTTGGTCGGGTAGTCTGATGCGCTGGGGCAGAGGAGCGTAGGTTTGTTGGCGGGTGATGAACACACTTAAACGTCAAAGATGTGATACGTTCTTCGAGCGTTTAAGGTAGGAAAATTGACGGGCTTCTCTCAGTATGTAGAATGATCGTGGTTAGATAGTCATCCCATTGAGTTTTTTTTCTGAAGCCGAGATTTTAACTTCTTATTATAGCATCTTACGTATCAGAGAGCCTCAAACGATCAGTTTGCTTTGGAGAATTTCCCAAGGAGCTGTCAAGTCCCTGCTTCAAGATCTGCTTGCAGTAATAGATCCTCCCTGTGTTTCATTTTGGAGTGGTAGTGGCTATCATGTGTGCATGAAGAACCTGCGTGGATACCCAATCTGCGGCCAAGTCCCATGTTAGACGTACCCTTTGCTATGCGGTTCAGCAGCGTGAAGACTCGAGAAGAGAAAAACGAGCCACCAAGAATAAATTATGTCATGGTTAACCTCAGCCGAGCTTTCTATCGCGGAATGAGGGGTGTGACAGGCCATGGATTGCCGGAGAGATGTGGGCGATTGTGGTTGGATTGTCGAAAGCACGCGGGGCCACATCTTAATGCCTCCAAGCGGAATAATTTCCAGGCATGCCTGGAAGTCGTAGTTCTGTACTCCCAATTGGCCTCCGAAATATTGAGTAATTGTACCCTTGTCAGGGGTTGAGTCGTCGTTGGGGGGAGTAGTTGATGGTGGGCTCCTTGATATCAATATTGAGGAACAGAATAATATTTGCCACATATCATGTCGTGTAAAACTTGAAGGGGGTATCATCGATGTAGAAAAACATTTCATGCTGAATAGAAAGCTCCCCATGGTGACCTGACTAATTAACGCTGGGTATGATGTCTTGATGCATGATGGCCAATAGCAGTGCCAGATTGACCGAATCCCAGCAGACGAAAGAAATCAGGCTACTAGCAAGCCCTCTCTTGAAACAAAAGCCATAATTACTATTGCATATAAACGACAAGTTTGAGGACTTCATTCAACATGGGCTTTTCGAAGATGGCTTTGAGCGATGACCACGGTGGTTCTTATATGCCTAACTTGACAGCATCAAGGGCATCTGCAGTTGGGCCCCTTGGCGCAGCAGGCGCATCAGCCCCGTTTTTTTATCTGCTGGACGCCTGGACGCCTAGATGGATGAACCACTGAGCGCTGCGGATGCCTGGCTCACAACGCGCGCAATCTGAAATCTTTACTCGATATAGACAAGTGCGCCTTCGACAGGGAAGCAATTGGGCTGCTCGAGCTTGTCGGTCGTTGGCCTGGATTTCCGTTCGGCCTTGGACCTTAATACATGCCAGGCACAGCTTCTTATTGCCCAAACCCTTATATGAACTGTGGTCCGGCTCTGGGCGCAGTTGTTTCGATTGGATGAATATTTCCAGCGTCATTATCCAGGTAGTTTAGAACAACTCACAATTTGCCAATGACCGGTCTACCCCCGGAAATCCCTGTGGCTTGTTGCGGAGTGCGTCAATCTGCATCATGGGTTAGTTTCGCACCAACGACTGTTAATTGATAAATAGGGCACCAGAATGAGAGTTCGATAAAAATGCATTGTTGCGTTAATCACTCGCCGCCGTTGACGGGGTTAAATTTCCGTAGGCTAGACCACGAATGCTCTGGAATACGGCCGATGCTGTAGTGAGGGATTTCGGGCTGTGCTCAACCGGAGGTTTAAGTAGTGACTGGCTTCGGCGCCGTGATGCTAGCCAGCCATACGCCCTGGGCTATGAAGTCTCTATAATAGAGTGGATAAGCCGGTAGCAGTCGGAAGCCTTGATTAGCTCGAAGCAAAAACTCTGTGCATTCCGTTTAACGCATATCTGATTTACTAGGGCCTCGTCATTATAGTATCGTCAGGAACAGAATCTGTACTTATGACGTTCTAGCACAACAGCCTAGAAACCGATCGGTTCGGATGTAAAGGCCACACATATCTCCTTAACACCACCATATTTGTTTCCGTTGCCATGCTATTCAGCTGTATTTGCTTTCTTCCCTCTATACCTTCTGGTAGAAATCCCTGATTTAATAGTCGACATTTTGATATCCGCGGTTTGGGATGAAGGTAGGCAACAGGGTCCCTGATGCATATTTTGAATGCACACGATGCCTTCCATGATCCGATAGGCCCCCAAGGGCTGTACGTAAGGCTCTATGTACACTCCCTATCTAAGCCCGAATAGATACTTCTGGAGCCCCTACGGCTTTGCCCCTTGATCTATGGTATCTGACTAGCTATATAGAGCATCAGGGCCCCTGTCTGCTCTTGTGAAGCCTGAAGAGACCGCCTACCTATCGCTGCGCGCTCGCATAAAGTGTATGTCTTGTGCAGGAAAGTAGTAAGTTCAGAGCGTCTTGGGCCATTTTTCATTTCATTTTTCCTTCTTTTTTTAGGCCGTGAAGGATCAAATTGTTACATCAGAATCAAAGAGGTGCGCTCTACGCTCTCACAATAAGAATATTTGCTGTATTAAATCTAGCCGCATCTAACTTCGAATAAATGAGATACCGAAAGCACGGCGTTCTAGAATATGATATCTAGCGAAGATTGGATTATCCTTGTGTTAGATATCTGAAGCCTGAACTCTTCCTAGCCAGACAGACCAATATCGTGTAGGAACATTTCCCAATACAGGCATTTTCTTTATTTAATGCCCAGTAGATCAGATAAGATCAAAAACTTAATTAAACTGCAAGAGGTAAAATTACATAAGCTCGAAACTTACCTGACTCGAACTTGACTTGGAACCAGAACGACTTCAAAACATCGCATGCGGAAGAGCCAAACAATGACTCTGTACGGGAGTACAGAGAGAAAAAGATATGGATATCGGATATACCAAGTGGAATAAACAATGCAAAACAAGAGAACGGGCCATCAGAGGACGCCACTAATTTCTCGGGCCACCACAAGCATTGGTGAAGCACCTATTGGGGCCTCTTATCACCTGCGCTCAGGGCTATCTTCCATCCAGTCTACACGAGGTCAGACCTCACTGCCTGTGTAACGCCCCTCTCTGCATTTTCGTGGCTGCCATGCGGCGGATTGACCCCTGATTGATTCCACCACGCTTCTTCCCTGTCGCCTTTTTTCCTGTCTCGTCTTCTGCTTGGTCGTTTGGCATGAATCGCGTCCAACCGCCAAGCTGACTAAGGCGCAGCTCTATTCCGTTTCCGGTCACCGCCCCACATGAAGTTGCTGACTCATCCGCGTTTTCCCCTTCGTTTGCTTGTTTCTAATCTCGGAAACGACGGACGAAGAGAAGAAGAGGTCAAGATATTTCCGCTGCCGGAAGAACTTTTAGTCAATATGAATCATATCCTTAGTCAAAGGCAGCAATCTGCCATGGTCTCGTCTCCGGATGCTCCGCTCAAGCAGCCTCCATCAAGGGGCCTAGCTCGCCCCAGACGGGTGCTGGCCGTTGTTGTGGTCGTGTTCTCAGAATACAACATGTTGGATCAGCTCTATCAAATCTAAGCAGAACCATGGGAGCCCAACGGGATCCAAAGGAATACGATGTCAACGCAATCAGCCAACAGTTTTGCTCCCTGACAGGAGTGGAACTTGTTCTAGATATATCACCCCTTTCGGCCTTTTCAAGTCCGAGATTGAATCTTTTCCGGGCCCCACACAAGGTTAAGTAAGAAAGTCTCAACTACATTTTGATCGATACTTTTCTTCTTCTCCCCTCACTCAATCTTCTTCTTCCGTCTCCCTATCTATATAAACGTGGGACGGTTTACCTGGCTCTTAGATACACAGGAGCAAATCAGTTCATTCTGATAGCTTGCTATAGTTTTATACAGCATCTTTTCCACCTTGTTTCTTGTTATATTTCCCCTCAAACTTTGGGTTTCGTTTTATTATTTGACTTGGTACTGCCAGGCTCCCAATATTCTCTATCACGCCAACCAGTCAACAGCTTTCTGCGTATGCCTCGAAAACTACGACTTTGATACCCAGTAGTGGACAGAATCCATGGCGTCTAGTATTGTGGGGCCCAACTTATCCAAATCGGAATTTCCTGGTGAAGGCTCAGACTCAGATACCATTTTTACCGGTAGTGACTATGAGCGTGAGCGGGAGAATCTTAGGAATGCCAACCACCAAGGCTTGACGCAACCGAGAGGAGGCGTTGATGTGCAGCAGGCAGAAGAACAATTCGCTGTTTTGAGCAAGGAGCTTTCTAAAATCTCAGAGAAATCAAAGCAACCCTTGGCCCTTGACCAAAACCGCACAAAGGAGAAGGGCTCCTACGATATTGAAGGCGCTTCTGACGGCGATGAAAAGTTTGATCTTGAGACTGCCCTTCGTGGCTCTCGAGACGCAGAGGCAGCTGCTGGAATACGGCCAAAGAGAATCGGTGAGTATCTCCAGATTTTTTCCGGCAAGGTTTGATATTAACTCCATAAAGGTGTTATCTGGGATGGCCTCACTGTCCGCGGCATGGGTGGAGTAAAGTATACCGTACCTACGTTTCCTGATGCAGTCATTGGCTTTTTCAACGTACCGGCCACCATATACAGATGGTTGGGTTTCGGGAAGAAAGGACAGGAAATTGAAATTCTTAAAGACTTCAAAGGCGTGGCTAAGCCAGGCGAGATGGTCCTGGTCCTTGGAAAACCTTCTTCAGGCTGTACGACTTTCTTAAAGGTTATAGCAAATCAGAGATTTGGATATACTGGTATCGACGGAGAGGTTCTCTACGGCCCATTTGATTCAGATAAGTTTGCAAAGAATTACCGCGGAGAAGCTGTCTACAATCAAGAAGATGACATCCACCATCCCTCGCTCACTGTTGGACAAACCCTTAGCTTTGCGCTGGACACAAAAACCCCGGGGAAGCGTCCAGCAGGCCTATCAAAGGCTGAATTCAAGAAGAAGGTGAGGGCTATACCTTTAAATACCCGCAGCTTTGGTTTATTATATCTAATCTCATTTCATAGGTCATCGACCTCCTCCTCAGAATGTTCAACATCGAACACACCATCAACACTGTGGTTGGTAACCAGTTTATTCGAGGGGTTTCCGGTGGTGAGAGAAAACGCGTTAGTATCGCCGAAATGATGGTCACCGCTGCCACCGTTCTAGCGTGGGATAACACTACCCGTGGGCTGGATGCCTCCACTGCCCTGGATTTCGCCAAGTCGCTTCGGATCATGACCAACATATACGAGACAACCACCTTCGTCTCGTTGTACCAAGCATCCGAGAATATCTATAACCAGTTTGACAAAGTAATGGTTTTGGATCAAGGCCGTCAAGTCTTCTTTGGCCCTATTGATGAAGCCCGTGCTTACTTCGAAGCCTTAGGCTTCAAGGAAAAACCACGTCAAACCACCCCTGATTATCTCACAGGTTGTACTGACCCCTTTGAAAGAGAATACAAAGATGGGAGAAACGAAACCAACGCTCCATCTACCCCCGCTGAATTGGTCAAGGCCTTTAATGACTCACGATTCAGTAAATCTTTGGATGATGAGTTGGCTTTTTACCGTGCTAAACTTGAGGAGGAGAAATATATCCAAGAAGACTTCGAAATTGCCCATCGTGAAGCCAAACGAAAATTCACATCAAAGTCCTCTGTCTACTCTGTACCGTTTTATCTCCAGGTGTATGCTCTGATGAACCGACAGTTCTTGATTAAATGGCAGGACAAGTTCTCCCTTAGTGTCTCATGGATTACCTCAATCTCTATAGCTATTATTATCGGAACGGTCTGGCTGAAGCTCCCAGAGACTAGTGCTGGTGCTTTTACGCGAGGAGGCCTCCTTTTTGTCGCTTTGCTCTTCAACGCCTTTCAAGCATTCGGCGAGCTTGCATCGACCATGTTGGGGCGCCCTATCATCAACAAACAACGTGCCTTTACGTTTTACCGCCCCAGTGCTCTATGGATTGCGCAAGTGGTAGTTGACACGGCTTTCTCCTCGGCTCAGATTTTAGTCTTCAGCATTATTGTCTATTTTATGTGTGGTCTTGTGTTAGATGCAGGGGCATTCTTCACCTTCGTCCTTATAGTCATCACGGGATATCTTGCTATGACGCTATTCTTCCGTACCGTTGGTTGCCTCTGTCCCGATTTCGATTATGCCCTAAAAGGTGTCTCAGTGCTGATCTCATTTTATGTCCTCACATCTGGCTACTTGATTCAATGGCATAGTCAGCAAGTTTGGCTTCGATGGATTTTCTACATCAACCCCTTGGGTCTTGGATTCTCATCTATGATGATCAACGAATTCAGCCGCGTCAATATGACATGTGAGGCAGATTCACTTATTCCAGCTGGTCCAGGGTATTCAGATATTGCACATCAAGTTTGCACTTTGCCTGGCGGTAGTCCAGGGTCAACAATTATCCTGGGATCTAGTTATCTGAGCTTGGCATTCAACTATCAAACTGCTGATCAATGGAAAAACTGGGGAATAATCGTTGTTTTAATTGTTGCATTTCTGTCGGCCAACGCTTTCCTTGGTGAGGTTCTCACATTTGGGGCTGGTGGAAAGACTGTCACTTTCTTTGCCAAAGAATCAAAAGATCTCAAGGAGCTAAATGAAAAGTTGATGAAAAAGAAAGAGAACCGACAACAAAAGCGAGGTGATAATATTGGGACAGACCTTCAGGTTACATCAAAGGCTGTCTTAACCTGGGAGGATCTCTGCTACGATGTACCTGTTCCTGGAGGTACACGGCGCCTTCTAAACAGCGTTTACGGATATGTCGAGCCGGGGAAACTTACTGCCCTCATGGGTGCAAGTGGTGCTGGTAAAACAACTCTGCTTGATGTGCTAGCTTCACGGAAAAACATTGGAGTTATTACTGGTAATGTTCTTGTCGATGGCCGTCCAAGAGGCACTGCGTTCCAGCGTGGTACATCATATGCTGAGCAACTAGATGTGCATGAATCTACCCAGACTGTGCGTGAGGCCCTCCGGTTCTCTGCAACCCTCCGCCAGCCATACGCGACTGCAGAGTCTGAAAAATTCGCGTACGTCGAAGAAATAATTTCACTCCTTGAGTTGGAAAACCTAGCAGATGCCATAATTGGTAGCCCAGAAACTGGCCTGTCAGTCGAAGAGCGAAAACGAGTAACCATTGGGGTGGAGCTGGCGGCGAAACCACAGCTTCTGTTGTTCCTTGACGAGCCCACTTCTGGCCTTGACAGCCAGTCGGCATTTAATATCGTTCGATTCCTTCGAAAACTTGCCGCCGCTGGACAAGCCATCCTTTGCACCATTCATCAACCCAACTCTGCTCTGTTTGAAAATTTTGACCGTCTTCTTTTGCTCCAGCGTGGTGGTGAGTGTGTGTATTTCGGCGACATCGGCAAAGATGCTAGTACTTTGATTGACTACTTCCACAGAAATGGCGCTGAGTGTCCCCCTAAGGCGAACCCTGCTGAATGGATGCTTGATGCAATTGGCGCCGGCCAAGCTCCCCGCATTGGCAATAGAGATTGGGGTGACATATGGCGCACATCCCCAGAGCTAGCGAATGTTAAGACCGATATTGTTGACACGAAGTCAAATCGAATTCGAACGATTGAAGACCAAGCAGTAGATCCAGAGTCTGAGAAAGAATATGCAACACCGTTATGGCATCAGATAAAAGTTGTATGCCATCGCATGAACTTGGCATTCTGGAGGTCGCCCAATTACGGCTTCACTCGTCTTTATAGTCATGTTGCGGTTGCTCTAATTACTGGGTTATCGTTCCTGAATTTGAATAATTCTAGAACGTCGCTGCAATATCGAGTTTTTGTCGTTTTTCAAGTCACCGTCTTACCAGCCTTGATTTTAGCCCAGGTGGAGCCCAAATATGACTTGTCCCGTCTGATTTTCTATCGAGAATCAGCAGCCAAAGCCTACCGACAATTTCCATTCGCTTTGGCAATGGTACTTGCTGAACTCCCTTATAGTATAATTTGTGCAGTGTGCTTTTACCTGCCCCTGTACTATATGCCTGGTCTCACTGGCGATTCAAACCGGGCAGGATATCAATTCTTCATGGTCCTAATCACCGAGATATTCTCGGTAACATTGGGACAGGTGATTTCGGCGTTGACGCCCAGCACATTTACCGCCGTCCTTCTCAACCCTCCAATCATAGTCATCTTTGTATTACTATGCGGAGTTGCGATACCGAAGCCTCAAATCCCTAAATTCTGGCGTGTGTGGCTCCATGAACTGGACCCTTTTACACGACTTGTCAGTGGTATGGTTGTAACTGAGCTTCACGGGCAGGAGGTCAAATGCACGGGTTTAGAATTGAATCGGTTTACTGCGCCAGCTGGTGAAACCTGCGGCTCGTACATGGAGAAATTTTTCTCCAATAATGGACCTGGCTATTTGGTTAACAATGCCACTGACATGTGTGAATATTGCGCTTACAAGGTTGGAGATGAGTTTTACCGGGTTTTCGAGATGTCATTCGATAACAGATGGAGAGACTTGGGTATTTTCGCTGCCTTTATCGGATCGAACTTGCTGCTACTATTCATAGGAGTAAGTATTGCCGTACTCCCTGAGAACCTGTGTGGATGTTTACTAACTAATTATCTTTTTCCCCGATATAGTCCCGGTATCTTAATTTTAACCGCCGGTAAATGAGATTTATCTCACTATCACTAAAAGTTTTCTTTCCCTTTTATTTCCTGATTATTTCATTTGACCTTCAGGTTAATAAATATGTGCCTGTTGAGTTTATATAGACTGTTGTTTCTTTTATTTACTATATGCGTTGTTGGTTGTTCATACTCGCATCTGGGTATATATATATAAAACAATGAATAGCAATTATGTTAAACGAAAAGTGCCAACTCTTGTTCAGAGGGACGTTTCTACAAATACTTATTTCCCATCTATCCTTAAAATCAACAAACGCTAAATACTCATTCCAAATTCTTTGCAATACGGAGCCATGTGTAATTTGGAGTATTTATTGTTATTTATAATATTATAATTTGGCTAATAGATATACCGGAAGCTGGTAACAGTGTAAAAATGTCAGTAAACTGAGCCAAAAAGGGGTTTGCAAGCTGATCCAAGAAGATACAGCCCGCGTAGGGTAGTGGCACATACTTGAGGTTTTCCCTATCTGTCATATCAGAGAATGCAGTAGAGTCAAGATCCCGCCCTTCCAAGCCACCCTCCTGCTGAGATTGGATGTGATCACGACGCTTATTTTCTCTCCATAGAAGGAAGCCTAGAAGCGAGATAACAACCACTTCAATCAGGTGTGATACTATCATTGACCAGATACCAAGGGGATACGATGGTCTGAAGCGCCCGTGGGTTAGCATTCCGGACTTATTTTTCCGCTGCAATGTATTATAAAATGGTAAAATAGGATATCTTACGACTGTTCCGAAATATAAAAGAAAGGGCCGGCAATGTTCCCAGTGCAGTAACCTAAAAATAGAACCGCGTTTGTGACAACTTTTTTCGTATGACCTTTGTATGATTGCGGTCAGAAGTTGACACTAACTATTGAAAAGAGAGCCCTCACCAGCGGTGTTTGCAATCTGCATGCTGAGTACCAAGACAAACGCAGCATTATATGGTCCAGTCAAGTAATAGCAGATAAGCCGCCCTGCCTTTTGGTCGTGTGCAAGAAACCGGAGTCCAAATGCGCCCGTTATATTCGGCAAAAGGAAGAGTATTATAAAGAGACATCTTCGGTTCTCAAACTTGTCGTTTAGGTATACACAAAGCAGGATAGACACGGCAATGATAATTCCGTAGGGTATCTAGATTGTAGCATCCATTTGGTGAGCTCATATGTTCTTTTTCTTTCTTTCTTTTTTTTTGTTAGTGCTATGCAGATAAAACGTACCTGCATCAATGTAGTTACGAGAGTGGAAAACCCGAAACCCTGAATAATAATTGTTCCAAAATTTGATATACCCCCATTTGGGATATTGCATCTACAAATTAAAGAGTTAGAACTTGTAAGTATAACAATGGAATACAATTCACTTACACTACACCAAGCAAGAAAAATAGATAAAGCTTGTTGTCCAAGAATGCTTCCTTTATCTGGTACGGTTTAAGCTGTTTATTTTCAATTCCCGTTTGATTAGATCGGACTCGTTCAACTGCTCTGCGGCGGTCCCTTTGGCTGAGAAATGGTGCTGTCACCGGGGAATCGGGGAGAAATAAAAAGATGACTATTCCCCAGGCGCAGCATAATGCACCACTAGGATTAACGAATTAGAAACACTGCGTTGGCAATGTGATTAGGAGTATATGATAAATTAGACTCACATAATGATAAACTCATATTTCCACGAAGGCAGGGCTCCTTTGATACTTCCAATGCCATATCCAAGGAGGCCACCAATAGCAATACCAAACCCATTCGCGGTATACCACAAGCCCAGCCGTACGGGTTGTTCTTTTCGAGTGTACCACATACCTGTGACAAGCAGAAATCCGGGGTCAGAACAAGCTTCGGCTGCACCCGCAAGTGTACGAAGAATCGCGAGAGTGGTAAAGTTCTTGCAGGCTGCCTGAAGCATTAAGAAGAAACCCCTATTGGGAATATAGATTAGCGGCCATTAAGATAAATCAAGGAATAATTTGACGAACCACATGAAAATGTTCACCCCCAGGTATTTGCCTATCAAGTAGAGCTTGGTTAATGATTTTTATTGGCTAAAAAGGGAACAGAGTAGTAAATTCTTACCAACAGGGTATCTCTGTAACATAAAATTGGTTGGTAGGGCCCATATCAAAAATCCAAAGTAAAACAGACTGCTGAGCCAGCTATACTGGGTCCCCTTAAGATTCAAATCTTCCCGAATCCCGAAAATCGCTGCATAGCTTAGAGTTGTCTAGTGGCCATCAAAAAGGGAGTGACATCAGTTTTCTAGATTCTTATAAGATCATTCAATGGGCTACGAATCAAGATAACTCTTGGCCGTAAGTTCCTGGAGCCCACTAACCTTGTCAATGTAGAAGAATGCGTAGCATACGGAAAGATAAGGAATAATCATCAAGTCGATTTTCCACAATAGCTTTCGTGCTTCCTTTGGGTTAATATATTCGTGAAGCTCTTCCGCATTCATGAATAGGGCCATGGCGGTATTGCCATCTCCACACTGGGAGACTTTCCATTTTGACTGAGGTGTTGCCGATGGTTCGGCACTCCCTATTTCTGCAGTTGATGCCTCATTCCCATCTGCGCGCTTAGCCTTCATTGTGAGTTGTGTTTTATTCTCTGTTACCTGACAGGGTCCAATTCTGGGAAGCATCAGTATTGTGTACAATCCAAGGGTCACAGTCGGGCTAAGGGGCCAACCGATCTCAGATTGTGTAACTGTGATCCTGTGCTGCGCTCGCTCGGAACAATAGCTTCATCGGCGACTCTGCTGAAGCCGTCAAATCTCATACAAGACATATTTAGAATAGGACTGGAAGTAGCATGGTGATATTTGTGGTTTATTCGGCCTATTTGACTGCGTGATAATGCCTCATAACCCCATGGGGCAGCTCTCCACACCCCCACGGGGTTTCCGGAAATAACTGGGGTAAAGGGAGCTTCTTAGAGGGGCTGAGATGTATCTTCTGGATGAAATAAACGGTATATTCCTTGTAATAGAGGCTTTGTAATGACAACAGCCTCGGTGCTTCTGCGGACTTGAGGCCTTCTCCCGGACGAGATGGGAACGGAGATGGCGCCGACTAGAAACTTTTAAGCCAGGACAATCAGCTTAGCCGGTCATCGCTAGTTCATCGTCGTTGGCTATTTAATATAATACACCTTTGCGGAGAAGGATATCACTCGGAAACTGCTGTTGAGAGTGGTGACGTTGTCGATGTTGAGCGTCTAAACCTGCTGGCACTGGATGAGACGTTCTGGAGCATTTTCAACGGTCAAGGAAAAACAAGGAGAATCTGAGCATCAGCGACTTAAGTCTTCAAATACTGGCAGCTTTTCATTGTAGCTAGTGGTTATAGAACATGCCAATTATGAGGATGTGATATCAAGTCTGCGGTTGATAATAAACCAAATCAATTTCTAAATAAAAGTTTTCTTAATTCATGAATCGGGTTTCGATGTATGTACATATTTGAATGGATACCAATAACAACAGCATTGGGCTTTATTAAATAAAAGCATGGAAAGGAGGAGAAATAGAGTAGGAAACTGGATTATAAACAGACGTTGAAATATCTTACTCTCCTTCCTCCTTGATGTTATGTTGCCCAACTATGGTCAAGAACACTTGGTCAAGAGTGGTTTGGCTGACAGAATAGTAAGCGAAATGTAGCCTTTCTTTGTTCTGTTCAAGGAGCGAGAACAGCTTGCTAGTACTGATCTTGTCGTCGTGGTCGCCAATGCTCCGTCCAGTTACCGGGGAGTCCGCATATATGCAGTCATCCTCGCCAGTTTGTGTCGGCGAACCAGATTCACTATTGTGTGGCCCGGAGAGAGACGATGAGCCGTTCAGACTGAAGCGAAGCTGGCCGTGGTATGTTTTTCGTTCGATGGATGCGCCAGGAAGTGTGCTAGCGACCCAGGCACGTATCTCTTCCATGTCAGCTACAGAGGTATGTGGTGCATCCTGGTGGACGATGTGGACATGATATGCGTTGCCATGACGGCGGCGGAGGTCATCAGTAGTGCCGATGGCAAGCATTCGCTTGGCCATAATACCAGCACGGGTAGCGAGAGCGTCGGCTTCCTCCATAGAATGCGTCGTCAGGACTAACGATCGGCCAGGGACAACGGATTCAAGTGTGCGCCACATGACTCGCTTGGAAGCAGCGTCCATGCCGGATGAGGGTTCATCTAACAAAAGCACTGTTGGGTTGCCCATCAATGCAATTCCAAGAGACAATTTTCTCTTGTTTCCACCAGACAGTTGCATCGCCATCCTATTCCCGTAGGGCGTGAGGCCAACGGCTCGAATAACCTCGCGTACATTGTGTTCCACGTCCGGGATTCCTCGAATGCGCGCGTAGAATCTCAAATGTTCCAGCACAGTCAGTTGGTCTATGGCATCAAACTGCGGGCAAACACCCATATGGGAGCGGGCTGTCGCTCGTTGTGTGGTGACTGGTATATTTTCGACGAAGATCTCGCCGCCGCTGTTAGAGGGTTGGATATCTCCTCGGATTAAACTGATGGTGGTGGATTTTCCGGCACCATTAGGTCCCAGCAGGGCGAATACTTCGCCACGGGGTACCCCAAACGTAACATCCTCGACTGCTGTGAATTTCCCAAAAGTCTTGGTCAAATGGATGGCTCGAAGGCCATCGTTAGCACTCGACACACGCTGAATCTCATGTCCAAGGTCTGGATCGCCATTGATCTCTTTCTCTCGGTCAGATTGCCTTTTCTTCGTAAAGCGACGGAACGACAAGCCAGAATCCCAGAATAAAAGCACCCCGAATAATACAAGCGCCTGCAAGATGAGGTAGAGAATAGGGCCACCGTACGCCGTAATATCTCCAGGGTAACTGACTATCTCTTTATCCCTGCAGATGGTCGAGAAGACATTTAGGGCCACAAAGAGGGAGCGGATTACATTGCCGATCGGTGAGATTGTAGCAATGGCAAAGTGCACGACTAACAGAAGATTTTGTACTTGGTCAGTTGGTGCATAGGTGACCACTGACATGTATGCTATGAGGTAGACGAGGAATAATATCCTAAAAAGGGTCATTAGCAATGCGATTAGACTAAGAGAGTTGATTCGGATTACTTACGCTTGACCTCCAGCAGCAAAAGCAAATGCGGCAAGTTGGGACGAAGCAAACACCGAGATTATGTAGGCAAACAGCGTCGATGTGATAGCGTACAGGAAAAAGACGACAAAAAGATACTCTAGATGATACCAGCTAGAGGAAACCGCCCTGAAGACTATTACCATTATGACGGTAGACGTAAGGGCGATGGCGAAGTCGAATGACAGATAAGATAGCCATAACGGAAGGCTTCGAACACCGTTGCTGTAGTGTAGATCTCTAACATGTCGAAGCTTCTCTATCGTAAGGTAGAGGGAGAAGAAAGCTGGATAAGCAGATAGAGCCAGGCCCAAGTAGATAATAAGCTGGAGTGTGCTCGAGGCTGATGATATCCATGGGACCTCGAGGATCTGGTACTGAGTAGAGATGGAAATGTTGTATAAGAGATTGTCCATCTGATTCTGTAGGATTGAAGCTAAGGCAACGCCGGAATTTCCCTTCCATGCCAGCGTTGGCGGCGAAGTGTCATCTCCAAGGTAGAATCCGCCGGGAGTAACGTTCCTGAAGTTAGTAGCAATATAATCGTTGAATTCCTGAAGGGAATTTACAACATGAGTACCGTTTCGCAAAGCTTCTGTAACATTTGCGGGAAGTGAGCCGCCAGCACCACCACCAAGTCCTCCACCAAGGGAGATTAGACTTCCCGCAGAAAGCTTGCTGCTTGGCCCAATTACCAGCTTCAATTTAACCTGGTTTAAGATGGAGTTTACGTTGGATTGAGAGAACGCGGCTGGCCCCGTGCAGACCGGAAGCTCATAGTCTTTCATAAGGAGGGATACCAATCCGGCAGCAATAATCGGGAGTAGGAACGCAGCAATAGTAGGAAGGTAGTTTCGACGAAGGATAGTAGCTCTTTTGCATAGTAGGACCCATGCTTGCTGGACCATTCCAATTCGGTGTCCGGTGAGGAGATGCGGAGTCTGATCGGACATCTTCCCGCTCTTTCCATCTTCTTCCCAGCTTTCGGCTTCGCTATGGATCTCTTCGGCAACCTTTAAGAAGACGTCCTCGATAGTTGGGCCACTGACACGGTACTCGGTGATACCCTTTTCTTCCAACTGGCTAACAAACCTAGCTGCCTGTGAAGAGTCAGCAACAGTAAAGATGACCTGGTCGTGAAGGGTCTCAGTCCGCAAAGTTGCTGGAAATTGCAATTTCTCCGACGTAAGCCCTTGGTAGACATAGATCCTATAGCCAGATCCAAGCTTGTGCTTAAGTTCGACGCTAGAACCTTCGGCTTTGAGAACGCCTTTGGATAAGATTGCGATTCTATCTGCAATCACATCGGCTTCATCAAGGAAATGGGTGGTTAGTAGAATGGTTCTTTTGCCTCGCTCTGCAAGAAGAATGTCCCATATCTTTCGTCTAGAAATAGGGTCTAGGCCAGATGAAACTTCATCAACACAGCATACAGATGATCCACCAGTAAACATCATGGCTAATTGGAGCTTTCTCTTCTGACCACCAGATAGGGTTCCGGCAAGAGCCTTCAGTTTCTTATCCAGGTCGCAGGCGGCTACAAGTTCCGCAATTTCTTCCTTGCTGTCAGGCTTCTCAAGAGTCTTCAGGCCATTGAAAATTGAAATATGCTCTTGTACAGTAAGTTTGTCCCAGATAACATTCTTCTGGGGGCACATGCCGAAGCCACCAGCATTTTCAGGGTAAGCCACAGAGACCTCGCCAGATGTGGTTTTTGAAACTCCTGATATGGCATCTAGAGTTGTTGACTTTCCACTGCCGTTAGCCCCAAGGAGGACCATGATTTCACCTTTATTAACATTGAGGTTGAGGTCGTCGACAGCCAAGACTGTTTCACGATGGCTTCCAAAAATCGGGGCGACAGTTCTGTGAAACCAGCTTGGCTTGTACTCTTTCGTAAAGCCGTTGAGAGAGACGGCATAAGGAGCGAGATCCGATCTTATGCTCTTTCTGCATTTTGACCCAGTACCGTGGAGCAAACGCTCTACGATGGCGGCGAGGATCGGGAAGACTATGATATGAATGATGGCGAATATCCAAAAGACAATGCCAGGGATACTCCAGGGACTTTCAGGGGCACTCTTCACCAGATTGGTCGCTTGATCCTGTCTCTCCCATCTTGCCATGAAAATGACAAAGTTGATAAAGTTCATGGGAGGGAACAGGAGGGATAGAATGGCAACAGCAGCGGAGCTGGATGGGTGAACGACTTGCGCAACGATACCAAGACCCAACGAGGTAATAACGACTGTAATTCCACTTAACTGTGCCTTTTTAAAGAAGGATGCTCCGAACAAGGCAAAGGAGGCCAGGGATAGACCGGCCAGGAGCTGGAATATTATCTGAATGCCAACGGAGGATTTCGTAAAGACGACGGCTTTTAATATTATAGCCATTGCAATCCAGCCTGGCAAGTAGATGATGTCAAGGGCGAGATGGACAGAAAGGAAACGAGCAGCCTGGGATTTCCAAGGGCTTGTGGTTGGGATCATGCAGTCGATAAGCTGGGAGATACCCAACTCCCTCTCGGTTGCAACAAGGCCGGTTAACTGATAGGTGATACCAATGCTACCCACGAGAAAGGCGATTCCCAGAATACTGATGATCGTGCCAGTATATCTGATGCGGTTGTCCTTGATACGCTCTTCTTCAGATTTGGATGTGTATGGATATTGCATAACCTGTAAGTGTTTTGAGTTAGACAGAGCATATGATATGAATTCGTCCATAGTACTGACCTGTTTGTTGATGGGCCCTTGTGTCCCGCTGACCGAAGCGATGGCCCGATCTATTGCATGTTGAAAGGGGAGAATATACGTTTGGGCATCATTGGTAGTCGACTCGATATCGATGTTCTTCCCTAGAGCACCGTCCGCTTTGATAGTGTAGTTCCATCTGCCACCATTTCCCTCATTCGGGGATGAGGCAAAGACAGCCACAGCTATGCAAGAACTGGTACCCAGAATTGAACTCTTGCATATGTCCTGGACCGCATCGGCGGATGATAGTATCGTTACTGATTTCCCGCTTGCCCGTACGGGCATGGACACCTGGTCGATGACCCGGGTAATATCACCATTTTCGAAGCCATTATTGACGAAGACCACATTATTCCGTGAAGAGGACACTGACTTCAGGGCATCATCTAGAGACAAGATAGGACTAGGCGATGCAATCCCATATTTGGACGGGACGACAAACAAGTTACGAGCAAATGACCTAGGCAGACAGGTAAGCTGGCCTTATCTCTTCAGACGATGAGGCGCAGTAGGAGGAAGCACGAACAAGAAAGCAATGAGGACGACCGGAAGGACGAAGGCTCGCAGTGGCGTCGTGATGTATGGTCGAACCAGCGCAAGCAGGAAGTTCTTCTTGACCAACGCCCAAACCTGCCTGGTGAAGGCCATAGCTAGTCAGAACTCCCCAAACCGGGTGGTATCAAGAAAAAGATGTTATTGTTCGACGCAGCATAACACCGTACATATACGGAAAAGTATCTCTTGGGGAGATAGCGATACTATGTACTATGGATAACCATCGTGTATATATATGCCAAGTAATGAAATATCAGGCCAAAAAAAAAAAACCGCCGGTGACGCGCGGAGATCGTGGCGGGCGCCTCAGAGAAGAAAAAAGGGACCGGCCAAGACGCAGAGAAGAAGTATTTCTTATGCTGGAGCATTATTTATACGAAGTGACATTTGTCGAGAAGGCTGCAAAGTTCCTGGCCGAAGAAGCCAAGGCGGACCAGGGTTGATGTCGACGTAACAAGCATAACAAGTCCTTGTATTTAGTATGTCAGAACCATGCAAGGAGACTCGATCTAAATCCTTCGTCTGGCGTGGAGAGAGAGAGTCGCATGTTGGCAAAGCGATTTGATAGGATCCTTCGTCCAGTGTTTGTAGCCGATGAAGTAGACCATCCTGGCCGACACGGGCATACACTGCGGTGCCAACGAGAAGTAATGCATGATATAGAGAGGATCAAGGCGCAGTCATCGAAGGGCCATCTATCTATGACTTTGACCAACTTCCCGTGAAGCCGTTTAGCAAGGGTGTGATGTTGTTGCTTCAGGGTTCTTCTTTCGTCCGTAAGTGTCGACCTAACGGCCTTAAGGCGCACCAGAGCTGCGATGCGATGAGACACGGTCTCATCAGCGTGATATAACTATCTTGCAGTTGGAAGTCTGTTCTTACCAGCTGTTGGCCCCGACCATGGGGACCGAAGACCGTTCTCTCTCTGTGCTCATTTGGATGTGCGGTGACAGTCCAACTGTATATATATAGAAAACCAGCTCCTGCAAGGACTTCAAGGGGCTCTAGATGGCCCTTTTGACACTATAAGGAAACCATCAGGCCTCTGAGCTTGCGAGAGAGATAACTGACTGGCATAAGAGATGGCTTCGATTGCTCTTGTTGCAGCACATCGCGAACCAGCGTGTACGAGCCCGTTATGGAGTGCTGGAACCAGTCAACAATATCTCTTCCTCTACGGAGTACTATGTACGACTATCCAGACCAAAGGTGTTCCTTAGGCTCAGATGACGAGGACCTCTCCATCCGGCCTGGGAACCCGTCAAATATATATTATCGATGGCCAGAAACTATTAATATTGGTGACACAGTTGGTAGCCAGCCAAAGCGCGCAAGCCACAGCCTATGGAACAGCACTATCCTTACTACGGCCACACGGAACATGTCGCAGCGGTTACGAGATAACCCCCGTAAGCGGAGGCTAATGATGCCGTTTTCTGGCGAGTATTGAACATATGACCTGGGACACATGAAGCACATCGATCGTGATGGGCATCAAAGAGCTCGATAAAAGGTTCCCTGCAGCGTCTCACGGCGTCGCCAAAACACAGGAGAGTCTGAAAGCCTACGGGAAGGCTGGGAGAGAGTGGCCATCCAGGGGCTTGCCAGTGCAGCCAATCATCCCTTGGGCTGCCCCTGGGATGCGCCGTGGATCGGGGGTTCCCCAGGTGACAAGAGATCAATCAGAGGGCGACGCCACGGTTTAGCTCCTAGCTTTCCCCAATTTTGAGACTTGCTGCTTAAATACCGAGAGTGCCGTCATACCTGGCTTCTCCCGTCATCGACTCAACCTTTGCTACATAATCTCTCAACCATCACCTCTGGACACACATTGTACGAAAGCATTCACACTCCCACACCATAGTTTATACTCGATACATCGCTGTAGTTGGAATATAGTCGACCAAGATGACCAAGAAGATCCCCTCTGTCGGCTCCTTCGGCTCTTCCAGCGAATACCTGTCCCAGTCCCAGTCCAACCTCCAGTATCGCCCACGAACCCAAGGTGATAGCATTCACTATAATGGCTTCGATCCAGCAGCCTATACTAAGCCCTTCTGCGAGTTCATGACCGCAAACCCAACCATCTTCCATGCCGTCGCTGCGTTTGCTAAAAAGCTCGAGTCCAATGGCTACACCAAACTCACCGAGCGTGAGACGTGGTGTTCCAAGCTCAAACGTGGGAACAAGTACTACGTTGTCCGCAATGACAGTGCCATAATCTCCTTTGCTATCGGCAAGGAATACCAGCCTGGCAATGGCATGGGAATAGTCGCTGGTCATGTCGACGCTTTGTGCACGAAGCTCAAGCCAATCCCAAAACTGCCCAACAAGGCTGGCTACGTCCAACTTGGGGTTGCGCCCTATGCCGGTGCTATGAACTCTACCTGGTGGGATCGTGATCTGGGTATCGGTGGCCGGGTTTTGGTTCGTGATCCTAGAACCGGCGTCGTTGAGAAGAAATTGGTCAAGTTGGATTGGCCGATTGCTCGAATTCCTACTCTTGCTCCTCATTTTGGCTCTGCAGCCGTCGGTCCTTTCAACCAGGAGACCCAAATGACCCCAATTATCGGAGTCGATAACTCAGACCTCTTCAAGGGCTCTAAGCAATCGACCGTGCAAACAGATGAGGAAGCCCTAGGCACAGACAACTTTGTGTCTACTCAACCTGAGGACCTTGTCAAGGTCATTGCCAGCGAACTTAACATCGATGACCCCAGCACCATTGTCAACTGGGAACTTGAGCTATTCGATATCCAGGCTGCACAGCTTGGTGGGCTGCACAAGGACCTTATCTTTGCTGGCCGCATCGATGACAAGCTATGCTGCTACGCTGCTCATGAAGCACTCCTCGCCTCCCCCGACAATGCCTCCCCCGGTATCGTCAAGATGGTCGGAATGTTCGATGACGAGGAAATCGGCAGTTTACTCCGAGGAGGAGCGAACTCCAACTTTATGAGCAGCGTCATGGAGCGAATCACTGAAGCCTTCTCTTCCAACTATGGACCAAATATCCTCTCTCAGACTGTTGCAAACAGTTTCTTTGTCTCATCTGATGTCACTCATGCCGTGAACCCCAACTTTCTCAACGCTTACCTTGAGAATCATTCACCACGTCTAAACTACGGTATTGCCGTTTCTGCCGATCCAAACGGCCATATGACTACCGAAGGCGTCAGCACTGCGCTCTTCCAGCGTCTTGCCGATAAGGCCGGATGCAAGCTTCAGGTGTTCCAGATTAGAAACGATAGTCGAAGTGGTGGTACCATCGGCCCAATGACGAGTGCTCGAATTGGTATGCGAGCTATCGATGTTGGAATCCCGCAGTTGAGCATGCACAGCATCAGGGCCACGACCGGTAGCCTTGATCCCGGTCTCGGCGTACAAATGTTCAAGGGTTTCTTCGACTACTTCCAAGATGTTGACAAGGAATTTAAGAGCTTCTAAACCGCTCGTTATACCCTTGGAGGAAGCGATACCGTTTTAACTGCTTGTTTTCGGTCATACATTAGCGTAGCTGGTTGGACACGATCCTCCCGAGTTGATTTCGGCCTATTTAGAATAGGATATTATATGAAGATAGCCATGCTCTAGATGCTGAATCCAATATGCATCTTTATTTTACCGAGAAACACCATCTCACCTCGGATTTTCGCTGTAGAGTGCTATATTACCCAAATGGGAACTTAGAAGGCGCTGCTGATAAGATAAGCTTAATCAACGCACAGACCCACTTATCGATAAATTCCTTATCGAGGTTTTTTTTGAGTGCAACAAGCAATATTATCAACCCACCACTATATCACTAGCAACGACCTATGTTATTTCAAAGAAATCATAATGGCTGAACAAGTTGATACTAGCGAACCAGCTAAGCCGGTTCACACTATAATTCTTGATGCAGGGCCGTTGATCAAGAATGTACCGCCAGTTTCAACCCTCCTCTCACAATCGCACGCCCTCATCACCACACCATCGGTAGTTTCTGAAATTCGAGATCCTGAAGCCCGTCGCAGAATAGAAACTCTTTATCTCCCATTTTTAACCCAGCGAACCCCTAAACCAGATAGTCTCCGGGTTGTGTCCGAATTTGCAAGGAAGACCGGTGATAGAGAAGTCCTCAGCAAGAACGATTTGGAGATTTTGGCGCTGGCATACGAAGTGGAATGTGAGAGAAATTGCGGTGACTGGAGACTAAGACGAGTCCCCGGACAGAAGGGTATAAATGGATCACCCCCAGCGCATTTAATGGCGGCAAGTGACGCGAACCAGGATGCCGAAAAGCAGACAGGAGGTAATGACGACAAGCAAGAAGGGATTTCGGAGGAGAAGCTGGAAAAGGTGACAGAAGTGGAGGTAGAAGGGTCGGCGGGCGAACAACGGCAGGATGATGCGGTAGAAGAAGTAACCCAAAAGATAGAAGACACAACACTCGAGCAGATCCCAGAAGATGCCACAAATGAACCAGCTACTGAACCGGCCGACCTCCCAAGCGGAGACGCTGAAGTCTATGACAGCAATGGCAGCGGTGAATCCAATGAATACGACGAAGGACAAAATTCTGCTCCCATAGACGAATCAGATTCTGACCCTGATGGGTGGATCACACCTTCGAATTTGAAGAAACAGCAGGTTCGTGATGCTGCCATTGGCACAGCTGCTCAAGAAACGAAGACCATGCAAGTTGCTACTATCACTGGGGATTTTGCCATGCAAAACGTCCTGCTACAGATGAACCTCAACATTCTTTCTCCCAGCAACATGCAGCGAATTCGTCAAGTAAAATCTTATATCATGCGGTGCCATGGCTGTTTCATGGTAACAAGGGATATGTCTAAACAGTTCTGTCCCCGTTGTGGACAACCCACTCTGAACCGGGTCTCTTGCTCGACATCTGCCAAGGGAGAGTTTAGAATGCATTTAAAGAAGAATATGCAGTGGAACAACCGGGGTAATAAGTACAGCATACCAAGCCAATTGCTGGCACGGCTAATACGAAATGGAGTGGTATTGGAGGTGGAAAAGGGGGATGGGGTATGGGGCTGATACTGGCGGAGGATCAAAAGGAACATACCAGAGCCGTTACAGAGGAGGAGAGGAGGAAGAAGAAAGGACGGGATCTGATGGATGATGATTATCTACCTTCTATTCTAAGTGGTGATAGACAAAGAGCAGGTGGTAGGATTAAGGTGGGAGCCGGTCGCAGTGTGAATTCAAGGAAACGGAGATAGACAGAGACCGGGCGAGCCTAGCGGTTTTAGTTACGATTTATGCATAGGGGCATGATTTATAGAAGCAAAAGTGCGTTGCGTTCAAGATATATTTTAACCCGTTTCCATATGAGAATATAGATGTAATCCATTGATTTCTGCCTGGCAGTATGTATGACACAAACTCAGGATTCCACTCAATTCTCGAATGTGAATTTGGGCGCTTATCACCCTCGAAAGATTTTTTTATTCCTAATATGCCATATCCAATATGAATCCCACAAATATAAAACTCCATGCGCCGTCGTTGTGAAGCGACTAACTTCAAGATTTCGATTCTACGGTGAAAGAAAAAATGTTAGCTAAACATCCATAAGCTCGGAAACGGTATTCTGAGATCTTTATTCGGTATTAACGTACCGGATTGTTGGGTTAGGAGGAGCCCATAACGTTTCTTCAAGGTAACTCGTTGTCTACAGAAGCGTAATCAGTACCTAGGCGCAAAGAGTGATTTGCAAAGTACTCTCCATAACAATGCGACTTACCTTGAGTACTTGTCATCGGGAGAAAATCTGGCTGGGTGGGCAGATTTTGTGACCTGGCCGTTAAGGACTTTCTTGAGGGTATAGACTCGCTTGCCCTCCGAGTCAAGTGTGTACATCAAATGCATGCTAATAGCTTATTAGAAACCGAAAGTGGAATTGGATAAGATATGTGAGTTTGTACGTACATTGCGACGTGCAGTACTTAGTATATTTATTAGATATAAGTGTCTTCACCGCTGCTATTTGACTGTGAAGCTCGTCAATGTCAAAAAAAAAAAGAATATTTCAGAAGATCTTTGACAGGATAATTATTTTGCCGCGCCGCGCACACTAATCGGGCAGGAAAAGTTAACCTCATTTAAAGAATTCAACTTTTCACACTCCAACAAACAAAAGAAATACCGGGCAAAATCTCTTCTCGGCTGATAAATGGGGATATAATCTCCATATGGGGAAGAAGTTTACTTGTTGCAACTAAATACCTGATTTCTGGTCCTCTAATCAGCTTAGGGATGAGATGGAATGGAAATGAGAAGCCAAATTGACCATCGCTGATTAGCTTCTGTAAGTATACTCTTCTCCATCTTCAATATGTCTTATGGGAATGCATTGCAGCGTGAGACGATGATTAGATCTATATTCGCTACCTAGATCAACAGCACTGATTTCTAGCTGTTGTCGATGATGGTGCTTTAGTACTACAACGGTATCTGAGTCACACGCTGCAATCTGAAAGCCTTTTATATTTCTATTGCTCCTGTTGTTGCTGATTGTTATACTAACAACGTCAAGATTATATAGGTTTATGTCGAGTCTCATGGCGTCTTCTGCTCCAGACTCAAAAACTGGTCGGCCAGAGAAGGCAGCTTCGCAGAATGGCGGAACTAAGGGTCGACACCGTCGGCCCAACTATAAACATATACACCAGTTTCCTCTGCCAATTACTGTTCATCCGCTACCCCCTTTAATACCACACAACCCTCTTTCTCTCCTCAGTATTGCTCTCTCCTATCTCACTTTCTATATATCTCCGCCTCATCCAATAAGATGTTCAGCTTACTTTGATACTTCTACTTCTTCCATTCACGTCACAGATCCCAAAACCATCCGTTTATTATGGGAAATGGGTTTCTTCGGTAAAGGTAGCTTAAGTAGAAGTGAGCCTTCTTGGCTTGAACGAGAGAAAAAGAGAAGAGGGCTTATTGGCCAAAGTACAAGTGAAGAAGCTACCGGGATGAGGCGAGTAGAGAGACGGGAATTTAAACTGGAAAGAGCAAGGAAAGAAAAAGAAGCTATTACTGAGCAGCTCAGGGCTGAAGGCAAACTTGTTGACGGAGCCGCAACAGAAAATGGACCCCAAGATGCACCTCCACAGGAAGAGGAGTTGACCCAAGACAGTCTACCATCTCAGGAACAAAAGCCTGGTTCGACTCTTTCACAAACGGATGGCCTTGCCGACAAGAAAGCCGCAAGTCGCATTAAATCCGTTCGCTTCTCACCAACGGTGGAAGTAGCAGACATAATTGACAATGTCGAGATAGAAGATGAAGAACACCTTCAGCTCTCCAGCGAGGATGCTTTCTTCCTTTCATATGGCCTAGGAGTCCTTGATGTATATGATGATACCGGGAATACAGTACTTCAACCTCAATCGCTCCTTACTTTGCTTCGCCAACACTCATACTTCCCGCCTCTTGGCCCCTCTACGATACCCCAACCGGATGACCTATTCATGATCTCATATGTTGCATATCACCACTTCCGCTCGCTTGGCTGGGTCGTTCGATCCGGAGTTAAGTTTGGTGTTGATTTGCTTCTTTATAACAAAGGGCCGGTGTTTTCACATGCCGAGTTCGCTGTCAATCTCCTGCCCTCCTACAGCCATCCATACTGGAAAGAGACGGAGGAGAGACGAAAATATGTTGCTACAAAATTGAACCGTACGTGGTGGTGGCTTCACTGCATAAACAGAGTGCAGGCGCAGGTTAAAAAGAGCCTCATATTGTGTTTTGTGGAAATACCACCCCCTTTGACGGAAAATAAACCAGATGAACAGGATATTGGGAAGCTCTTGAAGAGCTATGAGGTTCGAGAACTGGCCGTCAAGCGATGGGTGCCAAACCGAAGCCGTGATTGATTAGTCTGATGTTGTAACAGTATCATGTATATGTTATCCTACATTATAAACAGTTTATACAGCATCAAGATGAGAGTTAAACATATGAGTAAAGCTAGAGGATCATCTTCTTCAGTAGAAATACAGTCTTGCATCGAAAGCTGTTGGTAATTAATAGCTCTATATCCTATCCCAAAACGGTCATATTGGATAAGTCAGCGTCTCGCGTCTGTTTCGCGCGAACATCCTTGTAGCAACCGCGAAACTTCATATTATATCTGCGACTCCAGACAATCCGGCTCAGTCTTTCTCAATTATGTGTCTGCAATGGAGACTCAGGAAGACAGTCTTGACCTGACCTACTTGAAAAATGCAGCCTTAGGCCTCAGTGTGGGTGCTAAAGAATCCCTGTCTTCATTACACATTAATATTAACTTCACCATCATAGGAATCCCAGGCTTCACTTAGCGGACACACGGCTTTCGCTCTTACGCGACTAACATCAACAGCTGCGGGCTATGGTTCACTCCTTGAATATGGAATGCTCAGCAACCAGTCTATGGTTGTCTCGGAGAAACCCATCAGTTCCACGTCGAGTGTAAAACACGATCACCCCGATGACCACACTGGAAAGTCAGTATACAACACAGCCATGTCAAACCCGAGATCTTCTGCCACGGGAAGGTCAAATACCGCCCCAAATGTACAGGATGGAGAAGTATCGCCTTCAGGAAGTGTTTTGGGGGATACCCAGCCAGTATCTCAGTCGGTGTACGAGGGATTATTGAATAGCAGAAATATGGACAACGCTTCCTTGGAACGCCCGTTTACAAAGGTTATAGAAACGGCGGAGGGTGGAACTACGCAAATGACGCTGCATGAAGGCGATACAGGGCATGTGGATTTATTTTCTGAGGCTGGAAGCATCGCGGGCCCTGCCCACCCCCACGAAGACCGTGACTCGCAAATCTCTGATACGGGGAATTCCTCTCCGACACAGTACGAGCCATTTCCAGAATCGCAAAGATTCACTACAAGCACCCCAGCAATGCAAACTGGCCGGAACTTGTCGAATATTCCTAGCACAGTTACTCCCTCGACCCTTCGGAACCCCTTCGCACCGGATAATAAAACACCAGGGTCTGTCATGGCGTTAAGTCAGCTTTTCAATGCAACGCAGGCCGCCTCATCTCCGTCTGCTCATATGCCCCGGCTAGAACTACCGTCTGATATGCCATCGCCAAATATTCCTATTCAGCGGCCGATCCGTAATGCTATAACTTTCCCTTCAAAATTTATAGACTCGTCCATGTCTCAACCTGACCAAATTGAACCAGAGGCAAATTATATATCCATGAAAGAATCGCAAGCCGAACGAGAAAAACGGGGTTTAAAACAAAAATCTGATCTAGGTGGCATTGTCGGAGATGACGATTTCTTTCAAGCCGAAGAGTCTGCCATTGAGCGCCGCATACGCCAAATGCAGTTGAAAAATGAAGTTCGAAAGGAATTTGAGAACATTAAAGCCCCAGCAAGAGTAGTTCAACGCAGAAATTCTAGACGTAATGTCTCATCTTCGCCGCCTCTAACTGCAGCCCAAATGCTTAACAGACAGAAATCCCTAGACCCGGTGCTAGAAGATAATGATGAGGAGAAGGTTCTCAATAGTGATAGAGGTGAGGATAGTGAGGTTGAAACTGAACAGGAGGAGATTTCCATGATTCAACCGCTCTGCAGCTCTCAGCGGACCCAATCTTTCTCTGAAGAGGACAAGGAAAATGTTGATAGTGGCCCTCCTCAAACTTCGAATATAGCTGTTAATACTCATAGTGCGCTTTCGAGTGTCTTGGATCTTGACCGGAGTCCGTTGATTAGCCGCCAAAGGGCTGTTGGAGCGCTTTGTTCTCCCAAAGAAACAGGTTCTCGACCTACAACCAATTCCGGCCTAGGAGTACGACCACCTTGGGCTTCTCAGCCAGAAACAAGAAATAACCCTCGAGAATGTGTGATCAAATATGGAACACAAGGGAAAGAACACGATACCAACTCCCTGGGCCATAGAAATACATCAATTGACGACGAAATAAGGCCCAGAAACCTGTTGAAACAAATACCTTCATCACCTCCTCTAAGGGACCTTGACAAAATTATCAATTGTCAGACAGACGATGAGAATGAGCTATCGGACCCGGAACTTCCATCACCGTCACCCTTGCCGAAAATAGTCAATGATAGCCTAACTTCTCATCATCCAACACCTGGCACCCGTGGACCCGAGGTGTCAAATCTAAACAAAGAATCTTCTATAACTTCACGGGTCTTTGAGACCCCTTCCCAGTCTGCCTCAGACGGGAGAACTATATTACGAACAGTTCCTGACACTAGTCCCACGGGTCGACGACGTTTTTTCTCCGTGTCCGCTACTGTCTCTTGTCATCCAAAAGCATTCAAAGATACTACCGATGGTATGGACGATGATGATAATCTACCTGACCCGCCACGTTTCAAGGGCTCTACTATATTAAAATCACTTGGGTCTCAAGAACTAGCGACCTCCCGTACTTCCCGTCATGTTCAGGCTATCCTGTCTAGCCCTAGTGGCCGTCAGCGGAGGAGTATGACAGCCATTGCCTCAGACCAATCCCCACGGCTTGCTGCTTCCGATATCCCTATCAACGAAATTCGTCTAATTAATGCAGATGACCGTATCTTTCAATCAATGATTGCTTCCATCGATTCCCCCATAAAAAAGAGACGCGGCAACGATGGCAAGAAAATCCAGAATATTATACGAAGTCATCATCACAATTTGGCCAACGAGCTAGACTACAATACGCCAGCCTATAGCCCTATCTCTCCCAGTGAGAAAGTGGATAATGCAATCTCTAGGTCCCTTCAAAGGGCGCCTAAGCCGCTACCTCAATCATCAGAGTCTCGCGATGACGAAGACGCCACTGATATTTGGGATGTCCAAGTCTCCCCTCAAAGCCGTGTGGAAAAACCCAATGTTTCCCAAGATCCTAGTCTTCAAAGGGAGATGCACAAGGGGAATCGGGTTAATAACCGGAAAAGGCGCGCAATCCTTGATGCTGTCGTTATTCATCTCCCGCCCAGCTCATCCTCTACACCACTTGAACTTTTATCGCGTACCCCTAGTTCACCCTCTCTTCCGGCTGAAACAGAGAAAATTGATTCGACTCATAAATTCAACAAGGACACAGAAAAACTCAATAAGGAAATTATCGCTGCAAATAATATCTTCGCCTTCTTCAACGGTCGACCAACCGGGTATTACCCAGCGATCTGTGTGGCCACTAATGATGGTGTTGCAAGCCAGCAGCTTCTTGTCAATTTCGATGATTCCGGAGTTGCTGAGAAAATTGATATCCGCGGAGCCAAATCCTTAGAACTGAGAATTGGTGATATTGTAAAAGTTAACCACCCTGATATACCCAAGGCTCCGCATTATATCATAGGATTTGGCACAAAAATACAAACCCCAACGGTCATAGGTGCTGATATGAGCAATTGGGATAAACAGATGTCCGATATCTATGGTCACACCACTGTTCGCTTGAAGAGAAAGTTGACCAAGGTTGTTCCCAAGGGCAAGATTCCACGGACTATTTCTGTACCCATATCCAGGATATATTTGGATCAAAATCTATGGTCGAGATTTGGAGAACGCCCTTATTCCCCTAAATCACTACCAAGAGATTCGCATTCTGGAGTGCACCAAACAATGGAGCAAAGCATGCAAGGTCGTATCACCCAATTTTCACAAGCTCCAGTCGTCGAACCTGGCAGAATTGGCATATTTTCTGGAATGACTTTTGCCCTTTCCTACTCTGGAAATGAGAAGAGAGGCAAAGATGTTGAGTCTATGCTTTCTGATAACGGTGGAGTGATCCTCAAAGATGGATTTGATCAACTATTTGAGTCATCTTCATGGGGACTTGCGCAACACACTACCAAAGACGAACAGCTACAAACCGAAGGTCCTCTAATGCTTACCCAACGTGCTAAAGAGATGGGCTTTACCTGTTTGATTACCGATCAATACTCAAGGCGCGCCAAGTACATGCAAGCTTTGGCTCTTAACCTTCCATGCCTTGCTAGCCAGTGGGTATATGAGTGCATCGAGAAGCAGGAAGTTGTGGAATGGGAGCCATACCTTCTTGCTGCAGGGTCTTCCATAGCCCTCGACAATGCCGTGAAGTCACGAATACTTAGGCCATATCATCCTTCCGAAGCGAAGCTGCTAGATGTGATTAGTGCCCGCCCAAAGGTCTTCACCAACCAATTTATGCTGTTTGTTATGGGCCGCAAGCAGGCAGCACAGCAACGAAAAGCATATGCATTTCTCACTCGCGCCCTAGGCGCTGAGCATGTTTATCCCGTTCAAACTCTACAAGCTGCTCTTGATATATTATCACAAACTAAGGAGCCTCATCCGGAACCAAAAGGCTGGGTTAAAGGGTGCAGCAGATGGGATTGGATATATGTTGGCGATGAGAGTGCGGTTACCACTGCGCGCACAGCTCTATCCAAACTGCAGTCTGCCTCCGGTCCTGAAGTACGAAGCCGCAGACGGTCCAGCAAGGCATTGGAAGGGTCAAACTGTGACAACGTGAAGACGGTCGACGACGCTAAAAACATCAAGATATTGGATAATGAATTCCTATGTCAAGTTTTGATACTAGGTCGATTGTTTGAGAGGTAACTATTTTTATTACCCAGACCCAGAGCAATTGGCTCTAGTTATGACTTATTGTTTAAACAGCTTTAATGAATATAGTTGGACGGAAACAGAAGTTTTAATAATACCCTAGGAGGAAATGGAGAAGATGGAAAATAAACATCAATGGCACCGTCTTATTGTACAGTAAAAAATTTCAAGTCAAAAATGTATGAATTACAAGTCAAGTGTAGCTTGATCAAACTTTCACCTTGATCTTTTTCTTCTTCAGCTCCTTCATCTGTGCAACTCGCTTTATCTTCTCCAGCTTGCGTCTCCAAGCCGTCCAGCGGTCCTTTCTCTTCCACTCCTCGACCTTGATTCCAGCCTTCTCTGCAGCTCTTCCGATCTCCCAGTTCGCCTCACGATGCATATATCCGGTTCGATAGCTAGGCCCTGAATCAGACGGAACTATTGTCAACTTCACAGGCTTGGAGGCGTCTGCCTGTTCCTCCACGGGAGCTTCTTCTATCTTCTTCGGGACAGCAACCATTGACAATCGTCTCCTGGTTACTGCGTTTTTCGGAGTAGGCAACTTATCCTCCTTGTTGAAAACGACACCGATATATTTTCTCTTAGGGTGACGCTCGGGGTCACGGTAGTACTGAACATATCCTTTCTCAAGGGCGAAGATCGTATGGTCTCTCCCCATACCGACATTTTCACCAGGGAACCATTTCGTGCCTCGTTGTCTGAAAATGATATTTCCTGTAACCACACTTTGGCCGCCTGTCTTTTTGGCACCAAGTCTTCGTCCTGGTGAGTTTTTAGCGTGCTTGTTCGCTCCGCTACCTTGCGAGTTGTGAGAGGCGTATCGGACCTGGCCGAGCTGCGAGAGGATGGACGATTGTTGAGGCCGTAATTGAGATTGGAGGAGATATGATGCGACGGTTCTTGAACTGAACGTCCGTCTGGATAAATGGGAATGCGATCGATTCGAGGTTTGGGCTGTGCATTGGGCAAAGACCCCTTCGAGGAGCCTCACGGGCGCCCTCAATTGCGGCTGTAACATGGTATATTCAATAGTATCAAGAAGGGCTACTCGAGCGTACCCTTGACTCGACCCTTTGGATATTGTTTTTGGTCGGGATCAAAAGTTCGTTGCTGGTTTGGCCGTTTTTTCCTTTTGGTCAAAAGCTTCAAAACTGAAGTTCACGGTTTTTATGTCACGTGATTATTTCGCAACCATCGAGCTTTTAATATTTCGAGCAACGTGTTTGATAGTTCACAGAGAGAAAGCTTCTTGATATTGGTTAATCCTCACGCAAGTTCTTCTAAATAGCGTATTTCGTGGGCCTTTTAGGAGCTTACATTTAGTCAAAGGGGAGATATGGTCAGCATGCTTCGAACGGCCCTCCTTGGGCTTCTCTTCATTACCACTGCCAAAGCTCAGTTTCAGTTCTTTGAGCAAATGTTTGGCGGCGGCCAACAGCACCAGGAATCCTCAAGTCAAGGCGGGAATGTACCAAGTGATAGTGCGTGGTATCAGAATACCTACAATGGAGGTACGTATCCAATTCCCACGCTCTGGTATGCTAGAATAAAAAGCAGCTAATATATAATCTATAGCCCAATGTTCCAATTACCTTTGCCCAGGAACCCTAGCCTGCGTCGCCGTTCCGCATCATTGCCCTTGCGCACACCCCCAAGTTGAGGACAAGTTCGAGTTTGGTGAAGGGAGCGCCATATGTGCATCTAAGGGTGGCTTCAAAGCTGGTGAAACAGCTAGGAAGATAGAACTTGCTCGAAAGGGACTGTTATGACCGTATCCAGCCCTTCTTCGGATTTCTGGAGATTTGAAAAGCTATAGGAACGAGCTGTTTCCTACATGGTGAAAAAGCACGATATTTTCCTGGCGTTAGGGGTCTTCATTGGGATCAGCGATGTTATTTGTATATATACCTGGCCTGTAGCTATATTATGAAGTCTGGATATCCATTTAATAGTACCTGTATCAGTCTATGTATAAGTTTAAGCGGTTACAGCGTCTTTTCGTTGGGTAAAAAAGCTGTACGTAGTAGATTCTGCATCAAATTAAACGATGAAGTCATAGCTTAAATACATCGCGCTAACATTTAACCGTAACGTAGTTATAGAAAGCGTCGTGAGAAGGAAAACTTGTTCGCTATTCTTCAGATTATGAATATTTTCAGAATATTACAATGGAGTTGCCCCTATTAATTCGATTTTTCCACCCACCAGTGCGATTACGGCCTGCAAGGCCCGCCGGAACAGGACTTTGCGTGGTGAGGCATGCATCGCTGAGGCCGAGTTCATGGTCAAGAAGATCAAAAAGGCCAGTACAGCAACCTAAACCCTCTAACAGTTCTTCATCTAGAGAGAGACCAGATAAAAAGTTCACTCATTCTCGGCCTGAAGGGCGGGAGGGTCCAACAACCCCGGGCACTGATTCCCAATACAACACTCTACTTGCCCCGGTCCATATACCTGAGGACCCAGATGGGCTCCTTAAACAGAATCATCCTGCTAGCCAGATTTTGGCCAACTCTGGGCTGGTAGTTCAAAGGCAGCTAGAGATGATGAATGTTTTACTGTTAGTGATCTATATACCACCCTTTGAACCAAGCTTCTTTGGATGAGGGCAGAAGGCGATGTGAACATAGGGCTAACCCCTTTCTACGATATTCAGTGGCTTCGAACAAGCAAATAAATATGTGATTCTAGATGCACACGGCAATCATGTAGGATATATGGCGGAAGGAGAGAAAGGGATGGGTGGCATGCTCTCTCGCCAGTGGCTTCATACACATCGACCGTTTGTTACCCATGTCTTCGACAAGAATCAGAATGAAGTTTTGCGTGTAAGAAGGCTTCTCTTTCTGTTTGATGACGTTTGTTATACCTAACTCATGCATCTAGTTCCACCGACCTTTTTCTTGGATCAACTCAACCATCTTTGTGTTCGATCCGTATAATAATACAACCGGATCTCATGCACCGTTAATCGGCTTACAACACAATGAACCAGGCTCGCAAGGAAGTTCTGTTAAGGTATCTACACTAGAGCATTCGCAAATGCGTGTAATAGGAGCCACACAGCAGCGCTGGGCACCGCTCCGGCGGAAATACAACTTATTTCTATCCCACCCAAACGCCTCGATACAGCCATCGCGGGTAAATCTTCAAGAACCGGCTATGCCGCCAGAGAAAATTTTGCATCAGTTTGCCCATGTGGATGAACCATTTCTATCATGGGATTTTTCAGTGCGTTCAGCTGACTCGCAACTTATGGGCTCTGTGAATCGCAATTTTGTAGGCTTTGCACGGGAGATATTTACGGATACTGGAGCTTATGCGCTGCGCATGGATTCAGCCGGTACGGCCGAGGAGTTGCAATCAAAAGGTACTGCATCAATAAGGCATGGCCCAGCCCCAAGCATGTCATTGGATCAACGAGCAGTTTTGCTTGCTACGGCTGTGACTATTGACTTTGACTATTTCAGCCGTCACAGCAGCGGGCCTAGCATAGTGCCTATCCCATTCTTTGGCCTCGGCGAAAGCGGTGCTGTGGCAGCTACCGGAGGAGCTGGGGCGATGGAGGGTGCTACGGCAGGGGCAGTTGGTGCTAGTTCTCTGGCAGGATACGAAGCCATGCGTAGGGGAAGCTCAACAGCCCAGGAGTCAACACATCCACCCCAGAATCCAGAGGAACAGCAAGCACAGCAACATGAAGACATCGGACAAGGGGCAAACGAAGAGGTATGGGGGGAGGTTGGTCAATATCCCTGGGACCAAAGAGATGAAAGCCCGTTTTCGAGAGAACAGGACGTCTGGCCTAGTGATGGCGGTGATTCATGGGGCGACGGTGGTGATGATGACTCTTTCTAGTATCACCCGTTGTTTGTATACTAAATAGAGGGAGTATAGTCCAGTAGCAGCTGTATTATATCTCATAGTAATATTCTAGTTATGAAAATGACTTTTGATAAAGCAAGGCAAAGGTTTATAATTATTTATAACTATGGAGCTAGTTCGCCCCACAGAACGACCGAACGGTTTCTTGCGTGCAGCCAACAACTTACAGATTCAACAACCTACAACTATCTACCACTTAAACCCCAGGAGAGAACATAGAAGATACCAAATCCATTATTGGCATAAAAATATTCTACCGTTTCCCTACAGTCTCGCATATCCACAGCTATCCAACTCCAACACTCCCAGATCCAGCATTATCTCCAAACCATGGCATCGTCAGTCGCCCAAAAGCGTTTATTTCACGAATATAAGCTCCTTTCTACCTCTCCTCCGGACGGGATCACAGCTGGCCCTATAACAGAAGATGACATGTTCTTATGGGAGGCATTAATACAAGGCCCCGAAGGAACCCCGTTTGAAGGAGGGGTGTTCGCAGCAGAACTGAAATTCCCGAAAGACTACCCATTAAGTCCGCCATCAATGAGATTTCTAGGCAACATGTGGCATCCAAATAGTGAGTTATATAATTTCTTGCCTGAGGCTTACCTGGTTTAGTGGATGGGGCTCTAACGTATAACAATATAGTATTTGAAAATGGAAATGTGTGTATCTCTATCCTCCACCCACCCGGTGACGATCCAAACCATTACGAACACGCATCTGAGCGCTGGAGCCCAATCCAGAGCGTTGAAAAGATCCTCATTAGTGTTATGAGTATGCTGGCTGAACCGAATGACGAAAGCCCGGCGAACGTTGAGGCGGCTAAAATGTGGAGAGAGAAAAGGTCTGAATATGAAGCAAGGGTAAGGGAAGAGGTGAGAAAAGGGTTAGGGCTGTGATAAACAAGAGAAGGCTATTCTAACGATTATGTCTGTCATTGCCTACCCTTCAATGTTGATTTTACGAATGTATCTTTGAGAATAACTTTTAGCGTTAGTATAGAGATGGTTAGTTTGCACGACTTCGTCCATTTTATTTGGTTGGTAATACCATATATTTCTCTCCTAAGATACTTTGAACATAACTTATGCAATTAATATACCGTATATAAACACTATGTATGTAGTGGAAATTGATAAATCAACCTAATTTTGACAACTTTCCATCAAGCCATCCCTCTACGCCACCATCACATTCATACAGAATTTCGATCTCTGCCTTCATATTCATAACTAGTAGTGATTGCAGCTCTTTCCGCCAGCTAGGTTCCGGCCCATCTTCAGCGAAGCATGGGTTTCGGTTAAGCATAGCTTCGGCCTTCTTTCGATCGCGCCGGCTCATTGGAATTAGGGAAGACCCGTTTAGAAAATCTACTGTCGGTATCATCTCAGAAGCATAGAGGCCTATCCATTGGATGGAGGGTACATTGAGATAGGCATTTTGGTGGACCTGTGCCATTGACCCATATTTGTAGGTGGACATAATGGCCATCCCATCTGGGTCACTGTCAACCAATATGTATACTGGTAGAGAAGCAAAAGCAGGATTGGCGGCAAGCAAGTTAAAGCTAGATTCTTGATTGCTCGATTGTGAAAGTAGGCGTAAAAATTCCCTGCTACTGACATCTGGGTAGCCCTTGCCCTATATGTTTATTGTAATATGTTAGATCCACGTACCTCGAATTTTATCAATGCAGGAGAGTAAAGCAGTGTCTTACGGTTAAAAGGATCCCGTTTCCTGCTACGGATGACTTATGGTAGCCTGATGTCACTAAGCGGTGATACACTGCCTTTTTTTTTCCAACGTTAGCATATAGCTGCCTACGCGCCAGATATTCGGTACGTACCTCTTTCTCTATAACTAGAATCCATGAGATTCCCGAGACATCTATTTTTTCGATCTCATCAATCCTTGGAATAGTTATACCCTAGGAGGCTCCTTAGCATAGTCTAAATGATGTGATCACCAGATTTATAATGACCTCAGCGCAAGCCTCAACTTGTATTGATGAACCATTCTTCAATTCAATCCTAAAATGCCCACCTATTGCGCCTTTTGCTGCAGCAGTCTATCGATAGCATCAATATCCTGAAGAGCTCTATGCGGATTGAGAAATACCATACCACATGTAAGGCGGCCCTGTCAACCCCAAATGTGAAGGCAATGTCATCAACGTATCTATCTACCAGCTTCTGGGACCCAAAGTACACCGGATCCTGGTAGAAAATATCTCTTTTAGAGCTTGTAAAATTCCCATCGATTGCTTCTGATATCAGGCCTAATATCCGCATAAGCACACCTGGTATCACAATAATTGCTTTAGCAAACCAGCCAGAAATTCTAATATATTAATGGTAGCAATCATGGGCTAACTGGCGCAGCATTTCATACCAAATCGCCAGCCCTCCTGCGTTGTCTTTCCCGGCCAGGAGTATGTATAGGCATGGACTTCATCGCTTGATTCTAAAGCACCGGTCTCTGGGTTAAGGGTATAGCCCGACTGCTTTGATCGACGCTTTAGGGAGATAGAAGGGCGACCATTGGGCCTGGACAACTCTTCGAGTACTGAAATAAGGTATTTACTAATATTTTCCACCACCTTGCCTTCATTCTGAGAGCAAGTGGACTTTTTAAACACTAAAGCCTCTAGTGGTTCCATGAATAGGGGTATCAAGTAATGCTTGGCTAAAAAGGGCCACAGGAACGTCAAACAATCAGAAAGCCTGTTAACTTAGGACAATACCTTTATACAGGCCAAGGGATAGAGGCGTAGATATAGGATGGAATAATTTGAATATTGTAAGGGAGGTTGCTTTTTTCCAAATTGGGTTCGGCACGTGATGGTTTAAAGCAGAGAGAATCCTGAACAGGATTTAAAAACATGGTTGGGAAATTTATCTCCATCATCATCATCACTGGTTATCTTGGTCGAGACGCCTGTAATACCGATCCAAAGATCAACCAGAAGTCGCAAAAAAAGGTCACTGCTATCTTGGTTTTCTTGCCACAACTATCTTCACCACTCCTCCCATACCTTGGCTGTTCAAAACTTCTAACTGCACTTTCTCACAAAGATCTATAACATCTTCTGCACTCCATCCAAGATATTTCGTTAATAGACGCATACTGGTAGCCTCGAGGCCTTCAAACAGTACGATCAACGTCATCTTTCCAAGGGTTTTTCCCAGTGGATCCTCAGGCCAGGTTCCTACAGGGATATGGGTGTCATATATGCGGATATCAGTAAATCCAGCTGCCTCTAAAGCAGCAGAACGAAGGTGATCAAAACTTCGGGGATATCCTGCAATTTCTGCAGCAGAGCTGATTGCCCCCAGATAAATGCTGAGGTACGAATTTGGAGGAGAATTTGGTAGGCTCATATCGTCCGCAAAGAGAGCAGAGTCAGCTATTTGGATGAGCCCTCCAGGGACAAGGTGTTGATAAGCTTGCTGGTAAAACAGGGACCAATCACAGATCCCGCCCCCCAACCCTCGAACGTGGATGAAATCAAAAGGCTCACGAAATGTCCATTCTCCCTGAGCATCGTCTATCTGGAAGGATACATTTGGTGGGCAGATGCCAACTGATTCAGGGTCAAAGAGGCTAATATCAGTTGCTATTATCTCGGTGTTTGGGAACTCTTCCCCCATAGCAAGAGCCCAATCACCAGGCCCAGAGCCAACATCGAGGACTCTTCTTATCGATTGCGGGAGAGCACACTTTGTTAATCGGCCTTCCAGGATAATGAGGTACATTTGATGGACAATGTTCAAACGAGTCTGTTCCCGTTCGTCGTTGGGCATAAAATATGTATTGTCACAATATTGACGGCCATTTTCTTCCACTACCTGGAAAGCATGCTCGGATAAGGATTTGGTTGAACTAAAAGGCACTGGTTAATCAATGCAACTCTTCCGAGTATACTTGGTAAGATAAGCTACCCACGGTAACTGGAGTACTTGCACTTACCCGGCGTTTGTATTGTCCTCACCAGGGGCCAAAGATGAATGTTGCCCATCCGAACTGACATCAATATCTGTATCAGGGACATCGCCTTCATTCGACATCTCTATGTCAGTGTCGGAAGCTTCCCCTCGGGGAGGTCTATGTGCATGCGATCTCGTTTGGGCCATGACATGACGTCTGTCTATAATTTAGCACGTTAGCCGTATAACCAGGAAACGGTAATGGACTCTTCCATCTTGGGATAGGTTGTGTTCGCCTAGAGGAGGATTCACTTACTTCTTTGAATATAACCACACCCTATCTTACAACAGCACTTGCCCGAAACCCGAAAAATATTTGACAGGCTTCAAAGAGATGTCGAAGAAAGCCGGTCAAGGGTTGACTTGTGTAATCCCGCACATGTCACTTCAGCGTTTGCTCAGGAAGGGCCTTGAGCTTTTCTTTTTCTCCCCTTTTCTTAACTTTCATTGGAAAAGGCGCGAGCGAGAAGAGCACAGCAAAAGGCGAGAGATTGGCTTCGTATATATTAACTAGACTCGATGTTGCCAAGTAGATCAAGTCTCCCTCAGAGCGCAGCCGTGACTTAGGCCCCAGATTAAACCCTCATATATCGCACCAGCAACGTGCGACAACCTAGTTTTGCAATGTGCATTTGTCGGGAGAGCTGAAGCCGGCGCCAGCACGCACCAGCGATGGGATATGGTCGCACGGCATCTTCCCAACCAGAGAAGTTCCAGGGCTCTTCTTTGCTTTTCCTTTCTTTTTTAGCTTTGTCGTCGTGCATAAAATAGTCCAAGCCCAGCAACTCCACAAAATTGATGATACATCGTGACCAAAACGTGTCAGTATCCCTTGCCTATCCCTTGATTATCTTCTTCCCGCCGAAAGAAGACATGTTTCACCAATGCAGGAGCCGATGATGACCTGCTGCCCGGACTTATGCACTGTGAGATGTGGAAGTGAGGCTTCTCCGACTGATGCCTTGCGAGAAAGGAGAAATGAAGATAGGCAGTTGAAAAGAGCCCCTGTATGGGAGAAGATGGCACAACGGACTCCTTCGGCTAACAGCCCCTGACCCAGAGTGGTGGGATTCGGTCAAACGCTTATTTCGTTGCTTCTTTTACCTTTGATTTGGATACAATGACAGGTTTCATCAACCCAATTACAGAGTATGCTCATATGTACGGAGTGCTCCGTAATACAACGGGCTCACTTTGCCAAATTACCCAAAAGTGCTCGTCCATCGTACAGGGTGATGAAGATGTTTAGGCTTTTCGTTGTGATGCAGAGAACCTGGATGATGGGTCTGGGGAAGTGGACACCATACTTCCATATCCTCACAATGTACGGAGTATGGAGTACATAATTATGGAATATATACCACTTTGGTATGCAGAGTAGCAGCATGCTGTATCACTGTAGATACGGATTTTTTACTCTATGTGGATCAGCTACCCGCCTCTTGTCCGCCAATGGTTTGAGGCCCCTTTCTTCCGCACGCTTGAGCTAAGACAGGTAATAGTTAGAGGGAGCGGAGAGGGCATTTCCCGTAACTCTTCGCATCAGCGCACCATGAAATCGATCAAGCGTTTAGCTTTCTTCTTTCCGCTATCCGGGCGCAGTCAGGTATGCATGAACTAACAAATTGTTGGCTGCATGACAAGGGCATACCCGGGAACAAAATGCCTGCTTTCCTTTGTTCTTGAGAGTGATTTCTTCGGGTTATTGAAGCATTTTGCATTTATCAACTTGCTCTGTGTCTCGTGCATATAACATTCGGTGTCGGATTGAACCACGTCAGGGGGCATGATGCAAGCGAATATGACGGGTGATATTTTTCTCTCCTGTTTCGGAGTGACCCGACAGATATTTCTGCAAAGCCGCTCCCGCATCCGTTAGATTTCATATGGGCCTGATCACCGTGCTAAAGCCATGTCAGCATGTACATCTTTTCGTAACTCATGGAAGCTTCTCCTTTCCAACAAAGTGGGCCAATTTAGGACCGTTTGTCCTACTGCAGGGGAGAGAGCGCCAAAGTCTAGCTAGCATCATCCCTGTCAACATTGCTTTGTCCTTTTCACCGACAATTCTCGGTTCTCTAGTACAATGATAGTGGTGGCACCCCTAATATAATATCATTTCGGCTTGCTCTCATGGCACAAGAAACATATGATGCGCGCAATATATGTTGAAGGCCACTTGCACAGCATCGAGTACTGATCGAAGAGAAGAGCAGTGAAAGAAAAGAAGCTATTTACGGATCCTGTCCCGTAGACCTGGTTCTGGGAATGGACTGTTAAACCCAAGGCTTCTAGCCTTCTATTGGCTTACAAAACATATCATATTTCAGCAAATAAAGAGTGCTCGTTATTCATAATAACCGTGGATCCTGCCTGTCATTTACACAGGCTAATCTCCGACTAGCTTATTCAAATGAAAAAAATTTCATCTTTGACTGCAGAAAGGGTCTTCACGGAGCAGACACTGCGAGTCCATCCAACCTCTGGATGTAGGCACCGGCGTTCCCGATATTCTGGCCAGGCTGAGACAGCGGATCAAGAATGGCAAAGACAACATCTTTCCACCATCCACCTTGGAACTCGGCTTCACTAAACACCTCTGCCCAGCAATCAGCCGTATCTTCTCTGGGATTTTTAAACGCTCCACAACCAAGAGCCCCCAAGACTATTCTTCTGTGTTTTTTATATGCTGAGATCCTCAGGATATGTCTCATTTTCTCTTTCATTGCTCTCCTTTCGGATCCCCGTGCGTAGGCCTGCCTTGACGATGCAACCGACTTGACAGTCCCGTCTCTGTCGGTTGAGGTTGTAACAACCCCCACACGTTTAATTTGTGGATGCACGAGAGCAGCAACACTGATAGCACTCACGACAGGCAGTGAATCTGGGTCGTTCAACGCCATTAGCTTATGCCCCGACTCCCGGCTAGTTCTAAAAATGACGACAGAGGGTGAATAAATAGCACCGGTCTTTGGGATCCGGTAAAATCTCTCCTTGAGAGTCTCGGGAAGTGTGCTCCTCCGGCAGAGCGACTCCTCCTGTGCTGATGCCCCTGATAACCAGCCTCCTCCTGGTCTTGCTGCGCTGGCCATGTTGAGAATACATGTATTACCGTATTCATGTTCTGCAGCGGTAGTATCACCTGCGATTGAGGCGGTTGTATTCGAGATATTGTTTCCATCATAGATATTATTGGTCAAGCCAATTGCTGCATCCAACGTGTCTTGTTCTAAGACACGCACTTTTACGCCAGTAAATCCAGGGCATTCCGCGGCCTTAAGGCGTGGAACATCAGAGCCCTCGAGGAGAAATCCGTCTGAACAAGTCTGTGTGCGACTCAAAACCAGCGGTATGAGTTCTTTAGTTTCCTCCGAGACAAGGCGAAGCTGTTGTCGAATTTCATCCCTTTGCGAACTCTGGCCCTGAGATGGATGGCCGCTCGCATCTCGCTGGCGTTTGTGCCCATACCCTCCCCTTAACGCCATTTCAAAAACTCGACTTCACTGGACCTATAACCAGGCTCTGTGTTGATGAAGTTTTTTTTTTTAAATCTGCAGAAGCTGTGAAACAATTTCTGGTCAAGTCATTGATTGTTTCATGACAAAACTTAGTTAACTATACGAGCAAAAGTTGCAAACGAATATTCAAACTAGTTATTCACCTTAGTCAAAGCTGACTAAATAGTCATAATATAGTCCTTTCTGACAAGGAAGGTCATCCCACGGTATTCACTTTATGGCTTGGGGACGATGATAGCCGCTGGTCGAATATTCGATTCTACACGATCTAATAACATCTAGAGCAGGACTGGCTCTACTGCAGTAGAGAAGTACACGGGAACGCCTGTTAAATACCTGACTGGGCGTAAATTTTCTGCCTTCTTATTTCTTTTTCTTGAACAACTCCTTCCACGGTTCCCCGTACTTGAGATCCAATAGCTGACGGTTACCGGGCAGTTGGGTTTGCAAGCGTGTCAGCCAGAGACTGAGTTTGATAGCCTCTGTTAGTACGATTCCCTAGCGGGGTTGACAGAAGCAAAATAATGAAAGAAATATCCCCGACTGGCTCATAGTGGGCCATTTTGGTCATCCTCATTGTTCCCGAGGGCCTGGGAGATGGGATTATGGAATCGGATTTTTGGGAAAAAGAAAAAAACGGAAATTGGAATGAGTTGATTTTGGACTCAGACCTCTATGTGGGCTCTTTGCTTTTTACTGATTCCTTTCCGAACCTGTTCCAATTCGTCGGGACATGTGGAAGAGTGTGAGTGTTCCAGTGGCCACTCACCCTGCATCGCAAACTTTTGGATCTGTATCCTGCGTTATCAGGAGAATATGCTTATTCAAGGCAATGAATATCAGGCCGCCGAGGAACATCCATTCTAGGAAGCGGGATAGAGACCAAATATACGGATTATCCCTTTCTCCTATGCAGAGTGAGCCGTATTCCCGTTGATTCTTCATGTTCTTCTTCAGCTTTATCCCGCCTTTTTCAACAGGGTTCCAGGCCGTGAGCATACCTTCACAACGGCATAATCTCCTTTAGAAGAAACGATTGGAACTGCAGCATGAGAATGGATTGACGTACTTATTTACATCAATTAAGACATCAACATATTACGTGAGAGTCCCGTTGATTGCCTTCACCGAAGTCTTTTTGGCCCTGCCCGTTTGTTTATGCTAATATAGTTTCGCATCTAGAACTGTTGGCTTTAAAGGAATACCCGAATAGTCATGGCCTGCGAAGGCTTGCTATAGTTATTACTGCCAGGCATGGTTTTGATGACGCCGACATCATTAAGGCCAAAGACAGTGACAATACAGGTGTTTAAATGCTGTAGATAGCCAGTTCGCATGTACGGTCGGGTGAGACAATTATTCGTTTGAGCATCATTGGGTTTGAATGAAGAACAACATCAGCTGCTCCCTTATCATCCCTATGATGACGTTTTTCGTCCTTGCTGGAAGCAGATTTGTTCATGCTATCTTGTTAAGGCTATTGGGATTGCTGTTGTATCAATAATCTGATATCTTTTTATACCAATTCGACAACACTTATTTATAACGGGAAGCATGAAAGGAGTTCACTATATCTAATGAGGCGAGAAAAATGCAGAGATGGCAATAAAGACTGATTTGGCGTCTCGGGGGTATATATCTGAGGCCTCAGTGAAATTATCTTGGCCCATAAGTGCATCTTCTGTTTCCTTATTCTTAGGTCCTAAATCTTCGGGTAGAAATTTGACCTGGAATTGAATTTGATCCGTCTGGTATCATGTCTTGTCGCAATTTTTTCAGTGCTCCCTGCCTAGAGGCTGACCATAGTCAAGGAAAGTCATGTTATGCTTATCTGGTTTCGCTCAATATTACAGGCCTTGCTTATCCATGATATCCCAGTTAAAGGTTTGCTTGGGCAAAAGATAGTCTATACTCCCGTAAATATAGCATAGTTAAGGGAGTAAATAATTTAACACTTAGTAGGCTTCAGACCCCCTTCTGATATATGCAATGCATCTCTATAACCCCGAAGCTGGCGCGTATTGATGGAACTGGAGGTTGCCAAAACATGCTTAAATTGATGCTTAAGAAGATTCATGGATGAGCCCCACAGGCCCCGTCGTCTTGGCATATCATCTTCTTGGCGTCGAGTCATGCCAGAAACAAAAACATATGAAGGACGAAGCAAGCAAAGAGCTACACAACGCCCCCTATGGTTCTAGCCACTGGCGAAAAGGGTGATCCATGAGAGTGTGACTCAATATAAGGGTTTACGCTTGCGATAAGAAGGGGAAAGATAAATCTTTGACTCCTTACTCACACTCGGAGTCTTCAGTGGAACAACCAGGCGTCACAAATCGGAACCGAGAGAGACCATACACAGGCGGGCCAAAGAACGACAGAACTTCGCAAAGGCATGGCTGCTACGTCCTCATTCTTCATCGCCTCGATCGGCAATCCAGGTCAAACATACTACAACACTCTCCACAGCGCCGGCCACATCCTCCTCCGTTCTTTCGCAGAGCTTATGAATGCAGGCCCATTCAACCCCGATCCAAGCTTAAGCAACGGCCTAACGACCGAAACATACCTTCCCAAGACCCAAAGTCGCCTGACACTATGGCAATCACCGAGCTATATGAACACATCGGGCCCGTCGTTGGTGAGGGCATATAAATCCTGGCTTGCGCGGGAGAATCTTGCCTCTGACATCCCCGTTCCCCCTCTGGATGTAGGGAAGAGAAAGGCGAGAGGGATGCAGCCCATGACGCATACTCGCGCAACAAATCTGATATTATTGCATGATGAGCTAGAACGATCATATGGAAATCTTCATATTCGATATGGCGGGCCTGAAATGAGCTCAAGGGGTCATAATGGGATTAAGAGTGTGGTAGAGAGTCTGGTTAAAGCCAAGCTACTTTCTTCTGGAGGTGGACTGTCTTTGGCGAGCCCGACGGCATTAATGCGGTTAGCCATTGGGGTTGGAAGACCTTTGTCTCGCGATCGAGACGCAGTGTCGGATTATTTGTTGAAGTCAATATCGAAAAGCCAACATGATGTGTTGGCTGCGAAGGGGACGGACTTGCGGCAGTTGCTGGAAAAAGAGATATCGCGAATTCAAAAAGCGATGGAGCCTATCGAGACGGCTACTGAAGGCTGTATATAGTATATATATATATAATATATATATATACGCTTACTCGTGGGTCGTGGGTAGTTATTTACGCTGGATAATGCAATGCATGACTAGTAATAGAACGGAATAGACTTAACGGCAAGGAATCGAGAGTTATGTACCTATATTTTTATACCTCAGTAACCTTATATGTATATTCACGCTATATATAAATTTGTTTCAATACATGATGCATCAATAAATGTAAACGAGGAGATATCGTCAAGGAATGATAAAGGGTGTATATGAATTGTGAAAATAATAATGAAAAAATGTAGATATCGCCAGCTCGGTCTTCCCACCACCTGGACAGGCGAATACGAGAGGCGTGGTACAATAAATCAAGTATTGATATCATTCAGTCATTTCCGTCATTGTTCATCGTCTTATTACCCGCGCCTATACCGGTCGCAAGAAGTGAAAATAAAATTAAAGTATCTTCACAAACCCTTTGTTGCAATTTCGGTTGGTGAAAGGGTAGTAGGGGATGCAGTTGTCTCAGGGACTGTTGCAGTTGTTTCTATAAGGTTAGGTTTAGTCTCCTGACTTGACACCACTCCATCGTTCACCGTAACTGCTGCTACCAAAGGCGACGGTGACCGCTGCCCTGAAGATGCTGCAAAAGATGCTGCAGCCGCCGTAAACCGCTTGATAGGGCTAGGACGCGGGGTAGGTCCGCCGTGTACGGCAGCGGTAGGCAAAGAAGGGTTAGATGGGCCTGATAGCTTGCTATTTTTTCTAGCTATCGACCACAAACCAGAAACGTTAGTTGCCTTCTTCTCGACTCTTCGGTTGAGATATACTCTGGGCGTAGGCGACCGGGCTTCACGGCTTTGGCTGGTAATTCGCTCGATTATCTCCCTATAAGCCGTCTCGTAGATATCGATATCTGCTGCCGGAGGAGACTCACTCACAACCATGGGTGATTCGGCAAGCTTTTGGCTGGGGGGTATGGGAATTCCGCCAGATTCCAGAGATAAAAGGCCTTGGTTTTGGGCAGGTTCGGTGTCAGTGCCAAAATTTGAAGGGCCGACGTTGAGAAATGGCATTTCTTCCTCTAGTGGGTCACGGGCATGCCCACGGGTTCCTTCAGATCCAGTTTGTCTCGTTGGTGTGCCCACTCTAGGGGTGTGTTGAAGTTGTGGTGATGGTGATTGACAAATCTCAAAGTTGTGTGAAGATGGTTTATCGGAAGCCGCCTGGCTTGGCCGTTTGGGTTGATCTGGCCGTCTTGGGTAAACGTGTTCTTTGATATTTCTATTGTGCAGGACGGCACTGAATTCTTCTTCTTCCTCCTCTCCCATGAGAAGCGGGGGCTGTACGAAGTGAGATGCTTCACCATCGCCAAGAATGCTTTCCATCTGCAGAGGGCTTCCGTCGTTAATGAGTCTTTTAAATTTCTGAACAGCTTTAACCTGCGAGTGAAGGGTTAGCCGATAAATAATAGATCTAAGAAGAAACGAATACTAGAAAACATACCACTATAAGCGCATGGCCCAGATTTCTAGTGATTGCGGTGTTCATCTCTTCATCTGTAGGCGGGCCCACGAGAGTCGCAGTATTCTCCTCTTCAGATAAAAGGGGGTCCGTACCACCTTTGGTAACCCAAGGATGGACCTGGTTCATCAATTAGCAATGGGAGAAACTGGCCCCGGGCGTTCATACTTACCCTCAACTGCGGCATAGTTATTCGTTTTGCTGGATCATTCTCTAGGATCTTCTTCATGAGATCCTTAAAATCTTCATTCGTTTCACCCGGAAGTTCTACCTCGTCGTTTCTGATCGAGCTGTACAAGTCGAATATATTGCTTGTATGGAATGGTATACGGCCATAGCGTAGGCAGTAAAGAGTCACACCCATTGACCACAAATCCGCAGCTCGACCAGAGATCTCACCATGTTTGGCAACACAGAGCTCTGGCGGTATAAAAGCAGGAGAACCAGCCGACTTGGCGATGTACATATCGGAAGATTTCTCAAACATTTCTGAGACACCAAAGTCAACGACCTTGAGGACATCATCGTTGGTCAGCAGGCAGTTGTCAGGCTTTATATCGCGGTGCACAATTCCCTGAGCGTGTAGGTACTCAATACCCAAGATAAGATCACGGAACCAACATCGACAATTTTCTTCGCTATACGGGTCTGCCTGTTCACCTAGACCAACTTTCATGATGACGCCCTTCTTGCACATCTCCATAACCATGTAAAGGGAGTCCTCGGTAGGGTCATCTAGTACCTCTATCAGTGATACAAGGTTGCTGTGATTGAGTTTTTTCATGATGGCAATTTCCTCTTTGATAAGATATAGAGAGTTTCCATTTTCCCCGTCCTCGATACCGGAAGGGTGTCGATGGAGAGGTGAATTGAAGCCGACACCGGCGGGTTGGGCGCTTGGGTGTCTTCCCGGGCGACGGCGTAACCCATGGGACTGAGCACGTTTTCGCAGTCGCGATTTGGAGAATTCTTTAACAGCCTAAATGAGTCAGACAATTGAAGCTGCTTTTATGTCGGTAGTCGTTTGGTAACTTACATATTCCTCTCCATATTGATCTGTGGCCAGGTGGACGGCGCCAAACGAGCCCCTGCCAATCTCTTGTTTGATCAAGTATTGATTTATACGATGTTCCGCAGTGTTATCGTCCTGGCTGTTTGTATATGTCGATTGAGCGTTGAGGGTTTCCTTGACAAAAGCTATTCATTAGTCAATCGCATGGAATCGTATGGCATCGCGTTGTTGCACAGGAAGACGGAGAAACGAACTTTGACTTGTCGTGGAGCTGTGGGATACCGAGCATGCTGTCTCAACGGGCTATCGTAGGAGCCGGAGGAGGGTCTAACGCTATACCCATGGCAGTCAGCCTGACTGGTTTCTATCCAAGACAGAGGAGACATACCTCTTCATGGCATTTGGGCCAAGCTCCGAACTTCTTGTAGATGGTACTTCTGTATCTAGAGCCAGCTGGGCCGTTCGGCCATGCTTTGAGCTAGGATCAGCGTCCATCTAGTCAGATGAAGTGTAAAAGAGGAGATGTGTCGTAAATAGCCTTGCTGCTCGATCCGAGCTTCCTCAAACATAAAGAGACGGAGAGAGTGGCCCGATATCTGCCTCTTATATGTGACAGTTTTCTTTCTACCCACGCGCGAGCCTAAGCAGTCAACGTGCATGCACAGGGGGAGGAAGGCTGGAGGGGTGTGGGGTATGGCGGTCGACCAGGCTATCTAGCTATTTAGTAATATTTTTTCATGGCTGTTCCGCCAGAGTGAAGAGACATATGAATAGTATTCGACAATGTAGCAGACAATTCCTCAAGGTTCAGTTACAGGCCTCAACTAGATCATGGCATCGAAGGTACTGGGTCGGGCTTGTTCTGTCTGTAGGTGAACGGTTGGTCTCTTGGCCAGTACTATCGAACTTCGGCAAGGCAAAACGGTCGTTGGGTTTTAAATCGGCCGCCTAAAGAGTCTGTAGAGATTCAGCCAGCAGTCAACGTTGAGCTGATACTTGAAAACTTCCCCTAGAGGGTTGAAAGAGGAGGGAAAGATCAGAAGTTGGTCGTTGTTGTTATAATTAATGTTGTCTCTTTTATCTACAAAGTCGGAGATTAAAAAGTCACGTGCAACCGGCCTCTCTTTTCTCCCTCGTTGAGCAAGTTGGAAGAAGCAGGGAAGAGACAAGAAAGTCGACACACACATACTCTCTCTCTCTCTCTGCCTGCGTCATGGTCGTCTACTCGTTTTTTATCTTCGACCGGCATGGTAAGCATGTTTCTCTCAGGCTGAAGAAGCAGATTGTGTTGCTGACGCTGACTGAAATCTAGCGGAGTGCATATATCAGCGTCAATGGTACCCGCGCTCGGGGGCAGTTGGTGGAGCAGCAGGCAAGGATTCACACTCGTCCGATGGAACAGGAGCCCTATCGAATGGCCTGCCCAAGGACTCCCATAAGTCAGGATCAACGGACACTCGACTGGTCTTTGGCGCCGTCTTCTCGCTGCGGAATATGGTACGGAAGCTAGGGGGCGAGGATGATAAGTATGGCACCTCCTAATCCAGCGCACCAGGGAGGGTGAAGGCTAGGGGAGAAAGTATGATGACGACGACGGAATGCTGACGTGGTTTTGGACGGGATAGCTTTGTGTGCTACCGAACCGGGCAGTATAAGCTGCACTACTACGAAACGCCGACAAATCTGAAGTTCGTGATGATGACTGATACCAAGGCAAATAACATGCGCCTTGCTCTGCATCAGATATATGTTAACCTATACGTAGAATACGGTAGGTCACCTATCCTTGTTCGAGGACTAGGGCGTATTTCTGACTGGACGAAATCAGTTGTCAAGAATCCTCTGTCGCCCATTGAACACCCTGGCGGTGTGGGAGTGTATAATGAGCTCTTTGAAGAGTCACTTGAACAGTTTGTGGTACTATATCTCCTTCGGCCTCCCCGCTGGAGATGAATGAAACTGCTGACTCTCCCGTTCTAGACCCGAGTGCTTTCCTAAAATCGCCCATCAATCGAGCGACGCCAAGGAGGCAAAGCCAAGCGCAATGCAGAATCAAAGAGCAACCAAGCCACACAGGTGAGGCACGAACGATAGTTAAGGGGCACGATGGGGATACCCGACCATGTACTCTGTACAACAAGCATCTCAACCCAGCGACGAAAACCCACACGGCCAAGCTATCTTCAGCTTTTGGCAAACCCTGCCAAGAGCAGGTGTTCAGGTTCAGACAGTCAAGGTCAAGGGACAAGAAAGGGGCCCCCAAGGGTGCATGCACACACAGAGAGAGATTCGTCTTATTCTTCTCCAGGCTGATAAGGCTGATGGCTGCTTGCTGTCCGGTGACACCAAAACAAGAGTGTACAGCATTTTCTTCAGCAGACGGGGCGAGAGCAATAGAACCAGCTCGTTGATAGCATCTAGACCTTTCCTTGTCCTACAAGTAGCAACTGGCTCAATACATCCCCAGATTCTCTACCCACTCCCACTGCTTCTTCTTCTTCTTCCGCTTCTTCCACTAGTTCCACTTGTTCCACTTCTTTTCTTCTTCTACCTGGCTTCTCCCTGTTAAGCTTGTGGCTGAGATCTTGGCGATGACTCAGCAATATCAACCCCGGCGGTGACCCAATCAGGCAAGTACACGCTGCTTTAGGCCCGGAAGAAAAGGCCCGCGTTCCGGCATTGCGCGATTTTCAACAAGCCCATCAAGGTGCATCGACTTGCATCGTCTTGCATCGTCTTGCATAGTCTTGCATCGCAGCAGGCGCAGGAAGTGGTGGTGCGAGGGATGCAAGAGAATGCAAGGGTATGCAAGGGTATGCAAGGCCATGCAGCGCCCATGCCAGACCGTGGACAAGCCCACCCATGCAAGCTGCGAGACGCGATTAGGCGCTGACCAAGCCAGAAGGGGGGAAGAAGCTCGAGCCACCCCTTTTATTATTTTATTGTTTTCGAAGAGTGGACGCTGAGTCAGCCACACCTTTTATTTGGTCCATCAAACCTTTAAACCTCCTCACTTTCCGCCGTTTTTTTTTTTTTTTTTTTTTTTTTTGTTCCGCCTATTTTTTTCCCACAACTTCAACTGCACACAAGGAGGAAATACGAATATACAAGACGCCAAAGAAGCAAGGAATATATCCAGCATAGTTACTCACCACCGTTTTGTCGTCGCGTTGACTGCCGGGCCTTGCCTGGCTCCCTCTTTTCTTCTTCTTCTTCTCTCCCTCTTTTCTTCTGCTACATCCATAGTACTACTACCACATCATCCTGATCGGCTCTTATGAATTCACTCACGCCGCTCTCCTCTGCGTCCCCGTCTTCTGTCTCTTCCTCGACCTCACGCTCAAATCATGGAGATCAGTTAACACGCGCTTTGGAGGATACTCACCTGGCCGCTCCTCCTGCTACCTCTACACCCGCTCCTGGACCTCCCAACACCGCCTCTTCAACCGCCACAGCCACCTCACTTCTCTCAACTTCGTCGTCTACCTCGACCCAGAAACCCCCCAGAGCAAAGATGACCAACCGGCTCAGTCGCATGTTCTCTCAGACTCGGTCTTCAACACCGTCTGCAGCTGTCTCACCCAACAGACAGGGCCTCGATCCCGTATCCAAGGCTAACGGAGCCGCTACTATCACTTCCACCATGATGATGCATCCGCCCTCACCAGCCACCGTCCCAGCAGACAGAAAGGTGGACCAGAAGACCACAGAAAAGAAACCAGACGGCAGGTCTGCAGACAAAAAGACAGAAAAGGGCAAAGATGCCGCCCAGACCATAAAGCGGTTCGAGATACTCGCAGACGGAACACACAAACACACTCTCAAGTCAGCCAGGCGCCAGGAAAAGCTCTCGGACATGCTACGAGACATTATCGGTGCTGGGAAGAAGAAGGATGATGCCCATGCCCACGCTCACCCTGCCCAGGCTGACGACCAGCAGCAGCTCTCCCTCGTCTCAACCTGGGTTGACCAGCTCAAGAACGAAAAGGAGAAGATGGCAGCCGACAAGAAGGGCGGGCCCAACAGCACGGCCTCCCTTGTTGACAAGTACGGCAAGTGCCACGAAATCGTCGGCCGTGGCGCCTTTGGTATCGTCCGTATCTCCCACAAGATCGACCCCAAGGACTCCAAGACGGAACACGTCTACGCTGTTAAAGAATTCCGCCGTCGGCCCCAGGAAACGGTCAAGAAGTACCAGAAACGCCTCACTTCTGAATTCTGTATATCTTCTTCCCTACGCCACCCAAACATCATACATACTCTCGACCTTATGCAAGACGCCAAGGGTGACTACTGTGAAGTCATGGAGTACTGTGCCGGAGGAGACCTGTATACCCTCATCCTCGCTGCCGGAAAGCTAGAAGTGGGAGAGGCCGACTGCTACTTCAAACAACTCATGCGCGGAGTCGAGTACATGCATGAAATGGGCGTTGCCCATCGAGATCTCAAACCTGAAAACCTACTCCTCACCACCCACGGCGCACTCAAGATTACAGATTTCGGGAATGGGGAATGTTTCCGCATGGCATGGGAGAAGGAGGCGCACATGACTGCCGGCTTATGTGGGTCTGCACCGTATATCGCACCAGAGGAATATGTGGACAAGGAGTTCGACCCCAGAGCTGTGGACCTGTGGGCTACTGGCGTGATATACATGGCCATGAGGACCGGCCGGCATCTGTGGCGCCAAGCGCAAAAGGATGAAGACGAATTTTATGATCGCTATCTAGAAGGGAGGAGAGACGAGGACGGTTATGCACCTATCGAGACCTTACATCGCGTTAGTACCGCTTGTGCCTTGCCTTCACGGCATAACTTTTCCCCCTCTTGGCTAACAAAAGACTGTACAGGCACGCTGCAGGAATGTCATCTATTCCATCCTTGACCCCAATCCTGGTCGCCGCATTACTGCTTCACAGGTCCTTAAATCAGAATGGGTCCGAGATATCAAGCTATGCAAAGCTGGTGAAGAAGGATTCTAACCCAACGCATTTGAATCATGCATTTTTCCCTTTCTCTCCCACCACCATCGCTACTGATACAACTGATGACCGGCACCAGTCCGATTGGTAGGCCGATGGGAAAGAAAAAGAACAAAAGAAAAAAAGAAGGACGGAACGAAAAAAAGGAACAGGACGGGCTGGCTAACTGGCTTCCTGGCTCAAGTTGGGTGGCTTTCTCCTTTTTCTTTTTTTCTCCCTCTCCGTGTTTGCTTTTGGGTGTGGTCGTTCGTGTTCGCCTTCTTCCACCGTTCCTTGGCCTATGCCTACAACCGCAGATGACGATTCTTGGTTTAGTTCTGCTGATGGTCGGTTGTTGTCCTGGTGGTTTTGCTCGGTCTAATGAATTACGATCATTTCTTCTCTATACGTATAATTTCCTTTCCCTTCTTCCTCACTTTCCTACTCTCTGGCTCTGGCAACCATTAGCCTTGCCTTATATATGTGGTCTTCTTACACCACTATTCCCCCCCTTCTTCCCATTCCTCTCAAACACTTTTTTATGCCAAAATAGGTGTTGGCTCTGGCTCGCGATGAATTCATATGCACAGGGATACGTGGTATGGTCTTGCCTTGCTTTTTTCCGGATTGGATTTCAACTCGATATTATCCGACTGATTAGATATATGACTTAACGTATTTCTCATCTTCCTCCGTCCCTCTCTCTTCTTGCTCTTGGTTGGTCGGCTGGTCCCCTTTTTTGTTCCTATTCCTTTTCCTTTTTCTCTTCCCCCCCCCTTTTTGTTTGGCTCTGCATGCCCTTGTCTATATCGTCCTTCTTTGCACATATACTATATACAATCTTCTAACCACGCCGAGAAACATAACGTCATTCCGTTCCGATCTACTGGTGTTTCGTCATTTGTTTAATTGTTTATTGTTTGCTTTTCCCTTCTCATCCCTCTGTTCGCTTTTCTTTTTTTAGATCGGCCATATGGCTTTGTGAGAACCCTGTCCTCGAACGTGGTTGGCATGCACCTCACACGATAGCAAAAGGTCAAAAGGTGGATATCAAGTCGAATGACGGGATGAACTACGGGGCTATTATTCCGTCTTGCTCCTTGCTTATTCGTTTTCTCGTCTGGCAATTCCACAGGCTGGGTACGAACTGCTGCCTTACCGTGACCAGTATGCATGGTTATCTCCATACCCCATACGGATGTATCCGTACCAATCACCCGCACGCGACGATCCGCGATCGAGTCGGGGAATGTCCGAAGGGCAAATAAAAAAAGGAAGTGTGAAAAGAAGGAAGAGAGCATCAAAAAAGCAAACGTCACTTTTTCCGCCTGTCCGTTCTGTCCGTTCTGTACTTCCGGTTGGCGCGAGTTGTCTGCCTCGCTTGATGACTTATGATGGCATTTACCTGATCTTATCTTTCTGTCTTGGATATATTGCTTGGCTGGTCCTCTTTCTAACACTGGATATATATGTTTTGCCGCTGCAGCCTGAAATCTTTTTATATTGGTTGATATTCACATACTCGGTATATACGCATATGTATGCTCTCTGCTGCTTGACCTTGATAGCATCCCTCAAAAAAAACGTTTCTTGACGTTGCTGCCTTCTCATGGAGCACTGTACCATATTCAAAAGCGTCTGTCCCCGTGGCAATACCTTCCTGTAACAATCTCATCCCGCATCTTTCTATCTCTAACAGTGGAAGTACTTAAATATCAAAAAGTTCCAGTTCGACCAAAGCACGTGACGTCTAATGAACTTCCTGCGCCACAAAATGCCAAGCCTCATCCTTCTCTCACAGCCACAACTTTGGGCCATCAAACGCAGGAAAAAAACCTGGACGTGAAGCCATCGCTGAGTTTCTTCTCTCGTTTGAACAGATTTGATACCATCTTCTCGCGATACATGCATAGGGCGGACCTGGGTGTGGTCTCACTAATTGTCTTGCTTTTGAACTGGACGTCTAGTCAATAATACTCTGCCATCTATCTTTCTCCGCGAAGACCGGCCTCAGTACGGACACGCAATCAGTCGCTGCCCCGCTAATAGAAGGAAACTAGCTCTACGACCTTATACCAGCCAGCCTGCCTAGTGAATACATTCGATAAGCATCGAATTGTTCTTTTTCCACACTATCGACCCCGGTTCAATAGCTTGCTACCGTTTGCGACCATTTAACAATGTCTTGGGCCGGTACGTGGTTGGCACAAAGGGCTCCTGCGACTTTGTCCTTGGCTGAATATTCCGATGACTGAGGCTGATGCGATTTGTTCCCCTAGGATTTAAGAAGAATGTCAACCGGGCGACGACCCAGGTGATGATGAAGACCGGTATGTTGGCTCGATTGATGTCGGGGTTGACATCATTGCCGGACAAGGCTGACATCCAGACAGGTCATGTCGAGAAGACCAATGATCGCGATTATGAGATTGAAGAGAGACGCTACCGCACAATGGAGTCTGCCGCAAACAGACTACAAAAGGAAGCAAAGGGATACCTAGACTCATTACGAGGTCAGTCTCCCTTGAACACCAGCCCTTCGCAAGGCGGAGATGCTGATAGAACTTGCCAGCTATGACTGCTTCTCAGATGCGAATTGCCGAGACTATCGATGCTTTTTACGGCGATGCTGGAGCCAAGGATGGTGTTAGCAGAAGCTACAAGCAGGCTGTTGAAGATCTGGATGCTGAAACAATAAAGGCGCTCGATGGACCCTACCGGTTAGCTGATCCCCATCCCACCCTACTTAATGTTGCAATCAAAAGTATTGACATCGTATGTATTAGAACAACCGTTCTTGACCCTATTTCTCGTTTCTGCGCATACTTTCCCGATATAAACGAATGTATCAAGAAGCGTAACCACAAACTCCTCGACTACGACTCCATGCGCGCCAAAGTCAAGAAACTCGTGGAAAAGCCAGATAAGGATGCCTCCAAGCTACCGCGCGCCGAAAAGGACGCCGAAATGGCCAAACAGGCCTATGACCAGTTAAACGAACAGTTATACAATGAGTTACCGCAACTTATCGATCTCCGTGTTCCGTATCTTGATCCGTCGTTTGAGGCTCTGGTCAAGATTCAGCTCCGTTTTTGCGCCGAGGCATATAGCCGTATGGCCCAGGTTCAGCAGTACCTTGACTCGGACACGAGAGAAGAGTATGCTTCCGGCAACCTGGATAATAAGGTAGAACAGGTACTGCAGGAGATCAGAGATTTAAGCATTGCCGGAACAGTGTGATTCGAGGTGGCCTTGTTCTGTTTCGTCTATGAAGTAATGTTTTAGCGCGTTTTCAATATATAATATTCTACTGTCTCTCCCACTTCTTTGTCGTCTCATCTCCCCCTCAACTTTCCCTTTTTTTTCTCATACCCATCCTCTTCTTGCCGGGGAGATGGAAGAGCGGATATATATACTTCTTTATCTCTGATTAGATAGCTATTGGCATACTCCTTGCCCTTGTTAACTTATATAATGTTTGCATCAGCCTTCTTTCGATCCATGCACCGGTGTTCGGTTGCCGTCACCCCTGTAAACGGTCCAGAAGTTTACTGTCCGGCTGTTTCGTCCTGGCCTTGACATGACCACCATAGACCCTGAAGGCGCATATACCTTGCCAGCGATATCCTGTCAAGCTTGACGACACTATACCCCGAGGGGAAACTACATACGAATAGTTTGCTTTTCTCTGACGGTACAGTGTGGTGGTCAACTTCCCTGCTCGGCGGCTAAGTAATTCAAGGCTCGTCCGTCCCGTCCAAACTAGAGGCCCGTTTAGGCGGGTAACAACAGTGATATGCTGTTACCGCCATCTCGTATCGGACATAGTTACCTATTCCTACTGCCTGCCTTATTTGGGTTTCGGATAAGGTCAATATTGAGTATAGGAGCCCAGAGGCTATGCGACTTGGATATCTATGAATGAGTTAGCTGTCACCGTCAACTTCACATCCACCGGTATGTGTTTAGGTATGCATATAGTTACCCTTCCCTATTCCCCTGATAGACAGATAATTGTGCAAGGGCTTAACTTAATGGCCTGACCAGTGTCGTGAGCTCGACTCCTAGAGGATACCGGTTGATGGGTAGTTGCGGAATAAAGCTAGCTACATATGCAAGATATATGCTTGTCATCCGTACTCAAAGTATCCTTCCGTGGACACACGTTCCCTGCATATGTATATAACTGAATTGAATGGTGTATAATGCATGTATACTTGCACTTCGTATATATGTGTGCCTTGTATCAGGAAAACCGATCAGCATCCAAGAACCGCCCCAATGGCCTGATGGGCTCAGAACAATACACCCCGCTGAGAGTCAGGGACAGGGCCACATATGGGACTCTCATTCAATAAAGCCTCAAGGATCCTTGCATTGCTTGCTGTCTTTGTGTATGTCTATTTATGCGAATCTCTCACGTGATTGGTCGATCTCAAGGGTGCTGGGAATAACCATGAAAGCAATGGCCCGTGATGGATAGATCCCATGTTTGAGGGCGTCTCCTGGGTCAAGGGGGGCCGTTTGGATTCGTCCAGTTGGAAGTCTGCCGTGGCGTTGAGCACCTTCTCAGCCAAGGACCCCCCAGTTGCTTGTTATATATATGCCTCCGTTGAGCGCCTTTTCTCGACCTCAGCAACCAGCAGCTAAGCGAGCTTTCTCATACATACCCGGGGCTTGAGCGCAGGTTTTGTTCGTGCAATTTCTCTTGGTCCATATCGTGCCAACACAGTAGACAAACCCGACTGCGTCATGCAATAGGTTGCAATATGGGCGAATAGGGGGGTTTATGCATCAAAATATAAACGGCAAACGGCCCGTGCGTCACCTGAAGTACATAGTAAAGGCCATTTAATGGGAATATTTGATTATATAGCCATCCGAAACATCGCAGCTTGAAACAAGGAAGCTCGGAATCCAGATCGATATGCAGGAGGGTCCTTTTTTTAGGCTGTACTACCGGCTATCAGTGAACAGTGGCTATTGCGGTGTAGGCAAGGAATCTGACACTGAAGACGCAGAAAAAAAGCCTCTATGACAGCACCCTTCAGGCAGCCACAGCTCGTAGGCAAGGCCATAGCAGTGTACTCACGGTCGAAGTCGGATAACGGCGTCACGGAGGGTATATGTAGCCGGCGTCTCTCCAAGGGGGAGGGAACGGGCCATTTATATAAAGATAGCTAAAGGGCCGGTATTTACCATCAACGATTCGCCCGCGGACAAGTAATCCCGGCCTGATAGTGAGAGTATGAGACAAGCAAAATAAATTGGCTCAACCCATGGTATAATTGACATTTGGGACTTGCGTGGCCAGCTCTCTCGAAAAATCGTCGGGTGGTTGATATAAAACCAGTTGATATAACCCAGGAAGCGGCTCTGCAGGCGCTAAACCATAGGGGGCAACTCCCAAATCGCCCTAGTAAACTGTTAGGTAAAACTGCTCTTACGAGTATGAATACCATGAGAAGGACACGATTCCACTGATTTCAGAAAGTCAATTAAATGAAGCCCGTCAGTTTGACCGTCTAATGTTTTCGGATGGTCTTTTATTTACGAATGGTAGATTGTGTGAGAAAAGACATAGAATTGCACTTGGAAGTCTATGAAACGGGAAATGGTCTGGTTGGATAATATATCGTTGATTCATAGAAATAAAAACAGGCCAAATCTATTCGTACATTGTTCGTTCATTAAGAGCGTAGCTTTTGAGGAAACCAGGCAAACAAGCAGCGCAGTAAACAGTTACATCAGTACAAAGGAGAAATGGATATGAGCCAAACGAATGAAAGAAAGAGGGAAAATAAGTAAACACAAACTCCACGCATAATTGGCCGACGCAGTCGAATTGGTTCGGTTCTCTGGCCCCTTGGCCATGGGAGATCGGCCAACGATTCATAGGTTTGACAGCTTTCGAGAGAGGCTCCTGGGTGAGTTGAATTTCCATGGATTAACGCGATAGAGCAAGCCATTCGAATAAAGGGGGTCGGGTAAAGGTACCCCCATGCGGAAGGAGACAAGATAAAGAAAATCAAGAATAACAAGTGAAGAAAATAGAAACAAGAGAAATAACAATTTTAAGACAATATAAAGACAGGTCCGTGAAATTTGCTAAATGATCAGATTTGCCTCCCACGCATTTTTGGACTAAGAGAAAAAAAGACACCGTCTCATCAAAATTCCTCTTCCAGTAGGATAAAAGAAATCGGGAACAGGGCTGTTCCCGATAGGGAATATCGGCCGTTAAACTTCCGAAAAAAGCGTACTCCATGGATGGCTAGGGCAAAAGACCACAGTGAAATTGATTCCGAGTCAGGGCTGGATTCGTAATTTCGTTTGGGAGGGCAGTGGTCTGGGAAAAGGACGGAAAGAACAAGGCAAATTGAATGAACAGCAAGAAAACAAAGAGAGAAAGAAATTGCGAACACCTTTGGTCACATCTTCGCATCAAGTCATTATGACTTGGTTTCATGGAAATATATGTCTCTGATGACCTCATTACTCCTTATATCGTACTCAAACCACCACGATTAACTGCATGGGGCGCAAAGCATCATTGATATCAGTGTGCCCGCTTCGTATCGCTATGAGCCCTGTTCTTCCTCTGGGCTCGCAACGGCTTGCTCTGGCGAAGCTCGTTCCCGGCTAACAGGAGATTCTGGCCTTGCTGAAGCTGTAGCCGCTGCGGCCGCTGGACTTTCTGGCCGCTGGCCTTTGCCGCCTGCTGGAATTTCTGCTGGGGACATAAGAGGTTCAGGAGCTGGCCGGCTAGGCTCTTTTGATTCTACAATCATTGGTGACTCCTGGAGGAACGCGCTGCCTTCTATTCGCGGTAGTAGTGGTTGTTGCGGCTGAGGGCCTCTTTGAACTTGTATGTCCTGTGTCTGTGATGGAGGGGTTTCAGTCCCATGATACTGCACGCTCATTGGGGTTGGGGGATCCGGTTCGCGCATTTGCTCAGGTGGTCGCTGGCCTATTGTGGGGGAATATGAATGTTGCGGTACACCCGGGGATGTTGCCGGTAGAATTCCACCATAAGCAGGCCTTGGAGTTGTATTGTTTGGTCGAGCAGGGTGAGACTGGGACCGGGCTTCTTCTGCTATCCTACGTCGCTGCATTTCTACTTTGCTCGGTCGTCCACGTTTGCGCGGAGTGTCCCCACGGGGAGGTTCAGGGGCACGAGGAATTGGCACTCCAGTTCGTATCTCGGATAGTGAATATCGTCCAGTATCAGTTTGCGGTTTTGGCTGGATGGCGCGAGGAGCAGAGGCCAGAGGTCTTTCTCCAGATGGCGCCGACCGCTTTCTAATTAACGGGGACATCTGTAGAGGGGCGGTCGGTCCGGGAAGGCTCTGTCTGTATTGACTCGCATATTCCTGTTCCATACGATAGAACGCTGTTTGGCAAGAGCTGAGCGACCGCCCTACACATATAACAGTCAATAAATACTGTTATAACGCGTGCGCAAAGTGGGCAAACCATCATCCAAGCAATCCTGCTCTTAGGATAAATAGACCACTTAGAGGGGGAATTAAATTGAAGGGGGTTTTACCCGGCGGGAGTGGAATCTCCATCCAACTCGGGGCAATACGATTCTCCCGGATAATACTAAAGAGGTATGCCGAGGAGATTCCTGCTTTCTTCAATATCTCAGTAAGAAGAAAGTTCTGGCAAGAAAAAAAAGAACAGTCAGCTGGATGAACATGAGGTTTGGAAGATGGGAAATCATAGCAGTACCCTCTCCTCCTCCGTCCATAACTTATCTTGTTGGTGGGACATATCCAGCGAGTCATGTACAACTGAAGTGGTAACAAATGCGCATATGCGGATAGCTCCTATACAAAAAAAAGGAGCAAGATACAGAAATGAGAATCGTCAGAAGCTCGCAGAAACGGCGGAGGAAGCTCAGAATTAACCAAGACAAGCAAGCTGTAGCTGAGTCGAGATAGAAAATTGATCGGACGAAACGAGGTCGGTACTACGGCCAGCGAGCAGCTGCGCAGTAAGAAAAGAACGAAAGTAGAGAAACGAAGATTGGATTGATGGTAAACAACAACACAATATCCAACCAACGGTAGGTAAATAACCCCACACTCCAGGACGTGGGGAAGAGGGATCAAGAGATATTTTGATCGAAAGACGTAGCCCTTCTTTTTGTTTTCTTATTTTCTTCTCCTTTCGTTTCTTCCTTCAGCAACGAATGGCTGAATGAGCGAGTGGTAGCAGCAGCGCGAGGGCCACGAAAATGGAAAATTGTAAATAAAACGAACGGAAGCGTGAGCGCAGGAGTGGCGACACGCAATTGAAACCCCAGGGCAGATAGAGATAATGTGTGCGTGCGTGTGTGCGTGTGTGTGTGTACAGCGGGAATAAGTTAAGTCAACAGGAATGAATTATGTTGGTACAAGGATACTAGCCACGAGGGTGGTAGTAGTTGTCACCATTGAGCTGACGGGGATTCAGGATTGGGGATTGGTGAAGCAAACAAAAAAAAAAAGAATTAAAGCGTAAAAAAAAAGCGTAATAGGAAAGTAAATAAGAAGCTCGTATTTAATTCATTCGTAGGACAGATAGAGCAGCGTGTTTGGGTGTGCGACAAAGAAGCTGGGGCGTTGATATTTGTCGATTTCGCATTGATTTTTGGCCGGACAGGGCAGTACTCCGTCTAGTTCACGATATAGTATCAACAATGAACACTGCTGGGAATGGAAACGCGAGTTCGTTATTCCGGTAACATCAAGGAGAGACTTGAAACGAGTGATAAGGACGGAAGAATCAGAGGGAAGTAAAGAAGGGCGGGAACAGGGGCCAAAGGGGAAGAAGAATTGGGGAGGGGGGAAAAGAAGAAGAGGGTAGGAGGGCAAAAGGATAGAAGGGCAAAAAGGGCAAAATAAAAATAAAAATGGCAGAGGGCAAAGAAAAGGGAGTGGAAAGGGAAGAGGAGGAAGAGAGACAGGAGAGAGAGAGGGAAAAAAAGGTGAAGATAACGATGAGGTTGGAAAGTCCGCGAAGAACAAAAAAAAAGAAGGTTGATTTTTTTATGGGGATAAGGAAAAAAAATATGTACTCGAAGGTACCGCTTCGGTCACGGCAATACCGTATAAAATACCAAGAGGACTCTTGTCTCTCTTTTTATTTTCAGTTCGGGAGAGGGTACACGACCTTGGGCGAGGCGGCCACACAAGAACAAGTACCTCTCTCTCAGTGGGTACGCTCTTCATGCAAGAGATAAATCCAAAACTCGCCAGGCTAGCCCGTTGCAGGCATGCAGGCAGGAGTTTGCTTGGATATTTTGAGCATCAAGCAGCCAATCAGTGTGGACGGAAAAGTCCAATAGACGGGCCAGCAAGGCTTGAAACACCTTAGCCGGCTTTGATATCGTGCTTCGTCTTCGTCACAGGAAGCAGAGACTCGTCCATAAACGCGGCCAGACAGAGAGAGACGAGACGAGACCGCGAAGCAGTTGCATGCAGGGAACGAGGGTGGTGGTCTACCACCGCTCTTTTTCTCTTCCCTTTCTTTAATCCCTTCTGCTTCTTTCCCATGCAATACCTTCAATCGGTGAGGAACACAGAGTTCCCAGTGATACCGATGCTGGGTACTCGAAGGCCAGGGAGTGGAGTTGGCCAAAGGAAACCTGCACAGCTGGTATTTTTTTTTATCCTGTTTCTTTTCTTATTCTGTTGCTTCTCTTGACCTCTCTTGAGTCGCCTGGCCGTTGCCACTATCCAGCGCCGTCTATTTGTGGACGAGATGAGTTGTGCTCTGTGGCAAATAGTCTTGATTTTACTTGAACCGTCAAATATCGATTGACACAACTGTCGGGGCTAAAACCTAGACCGTTGAGATTTTCCTCTTTCGATATTGGTTGGACACTAGAAGCCGGGAGACTGGCCTTAGACAGCGATCATTTGATTATTATTTGCCCGTGTGAATTGGCATATATAGCCCAGGAACAAAATGCTTCAAGGCGTAGGTTTGCTAATACTGATTGGCTATGGTGTCGTGACGAGATCCTGCGGATTCTGTTTGGCTGTTTAGTGGAATGTAACTCCTGTATTTCAAACGAAATAAAAGCCCTGAGACATCTAGAAACAAGTGCCATTGGAGTCTGTTCTCGAAGTTTGGCCGATAAGCCTCGTCGCACAGAGCATCAACGGGGGAAGATTTGGGGGCTCCAGGATTGATTAAACCCATGCCAGTTAATATGTAAGCTGCGTGTTGCTTTCTTTTCCTTTTTTTTCCTTCTCTCGAGTGTATACTATGATGAGTGCCTGGTGTAAATTTAGCATCTGGTGATTGCTACCCGTACAAAATCTGTATCGAAACGCAACGTCTGGTGCTTCAAATAATAGTAGATCACCCCCAAGCCCTACCTAGGCGCCACAGCCTCTCCCGAAGGCTATTCTCGGTTTGCATGCTCAGAGCTGTTTAGGTTGAACTTCTCAACGGGAGATATGATGGATCCGACGTGGAGAGGTACGGAAAGATCTGTAATTGGAGGGCAACACAGACGGGGGGGAACCATGTTCCAGGGAAGCTGGATGATTGGAGCCGCCCTGTTACTGCTGCTGCACAACCCACGAGAAACAAAGAAGGCAGCGGCCGTCCAGGAGGAATCCAGCCATAATGGAGATCGTTGGGTGTGCGAGTACGGAGTACGGATAGATGAATACCTGTTGCACCGTCTCCGTACACCGTAAGTATATAGATTGGGTAGAACAAGCGGAGGAACCGAGCCCATCCTATCTTGGATAGCATGGTTCCTTAGTTTGTTACTAGCCAGGCACCGAACGTAAGGTGTAAAACGCCTATTTTGCTGGCTTTTGCTCGCGCTCGTGTATCTACCGCCTGTCCGGTGTAACATGGTTAAACTGTACTTACGGTGTCATGAGTATCTTCCGGCTTGGTACGCCTCCATGGCTGGACAGGTTGCTCTGCATTTCCTCGCTTTCCCATTCTCTGCTCCAGTCCTCTCCTCTGCGAGCTCCCTGCAGCATGGCCTTCCTCTTTTCTTCTAGTCCCATGGGCCAACTGGGCGCGCAGGGTTTGGGAGAAGGACGCTAGTACGGTAATCTATGCGAATCATCCGCTGGCCGAGTGCTCCGTATATACCTATATGTAACTATGTCAGCTCCACTTGCCCTTGGACATACTATGCATACATAGTACATACTCCGGATGTGCATGCTGGTTCCGTACTGCTCGTGTTAAGATACTACCACCCTTGCTTGGAGGACGGGCAAATATAGGTGAGCATTGTTTGGTTTTGGGTAGAAACATATAATATATTGACCTGAGTCGCACGCTGATGTCCCTTCGGTTTAATTGTTGATGGAGTTGCTTGGAGAAAATAGCTTTGTGGTGGGGGCCAAGAGGCTGAGGATGCTGACACTTTATAGTAGCCTTCTGAAGCCCTAGCTACAGATGCTCAGCGAATAGAGCCAGCCACCAGTTGTTATCGGCTGAGGACGGTCAGGAGTCGAGGCTTAACTATGATCGTTGGCCCTTTGGTTCTCATTCGGGTTCAGATAAGTCCTCTCAAGGCGAGAAATGGCTTATTTTAACTCTTTCGAGAGGCTTGTTCATTACATGGAAGTACGGAGTAAATGGGGGTGTTACCAAATATGCGGTGGACTTTGGACTCAATTTAGCCTTCCTGGAGAGTAGGCTGTTTGATAACTCGCTCCCCGTGCCTACTCTGACATCCACCAACGTATCAGACTTCAACCGCCGCCGCAGAACACCCTGACAAGGAGGAATTACATCTACCGACATGTAACCGGTCAAAAGACCATTTCCTTGATATAGATGCTGGCATTAGCTCACTTATATGAGGCATACTGAGAAGTGAGACGACAAAGCTGGCTTCAAAACGCGATCAGCAATATATGGTCTATAAAATAGATAAGCCCGGATCCCAAAATAAGCTACAAATGGGGTTAGATGATTCGAGCTGTCCAGGAGGATAATGATATTATCAATTTCTAATTTACCAAATCAAAGGGCAGGCTTTTTTTAAACACGTAATTTCTTCTGATTAAATATAGGCGTCACTCACTTCCTTGCTATAAGAAATTCCGATATATTCTCCATGCGCCATATACATTTATACAATATCAATAATACAGTCTACTTCGCCTGCTATCAGATACTGTAGTAGCCTAATGGAGAGGCCGTTCGTGCTCCACCGCCTGCCAGCGAAGATATGAACTAGTTAATCAATTTTATGCTCCATAGAAACCTATCTCCTCGTACAGGCAATAAAGGAACTGTATTAACAAGACTCAAATAAAAGCAAGCAATCTGATTCGCACGATGTAGAGCTCACCTGTGTCGTCTAAGGCGCGAGCTCTTTGATGGGATTATTTACAAGATTAGTGGTTGCGTACCAACTGTAAGACACTCCATCGGAACCTGGTAGGCCGCCTGCTTTTAATGGGCGCCATTTTATCCACGTAAGGCCCAGTCCCTTTCTTTCAGCCCTCAGGCAGATCCTACCACAGGTATTTCCTGGGTCTCTCGAATATGCATACGGAGTACTCTGTACTCATTTTCGCATCTGACCTGTTAAGCGGGGCCAACAGTAACCCATCAGCCACCTTTATTGGTCAGTATACGAAATAAGGATAATAAGTTAAACCAGAGAGGGGGAAGAAGATGTTCAGTAAGGGGTAAAGTGATAGTGGAGTGCTATTAGAGTGTCATACCTGCAGCACCTTCTCGTACTCCTTCCTGTGCATGTTCTCTTTGCGTCAGGTATCGACCTCTGGATTCCCCCGAAAGATTCGGCTAATTCCCGGTGTAGATGTTAAGTGGTATTAAGTAGTAGGAGTAGCATATATTATGATTGAATCAACTTTATTCCTCTTTTACCAAGCCCTTTTGGCTTATATCAAAAGTGCACTGGGAAAACAGGCAGAGAGATGAACGAAGCAAATAAGAATGTCTATGGTTAGCCCTAATCGGTAGAGTCATGGAAATGTTCTCCTCTATGTTGTTGGTTAACAATGTCAGGTGAGGTGGGAATAAAATATTTCCAAGCTTGGCTCTTTTTACGTCAAAAAGTAACGACGTCCTAACTTCGAGCCTCTCTATACAATGAAACATAAGATCACTGCAACAGTGATGGACAAATGGATATGGAGGAGAAATTTCCGTACAGTCCTTGACACCGAGTAATCACTTGTATATGTTCTCGGAACGAATATGTGTTGGTTGGTGAGTGGTACTACATGCAAGCAATGTTTTCTTACATGGAATATATCGAAATAGGCGTCCCTACTCCCATTCGCTGCCGCGACATGGTGG